GCTCTATGCTCTATGCTCTATGCTCTATGCTCTATGCTCTATGCTCTATGCTCTATGCTCTATGCTCTATGCTCTATGCTCTATGCTCTATGCTCACTGTCGTTCCCATGAGTATATATGGTAAGTCTTGGAGACGAAGATGCGCACCCAAGTGGAGAGGTTGGCTAGCACAGAGAGAAAACTGACCCGTTCTCCGCCGTCTTTAGGCTGTAGATGTATCCCCAGCACTGGTATATACGATGCTGACATGTCGGATGTTATGGTGTCTCAAGTCGCTAGAACTACCCCAAGTACCTACTTATCCGCTCTACAACTGCAAATTTGTGGCACCTTCCAAAAAGCGAAAACAACAAGCATCACGTTGATCTCTATCTCATGCTTGTCAATCTTGGCCTTACGGAAGGCGCATGCCTTGAAGAGCACTGTAGACACGAACTTAGGCTAAATATTGCATGACCAAATTCGTGCCACCAATAATGGAATAGTGTAGTGATCGCATCGTGCTACTCCTAGCTCGCGAAGGTATTTCCTAAGTGCTAAGGCAGCAAACAAGTCTTTCAACCGGGCCTTGCAAGTGCTTGAGCTTTTCTTATGCAGGTCGTCACCCACCGGCGGCCACCATACCCCTCCTCCCCCCCCACACACACACGCCATCTGCGGAGACACTCCGCGCGGGGTATATCAATCCGACACCAGAGCGGGTTCAAATCTGTCGATCTCCAGCGATTGGCTATTGAGTGAGCTAAAAGGATGACGGTATTGCAATTACCTGAGGTGATCATCTAGCAAATCTTGAACCGTCTCGATGCAGTCCAAATTTCTTTTTGGTGCGATATCCTTCAATGAGGCAAGTTTCCGGACTTTGTCACGAGATGCATAGTCTAACTGCGCGGTCTTTCGGCATCCTGAGCAGTATGCAAGATGCAACTGCGGCCGGGAAAGAGAAGTACTGTAGGCATGGTTGTCAACCGAAAGTCAGGATAATATACAGTCGATCACTGGTGATGTTACCTGTGGGTCAGGAAGATCTTGCCGCTATGCCGGGAAGAAGAATGACTGAGGGGCACTATAAGTAGGAACGAACCATCACCAATTGAGGCCACTATCGTCAGACAGCAAATTCAGACAACATGTTGCTCTACGGTGTCGCTTTGGCGGCTTTGATCTCTTCGGCTAATGCTTTGGACCTTACCGTCGCTAGCAGTGGTGGCAATGCGACTTCGCCTCTCCAGTATGGGTTGATGTTTGAGGTAAGTCACTACAGTCATGCTCGTCTCGATCTCGAGCTCACCGCGATCTGTAGGACATCAACTTCTCAGGCGATGGAGGCATTTATGCAGAACTCATCCGTAACAGAGCATTCCAGGGCAACACTGTACACCCATCTAGTCTGCTTGCCTACGGTTCAGTAGGAGGCACGACTCTGTCGTTGAAGAACCTGTCTCAGCCAATTTCAAGTGCTTTGCCTACCTCGATGAATGTCGCCACTGGAAACGCTACATCTGATGAAGTCGGTTTCTCAAACACGTAAGATCCTCGAGGCGATCCAATGGAAAATTTGTTGACTTGTCGTAGTGGATACTGGGGTATTGGTGTCGAGAAGCAAGACTATACTGGCTCGTTCTGGGTCAAGGGGGCTTATGATGGTAGCTTCACGACCTCGTTGAAGTCTGACTTTACCAATGAGACATTCGCTACTGCTCAAGTCGTGTCGGCATCCTCTCCTGACGAGTGGGTCCAGCACAACTTCACCCTCACTCCTGCTTCTGCAGCTCCGAGCTCGAACAACTCGTTCTATCTCACATTTGACAAGTCAGGGGTCTCTGGCGACTCCCTTGATTTTACCTTGATCAGTCTCTTCCCTCCCACCTACAAGAACAGACCCAATGGTCTTCGCAAAGATATTGCTGAAGCATTGAAAGAGCTGAACCCAAAGTTCTTGCGCTTCCCTGGTGGTAACAACCTTGAAGGCGATGATCCACCGTACCTCTGGTACTGGAACGAAACGATTGGACCTCTCAAGGACAGACCTGGTCGACCCGGCACTTGGGGCTATCAAAACACAGACGGTCTGGGTCTCATCGAGTACCTCCATTGGTGCGAAGACTTGGAGCTCGAGCCCATTCTCGCAGTTTGGGATGGTTTCTACCTTAGCGGGCCTGTGACACCTCAGGATGAGCTTGGTGTGTGGATTCAGTTTGCCCTTGACGAACTCGAGTTTTTGATGGGATCGACAAGCACCACCTACGGAGCTTTGAGGGCGTCTCTGGGCTACCCGGAGCCATTCCAGATCAACTATGTCGAGGTGAGTACGGTCAAGCTCGTTGGCTTCCAGGGTCAGTTGCTGACATTGAACAGATTGGCAACGAAGATAATCTGGGTGGAGGCAATGCCAGTTATTCCGCGTACCGTCTGCCGATGTTCACAAGCGCTATCAAAGCAGTCTACCCCGACATGACCATAATCGGATCGACACCTACCGTTGACCCTATTCCTGAGCACATCTCTCTTGACTACCACGAATATTCCAGACCTGACAATTTTGTCGAAGAGTTCAATCTGTTTGATCACTACAATAGGAGCCACCCTATCCTGATCGGTAAGTCGAGCGTGGGATACATCAGAGACTGAAGCTGATCTGTTGTAGGCGAGTACGCGGTCATCGAGCCAAACAATGCTACCATGGCTTCGGTGGATTGGACGTCAGGAGCGACCAGACTGGCGTTCCCATCCTGGACAGGCAGTGTTGCCGAAGCAGTCTTCCTCCTTGGAGCCGAACGCAACTCAGACTTTATCATTGGCGCATCGTATGCACCAACTTTGCAGAACCTAAACAGCTACCAATGGACACCGGACATGATCAGCTTCACGGCAGACCCTACAAAGGATGTCTTGTCGACCAGTTGGCATATGCTTCAACTGCTGGGCAATCACATCATGACCGAGACTCTGCCTGTCAGTGGTGGTAAGTTTGGACCGGCCTACTATGTGGCTGGATACAACAACCAGACAGGGTCGCATATACTCAAGACAGCGGTTTACAAGGCTACAGCCGATGTGCCTGTGTCAGTCTCTTTCAAGGGAGTGACTGCTGGCACCACAGCTACATTGACAGTCTTGACGGCACCAAGTGGTGACAGCTACAATGCGGTTGGGGCTCAGGTCGTGCAGTCCACAAACACAAGCATCAAAGCATCTGCTGGTGGTGTGTTCAAGTTCGAGCTTCCCAAGCTCAGTGTAAGTGTACTGGAGGTGCACGGAAGAGCAACATACTGGGCGGGCAGCTGGGGTGGACATCGTGGAGCGTGGGGTCATGGTGGATTCGGCGGATGGACACCTAGCTTTGGCGGATGGGGCAGCTGGAAAGGCACAGGACACAACAAGCGAGAGTTGCGTCAAGGTTACAAGGAGATTGTCTTGTAGCCATGACGCGAAGCTTTGCAGGAGGTGGCATGACGGAGGAACAGGCTAGCCGGCACGAGAGCAGGAAGAACAAGGCTGTGGATTGAGTAAGGTCGAAGTGCCAGTACCAAGTGCCAGGTGTCAATCGTGCGAGATTCGGAATGGAGCAAAGTGATGCTATGTCGGAAAGCTTGCAGGAGTGGTGGAGTAGCAGCCGACTTGTTCATACAGCTCTGCCGAGTGCACGGGGCACATCCGAAAACAGCAGATCCCCGCGTCTCACCCACAGAATGATGCTCCAAGTCCAGCTTTTCTAGTGCAGCATCCGAAGAGACTGAGACGGAGCTCCCGGCACGAGAGGGGAAAAGGACTGGGGAGTGCAAGATGATGACCTTTCGCTCGTGGAACGGACGAGCATGGGCATCGAGAGTCGCGCCAAGGGTGCGGGATGGCGGAAGTGGGCAGAAAGGCAATAGATGATGCTTCATGCCCCTCCTCTGCTACAAGTCTGGCCCAAGTTATAAGTAGCCGGACGCGTGCTTGTAAGTCTTTCAAGCTCAGCCAAGTGTGTCTTGACGTATTCCTCCTTCTTCCTCTCAATCCATCAGTCCACCATCATCATCATCATGGGTCTAGTCGAGCTCCTCCTCACGCCTTACACTCTTCTGGCCATACCCATCGTCTTCTACCTCTTGCCGTACTTGCGAAACTGGTCCATCCGCGATGTGCCGTCGCCATTCCCTGCCGCCTTTAGCAACCTCTGGCTCATGTACCAATGCCGACGAGGCAGACGATACCTCGCCGTAGACGCAGCTCACAAGACCCACGGCAAATTCGTCCGCATCCAGCCTCACCATGTCTCCATCGCAGACCCCGAAGCCATTCCAATTGTCTACGGTCACGGCACCGGCTTTCTCAAGAGCGAGTACTATGACGCTTTTGTCAGCATCCAGCGCGGTCTGTTCAACACACGCGACCGAGCAGAGCACACGAGAAAGAGAAAGACCGTTTCGCACACCTTTAGCTCAAAGAGCATCGGCCAGTTCGAGCAGTACATGCACCACAACCTGGACTTGCTGGTCGAGCAGTGGAACAAAATGTCAAAGCTGGCAGATGGCAAGTACGCCAAGATGGATGCCTTGACCTGGTTCAACTACACGGCCTTTGACATTATTGGAGATCTTGCTTTTGGCGCTCCTTTTGGCATGCTGGAGAAGGGTGCAGACATTGCAGAGATTCGCGAGTCACCAGACGCTCCTCCAAAGTTTGCACCTGCCATTGAGGTACTCAACCGCAGAGGTGAGGTCTCTGGCACCATTGGCTGCTGGCCCTGGATCAAGCCTTATGCCAAATATCTGCCCGATCCCTTCTTCACAAAGGGCGTTCAAGCTGTCCAGAACCTCGCTGGTATCGCTGTCGCACGCGTAAAGCAGCGTCTGGACAATGCCGATAGTATTGATCGCGTGGACCTTCTAGCCCGCCTCATGGAAGGCAAGGACGAGCATGGGAACAGTCTAGGTCGTCAAGAGTTGACCGCAGAAGCGTTGACCCAACTTATCGCCGGCAGCGACACCACCTCGAACACCTCTTGTGCCCTGCTTTACCATTGTCTCGCAACTCCCCATGTAGTCAAGAAGCTGCAGCAAGAACTCGACACCGCAATTCCTCGTGGCACCCAAGTCCCTGTCTTTGAGCAGGTCCGCGATCTACCCTACCTCGAAGCTGTCATCAAGGAGACCATGCGCATCCACAGTACCTCATCTCTCGGCCTGCCCAGAGTTGTTCCTGCTGGTGGTGCAGATGTTTGCGGTAGACACTTCCCTGCAGAGACTGTTCTCAGTGTTCCTGCCTATACCATGCACCACAGCAAGGAAATTTGGGGTCCTGATGCCGACGACTTTAAGCCAGAGAGATGGGAGAAAGTTACCGAAAGGTTAGTCGTGACCCTTGACATTCATGTATACCTCAGATGTCTGTATACTAATATGAGATCTTCTAGACAAAAATTGGCTTTTATTCCCTTCAGCTATGGTCCCCGTGCCTGCGTTGGTCGCAATGTCGCAGAGATGGAGTTGGCTTTGATCGTTGCAACTGTGTTCCACAACTATGACTTTGAACTCTACCAAAAGACACTTGAGACCAGAGAGGGGTTCTTGAGAAAGCCTTTGGAGTGTTGGGTTGGCATGAAAAGGAGAAATGCTGCTTAGATGGTGGTATACGATATGTCTATATGTACGGTACCTAGGCTTTCTGTAGTTACTGATGATCTGAACAACGCATTTTGACAAACAATAATACCTGGCTTGCGAGTATTCACAACAGTAAACGATTGAGCGGTAGATAGATTTTCCCTCACGGTCAGCAAATACCGGCAAGAAGTATCTAGGAAAGACATTGCATTCAATTAGGACTTCATTCGAATTCTATGCAGACACAATGTCTCCGTCTGGTGTGATGAGAGCAGTGTACAAGTTCCTTCGCCCATCACCTTTCTGCGCGGCGAACGCGAAATGGTTGTTGTCAAAAGCGGCGTCTGCTCCACCAGGACCCTTGAGCCCTCCATAGCCTGTGCCAAAGAGGGTGCCCTGCTTCGTGAAGCCAGAAGTAGGTGATGAGCTGGTCGCATACGCAACATCGTAATTCGTGGTAGTGAAGCAGTTGGACGAGTAGAATAGGTAATATGTGTCGCCAGAATGTATCATACTGGGGCCTTCGACCAGCGGACCGTCCTCGGGTGAGTCGTTGGTGATAAGCTCGTACGTGTCGCCCTTTTTCGTCACTCCATCGTTCTCGACTTCTTGGATCAGAATGGGTGTAGAGACAACTGGTTCTACTCCGTTGTTGCAAACTCCACCCTGACCAAGCGAGTTGCTATCGATCTTGTAAAGAACGTAGCGAGTTCCATCAGCGTCTCGGAATCCAGATGCATCGATGGCCCCTCCTTGGTCCGCGGGACAGGCAAAGCTCTCCTCCGATGGCACATACGGGCCGTCAATAGCGTCACTGATCGCAGTGCCAATACAATGGGGGGCATTGGTGTCATACGTAGGTGCGCTGAAGTACAAGAGAAATCTGCCGTCATCCTACGTTTTGTTAGAGCTCACGACCGAACCACTCTTCGGATGTATATACCAAATGGTTGGCATCCGGGGCCCAGACGTGTTTCTTTGAAGCATCTACCCAACTTGGCAGATCGGGTAGCAAATCATAGCCTGGCTGAAGTGTCCATGTCTCGAAGTCTGTCGAAGTCGCAAATTGAATATGTGTATTTTTGTAATCGTACAACGATTGTCCAGCAAAGGCATACCAGACATCTCCGACTCTGAGGATTGAGGGATCAGGGAAGTCGGTCGTGATGTGAGGACCGGACTGAGATCGTTTTTGAAACAATGGAGCTGTGTATGAAGTTTGGAGAAGGACTATCCAGACTAGAGCTAGCGATGCTTGGAATAGGGTCATGGTTTCTGTATGGATGAATGATATAGATAGTTTCGATCTAGACGATGAGGAAGAATGAGCAAGGGACTTTGAGAATGCATTCAAGCTGAGCTGAGGCAAGCGCGAGGCACGGCGGTCTTGTAGATGCCCATCAACAGTACGACGATCGATAGTGCATGCTCTGTCACCACTAGAAGCTAAGAAATTGTGTTTTCAAGCGAGCTTACTCGGACGACACGATCAGCCAAACCTCGCCGTCGCAATGCATATTACAGAACCTCTGAGCAGATCTACATTGCTCGGATAGTGCTTTGGGCATGGCGGATTAGCGAGTTTTACCATAGGAAAGCTCGTCATTTTGATCCGAAAGACCGACCAGACCTGTAAGAATGAGGCGGTTTTCTGTCGAGCTGAGCGAGCTGACATGTCCCCTCGATTGCGAGAGCTTCCCAAGCCACTCGTCGCATGGCGTGAAGATAAGTGAGCATCGCGTGCTCAGCATGCGTCTAATTGATTCGACACGAGAGGGCAGATGGACGATCTCTGCAGGTGTGTTTTCTCTACTTTGAATTGCGGACGAAGGTAGATGTCCTGGTGTATCGGTTGTGGCGGTGATCAAGGCATCTCGCCATAACACAGAAGTGTTGCGACACTCTCAACGATCGAAGTGCGGACGACGAACATATCAAGGCGTGTCGCTCTTCAAAGGTCAAGAGTCGATCTGTCTGTGCGATAATTAGATAGCTCGCTGGCGACAGCCCCGCTTTGCGCCCGCGTTCCCACCGAGAGAGATCCGCAGTTGGAGCTTGGTCGGCAAATGACGCGGGTCAATTTGCGTGACACGAGAGGTGCGAGGTTGCCGACTTGTTGTTCGCTACATCTCTCTCCGCGTGTGTCACTTGTCCTTCCACTGCTATCCCAAAAGCAGCGCACGCGAGTAAATTTGCATCGACTTATACAACTATCGAGTCTTCACAGCGAAGGCTCAACCACAATCAACCATGGGTGTCATTAAGAGTTTGTCCAAAGTGGCCGCGTACGGCACAGTAGCAGGAGTAGGTGGCTGGGCACTATGGACGAGAAAGTCCAACTTTGTTCCCCTGTCGCCAAACGATTACATCTACAACACGACCTTCTTTGCTCGCAACAATCCCGAGAGGAACCCCACGACCAGCGACTTGTGCGTACGCAAGGTGCCGCTGAGCCAGATCAAGGCCGAGTACCTTGAGAAGGAAGGAAAGCTGGTCGAGAAGTTTTGCGCCGGCGTCTGGGGAGGCCTTGGTGAGTAGGAGTAGTGTAATTACAGTCTATCGCACAGCTTCCTGACACGAATCAACAGGCTACGCATACCAACGTCAATACCTCGAGAAGAAGTACCGCGATGCCGACACGGAATCACAGCTCTGGGACACCAAGGCTCTGCAAGAATCCGAATATCCCATCGGTACACAAATCACCGACCACTTCGAAGTCCTCTCCAAAACACCCGAGTCAATCATTGTACGCTGCGGAGACTCGCCTCGCAAGATGGAGGTCAGATCGAGTGACGGACTATTCGAGATGAGAGCAGAGATCAAGCAAGAAGAGGGCGTTGCCGAGTTCCAATTGAAGAGTTGCTTCTACCAGGGCTTGGGCAAGGCAACTGGACAGCCCATGCCTCCACACATCGAGTTCCTCCACAGACAATATACAAAGCTGTGGATGGAGACTGCTATTAGCAACGTCACCCGATGAATGGGATGGCATGTTGGCATATGTACATATCATCAGAATGCATCAGACTATTTTGCGAGCCTTCTCCATATTTGGAGACGTAAAGTGATTTGATGTTATAGCGAAGGACGGAGTGACGGGTGCAAGGCACGTGAAAGCGCAAGCGAAAGCGAAAACGCGTCATGGGTCAAAGCTCCGTGCTTGCTGCCTGAGGTCTCGACCTTTCTCAAACGTCAAAATCATGACTTGATCATGAGTCGGTGAGGCATCGCTCAACTCTTCGGACGACCAATGCCACTCCACTCCACACGCATATCCAGGCAGTATGGGCCAAGGTCGGCCTCGCCGCAGAACGACGCTTGTATCCTCGGACGATGAAGACGACCCGCCCACCATTGCTCAGGCTGACGTAGAAGAGACGGCCACACACGACGAGGTTGCCGAGAGCAAGCCTGGAAGAGTTTCACGGTCCAAGACCAAAGCTCCGGCTTCACTCAAAGCTAATGTCGCCAGGTCGCCAACCAAAGCGCGACCAAAGCGCCAACCGTCAAAGTCCATCGCCGAAGCAAAGCCCAAACGTGAGAACAACAAGTCTATCTTCTCCTTTTTTACTCCCGCTGCACAACGTCACCAAGCCTCATCTCAAGACTCGACAAGCCCACCAGCCTCCGCCGACCCTCTTCCGAAAGACGAGGACATCGACGATGACGTCTCACCCGACGAGGCTGCCCTGTCTCAACCTTCTCGGATTGCTCAGACTCTACGCAAGCGCAAGCTGATCCAGGATGATATTGGATTCAACAACGAAGACGACCCTCCAGTAGCTTCACAGAAGTTCCGTAAAGTCTCGGCTGTGGCTAGACTCCCCACGAAGGCCACGCCCGTCCAGACCGATACAAGGCCATGGACCGAACGCTTTGCCCCTGTCGACTTGTCTGAGCTCGCCGTACACAAGAGGAAAATCACCGATGTCCGCAGCATTCTAGAAAGCGCCTTGTCTGAACGCGCCAGGCCGAGGTTGGTGCTTCTGAAAGGCGCTGCCGGCACGGGCAAGACAACCACTGTCAGTCTTTTGGCGAAAGAGATGGACATTGGCATAATGGAGTGGAAGAGTCCGGTTGGCACAGACTCTGCAAGCGCTGCCTTTACATCGTATTCGAGCCAATTCGAAGATTTTGTCTTTAGAAGTGGCAAGTTCGCTGGTCTCGACCTGGTCAGCAGTAATGGCATCTTCCAGCCGGCTCCTGCCACCAAAAAGGAACATTCGAGACAGGTTATGCTCGTCGAGGAGTTTCCCAACACCTTTGCCAAGGCTTCTCCGGCTCTACAGATCTTCAGAACCACCATCTTGCAATACCTGGCTGCCCCCTCATCGCTTAACCCTACTCCCATGGTGATGATCATTTCGGAAGCCTTGCTCTCGACCACTACCGCTTCAGCCGACAGCTTCACCGCTCATCGTCTGCTAGGTCCTGCCATTCTGAACCACCCCCAGACCGCTGTGGTCGAGTTCAACAACATCGCTCCAACCATCCTTACGAAAGCCTTGGACGCGATTGTCGTCAAGGAGTCTCGGAAGTCAGGACGGCGTTTCGCTCCAGGTCCTGCTGTACTCAAGCACTTGGCTGAAACGGGCGACATCCGAAGTGCTGTGTCTTCTCTCGAGTTCCTATGTCTCGCTGGCGATGAGAGCGGCGCATGGTCAGCGAAGGTCACCTTCACAAAGTCCAAAGGTCGTACGGACGCTTCGATGACCAAGAAGGAACACGAAGCATTGAAATTGATAAGCAACCGAGAAAGCAGCCTCGGCATCTTTCACGCTGTCGGCAGAGTGGTTTACAACAAGCGCATCGATCCTTCTAGTCCTATTCCACAGCCTCCGACGTATTTCCCTCAACATCGAAAACCTAAGGTTCCTGAACACGATCCTAATTATCTGATTGACGAGGTAGGTACAGACACTTCAACATTCGTTGGAGCATTGCAGGAGAATTATGCCTTGTCTTGCTCATCTTCGTCGACCGAGGATGCTATGGACTCACTCAACGGTTGTATTGATGCCTTGTCCGACTTTGACATGCTGTCTTGTGACCGCTTTGGCTTCGGTACCCGAATGTCGGCTGCTACTACTCAAGACAATATTCGACAAGATGACATGTCATTCCAGACCGCAATCCGTGGCATATTGTTTTCGTTACCGACTCCTGTCAACAGGCTAGCAGGACTGCCTCGCGGGGCTAAGCGCGGTGACGAGTTCAAGATGTTCTTTCCTTCTGGCTCCAAGTTGTGGAAGGAAAGAGAACAATTCGAAGGCACGTTGGAAAGCGTGATATCAATCATGCATACGCTGGCTGTAGGCTCAGATTCGGAAAACATTACCGCAAACAAAGAAGGTGTAGCGGCATGGAAGCGGCAGCAAGCATTGGCCACATCTGAAGAGAATAGCCAGGATGCTGTCGCAACAAGTACCCCACTCTCAAACACCCTTCTGAGCTCTGGTGCAAGGATAGAACTGCTGCTCGAGCGTCTTCCTTACGCTGCACAAATCCTGCCTCGCCGAGAAGATATTCCCTCTTTACTCATCTCAGGCATCAACACTTTGACCCATATCTCAGCCTTGAGCTCTGCGTCTACTACGCTTGACGAAGCGGCGTTGGATGCTGTCGAGGATGATGAGGCTGATCTGCAACAATCAGAGTGGACCGATCGTCCGGATGCTGAGTCCGCTGTGACGAAGAGGGGCAAAGGGCGTCAGAAGCAGAAGGTCGAGTACGAGGGGGGCGGACTACATATACCGGTGGAGCATGAGATTGAAGGGCTTGTGCTCAGCGATGATGACATCGAGGACGAATGATACCCTTTGCTAAATACACTTTGTATACGATCATGAATACACGCTTGAACTATGCGTCTCCTTATTCCACTCTATCTGGCGTTGCTTATTCGAGGGTTCTATGCAGAGTGTCTTGCATATCAGGCATGTGTCCCCATGACTGCAGAAACCAACAGCTGCTCACACGAATCCCGATTTGCAAGTGACGACGTGCCTCCCCTTGTGCACAGTACCACACCCTCTCCCTCTCCAATGATCAAAGAAAGGTAACAACAAGCTGTAGAAAGGCATAGTCATATCTCGTAGCGATATTCGACTCGATTTCTCAAAACTTTTTGGCATGTTCCCTCATCCTTGTACTATACCCCTAAGCTTATGTCCCAGTTCCGCTTATCTTTGATTGCTCGGATCTAGCTAATAAATGCTGTTAGCTGGTCCTGCCGATTATAGCATCGGCTCGGTTTTGCGACAAGCAGACATCACAATACAAACTTTATATACTGAGACACCGAGGATTTTTTCATTCTCTGATACACTGGCCGACTTGGCGCAGGGGTAACGCGTCGCACTTGTAATGCGAAGATCGCTTGTTCGATTCAGGCAGCCGGCATAGTCCCCTTGGAGCTTATACTTTTGCGTTTTCTCGCTCCACCATGACTCCTATCTTTGCTTCAACCTTGCAGTTGCAACACCGATCGGTCGAAAGAAAGTATAGAAGGTCCAGGTAGACATCTTCAAGGCGGGTTGCTTCCAGTACAACCCTGTCCTGAGTTATGGAAGTGACTTGGCCACGCGATCACCATCCGACAAGTACGGTTGATGGTATCGACAACTTGATTCTCGAGATTCGTTTTTATCTAATTATCTTGAGAGCGACAACAAGGCTCCAGCGTGCGAAATGCTATAGCCGGGGCGACCAGTGTGCGATATCTTGCTGCTGCGTAGCGTTGGCTGATGACAAAAGGCAAAGAAGAGAAAACAGGTGACATTCCCCAATAAACTCTACAGTAGATATAGATAGGTGGGAGGTTCTTGAGAACTTTCCGTGTCCTAGTAAGAGAACCGGACGGTAGTGAAGCAGCGTTAGGGCGTGTGTCGGATCTTCATGCAAAGCAGCACTCGAAACGACAGTCAGCCGATGGCGAATTGTTCCAAGAGACTCATTTGTGTAGGTGTGAGGAGCACTTGTCCTGTCATGATTGAATGAGCCCCAGATTCAATTTCCAGGGTTGGCAACAACAGGTGGGTCTCTTACCGAGCATGCTAGTCAAGGCTCGGAATCTTTCGCCCTTGAGCTCTTTCTTCGGATCCTTTGCACCATCGTACCAGCTCTCAGTCTTTTCCTTACCAGCGACCAGCCATATGTCTGAATTGACAGGAATCGTCCAGCTTAACAAGAACCTGGGCAGCTGGATCTTACAGAGTGCACCTCTCTGCTGTTGACCGAGTCCGTGAAGAAGAAAACACAGCGCGTCTGACGGCGTCAAAGAGATGACGAGCGACTGCGAGCTCCAGATGTGCTTGAAAGCGAGACGCGAGATGAGGCGGTTGATCAGGAGTAGATTGTATGGGTACCTCGTTACTACGTAGCGCTTGCGACGGGAGACGAAAGGAAACAGGCTTCGGGTCAACGAGCTCACTGTTGGGGCTAGACCGACGGTGATGGGCTCAGTACCAACGCAGAAGAGGACGATATGATCTAAGATCTCCATGGGCATATCGAGAAGGCCTGTCTTATGCAATGAGAGCGGGTGCTGCACGATACACGTGACAAGGTCAGTCATTGGGTGTCTAGGATTTGTTGGTGTCGACACTCGTTGTGCAATGGCAGGCTTCACTTTGGAATGGTGTAGGCGTGAGTAAATCTCAAGGCGACAGATGAATCGTAAAGAGTGAACGACTCAAAGAAAGGGAAGACAGAACGAACTGAGGAGATGGCCGGCCATTTCAAAAAGGTAGGTGCGATCGCCTCTGGATTTCACATAATCAAGAATCAGAACAGGCAACTGCCAGTAGCTTGTGTGGAAGAATGTACTGTGGGTATTCTCCGCTAGCTCCACAACGCGCAAGTACTCTTCAGTGACGGTCGCTCGGTGCGACTCTGAGCCAGGCACTTACAAAGACTTAAACGGATGGAAGAGTGTCAGAAGCATATGTGGGTTCGATGGCACATGGTCTTTTGATGACTCTCAGACCATATTGGTAGGTGCTACGATTTTGAAAGAAAAGCGCAAAGACTCGCATTTCTACGATGCTATCGTGGCCAAAGCGAAAGCCACTGACGGCAACCTCGGTGAAAAGAGGGTGACGTTTTGTACAGCATGAAGACGTCAACAAACCTTGGAAAGACATGGACAGATGACGTTTATTATAATTAGGGGGCAACGCCTAGCTTCCGAATCGCATCTGAGCCTGGGCGTAATTGTACAGACCGCGCAGGAAGACCTGGTATCCAATGCCGGTGTTGTCTGGCACATGGCTGGTAATCAGGACATGTCAGCATTCCAATGGTTCGTGGAGAAATGGGAGCCTCATATCCTGGAAGGTGTGACTTACAAGATCTCTGTGAGTCTTAACTGCCATGGCGGATAGCCCTTCAAGTGGACGCTGTCTGCAAACAACATGAGCAAGTCAGGTTCGCCCATGACACTCTCGGTGAGCTCGGTGTCAAGCAGGTCCATAGAAATGTCCTTTGGAGCCAGTTTGCCTTTTTGCGACATCTCAGCCAATGTCTTTGTCAAATCAACGAGGGTACCACGGCCATCAGAGGCTGACAAAAGCAGGATGGAGAGATGAGGAGGCGATTTTGTAGAGTCGGCATGGCCAGTTGATTTTGGCGAGGCAGGCGGCGAGAAAGACTGCATGTGTGGAGCGCCCAGCGAAAGGGTAGGCTTGTTCGGATTGTCGTGACCGAAATAAGCAGCCAAGGTGCGCGAGATGCGGCGGTGTACGAGTGGCAAAGACTGCTTGAGCACGCCTATAAGCGGTTAGACAGAGGACGTGGCCAGGGAGGACGGGCCGCGGTACCAGAAGGCTCGTAGATGCTCAACAAGGGGACACGTGCGCAGGCGGACCAAGCAGCGACCTCACAAACATTGTGGATCAGGGACTCCAGACTGTTGTTGTCGTGTCTGTCATGGTCGAGTTCCAGTATGATTGACAAGTGCTTCGGCAGCTTCTTCAAGCGGTGGACATCCTTCTGTATGTACTCGGGAGTCCGATGGTGATAGTACAGCACGGCAAAGATACGGTCGATGAGAGTGTGGTACGCGACGCGAAAGCGGTGGTAGACGGAGAAGGCGAAGTGGATGAGGTTGTACAGGGCGAGGTGCAAGGCAGCCTTGATCAGCTGGCGGAGAGGCTGCGAGCGCTGGTGCTGGCGAGCTGAGGCATCGGGAAGATACGGTTGTAGCAGTCGTTCGCGTTCCTGTGCCGACAGTGGCCGTCCGTCAGAGCCGACGTTTGTACGAAAGGCCTCTTGTTTGACTGGTCCGACCATTGTGCATGCATTGGGAGGCCCATTGGAAGGGTGGACTGGCAAGCTAAATAAAAGCAGGCAGGAGCAACGTCAGTGTCAAGCTTGGCCCATCCGACGCGTCTCCACCGGCACCCCCTCGTCCCTGCCCGCCCCGCTGCCACGCCGGTGTTTTGTATAGCCATTTCCCCTAACACACCAACTGACATGGTCGTGTCCGAAGAAGAGTAGCGCGCGAGCAAGACGACCGCAATGCCTTCCGCTGCCGACAACGCCTCCATCTTTTCGGGCATCTCGGCTGCTCCGTCCCGCTTTGGCACTTCGCGACAGCCTCAGTTCACCCTGGACACCTTTTCCAGTCAAGACTTCATTGTCAAGGACTTTATCGAAGCTCTGTCTGATGCTGCAATCCCTCCGAGTCGCCGTACCGGCCCGCAAGCCGTCGCTTTCGATCCGAAACCCCTGATCCGCACCTTCGAACAGGCCCTCAATAGACTGAAGCTCTTGAGTGAAGACCTCGAGGTGCAAGAGAACGAACTGTCTGGCGGCGTTAGACGAGCAGAGGCTGTGCACAACCAGAATGTCCAAGCTAGAGAAAGGGAACTCGAACGCGCAGTCGACTCTTTCCATCGCCTAGAGAGAAGTCTGGACAATGGTGATCAAGGCGGGAATGCCGCCGTCAGAATAGGAGAACGTCTCGACGAGTTGGATCGCCAGAGTCAGCGCGCTCAGGATGCCAAATTCATATTGCAGTGCTGGATCGATGTGAGCGAGCGTCGTGATCTGTCCAGTCTTGACGACGTCAGAAGACTTCAAGGTGGTGAAGGGAAACTGCGTTGTGCTCATATAGCTCGTCAGTTGCTCAAGATCAGCCAACGTCTCGACTCATCCACTTCGCACTCTAACGGTGATGCTACGAATGGCAATGACACCCCGACCGAGCTGATCGAGAAGTTCTTGGAGTCTCTGGAGAAAGATCTACTTAAACAATTCGATGACTTTTACCGACGTCAGAACTTTGATGGCATGAGAGAGTGTGCCGTCGCCCTAAAAGACTTTGGCGATGGTGCTAGCGTCATGGGACTCTTCGTCAACCAACACCAGTTCTTTATTGATCGCAGCCAGCTCATCACAGAAGACCTAGCCGCCGATCCAGAGACATGGGAACGTCTTGCTGACCCTGATACAGAACCTCCTGGTGTCGAGCCGAGTTTGCAGAGTCTGGTAGACGAAGTGAAGCTTGTCGTCCAAGAGGAGAGCTTCATCATCAAGAAGGCGTTCCCCTTCCATGAAGAAGTTTTGGTGCGCTTCTTACAGAGGATCTTCCAGCAGTCCATTCAGCAAAAGCTTGAGATGGTCCTTGATAAGGCGGACTCTGTCTCTTCTTTGGCCTTCTTACGATCATTGCAAGCCAGCAGGAGCTACATCTCTGCCTTGGTTGAGGACCTGAAAGCACATGGTCTGACTGAGCATCCAGAACCAGCATCTGCGCAGACTGCCGCCGTCCTTGACCAGCAGCTTGAGGACCTCTTCATACCCTATTTCTCGGGCTCATCCTACATTGAGCGTGAAAAGAGAAGCTTAGAAGAGCTCTACGCGTCCCTTCTGTTCAAATTTACAACCTATCATACCCGTCGACGAAAGATGCCAACGTCTTATCTCGGCTCTCTCTCTGCTCGCAGTAGGGAGCTCATCTCATCAACACGCGACACATATCTCGATAAGCTCGAGAACTCCGACATTCCAGCCTCCCAAAAGTCCACGCTACTGCGTATTGCGGGCCTCAATCCTAATGCCAGCCACACGCATAATAGAAACGACGTCGATGTGTCCGAGGAAGATGGTGCACTAAGCTTGCCATTCATCAAACGCATGCTCAAGTGGCTGGCTGAGAGTGTGGGTCGAGGTCTCGAGTTGGCCAACGGACACGAAACCCCAAAAGACGTGCGAGAACTGCTAGGATTGCTCATCGCGAATATGGGCGAAATATATCTCGAAACAGCGCTGGACGCCGTGACAGAATCAGCAACCGCAGCAGAGAGTAGCACAAAGACCGAGCCAGATTTTGGACATCTCGTTGACCTCCGCAGCGCAGTCAGCATCCTACATCTCCTCCTTGCTACGATCCAGACCCTTCTTCTGCCACTAGCAGCCAGTAACCTTACCATCCGCCGCGATCTTGACAAGACTACAAATTCCTTCATTGACCGTAGCGAGCTCAAGATTGATACCGTCTTGCAAAAAACCATTGATGCGACTTTATCATATTCTTCACGAATTCTCTCCCAGCAGAAGAAAACAGACTTCCGACCTCGTGACGACGCTCTGCTGCAACTAGATCAGCTCCAAACACCGACTTGTCTTGCCCTGTTCAACTTTCTGACAAAGGTTCATACCAGAGCGGAAACAGCACTATCTGGCAAGGTGCTGGAGAATTTCCTCTTGGAGCTGGCATTAGGCGTGCGCGCTCTTCTTCTCAACCATTTCAGAAGCTATCCAGTTTCTCTAACTGGTGGACTCATCGTGTCCAAAGACATGGCCAAGTACATCGAATTACTGAAGTCTTGGAAATTACCCCAGCCCTTCAAAGAGAGTCTTGAAGTCCTGACAGAGATTGCGAATCTGTTCGTCATTGGGCCCGAGGCTCTGAGAGACAGAGTTAAAGGTCTAGATGAGGCAGGTACCACGAATGGAGCTGAGAAGGGCAACGGAAGTAGGATTGAAAAGGCTGATGTAAAGCCATTCATCTTGATGAGAGAAGATGCTAAGAGCATTGGCGTCCAGAGTGTTCTGGGACTTTAGAAAGTAGAGCGTAGCGCTTGCATCATGATACCCATTTTTTCTTTTCGTTCTCGAACTGCCTCGTCCGTTTACCTATGTTTGTTTGTATGCTTCAAGTGACTTGCTCGTTTCTTCGTGCTGGTGTCTCTTCCGAAAACATGCCAAGCAACGCCTACTTGGCTATTTGTCACTCAGATCGAATCGTCAGATCGCGAAGTCGTTTTGTTGGATCATGCTGCTCCTGCACTTCTTCGTTTTCCACCATCTGCATCTGACCGACGTTAGTCGTGCAATTGACGTTTTCGGCATGCGCACAAGTCTTGGTAAACTCTCAGTACGCTGCCCTTTCTGGGATGAATCATGCCACCACGCGACATGTGTACCGTCTAAGCGCCTTATACATGACAGGATCATGAATCAGTGTAGACATCATGCAGGTACGGCATCATGTTGTAGTGTTTTGCAAGATAGGCTTCTCTTGAGAACAGGGCTTGTCTAGCAAAGCCTATTCCCATTCACACGGTTCACGATCGAAGTAGAAATTGGTATGTTCATTCGGAAGCATCGGCGAGTCTCCAGCGTTTCACCTCGATAGTGACGTAAGTCATTGTTTTGTTGCTGCCATTGCGAATGTTCAAAACATTGGACTATCGGATTCCTGCCTCTTCCTCTAACTCATATCCATCTTGATCCATTGAGCCGTGTGGTCACCAATCCCTCCTCGCCATACAAGCAGCCATCTCCGCATCCTCGAGCACAAAGACCACAACCACATACCGAAACATGTTCAACTCATCCTTCTCATACTCGTCAGAGCAACCGTTGTCAAGAGCGGCCTCCGACAACATCGCACTCAAGCTCATGCACGATGTGGATATTATCATGCATCTGAATCCGGATTGTAAGGGACTCAAACTCGTGTCGGACCCATCAGCAATGCCGCAAGAATACAAGGTCGAAGACAGCCTAGCATTCGTACCGAAGAAGCTATGGAGCGGAGGTGTCTGGTACACAGCTTTCTTCCAACCTGTCGAGGATGGTTGCGACATTACAATCCAAGCCCCCGGTGGCTTCAACTCGACCAACAAATGGCGATTGGTCAAGAAAGCGGACGGGACACGAAGTATTGCAATTACTAGCGATGCAAAGTGTAGCAAGACGTTCGCCTACTTTGTCAAGAAGTTTCTAGAGAGTCAGCATGGTCAACTACAGCGCACTTTCAACGAACGGGTCGAGTCAGTCGCAAGGCCAGGAATACCTCGACGCAGGTCGTCGATGCCTGGATCATTCAGAACCATGGGCAGTGCTCGAGACATGGTAGCTGTATAGAAACGGAACAATACGCAAATTATTGATGTATAGCAGGCTTGCATCAGGCGGCGATGAATATTTGTCGAGAGGGAGGTTTTCTGGAATCAGGCCAGAATTGCAAGGTCTTTGTTGCTGTACATGTCACGACTTTCACGATTATGGTAATATTAATTCACATTAACACGATTTATTTCCCTGTCAGATGGAGCCAAGTTTTGGCCAATGAAGGCACTGTAGGGCTTTGTGATCGACTGTGCACATGTTGCCTAAAACGGCATGGATACGAGCAGACAGCGAGCGATCTCGGCAGTATATGACTTCCATGCGTCAATCGCAGCATGGAAGGCAGGCTGCATACAGCAACTTGACAAGACGACAAGGGAGTCACAAGGTGCAACAAGATTGGCTGTTTGCGACAGGTGCTAAGCAAGAGTCAACGATGATGCAAATTCCAAAGATGGCAAAGTCAGATCAGCATGGCCTTCCAACGGTCGCCTGATGGCACCTTCCACGGCAAGTGGCCCGTTGCCGCGACAAGAGACCAGGCCTTGATGGTACAAGTAGGGATGTGCAGCCGAGGCTTGTAAAGTGGAGTTTCCCTTTCCAGAGTATGCAACATCAGTGACACTGCGGCTATGACACGCGGTCGCTGATAAATCTACACTCGTGCTGCCAAAGTCGACCAGTGCATGAAAGGCTCGCCGTCACCCAAACACGACTCTGGCAACCCTCTGTCGGCCTTGCACCAAGAACTAATGCGCGCGGAAGACGAGTGTCGGAGCGAAAACTCTTGCGCTGCAAGCCTCGTCGTCAATGCAGTCATCCAACAAGGCAGAGAGTGGCGGACTCAACTTTGTCTTTGAATCGGGCTCCTCTGGTCGCGAGAACAAGAAGTATGTGAGATCGCATGCTGCAAGAGTCGGCTGGTCGCAAAGAAGTCGCAAGCAGGCCCAATCGCCCAAAGACTTCATTGCCGTCACTCCAGACTCGACGAGCAAGAAGCGTCGCAAAACCACGCACCAGGACGCCAAAGCTGGACACGTCCAACACCAAGACCATCAGACTCCCCCGACGTTGGACAACAGACCTGTCAGCTATCAAGTCGAAGCTGCTCCTTCCAGAACTCCTCGAAGCCCCTCTTCTGTAATCACACATGTTTCGCCTCGACATGGTCCGGCAAGCGAGCCTCACTTCACTGCATACTCGGCCGCACATCCCTATGCCTCGACCATCCTTGCTCAACCCTATGCCTCCGCTCCAGCTCCATCATTGTCGCCCTCTTACCACCAACAGAGTCGTGGTCACGTAGCTTCTGTACACGCTCAAGAGGTGGAAGCGAGCCGTCCGACACGACCACCAACAAGCGCTGCTTCACCCTTCCCCCCTCAAGGCGCATACTCGCCATACTCGCCACACCACGCGGGCCCGGACTCTGTCCAGCATGAATCCGTATCACAGCATTCGATGGTGCCGCACTTTCGGCCGGCTGCATCAAATACGTCAATGCACTCGCGACATGTCATGCCAGCAGCCGACATCCTTCGCCCTGTACCACCCATCAGCCCTTTACCTTCTCCACGACTGCCGCCTTTTGCAAACGTCTACGACCCTCGACCGACCTTGATAGGCGCCAATTGGAGACAGTACGACAACATGCCTGCCACGAGCCTCGACTCCTCCCAAACTGCCACGACCGCTCCGCAGACTCCCATGAGACACGACGACATCAGTGCTGCCTCTGTAAGCACATCACCTCGGTCGTCACCAAAGAGAAAGGCCGCGCCTGCCTTCCTCGAACTTGTCCTGAACGAGGACTACCCGATGTGGAAGACTGTGGATTCTGGCAGCAACTCGTTCAACGTGTTCCCCGTCAAGTGGCAGCCGTTCTATGGCCGCCTTCTCCAGAACTGTGAGTCTATCACAGGGTCCTTGTCCCACACCGCGTGTGCTAATCATGCATCAGATCGCTCCAACATGCTAGTCCAGCTTGACGAGATTCTGACCGGCTGGACTGTCGATGAGAAAATAGAATTCAATCAGATGCCTCTACGCCTGGCCGGCTCCGAGCCCTCGCTCTTCTACTCGCTGCTCTCCACCGCCGCCGTCATGATGCCACCCGGTCTCATCTCTCCCACCATACCAAAGTGGCTCCAGACCCGCACCGTGGAGTGCCTCAACCAAGCCTTTACCGACCCAAAACGCGCCTACAGTGACGCAACCATTCTAGCACTCAACATGGTCGCCCTCTTTGAGAGCACTAGTGGAAACTCAAACGTCACCGCTCGCACCCATCAACCGGTCCTCCGTAGAATGGTGGACGAACGCGGTGGTCTGGGCGCAATTGCTGCTAGAGACAGCATGGACTCGAGGAACTTTGTCCGCTTTCTGGCTTGGACGGATCGTGTCATCAAGTGTCAGACTGGCAATCAACTGATTTTTGAGGACTTTAAAGAGGAGCCGTCTGTGGCAAAGACGAACTGGGAAGACATTTGGGCGAGGATGGAGAGGAGAGTTGAGGATAATGCGCCTGAGCCTATCGAGGAGTTGCCCGATGCTGAGTGACACATCATCTCAAGTCATGGAGGAGAATGAAGTGGAGTCTCTGGAGTTTGGCTGCTTGCTAATGTGTTGTGGGATCTTTTGTTTTTCCTTCTTCTGCTCTCTTTTCGCTCTTTCTTACTCTTTGCTTGTCGATCGTTGGTTTTGCTTTGTAATTTGATGAATTTGTGGAATGGATGTGGTCGCTACTCGTACATATATATACCAAGAGATACCCCGGAGAAATACCAAATTGTAGTTGCTTTTTCTAAATCACTTTGCTTTGAAGAGTTTCTACGAGTCTTACTCTGATTCTACTTGTGAGATTCTACTTGTGAGGTTGAAGACAGCACATCGACCATCGAATTAGCCAATCACTTCTACACCACCACCGTCAACTCTAAGAACCATATCCCTACCCTTCCTCACCCTCTCCCCTAGATCTTTGACACTATGTGTGATCATCAATACAGTGAATCCTCTTTGCGAAAACTGCTCCTCTACAACTCTAGCACACAACTCTTGTAATTCTGCATCTAGAGATGCTGCTGCTTCATCTAGGAGGATGATCGGTTTCCTGCCGTTCCTGATAGCATTGTTTACTTGTAGCACTGCGCGGGCTAGAGATAGCAATTGTGATTTTCCGGATGAGAGGGGTGGGAAGAACGACAGAGGCAGGTCCAGGGGCGATGTAAGGGTAGAAGTGGAAGTGTCTGGGTACAGTGTAAAATGAGAAGTCAAATGCAAAAGCTCCAATACATTCAAAAGCTCTGCATCAGAATGTCTAGCGTAGGGATCGAGATCCTTCCGTAAAGAGACAGAGGGAAGATGGAATGATTCTTGAGGTACAGCGATGAAACAGCGAGATCGCAAGAGGGAAGGCGATGCGTTTGTGATTTCCTTGTCGTCGATGAAGATGGAACCGGTTTGGATGATGCAGAGTTTCAAGAGTGCCATTAGGAGTGTGCTTTTTCCACTGCCTGTTTTGCCGCAGATGAAGACTTTTTCGCCGGATGGGATGGCGAGATTGATGTTGTTGAGGACCGTATGAGGGCCGTAACATACTCGCACATTCTTGAGTGTAAGTGCTCCTGCAGACGGCCAATTGGATGGAACGACAATGTCAACAGCAAGGTTGTCCTCCTTTGGCACCGTGTCTTCCAATTCCTTCAACCTCGCAGCAGCACCGACAGAAACCTCCAATGTCGTCCACGACTCCACCAATCTCAACAAAGTCGTATTGGCAACCAAGACAATATTGAGTGCAATACCCACATCAGCACTTGACTTCTCGCCAGTGTAGAAGACTGCAAGACCGATGACCACAATGGCAACCACAGCAACAGCCAAGTCAAGAACAACATTTAACCAACGTTGTAGGCAAAGAAAAAGGTAGAATGCCCGCTGCGAGAGATCCAGACTTTCGGTGTTCCGAGCCAGATGATCTTTCTGCCATCCAAAAGCTCTGATGGTGGTTAATCCCTCGACCGTCTCTAGAAAGCTCGAGTAGACTGCAGATCTAGATTCTAGCTCCAGATATCTGAGCTGTCGCGAAGTACGTAGATATACCCTTTGAATCACATAAACGGCGATTGAGTAGATTGGCAGGGCAAAAATCAGTAGCTTCTGGCTTGCAAGAAGAAGCGAGCACTGCATCAGAAGCTTGAAGATCTGAGTACACAATGCAGCCAATGCCGAAGGAAGGTCTCTATCAATCACTTCGATATCTTGACTGAACCTATTGACGATTGCTCCGGTATCGTTGTTCAGGAACCAAGATAAGGGTGCTTCTAGCACAGTGCTCAAGAGACTGGCATGGAGAACTTTCCCAGACCTTGGAGCAAGCTTCATAAAGTTGACCCACATCTGTGCGCTGGTAGAGATCCAAGCGATGGTGGAAAGGGCTAGATAGCCGAATGTGTAGAAGGTGTCGTTCGTGGTCCCTGCTTCAGTCCACCACTTCAACCAGTATTGAGGGAAGATTGAAAAGAAGGAGTACAATGCCGTACATACTAAGAGAGCAAGCATGTTGGAGATACCGACTGATCGTAGATAGTACCCATAGACTGACATGTCTCCAGGTCTTCTGTCGACATCAAGCTCATTGTCTATGGTAGCAAGCTTCTGCTCTGTGACAAGCGAAGATTGTGTCTTTTCATTATGGATCTCAGTCTTCCCATACTCGTGAAGAGCCAGACGTGTCATGCTAAGATGCGATCGCAAGCCGTCCGAGTCACCATCGAATTCGATTTGACGTTGACCCAAGAGAAGGATCCTATCTGCAAGGAAGTATGCCCTCGTAGCATTCGTGGTCAGAAACACAGTCGTATGTGACTCCCTGAGCAGACCAGCAGGTCCAATGAGGTTATTGATTACGCTGTCTTGAGTGCGTTGATCGAGGGCGGAAAATGGATCGTCGAGGATCAGAATTTCACATCGCTGATATACAGCACGGGCTAGTGAGATTCTTTGTTTCTGACCGCCTGAGAGACTCGCAGAACCGTTTCTACCCCTCTTCGGGGCGAGATTGTGATGCATGGCTTCGTCTATGCAGCAAGCGTCGACAACTCTCTGATACCAAGCATCATCGTATACTTCAGATGTTCTAGGGGTACCCCTGATGATCTCTGGAACGCTCTGTCCAGAAAGCCATGGCGATTGAGCGCATAGCGCGGTCTGCTTGCTGATTACAGATATCGACCCTCCCGAGGGCCGCACCTCTCCTGCAATTGTTAGGCCAAGCAAGCTCTTTCCTACTCCAGTTGGACCAGTGCATATGACAATAGATCCTTTGCTGATGCGTAAATTGACATCTTCCAGTATAGCTTCCGTAGCGTCTGTCAATTTCAGATCGACATTGTCGAACTCGATCGCAGTTTCTGATCGCCCAAGCAAAAGGCGAGTATCGTGATGACCAGGTTTGGCGATAAAACTTTGGATCCTTTGGAAACTGGCCAGAGATGCTATTGCTCTAGGCACGATGGTCATGATCATGTTAGCCGGATGTGTTACCATCACCAAGATTGCTAATGTCGTGTAAGCCGTCTCAGCGTCGAGTCTCGACTTGCTCAGCGCCGCGAACAGAACTATGGTGATTGGAGGAGTGAAGAGTCCAAGCGCATTTGCTATCTCTGTTAGGCGCCATGTCTTCTAAAGCCTTTGTAATCCGTATCGCGTACCACTGGTGTTTGCGAGTACAGACACCCATCGCATGTCTTTCGAAGCATCAATCTCTGATCGCCTTAGATCGCTGATCCGAGTCTCGATGAATTCTGCCAGACCAATCATTTTGATGAGCTTGATTCTACCAATCGTGGTGACGATATTGTTTATTCGGTCTTGAGTAGCTTGGTTCCATGCGTGTTGTCTAGGTCGCAGATTTGGTGCGACGTATCGAGTCATATGCGAGCAGCCTGCAGAGGTGGTCAACGAGTGTCCCACAGCTTGATAGTACATGTCAACTGACTATATATTAGTGGCAGGGAAACAAGACAAAACCATCCGATATGTTGGGCCAGCAGGATCATGCCGACTATAACTTCCAGCACCTGAGCCCAAGCCTCGTGAAACAATCCACTGACGTTGCCGAGAGCATCAGTGTCAGTGCTCATGAGGGTGACAGCACTGTAGTCTTTGTACGCAGCTGAGGGCAGATTGATGGTCTTGTCGTAGATGAGTCCGACGAGTGCGGCTCTAGTCATGACCTTGAGACGGTTGAGCTGGTGCTGGTATCTTGACGAGACGATCTTTTTAGGTGTTAGTCTAATGACATTACGAACCATGGAGATGATTATCTCACAGCTTGTCCAATATACAGTACTGTCGAGATGATCACTATCGTGCATGAGAGCTCGTATGATTGCCCACCCAAGGCATTGGCGGCGAGCAGCTGCAAAATTTTGCTTATCAGAAGAGGTTGAGCATATCGGAACACAATGAGCAAAAGTCTTGTAGGTGCGATGGTTACGAAATCTGGCAAGAGACACTGTAGTAGAGTAAGAGGCAACGTCAATTGTCCTTCTGGCTTTGCTGTACAACGTTGTCAGCTTTGACATGCCTGGTGTTGCGTAGTAGCTACCTCGCTGGTCCCATGCTTCCAGGATCTTCTGACGCAAGAGTGCAGGGTCGAGTCGGCGAGGGGCTTGAGGCAACGACCAGAGTGAAAATGTAAGGGTTTGTTGTACAAACAGCAATGGGTTGATCCAAGCAAAGCTTACTTTGCTCCAAGGTCCGGATGCATCTTCAGGTGCTATGTCCTGGTATTCTGCTAATAGGAAGCCCCTTTTGCTCCGAGACTCGACGACGAGATCTGCTGCCTCCAGGAATGCTTTCAGTGCAACAACTATCAAAGGCAATTTTCCTCGCATAAAAGGTAGGATAAAGATACTCGTCGTTGTTCTAACAGATAGATAAACAACCAGCAATGTCGATGGCCCTACCGAGCGGTCATGTTCCCGAGGCGATAAGATTGAGAGAGCAATAATTGCAACAAGGTGGATTGCTTCCGACACAGCAAGGTTGAGCTTTAGTGGTCCGGACGCAGATATGCCCACAATACAAGATTGGGCGACAATCAAGGCTGAATTGAGCAACTTGACCTTTGCGTAAGTGTCTCACTCTACACGACATTCGGAGCCAAGAGACTTACGACTTTTGCATCACCATGTCTGTTGGACCCGATCTTGATGGATGCCTTTTGTAGCTCGCGCCATCGAAAGTACACAGCGACGATGAGGTAGAGCGATGCCAAGACAGACGAGATGTATAGACCTCGTGGCAGACGGGGATACGTCTCGGCGTCCATCAGAGAGTTGACATAGTGGGAGTACATGATGATAGACATTCTCGCATTCGAAGAGAGTAACACGTTATGCGCCTTCAGAGGGTCTTCCTAGAACATCTCGACATGCATACTTCTTCCAAACAAAGTAAATGGCGACATGGTAGGATCGATGATGAACGGTTGATGCCGAGGACACCTGCCTATCGCAGCGACGTGCCCCTAAGGATAGCGACAGCGCTAATTCGGAGAAATGTATAGATGCAATCTGAAGATGAGGTGTGGGCCGCGCGGGAGCATACTAAGGCTCCCAGTCTATGGGTACCATCGCATGGCATTGATTGAGATTGATGGCGGGTAAGAAGATGACGCGAGTCAGTGGAGATGCGGCGTTGACGGCAGCGAAATGTCGATCCCGAGTGACAAAAGTCGAGGCATTTGACGCGAGAGTGTCGTAGCTCTAGTGGCATGCAAAAGACAAAGCCATCTACCAGACCAACTTTGTAATGTCAGACATTCCTGTAGCCTCTGAAGTGCCTGACGAAGAGGAAGAGGCGCTTCAGAAGTTTCTTGGAACGACATCCTTTGGCAAACAAACGAAAGGCGCCGAGGTCAACAACAGATTCGAGCAGAGTAAAAGGTCGCAGCCCGTCATCTCACAAGGCGACAAGAAGACCAAGCGCGACGAAGACGACGACGACGACTCGGACGAATCAGACGAAGAAGATGAATGTCCCGTGTCGCACGAGATGGTCTTCAAAACTCACGACCGCGCCGTCACATCCATCACGTTGGACGCTTCAGGAGGACGCCTGGTGACGGGCTCAAGCGATTGCACCCTCAAGTTCCACGACTTTGCCTCCCTCACGCCCTCCACCATTCGCGCCTTCAAGTCCGTCGATCCCTCGTCTGTCAAAGGCTCTGCCTCGTCCGAGACTCATCCCGTCCAGCACGTCGAGTTCAATCCCATCGCACCATCCACCATGCTGGCCATTACCGCCCATCCCCAGCCGCGCATTCTTGATCGCAATGGAGAAACAATCGCCGAGTTTGTCAAAGGCGACATGTATCTACGCGACATGCACCACACCAAGGGCCATATTTCTGAAGTCACCTGCGGCGTCTGGCATCCGCAAGATCGAAACATTTGCGCCACTGGAGGAACAGACAGCACCGTCCGCATCTGGGACATCAACAACCCGAGACAGCAAAAGACTGTCATAGTCCACAAGTCTAGAGCTGCCGGCTCTGCTGGAAGGACGCGGATTACTGCTCTGTCTTGGGCTGCGACCGCTCAATCAAACCTCCTTGTTGCTGCTGCTCTTGATGGCAGTCTAGTCATGTGGGATGCTAACGGGCCCTATACAAGACCTGCCGCTGAGATTCGCGATGCACATAAGAAAGACACCTGGACTAGTGGCCTGCAGCTCAGCTCTACCGGTCAGCTTGTCATTACCCGTGGAGGCGACAATACTATCAAGCTATGGGATACTCGGAAGTTCAAAACACCTCTCAGAACTGTCGACTTCCCATCAATCTCTGATCAATACCCTACCTCGAACATCTGTTTCTCGCCAAGAGGTACTGAATTGCTCACTGGCTCTGCAAACGGTGACCTCCACATTCTCAACTCTGCGACTCTCAGATCAGAGTTAGTCACTCCCATAACACCAGGCTCCGCTATAATCAGCGTCTACTGGCACAAGGAGCTGAACCAAATTATAACCGGTTCAGCCAACGGTGAGACCCATGTCCTCTACAATCCTAACCTGTCCCAAGGTGGTGCAAAGACTGTCATGCTCAAGGCTCCAAAGCGTCGTCACATTGATGACGATCCAAATCTGACCATGGATCTCTCTCACGGTATCGGTGGTGATGCTGTCATTCTTCCTGGAGGCTCTGCTCCATCAGCTGCGTCCTTTGCAGCAAGACACCCTACCATTGGTCTCACAGCTTCCGGTAAATCAAGGGACCCTAGACGGCCGCACATCCCCAATACCACACCTTTCGCAAAGAGTAATGCAGATGCAGCTTACATCAAGGAACACATTCCGCTCAGCGGTATGCGCGAGGAAGATCCGAGAGAAGCCCTTCTCAAGTACGCAGACAAGGCCAAGAACGATCCTCTGTTCACAAACGCCTGGGCTACAACTCAGCCAAAGACGATATATGCTGATCTCAGTGATGAGGAAGAGGATGGGCCAGACAAGAAAAAGGCCAAACGATGAGCATTTGATCATAATCACCACCTGTAACGACTAACCCAAAAAATACTTCATGATACCCAATCCAGATAGCGCTGTGGAAGCCCTTTTTGATTTCTGAAACATATGTTTGACAAAAATGCGTGACTGCTTGCACTTGCATCATACAAAACCCTGGCCAGACGGCCCGATAACGCCATTGAGGCTTTCACGGTCTTATCGTCGCGGCCCCACTTTCTTTTGTGTTGACAGCGCCCAACAACCATACAGATTGCTGGGAGTTGCCATGTGGTGACTTGTTTTATCTACACAATTCCATCATCAAGCGGCTCTTCCATGCGAAAACTTTCGTCTCCTTTTGTCACATCTTTTCAATCCATCAACGAAAATCTCACGACTACCACGACGATCTTCTGACCATTTTTGCCAAGCTCGAGGAATAGCTTGCTCCCCAGCCACAGTCCACTAGGGTCAATCCGATCGACACAGCTCTGCGCAACCGCGAACGCGACACGATGAACAAAAACGCTATTGAAGGAAAGGTCGTCTTTCTCACTGGAGCTGGATCCGGTATTGGGAGAGCGACGGCATTGAAACTCAGCAAACTCGGAGCACGACTCGCACTCAGCGATCTCAACATTGAATCATGTCGAGAAACTGCCAAGCAATGCGCCGGAGGACCTCATCAAGTCACCCTGCTCAATGTGGCCGAATACAAGCGATGCATTGATACCGTCAAGGATGCGATAGGCTACTTTGGCCGTATAGACCATGTCTTCAACTGTGCGGGTATCAACCCCACTGCAAGAGATCTGGTCGACTGCAGTGAAGATTACTTTGACAAGCTCGTTGCTGTCAACCTCAAAGGTGTCTATAACGTCACGAAAGCCACCATCCCATACCTCAGATCTGGAAGCGCAATTGTAAACGTCTCATCTATCTGTGGCGTCCATCCTCATAAGCAAATGGCCATTTACTGCGCAACAAAATACGCCATCATCGGCTTCTCGAAGTCTATGGCTCTGGAGCTCGGTCCCAAGGGTATTCGTGTTAATGTCGTTGCTCCGGGATATATCGAGACACCAACAAATGCTAGCGTCATGGCTGGCGAGGAGGCTCTGAAGAAAACCGTCGAGCAAGTGGCTATAGGCCGTATGGGCAAGGCTGGCGAGATTGCAGATGTCGTAGCCTTCCTCATGGGTGATGAAAGCAGATACATGAATGGATCTGTTGTCGAAGTCAACGGTGGTACCGGATAGACGATATGATGCTTGGACTTTTTATGCGTTCAGTTGGTTTTGTCTAATTCTATGTTTGGTTTCGTTTGTTGATGGAGCTTAGGAGTAGGGCGATCGGAAAGAAGCAAGCATGTTATGACAGGTTGCGATTTGTGTCAAAAGTTCTGTTATGTATCTCGGTTACCTCGATGTCGACTTTGGCAACACATCCATTACAATATCTCACTCATTGGTCCCGGCCACGTGCTGCAGAGTCGTGAGTCTAAGGAATGGTTTTGCCGCAAAAGTCTTCAAGAGTTGCGGCAGCAAAGACCGGCGTCAATATCTCAGGAAGGTACCACACAGCTTCGAGCAAAGTTCGGGGGGCAGGAGACAACCACAGTCCTTCCTACATCTCCCATCCCTCCCGAGGATGCTAGATCACAATAGCCCGATTCCATCAACAAAAGCAGCGGTGGTCCAGTGGTCAAGACGCCTCACTCCCATGTCTTGCAAACACAAGCGTCCCGAAAATCTGATGATGGCTGTATGTTATGCATATTACCGAGGATGACTAGGTATTGAGGAGATCGTGAGTTCGAATCTCGCTCGCTGCATATCCTTTTTGCTTACTGTGAAGCTGTGCAATTGAAGAAAGCTACTTGAACGGTTATGTCATCTCTCACCTCCCGTGAGAATGGCGTGCTGGTTGCGAGTCGAGCTGCTATCAGTTCGTGATCGTTTCCGCCCAATGAGTTTCGCATCAGGTGTACGGCTGCATTGTTGTCTTGTATTGTTGTTCTCCCTTCTTCGAACTCCCACTTTACATCACTACCAAAGTCGAACGGCACACGAGTTTGCTCTGGCTTGCTGTGCACTGTCGCATTCGCTTGAGGTTGTTCCAACCATCTGCCAACCAAGTTTACGGCTTGCTTATTCGTAAGATTGTCCCATAGACCGTCTGTCCCCAAAATCAAGAAGGAAGGCTTCTTCGGATCAATGACAGTGGTCGTGATGATGGGCTCAGCAGTAATATATGGTGGCGTTTTGGTGTTGTCCTTCAATGCTGCTCGAAGTGCCGGAGCGTGGAATCTGCGTACGAACTCACCCTGCAAGTCTCCAGGCCATTTCCATCGACCGTCGCCAAATGCTCGAGATACCATGAGACCTAGCACACGACCACCCTTGACTATCTCTTCTTCTCCGGGATGCTCTTGATGAAGCCTTGCGATCTCGGATTCGTTGCTGCCTGTGTGGTCAATTGACAGAGGGATCGCTTCCCAAGTACCATCGGCCTTCTGTTGTCCGAGTACTGCTCGAGAGTCTCCTGTGCATGCCACATGCAGTCTCCTTGAAGCAGGATCATACAACGATAGTAAAGCACACGAACCAGCAAAGGCAGGCATCATCTCATGCAGTGGCATGTCGCTTTGTGCTGTCTTCTCGGCTGTCCTGATAAGCGAATCGTCAAAGTCCATGAAAGCCTTCGTGATAACGTCTTGGACCGAGTCTGCATCTGACACAATTGATTGTGCATCGAATTGGCTCAGACGTTCCTGTATCAAAGGCAAAAGCTGTCTCTCTAGCAAGTCCGCCGTTTGCGAGCCCGCGTGTCCATCAAACACAGCCCATGCCATCCATGGCTCACCAGAGGATACAGAAAGTTGACCATGCGTAAATCTGTCTTCGCACGGACTGTTCGAGGCTAGCCGAGCTCCGTCATACCTCTCCACGGTCGAAGATGTCTTGACAATATATGCCTCCTGCCACAGCAGTTCGGTAACTTCGTCCTTCGAGAGACCAAATTTTGTGGCTTTGTGCTTTACTGACTTTGGACTTGGCGAGTCTTTGGAGGCACTTGTCAGCCACCAGGTACCGGTTCCAGTAATAATGCTAGCAGCAGCAATGTATGTTCCAGTCCTTGTGAGGGTCGCATTCGACGTCGAGCGTGCTGTAGTCGAATGCACATTCGAGGCGAACCGCATAGGCTCGTACCAGGACCACGCCATGATTGCAGCGATCGCATCTTCGTAAGGCAAGGGATGTTGATGTTATGGAAAGTATACTCGTGAGGTCCTTTGTACTTCGCCAAGGGTTGATGGCAGTTGCCAGAAGACGTAGCAAGTTGAAATCGGAGGTGAGCCGGAGAGACACGAATGATGACACTGAGTTGATGGCGCTCTAATATGTCGTTTGTCAAGTCAAAATCAGGGTATAGATAATATTGCAAGCAGCGGGTGTTTGGTCAAGATACATGAATTTATCTGTTGACTATCTCAACAATGCTTGCTTACAGCCCCCTCCCCCACGTTTGACCCACCTTGCCCTGATTTGCCTGTCGCATGACCACCTTCCCGAAATGAATGCAAGCAAACCGATGTACCTATCTATACAGTTCCATTCTCCACGGCTTTTGTAGTCTAGAGACATATAGAGCCTCCCTTTCCTTCCGTCATGCGACGTCGCTCACAACAATGCTCAGCTTGTTTTACCACCATAAATTTGCTTCCTCACCTACTGTAATGACTTGCATCTCAAACAAAAGGATTCGCAGCGCAGAACTTGGAGGGTACTCTCGTTCAGCAAAAGAAGAATCGTCACAGACAAAACATACAGCAGCAGGGATTCCCACGTGGTCACCCACCGTAGTACTAATCTGCCGTTCAACTGCTTATGTATGGCAGAGCGGACGGGATGCCCAGTTTTCAGCTGACTGTGGCCGTATGTACTGGGCAAGCCGATCAGACAATATATAATGTATAGATTATTGTGCATAGGTCTCATCTACCTAATGCAACATCTATTCTGCTATCTTAGTCAATATGGAACTAGTATCTTTTCTTTATGTAAAGTGTAGAATCGGATGCATATATGCTATAGAAGGATTTGCAACTATAACTTCTGCTTACACGTCTAGCATTTGTCCGACAATTCTCTATAGAGATCTCATTGCCTATACTAAGCTTACTTTGGCTTTTGGTCAACGAACTGCGATAGCCAGATGTAGCCAGCACGCGTATGCTTATCATTCGTCTACACAAAGACCGTGCCCAAGCAAGAATTGTTATTACAGCCACACACATGACCAACTCTGGCATGAGACACTGACTGTACAAAGGCTCCAGAGCCACCGGAGGGCTTCCTCGAGGTTCCGCCGGATATGCACTCTAAGTTCACCACACTGACCATCGATCCCGGCACCAAAATGTGCATGCCATTCGGGTCATCGTTGCACGGCATCGAGAACACATTCGGCTTTCGGGACAAAATGTGATTGCGGAAGCTTGCGGCGGGGCTCCGGTGGTGCACAACGGCCAGGGTCGTGAGTGAGGGGTTACGACGTGGGGTAGATGGAGGGGCATTCTACAGTCTGTTTACCCAGAGCAGCCTGAGCAGGTAAGGTGAGTAAGCTGTTTGAGAGGGGCTCCGATGCCTCTGCCTCCTGGATCATCTCACCATGTCCTACTTATATCACTCGAGACACCGAGCACTTGAGAAAGCACCATCACATCTCTTCTCAAGTTGTTCACCATGTTCGCCAAAGAGGAAAACCGTCTGATCTTCAGTTTTGACGCCGACAAGCTCTGGATCGAGCCCTGGGGCAAGAATGCCCTTCGCATTCGGGCCACTCAGCTCAATGAGATGCCTGCCGAGAACTGGGCCTTGGACGAGGTCTCGGGCTCCAACGCGGTGGTCGAGATTGGGGAGAAGTCAAGCTCCTTGACCAATGGAGAGATCAAAGCCGTAGTCACAGCCAAGGGCAAGTTGACTGTCTATGGTCACGGAGGCAAGATCATCCTTGATGAAGCTGTTCGCAACCGCCGCGATGTTCTGGATCCCAAGTGCAGCGCAATCGACCGAGAAGCCCGCGAATTCCAAGCCATCCCATCCACAAACGATTACCACATTGTCTGGCGGTTGGAGTCTCTCGACAAGGACGAAAAGATATATGGTATGGGACAATACCAGCAACCCTACCTCGATCTCAAGGGTCTTGACCTTGAGCTGGCCCACAGAAACTCGCAAGCAAGTGTGCCTTTCGCCGTGTCTTCCCTCGGTTATGGTCTTCTCTGGAACAACCCTGGTGTTGGAAGAGCCGTTTTTGGCAAAAACCTCATGTCTTTCGAAGCCTTGAGCTCCACAGTCCTGGACTGTTGGCTGGTAGCTGGAGAGACACCTGCCGAGATCGTTCAAGCATACGCCGGAGTTACGGGCAAAGTTCCCATGATGCCAGAGGTAAGTGATTTGCATGCACTCCCAACCTCAAGCATAGTACTGACCTTCAACTTAGTATGGTCTCGGATTTTGGCAATGTAAACTCCGCTACCAGACACAAGAAGAACTTCTTGAGGTTGCTAGAGAGTACAAGGCTCGTCAATTGCCCATCGACCTCATCGTCATCGATTTCTTCCATTGGCCCCTGCAGGGAGAGTGGAAGTTCGACCCGACTTACTGGCCAAATCCCGAAGAGATGGTTCGCGAGTTGAAGGAGATGAACATTGAGCTTATGGTCTCCATCTGGCCCACTGTGGACCGAAGGTGCGAGAACTACGAAGAAATGGTAGAGAAGGGGCTGTTGATCAGATGCGATCGCGGTACAAGAATCTCCCTAGACTACATGGGCAATACCGTCCATTTCGACGCTACCAACCCCGAATCAAGAGACTATGTCTGGAACAAAGCCAAAAAGAACTACTTCGACATGGGCATCAAGACCTTCTGGCTAGATGAAGCCGAGCCTGAGTATTCAATCTACCACTTTGACAATTGGAGATACTGGAAAGGCTCGAATGTTAGCATCGGCAACATTTATCCTAAGGAGTACGCTCGTGCCTTCTACGAGGGTCAACAAGCTGCGGGCCAAGAGAACATCGTCAACCTATTGCGTTGCGCATGGGCTGGCAGTCAGAAGTATGGCGCCCTCGTATGGAGCGGAGATATCGCCTCATCTTGGTACAGTCTTAAAAACCAATTTGCTGCTGGACTCAACATGGGTATGGCAGGCATCGCTTGGTGGACCACTGATATCGGTGGTTTCCATGGTGGTCACCCGGACGACAAGGACTTCCGGGAGCTGTTCACAAGATGGTTCCAGTACGGCGCGTTCTGTCCTGTGATGCGCTTGCATGGAGACCGTGAACCTCATATGCCGCAACATGGTACAACCGGTGGCGCAACCTGTCTATCAGGAGCTCCGAACGAGGTCTGGTCATATGGCCCAGAAGTCTACGAGATCTGCAAGAAGTACATGAAGATCAGAGAAGATATGAGAGAGTACACTCGCAGTCTCATGAAGGAGGCCCACGAGAAAGGTTCTCCAATCATCCGCCCTATCTTCTACGATTTCCCTCAAGACAAGAAGGCATGGTCAATTGAGGATCAGCAGATGTACGGGCCCAAGTACTTAGTCTCACCAATTCTTAACCCAGGCCAGCGTAAGCGCACGGTTTACCTTCCTGCCGGAGCAACCTGGAAGTCCTTTGAGGGCGACGAAGTCTATGAGGGTGGCCGTGAAGTCGAGGTTGACTGCCCCATGGACACTATGCCTGTTTTCGTAAAGCAATAGACCACTTTGTTCCCGGATTGGATTATGATACAGTAGGTATGCATTAGACAGCAATAATAAAATCTGAATTCGCTCCATGCCAAGATCGTACACCAGTATGTCGTTTGATGTCAACAACATGAACCTCGAGATGCCACTTCACCCCTGGATCTATCGTCGAACCCATCTTCTTGACTGGTCCGTAATCTCTTGTCTGTGACTCGAATCTTACCACATGTTGTTTTGAAGTGGTGAAGAGTGGAAGGATAGAAGAGTGCCTCGTGCGTTGAACGCCGTCCAGTTTTCACGTAATGTATGGTTTGACATGCGAAAGCTCAAACATGAAGCCACGCGCTCAGAATTCAGAAAAAATGTTTTTGAACGGTAGATAAGAGCTCATAGAGAGTATTCAGACCCGGGACTGGTCTCTGTGCGACCTGTGGTTGTGCTGGATGCCAACAAGATATCGAGGACAGGGTGACCTGCCTAGCCAACTCGTCCACGACGTCATCGCGCCTCCATTAGATCAAGTCGAGCAAGATATTCAACGCCTTGGGTCGTGCAGTCCTCGATTTGGCAGCGAGATATACCTTGAGTAGTCGTATCATAGTCGCATCATATTCGTGTTAGGGCTTAGTAGCGACGAGTTCTCGTACCAGAGGTTGATGTATTTGACACGGTGATGACCTCAAACGTGTCTTCCAGCTTGGCTTACAAGATTAGCCTAAAAGTCGCACTCGAACTTAGTGGTTGGTGTCACTCCGACCTGTCGCGTCAACACCTCAACACCGTCATTCGAAATGCCCGAGAACGAGCCTCATATATCCCGTGATGATGCGCAACGTAAATGCTCGACATGCAACATCGTCTTCCAGCGAACAACACATTTACGAAGACACATGCTCACACACACTCAAGACAAGCGGTTCGTTTGTTCAATTTGTGGGAAGAGCTTTGTGAGAAGGTTCGTAGTACCATTCTACCATTGGCCATTTGCATCGCGTACCCGAAGTCGCACACTACCAGATTAGGGCCAGCGACTGAGTTGATCTCGGAAGAGCTCAGAATTCATGCTTGTTTATAAACGTCATCTAGTTGAGACCAGGATCCTGGTGCTGATTTTGATCACAGAGATACGCTTCATAGACACCAAATAACACACCGCACCAACTCCATCGGAGGTCGTATAGGTTCTGCCGATGCGCTCTCCTCCAGAGCTTGCAGGGGTTGTGCTACTGCTCGAGTACGATGCAGTAGACAAAATCCTTGTGAGAGATGTCATTCGAGACAGGTACAGTGCGTCTACGAGGAGTCCGATCGAACGTCTGACTCAGTACCGGAACAATCTGCAAGCACGACATCTGTTCTGCCTATTGAAGAAGTTCAAATGCCTCCTCCAAATTGTGCGACTATGATTGACCAGAACACGGACAACACCATACCGCAAACACGTACACCTGGTACAGAGACTGGTGAACCATCTTTTCTGCTAGTACCAAGCTCCCGAGACGCTGGAGAACCAGCCAGGTCTTTGCTAGGTCCCACATGGACGCCTCAAGATCCTGTCGTAAACCCCTCTTATAACTACCAAGACACGTCACTGGTTGCACCATTTGTGGGCAGAGATACGTCCTCGCTACCGGCTACAAATTGGCTGCCTTACGCCAATGGCATGGACTGGGATTTCGATTTCTACATGAGCCAGGCACTGAATAACTTTTCCCCGGTCATGGGCTTGCATAGTACCAGTATCTGGTCTCCCAGTACCAACCCTCTGGATAACAACGTCCTCAATATTGGTACGAGCCCTGGAGGTCGAAGCAAAGGATCCATCGCCGAGGAATCTCCAGCCTCAATGTCTGTGACCAACTCTGTGTCCTCCTCTAAACGGCATGGGACATTCTATGCTGATGGAGAGGTATCTCGTCTTACCAGACGCCGCAACGCTGAAGTTTCAAATACCCAAGATCACATAGGTGGCATGGGAAGTGAACTAGAGTTCACTTCGACGGAAATGGAGCCGCCAACCTCGGATACGGCATTGTCAACCCCAATTCCATCGCATACTTACAACCGTATACTGCAGAGCTTTGACAACTTATGTGTCACCGATAACCCTTTACTTCATTTTGAGAGATTTCGATCCAATCGATTTCCTTCTTGCCAGGCTTTGGAGACCTGCCTAGACTCCTACTTCGACAACATCAATTCTACGTTCCAAGTTATTCATCGGCCCACAGCGTCGTTGGAAGGGGACGGCGACTGGATACTTTGCTTAGCTATGGCTGCCATGGGTGCTGCCATATCCTCTTCTGCTCCGCTTGTGTCCAACGCCGAAGCATTTAGAACCTTTCTACAGCGGGCCATCACGACACAGAATGTTTTGGCAAGACACAATCGACGCGAACCCGAGCTGTCGTTTATGCAAGCTTGTATAATCTATGATGTCTTGGAACTCCATCTACAAGTCAACATCAACGAAGACGCTATGGCAGGCACTCGATCGTTTTCGGACCTTTGCACCAATATCAAAAGATCTCGCTGGCTTGGTCTGAAAGAACCAGAATGGGACATCACGTGGAGGGAAGACGACTGGAAAGCATGGGCTCATCGCGAGAGTCAGCGGAGAGTGGCGTATTGTGCTTGGCTACTCGACAGTTGGAACCTCTTAACAGCCGGCAAGACACTGTCGTCAAACTTCTCATTAGGCGACGTTCAGACTGATTTGCCTGTTCACGAAGCTTTGTGGATGGCGGGAACGATAGAAGCATGGTTATATCTCAAAACGACGCACAAACAGCCGGTAGGCTTGTCACGGTTATTGCAGTCGCTTTATCAGCAACAGCCGCTTGTCCAAGAGCTCGGAGACTTTGCACAAACAGTCGCTGTTCATGCGGTCTGCCGGCGAACGTTGGAGATTGGATCCCACATACTCGACCCACTGAGCGGCCTTGATGCGGGGCAGCAGCAACCTGGCGACTCCGTCAGAGACATTTATTGGCTCCCCTCGGATCCGGAGTACCAAAAGTGGCGCAACAAAGCTCTGGACTGTCTGGACTCACTCCATTGGGGAACTCATGCAGTCATTGCTCGGCTGCAAGGCTTGGAGCCACCGGTGGTGTTACATTTGCACATGTCGCGATTGATTCTACTGGTCCCGTACCAGGATGTCTATGATCTGATTTGCGAAGTGCATGGCGACGACACATCTCTAGTTCAAGCTGGGAACTCGCGCTCGCGCCGGGAAGATCTCGTAGCCAAGATTTGGCTGTGGATCTCCAAGGATCACTACAAATCAAGACTAGCTATTGTGCACGCCGGAGCGATGTTTTGGTACATTCGACACCATGGAACCGGCAACATTCTTGAACCGACCAGCCTTTTTATGGCCAGTATCATACTATGGGCTTATGGGTCATTCGTACCTCTCCTACAGGCAACGAGTGACGACGATCATCCTGCTGTCCCACGCGCCGATGCGGACGAAGAGTATGATCCAACCATGATACAAATTGACCGACCATGCGACGACGAGCTCATTCAAATCTTCATTCATCGAGGAAACTCCATGCAACCACATATGTTGGCTGTGGGGAACATCTGTCAGCCCGGTGGAGCACTTGGAGTGCTCAAAGTTGGTGCGAAGCTAATTAAGAATCGTTGTGCAGCATGGCCGATTTCCAAGGCGTATGAGAATCTCCTGCTTCGCTGCGCGCAGGTATCAGCAAGGCCCGCGTAGCGTGGTCTCCGTAATGATTGCCTCACGGTCTGAACGAGCCAGTACGCGCTCGTGACTGAGCGTGGTCCATGCCCTCTCATGCTTTCAGCTATAGAAAGTTGTATATCAAATCTCATGGAGTAGAAATCCCTCCAAAGAGACTCGCTCATCTTCTGTTTGAGACCTTCGATGAACAGCTGATCTACCACATCCTCCCCATGTGCGAAAGACCGTCACATTTACTGCTGTCCCAAGGCACGAGCTTCTTCAGATCTGGAGCAATGTCACCGAGATACATCTTTTCGACAACTCCCTGCGTTAGGTGTGTCGATAAAAGATATGACTGTGCCTTTCTACAGCTCGTCGTTGCCCTGCTTTGATCACTGTGGAGAGAGGGTGCGACAGTATTCTGCATACGGGGAGGACAGATGGCTTGATCACAAGCAACGGAAAGTTGGAGTGTTTTGGTCGCTCTGCTGTGCTGCCAAGCTTGTACCAAGTATGATGTTGCCTTTGGACGGGAAGATCACGCTGGACACGAAGACGCGAGCTCCTCGCGGCATCGGGGCTAATCACACCCCTCCGGTGTCCGGTGGAAGGCAGCCGGCCTGAAACGGTTACACGACGAATCAGCTATCGCAATCGAGCTCAGCTCTCCAAAGCGTGTGTCCATTACGCTTCCTTGTCCCTAGACGCGAGAGTCAACAGGGCTTTGACTTTCTGTCACACGCAGGGAGTCCCGACGTAGCCAAGGAAGCCGACGGGGCTCCGCTCGGTCCGGAGGGGCAGGACGGCTTAATCCGGACATCCCCGATGAGTCAACCACCACAAATCGAAACCGTCCGGCGGTGGCACGAAAGAATCCTCACATGAACTTTCGTCTTTGCACATGAGAGGTTGGCAAACGTCCCCGGACTCTCCACATCCCCCTCTCGATCGCTTCCCCATGGGGCTGCTCGGAACCAGGGCTTAATAGTGCCCAGATCATGCATATATAACCCCTTGCCATGATCAGCGATAACACACCAGACCCCAGACGCAAGCATTTGGTTAACACATTGAGAGTTAATCAGCACCAACATACTCACACCCCATTTCAGCAACCAGTTCCGACATTATGTTGGACGAAAAGACCGATATGGTTCACGTCGAAGATCGAGCCGGCTCCTTCGTCGGAGACGAGAAGGTCGACCATGGATTGGCTGCTGCCGCAACGGACGAGGAGCACAACCTGACCTTGATGCAAGCCTTGAAGAAGTACCCTCAAGCATGTTTCTGGTCCATCGCTATCTCGAGCGCCATCATCATGGAAGGATACGACATTGTATTAATCTACTCCTTCTTCGGACAACCTGCCTTCGTCAGGAAGTATGGCGAGCTTGATGCTGCCACCGGAGAGTACTCACTCTCTGCTGCATGGCAGGCAGGTCTCGGTAATGGAACACAAATCGGCACAGTCATTGGCGCTTTCTTGAACGGATACCTCACTCACAAATTTGGCTACCGCAAGGTCATGATCGCCTCTCTTCTGTCTCTGCTTGCATTCATCTTCATCCCCTTCTTCGCACCCTCTGTTGAAGTCATTTTGATCGGCCAAATTCTTTGCGGGTAAGCAAACAAATCATAGTCTCGATTCTTCATCCTAAATGCTAATCCGAATGCTAGTATCCCCTGGGGGGTCTTTGCAACTATGGCACCAGCCTACGCGTCTGAAGTGTGTCCTACTGCGCTTCGTGGCTATCTTACTGTCTATGTCAACCTTACTTGGGCTTTTGGTCAGCTGGTGGGCGCGGGCGTACAATCTGGAGTCTCCGGCATCACAACAGAGTGGGCATACAGAATTCCTTTTGCTATTCAATGGGTGTGGCCTCTACCAATCGCTCTCCTCGCTTTCCTCGCACCAGAAAGTCCATGGCATCTCATCCGCACCGGCGACAACGATGGTGCTTTACGCTCGATCAAGCGTTTGTCTTCGAACAAGACCGACAGCGAACACCGAGCTCAGCTTGCCATGATGCAGCACACCAACCAGTTGGAAATGGATATCAGTGCAGGTACATCTTACTGGGACTGCTTCAAGGGTATCGATCGTCGCCGCACTGAGATCGTATGCATGGTACGTTTGGTTACAACATGGAGGCGGAGGTACACATAACTGACACTCAACAGGTCTTCGCGGCTCAGCCCTTCTGTGGCAGTGCTATGGGCGGAACACCCACCTACTTCTTCATTCAAGCCGGCCTCCCCACCTCCATCTCGTTCAAAATGACCGTTGGCGGACTCGCCATGGCTTCCGTCGGCACGATCATCTCCTGGTACCTCCTCTCCGCCTTCGGCCGCCGCACTCTATACCTTTGGGGCCTCGGCCTTCTCACTCTCGTCCTCACCACCACCGGAGCCATCAGCGCCGCAGACGCCAAAAGTGTCGCAGGCAACTACGCACAAGCCGTCATGATGCTCCTCTGGCTCTTCATATACTATCTTACCGTCGGACCAATCTGCTACGCCATCGTCGGCGAAACCTCCGCCACCCGTCTGAGAAACAAGAGTGTCTGCTTGGCCAGAATATCCTACTACATTGCCAACATCATCTGTGGTGCTGTCAACCCGTACCTCTTGAACCCTACAGCTTTGAACCTCAGAGGCAAGACTGGCTTTATCTGGGCAGGTACCTCGCTTGTCTTCTTCGTGTGGACGTTCTTCAGACTGCCCGAGTGCAAGGACCGTACTTATGAAGAGTTGGACGTACTGTTTGCGAACAAGGTCAAGACTCGCGAGTTCAGAAAGTTCGACGTCAATGTATACGCTGAGGATGGACAAACTCTTGTCAAGCAGGAGTAAGGAATGAACAGAAGGGCCCTGCGCAGAGCGTCGGGAGACTGATAGTTATGGATTATATGATATGATGGCAGGAAATGGGATGATGTGTATTGAATAGTCTTTTGTGTAACGCTTGTATATGCTGAGCTAGCTACCATGGTCTTCCTATTCCCCTTTGTGCGAAGTACGGTTACACTTATAGCTGCTTTGAGGCACGGTAACTTCTTAATTGGCAAGGATGTCATTGAGATACTATACTTCGTGTCATCGGCTCACTGCGCTAGGTGCAGGGTCCATCGAGCAAGCCGGAAAATTGCATAAACGTACGTGAAGCACAAGCCAAGCAACTCCGCGTAATGAGCTATGCATAAACGCGCGCGAATCCGCGTCCTCCACCAAAGCCACCTGCCTGCATTTCTGTACAGGACAATGACCTTGACCAATAATCGTCATGCAACGATTCTTGGTCGAGCCAGTGGAGCAGTTTGCCGGTGCTAATACAAGAATCAAGAAGCCTACAGTGTGTATACCATAAGACCACTGCGAATCACGGAGCTAATCATGATTAGGAACTTGCCTACTTTTCCTACGACTCTGAACATAAACTCAAGCCTCTGGACAATGAATCGTTGAGATACTACTATCCGCCATTTTTCAGTTTTCCAGGCCATCAAGATAACAGGTTCCCTTTTGAATTGTCAAAAGGATATGACACGTTTCGGCAGAGAGATGACAGTGGCGATGAGCATCTAGATGGTCTCTTGGATACTCTTGTCGAAGCTGAAACACGCAATGGCAAGAAGACGGAAGTTGACATTGTGACGTGGAGGGGAATGATGACGAGGGTATGTCTGATATGGAACATTCGATCTCGAGCCATGTACTGATTATGTGCCTAGATCTTGACTGCGCCGTACGAGCTGGAAGATGGGTTTGAAATGAATGCGACATGCTTCCAGGTGCGCAGATCTTCTCCATCGCAGACATTCGGACGGCTTGACTGACAAAATCTAAGGGCACTGTGTAGGAAGCCTCCGCCAAATTCGATCAATAACAAAGAGCAAAAGCTGACCCTCTCATTTACAATAGCTTCATTGAGGAGAACCATGCATACAAGACCGCGTCGAAAGAGGCACAGAAAGCCCGTTTCTCGCGGAATAGAGGTCCACCACAAGATATGGCCATGTATTGGGGTAAGCTGAATCTTATCTACTCGATGAGTGAGGATTGACTTTATCAGGCTACAAATTTGAGACATTGTCGCTCTTGAACAAACCATGGGGTGAAACAAGCAGAGAAGAGATTGAGGGTCGTGAAGATGAAGTTGTTGACAATTATGCTCAATACTGCAGCATCTGCCGGACCGAGATTGGCGGCACATCCATGGTCATCGGAGGAGAAGTGGATGGAGGTAAGAGAGGAACAAGCCTGTTGTGAACAAGGCTGACACAGTATCAAGTACTCGGATACAAGCCTGACGACCCACAAGCTCCCGCAAGATGGGTAGAGCTGAAGACGTCAAAACAGCCAGAACATGAACGCGATCGATGGGTTCTCGACAAGAAGCTTCTCAAGTTCTGGGCCCAATCCTTCTTGCTAAAGTGAGTCAATCACTAGAGTCATCAATCATCATGAGACGCTGACCGACTTGCAGCGTACCTAAGATCGTGATTGGCTTCCGTTCTCGGGACGGAAAACTGCTTAACATTGAAGAGCTAAGCACACAGCAAATACCTTCCAGGATCCAAAGAGAAGGAACGTACAAATGGAACGGAAACACTTGCATCAACTTCACAAGCCAGTTCCTCGCTTTCCTCAAGCACACCATTGTCGGCGAGGGTATCTGGAGGATTCGGCGCGAAGCGAAGAGTGCAGCGATCGAGGTCTTTAAGGTCGAAGAGAGCGGTACAGGGAAGATTCTCACGCAGAACTTCATCGACCATCGTAACAGCATGTTCGCAGGAGCAGTGCCCGCGGCATAGACTGTCCTTCGATAGACGTGAACAGTATTGTATAAAAAGTTTCTCACCTGAACATTGTATGACGTCGTGCTCGTCGTTGTCGAGGGCTTCCATATCACGGAAGGACAATGCCACTGCCTGATCACATGTCCATATTCATGATAAATTCCAGTGCTGTCAGTGTCCATGGACAGTGAAGTACTCGAGCAGTAGAAGTGCCCAAGTGATCGTGAGGTGCTGCTCATGGCGTGGTCGTGGAAGTCAATGGCAGAGTGCGGGGGACAATGGACGTGTTTGGGGGGGGATAGAGCTTTCTAGAAGTTTCCCCAGACGTGCACCTGATGTCACAAGCTCGAGGCCTCATAGCAACCAAGGAACAAGCAAGAATGCAAGTTTGCTTTTTCTCATTCTTACTTGACACACTTTCAATCGCTTGCACATTGCCGCACTAATTCACCGGATTGACACACACACACACCCACCTATACACACACACACCCAAGACACACAATGGTCGCCGAGACAAAGCTATACGACTCGCTAGGCATCGCGTCTACCGCGACACCGGAAGAAATCAAGAAAGCATACCGCAAAGCCGCCCTGAAGTGGCACCCCGATAAGAACCAAGACAACCCGCAAGCCTCTGAGAAATTCAAGGAGGTCTCACAAGCATACGAAATCCTGTCCGATGCCGACAAGCGCAAGACCTACGACCAATTCGGCCTCGACTTCCTGTTAAGAGGTGGTGCTCCACCTGAGGATGCTGGTGGTGCTGGAGGCTTTGGTGGCATGCCAGGCGGTATGCCTGGTGGTATGCCCGGTGGTTTCGGAGGCTTCCCTGGAGCTGGAGGCCCTGGAGGCGCTAAGTTCCACTTCTCGACTAGTGGTGGTGGCCCTGGTGGCTTCTCCTTCAGCAACCCGGAAAGCATCTTCTCCGAGTTCCTGAGAGGTGGCGCTGGTGGGGGCATGGGCGGAGGCATGGGAGACGACGACGATTTCATGTCGGCATTTGGAGGTGGAGGTGGTTTCGGCGGACAATTTGGTGCTCGCCCGGGTCCAGGTGGCCGCGCTCGTACCATGAACAGTGGCATGCCTAGACGCCAGCAAACACCCGAAGTCACAGTCGTCGAGAAGCCTCTACCCGTCACCCTTGAGGATCTGTTCACAGGTTGCACAAAGAAGATGAAGATCAAGAGAAAGACATTCGACGACCACACCGGCAAACAATCAGTACAGGATCGCATCCTCGAAGTACCAATTAAGAAGGGTCTCAAGCCCGGCAGTAAGATCAAATTTACAGGAGTCGGAGACCAGGTCGAGGGAGGAGTCCAGGATTTGCACTTTGTTGTTGAAGAGGTAAGCCCAACGTCCTTACACATTCCTACTTGGACATTCAATGCTAATTTCCATTCTAGAAAGAACACCCCTTGTACAAGCGCGAAGGAGACGACATCATCCACAACGTCGACATCACCCTAAAAGAAGCCTTGACTGGCTGGTCAAGAACCGTCAAGACCATTGACGGCAAGCAAATTGGCGTCAGCTCAAGCGGCCCTACACCGCCCACCTACAAAGATCGCTACCCCAACCTCGGCATGCCCAAGAGCAAGAAGCCTGATGAACGAGGCGACTTTATCGTCGGTGTCAAGATTCAATTCCCTACAAGCTTGACACCTGCCCAAAAGAACACACTCAAGGAGATTCTGTGAGCGAAAAGTTCAGAGTTCAACCACGGCGTCCTTTTTTCCTTCTTCTGCACATATTCTTTTCTCTTGAAGCGTTCTTTTAATGAGAGCATTTGCGGAGGCTGGCCTTTTCGAAACATTAGAAACGAATTAATGAAACATATTTTATGCAACAAATCTTATGGAGTGCATATTCTAACCAAGGGCCATCAGCGTTATCGTGTGTTTGGCTGTAAGAATACACATTGACATTAGAATCTAACTCTTGTTCGTCTGAATGTCAGAGTCGTACGTCGAGCGCCGAACATCGCCTCCATAGAACCTATGCGCATCCATGTTGCCAGTCCATCTCTTGCCATGCTGTGATTGTGGAAAGTGGAGACTCCACGCTTCGACTCACGACCCTGAGATAACGACTTCTACCTCATCACAAATTTGGCACTGCATACCAATATCCTCGGCAACAAGCATCATTTTCAGAATTTGATGAGCAAACGCGTTGTCACAATCCGCATCTCAGAAAAGACCAGTCAATGACACAAACCGGATCATAAGAAGACCCGGCCATCTAGGATCTACTGAGTTGTCATTGGAAAACGACTTCTGCTTCTACTATCGTCTGAACAAAGGGTCAAATCTGGAAAGAACTCTGCACATCTGCAGCCGTGTAAAACTTGACTCTTAAGGAACGATTTTACTGGAAGGGACATTACACCACCATCGCCTCGAACAAGTCCACACGAAAACAGCCCAGAAACCGGACACAGCACTCAACAAAACCAACCAAAAAAAAATCACAAAATAATGACCCAACCATCCCTCCACTTCCTCCTCCTCCTCTCCGACTCCGCCCTCCCTCTCGGCTCTTTTGCCTTTTCCTCTGGCCTAGAATCTTACCTCGCTCACCATAAACCTCCCTTTCCCTCCCCAACCACCCCACCACTAGATTTCCACCTTTTCCTGCATCTTAGCATCAGAAACCTTGCTTCTACATCATTACCCTACGTACTGCAAGCCTTTTCACAACCCGAGACATTGCGAGGCTTGGATAATGATGTAGACGCAAGTACAGCATGTACAGTCCAACGCCGCGCATCAGTCGCACAAGGAAAAGCTCTACTGGGATTATGGGAGAGGGCTTTTGCCGCTTCTTGCACTGTTTCCTCGACTACAGAACTTGCCATTTCCACCCTCTCTTCTTTTGCTGCGGATTTCAAAAAGGCGAAACCTGATGTTTTTGGATTACAGCTAAATGCACATTTTGCACCACTGTTTGGTGTGTTGTGTAGATGTTTAGGTTTGAGTGAGCAGGAAACGGGATATCTGTTCTTGTGTAATCATGCAAAGAGTGTTTTGTCTGCTGCTGTCAGGGCGGGTGTCATGGGTCCTTATCTGAGTCATGGGTTTTTGGCAAGTGAGGTGTTGCAGAAAGTCATCAGAGGCTGTGTGGACGCTGAAAAGGGTACAAGGGTAGAGGATGCAGGGCTCAGTGTTCCGGTCATGGACTTGTGGGTTGGAAGGCATGAATTGTTGTACTCAAGGATTTTCAATTCTTAGAGGAGATGTATGTGGTCAAGTTAACAGAGGAAGCTCTCAATTTAACCCATCCAAGTCTGGAATCTTTCCACTATTTATTGATGAAGCAACATAAAGTCAGGAGAGAAAGAAGACGTATATGACTAATCCTTGAAATCGATCAGGTCGACTTCTTCATTTTGGACCTTGATACCCGCCATTGCATCGTCACCGACTTTTTTGGTCATCTTGGAGCCGTCGCTACCGAACCTGTATAATGAGGGCTCTTCATGCGCCTTCTCAATCATCTCGACTCCTCCCTTGTTTGCTTCTGTGTGTTGAATGTCTTCCTGCTCAAGGCGAATCTCGTGGGCGGGAGGGCTGTGTGTTCCATCCATGACTGCATCTTTGCTGTCCTGCATGTTATTCGGGATGCGGCCGTATTCGATACCTGCGTCGTAAGGAGGTGGTTCGTAACTAGGCGGAGCATCGTCATTGCCGAAGTTTGCAGCAGTACTGTCTCCTGAGCCACGGCGTTGTGAAACTCCCTCGTATGCAGGGTATACATTCCCGTGACCAAAGCCATTCATCTGCAGTTCGGCCTCGAAGCTTTCATCGTCATGGTGAATGAACTCCTCGAGAGCTGTGGTGAGTTCAACATCGTGTTCGTCCGAGATGGCGTGATCGCTGGCGTAGACGAGAAGAGCTTGGTTGTGTTCGAGTTCCACCGCGCGGATAACATCGTCTTGTGCAGATTTTGTCTTGATGACCTTGGCCCCGTTCGTATGGACGTCATACTCGATACGCCACCATTGCATACCCTCGGGTGCATCTTCGTCATCGACTAAGGAGCCGTCGAGAGGATCACGAGGCTGTAGAAGATAGGTTACGTGCGACTTTGTGGAGACACCTCTGAGCGTGTATCTGTGTTTGAGGTTCTCTTGTGCCAGTCCGGTCTCTTGTGACAGTTGTGCCAGAGCCTTACGGGCCTTTTCTCTTTCTTGTTCCAGAGCTGTCACTAGTTAGCACAACAGACCACCACCACAGGAGACTTGTACGTACCTTCGAGTTTTGCATCAACGTCTTTGCAGACTGCTTCCAGCTGTTCGGCGATTGCACCATGGTGCTCCAGTGGAGGAGGAATGTCGGTATCCCCACCAGCGCCAGCACCTTCTCTTTCTTCAATCATATTTCTCCTAGTGGCACCTGAGAAGTAGCCTCGCGCGTGTTTCATAAGTTGACTCGAACTCAGGTTTCCTTTCTGTGAATGTCTGTAATTCTTCAGCCTGAACTGGGCCATCTCGATCTTGTCAATCTTCTTCTTGCTCTGTGCCATCTGTTTTCGGACTTCTCTTGTCGCGTCTGCATTCTCCTTAAGATATTTGTCGACGTAGAGTATCGGAGGGATGATGACATTTAGTGTGTCTTTTGATGTATCGTTCTGTGTTAGACGAATTGGCAAGACTTGTGCGCAGTGATCGATATAGTTGTCATAGGAAGCTGCTTCGTCTCCAGTATCCCACAGAGCGTCGTCCATAATCGAGGCTAGTTCGGTACTTGGCGCATCAGGGCCAGATTTGACGAATAGCGGTAGAGAGAACAGATCCGTAGTGGCCATTCCCTGAGGATCTGTGGTGCCGACTATCGAGTGGAAGACGAAGAACTTATCGTCGTTGAAGTATTCTTCCATAGAATCCAGCGAGGCCTGTTCCCAAGTCCTGAGCACTCTGTCCAGAATGCATCCACTATCAGTCCCGGCAAGACGAACAAGCGTGTCTGCACTACCGTAAGATCTTTCGCTCTCGTCCAGCAAAGCCATCAGACGCTGCATCTCTGCAAGAATCTCATCCTGGTTGGTGGTGGCTGGCTCCAAGGGTGCGCCGCTGACAGTACTGACAATTTTGGGCAAGCTGATACCGTGACCCTTCCACCATTCAGGATCCGTTCCATAGGAAGAGTAAGTCTTGTGTGGCGCCAACAGAGCTTTCCGTGCCATTGGAATGTAATGCGCAATGGTAAGTAGATTTGGCAGATAATCGCCGGAAGGTAGTTGTTTCAGAAATCGTGGTTCGCCAGGCTCGTTCTTACGCTCGTGAGGCTCAAGATCCGGTATGATTTCGCTGGCCTGTTGGGAATCCACATTTACGGTAGTCATCGACCATTTCGAAGGGTCGTAGTGGTCGCCCATCGCGGGCTGGAAGTTGGCATTTGGCAACGTGACACCGGTTGAGCCTTGTTGAGAAGCAGCAATAGCCCTTTGCATATCAGCGTCTTCATCATCTTTGTTGGAAGGCTGTCTGAGAGATGGCGCGGGCGAGTTGCCTCTTGTCGGGGCCGCGCTATGCCCAAGTGGACGTAGGTTCTGCTCATTGTATGCTTGTGGACGTCAGTTTAGCATAAAGATGAGTCTCCATCCAAAAGACGCACAGTAGTTTTGAGGACCGAATGCCGTGGTCCCGTCACGGCCAGCGCTGAAATCAGTCTCGCTCCAGGTTACGGTCGACTGGCTTGAGTAAACACAAGTGACCAGTGATGCGATAGGACAGTACGTACCTCGGCTTTATCAAGGTCTTCACCATCGAAGATGGCATTCATGGCAGCATCCGCGTCGTTGTTTTTGATCTGGTAAATGGGTGGTCAGTCGAGAGTTATGCCTGCCATTACCGACATGTCAAACCTTCAACCATCTGCGGGCCACATCATCTGTGCAGCCCGAGATGCCAGTCAACTCGGCGACAGCTTGTGAATTCGCTTCAGCCATGGTGCTCAGAGGAGTGGATAGAGACGCACAGCGTGATGTGCAAAGATCGATTAGGGTAGATCCGACTGTTTGCTTGATTGCTTGCTGGCCCGGTGAACTGACCAGCCTACGTCATCAGCACAATGAAAGCCCAGATCTGCGCTCTATACCATTCTGCGGTCAACTATTTAGAGATTGCCCTCGATATCGTTCACGCAATAATCATTCACTCTTGAAAGGCTTTGCATGCATAGTGAAATGAGATTTCGGGTTGAAGTGACTAAAGCGGAAGGATATCCTCCATATATTGGTCTAATAAAAACTTTGTTAAAGAGCCGTAAAAAGCATTTGAAAGATGCGCCAGTACACCAACTAGCAACTTCTGTGCTGCTGTCCCCCGTCCTGGCCTGTGATAATATGTGCCCCTGCTTGTATAACCCATGCCTGAACGCCGCGCTGGTGGTATCGAAAAAAGAAAAACGCCATAAGATGTGTAGCCCATGATGTGAGGCGTGTATTCAATCGTCGCTGTCGCTGGCGACTTCCTGCTCGTCGTCTTCGTCGTCCTCGTCAAACGTCATCTCTGCATCGCTGTCGTTGTCGAAGTCGTCCTCGACCTCCGAGTCGCTCCAGCTGAACAGGTTGTCTTCGACCTCGGGCTTGTAGGTAACATGCTGAGTAGGCATGATAAAGCCCTCTGGAATGTCGGCCTTACTAGCCTCAACATCCTGGAGGGCTCGTTGCTTGTATGCCTCCGGGTGGTTGCGTAGCATGACTCCAGCGTCGACGTTGGCGGGCGAGGAAGGTTCGGCATCATCGAGGAGTGATAGGATACTGATAAGGACAGACTCGACGCGCTGAGCAGGTGACCAGCGTTCGGCAGCGAGTTCGCCTGACATCTCGTCCTCGCCGGGGGGGTGGAGGATGGAAATACAGAGTTTGCCATCGGGGTAGACATTCGGATGGAACATGGGACGAGTGAACTTGAAGGCTGCAAGTGCGGTCAGTATGAGGCCGATAGACAAGAGAGTGTGAGAAGCTACATACTGGGAGGACTGAAGGGGTAGGTTGTAGGGAAGGTCATCTTGGCCTTGAAGAAGGCACCATTGTAGATGGAGTCGGGATTGATAACGATCAGGGCGACGTGCCAGGAGAAGATATTCTCGTTGATGAGCTGAACGGCACAAGTCAGTCTCTCAGTCGTATACCCTTCGCATACAAAACCGACGTACCTCGATGTTGGTCCAGTGTTCCTTGGAGAGAGCCTTGAACTCGGACATTAAGATCTTCTCCGCCATGATGTAGAGGGGTGGCAGTGGCCTCGGTTGTGTTCCGTCGTCGAGAGTGGAGGAGCAGCGAGTGTTACGGTTGGAGAGAGAGAGAGAGAGAGAGAGAGAGAGAGAGAGAGAGAGAGAAGATGCGACGAGGTGACGAGGCGACGAGGCGAGCGGAAAGACGGAGTGAGACGGAGGGCGAGTTTGAGTGTTGGTGAGTCTTGACTCAAGGGCAAAGAAAGGGCGACTGGTGAGTCTTCCGCTTTGGGAACTTCGCGAAAGTGAAGCCGTCCTTAACGCCGAACTTTCAGGAATGAGTGAGACTCGGTCTAGCCAGAAAGTAGACCTATCTACAGGCACAATAGAACCTTTGTTCAACCCATCATTCCTTTCCATATATAGCCTATCCTTGTGCCGCGGACTGCTTATTCAGGTTTCTGGCAACACTACCACCCTCTGCGTGATCAATCCCACGTCATGCGTAACGGCCATTTCATGCTTTATCGGGCCTGACCATCCGGCTGCTCAGTCGAGCCCATCGCAGGCTTCACTGCTCAGTCGAGCCCATCGCAGGCTTCACTGCTCAGTCAGGAAATTGGAAATCATGTGAATGATGATAAAACGTGATTTTGTTCATTGCAAAGGAGATCCGACTTTCCCGCTGGCATATGCTGCAATCGCCGTCACTAGATATTCAACGCCTGAACACCATGCCCAAACGCCGCCTTTCCTGTCCGCACGCGCGTACTATACATTGTAATGCGCTTTACTTTTTAGTCCATCGCTCGCCACCGAGGAAGTGTACAACACGTTTACTCGCTGTCTGAGCTGTCGGCCTTGCTCTTGCTCTTTCTCTTCTCCTTCTTCTCGGCCTTCTTCTTCTTGCGCTCAGCCTTCTCCTCTGCTGACTCGCCCTCGCGCTTGCGCTTCTTGTCCTTCTTTGAGCCAGCATCTTCCATGGTAGCGTCCTTGACGTCGGAGCCGTCTCCTGCAACAGCGGGAGCGGCCATGACCTCCTCGCGAGAAGTGGTGTCCTTGGACTGACCAGTGATACCCTCCTTGACGGGTGCGGCCTCAACAGCAGTTCTCTCAGCACCAGTAACGGACTCGCCGTTGACAGTCAGAGTGCTGTTGAAGTCCTTGTACTCGGCGTTCCACTTGGCAGGGGTGGCCTCGTTGGGGCGGCCGTACTTGTCGAGCTTGCCGGACTCCTTCATCTTCTTCTTCTCAGTAGCAACAGGGCCCATGCCCCAGCGGCGTGGGTAGAGGTCACGCTCCATGATGCAACGCTTGACCTTGGCAACAACACCGTGGTCGCAGGTGGAAAGCTCGACAGTGGACATCTGGGCGATGGCAATGGCGATGGCCTCACCCTTTGTGGTGATCAGGACAATCTCCTCGTGAACCTCGATGCCGGATTCTGTGAAGCGTTAGTAACATGTTAAGAGTTGATGTGCAGCAGAAGACAAGACATACCGTATCTCAACAGACCGGGAATCATGAGCTTGGCACCGTAGCAGACAGCGTTGACGGCAGAGTCCTTGACAACGACACGCTTGTAGGTGGTGAGCAGAGACTCAAGAGGGCTGATAACTTGACGGAGGTAGCTCTCGTCGCGCTGGTTGTCGTAAAGATATTGGGCGTCAAGGACGTCGTGGAGGGTGACGAGGTTCTTCTGCTCGTCCATGGCACCGGAACGTACACGTCTCAGCTCCTGCATGTGAGCACCGACACCCAACAAGAGACCAAGGTGGACACAGAGTGTACGGATGTAGGTACCAGCCTCGCACGAAACCCAGAAGACACCGAGCTGTCTCTCGTTGTCGAACTCGTAAAGCTTGCTCTCGTGGATGGTTCTGATACGGAGCTGTCTCTTGACGGCCGAGATAAGAGGAGGACGCTGGAAGAGAGCGCCAGTAAGGGTCTCAAGGGCGCGGGCAAATTGCTGCTCGCCTCCGGGGAGCTTGTTGTGAAGTCTGATGACACAGACGTACTCCTTACCAGCACCCTGCTGCGACTTGACCAGGCGAGTAGCGCGATCAATGCAGACAATCAAACATCCAGTGACCTTGGGATCGAGAGTACCGGAGTGACCGGTACGCTCGCAACGGAGGATGCGCTTGATCCAGGCGACGACTTCGTGCGAAGAGGGGTTGGAGGGCTTGTCCAAGTTGATGACTCCGGAAGAGATGTATGACTTGAGGTCACGCTTGAGGGGAGTTGCGCCAGCAGGGATGGGAGTGAAGTGGCCAGTACGAACAAGGACTGCGCGCAGAAAGATTAGTTATAGAATCACACCAATGTGGAAGAGCTCTACGACGTACGCTGGTCCCAGTTCTTCAGAAGCAGCGGCCAGGCACTGGTGTCGATGGTAGGAGTGATGTTCTCGGGCTTGATCGAGTAATCAGCCTCGTCGGCCTTAACGAGCGCCATTTTGTATGTATTGTCTTGTTGGAAAAGATTGAAAATGCTGCCCTCCCAAGACTTCTAATGTCGCTGTCGATGCGCAGATAATTTTTCGCCGACAGCTTCATAGCAAATTCGACAGGCGCGAAGCCTTGGCAGGCTTCCGCACGGGCTCTCGGCAGGATCCGTTGCATCATCAGGTCGAGGAACCATTTTCAACTTGAGTGCTCGATTACAGGTTTTGATATAAAGACAGCAGTACTTCTTGTCTGGTCAAATTGACGGTGCTTGCAACAGCTTCGAACACCACATCCTTTATCTCACGACGAGGTTTGGTTGCTGTCAAAATGCAATCCTTGAGATTGAACACCGTATGAGGGTAAAGCCGCAAACAGCTTATGACGGTCGCATACATTCATTCATGACAACATAGTAGTACATAGTCTCCGTACTGAATCAAAATCATTAAACGCAAGAGATGCAATCACATCACCAACCCTCCATGACTGAAGATCATGTGCGAGTCAATGCTGATCCTCTCAGGCACGTGTGGCTGCGCTCGACTCTCTCCGCTGCCCTCAGGTATAGTATTGAACACGGCTCTGTGAATCGTAGGATTGGGCAAATGCGTGATCGTGTCTATTGCCAGCCGACGTTGTGGTCCCGCCACCACTCTCCCTCTGTCGATAACACGAGCCTGGCGTATGTGAGCTGCCCCCAAGTGTTCCATTGGCGTGCTGAAGACCGTTCTGGTCATTTGGCGTATGGAACTCGTTCTGTAGGAACGATCAGCGAGGTTTTATACGTGTTGCATAGCTCTAATACTTACTTCTTGAGAGTGAGTGTTGATACCTTTCGAAGAAGGCCACCGGCATCTGCTTGCTCTGTAGGTTGAAACGGGCTCCATCGAGGCAAACCAGTATGCTTGCTGAGTGCAGCAATGTGGTCCCCTTCATGTGCGGTGGTTCCATGTTCGGAGATGGATCCCAGCGGTGCGTAGACATCTGTCGTCTTCTCTGCTTGAGCAAAATGTAGATCGTCGGGCCCAGTATACTTGAGGAAGTGTGTCAATGAGCGTAAATTTGATGGCTCAATTTGTGTTTGTGCTGCACGTGGTATCATCGGTTTGTGCAACGGTCGCCAGGGGATCACAGGTGGGGTACGAGGTCTGGGGGCTTGAACCGGCGATGTAGCCTGGATGTCGGGAACGATGAAGATGGATGAAACACCTCTCGACTGCACGCTGTAGACGCTACTTGAGCTTGCTGATTGAGAGGTCTGTGAGGCTCGAGCCCTCGTGAAACAGGCTCCGACTGTGCTTGTTAGGACGGTGGTATCGAATACTGATGCTGCAGGCAACCTGTTCAGCAGTCGAAACCCGTACCTTCCCTTCTGTTTGAGCGTCCACTCGCAGGCAGCAATCTCTTCATTTTCTACGACCAAATGGTGGGACAGAGTAAAGTCAAGCCCAAGGGGTCTGTAGTCGCGATTGCGATCGGTCTGCTGGAGAACATTTGCGCAAAGCATGAAGCTGATCTGCGCCTGCTCGTAGTGGCCGAGCTCGAACCGCACTAAACCGAGCAGAAAGTGTGCCAGTGGGGATGTAAAAGGATGCAATGGAAGGACTCTCTGGAAAGCTTTCTCGGCATGTGCGTATCTTCCCCAAAGGGAGTATGTGATGCCAATGTTGAGCAACAGGACTGCCTTTGTTGGCCGGTCAGGCGCCTTCGTTTCAAGCAGCTCAAACTGCATCGCAGCCCATTCTAGGTCGTAAGCAACTTGTACAAGGAAAGATGCATGGTTCCACACGTCTTGTAGTTGTCTGTGTTGAGGTCCCAAAGAACAGATTTGCACAGACTGCTTCTCCATCGAAGCTTTGGTTCCGGCAAGCAAGTCTCTGCAAATGTTTGAGTGATATCGGCGAGAAAGATCAAGGTAGAAGCCTGAAGCTATTGGCAACAATCAACAACTAAGAAGCGAAGACTTTATACCGTTGAGAGACCATGAAGCATAGTAACAGCCAGCATGGCATCGCTATAGCAGGGCACAGCATGTACAAGCAGGTCCATGTGCTTTCAAGATACCTCGATGCTTGCATGATTGAGACTATGTAGCATGTGGTGACTTCTTGAAGTTTGACCTGTTCCTTGCCACAACATACATGATGGCCATGCAGCGGATGTTGAATCACGGGCACTGCAAATCCCATAGCCACGACATCTCCGACAGGCAGTTGGATTGTGTCATTCTTGATATTTTGTGGTGACAACTTGGCATGAACAGTCATGCCAGGTTGTGATCAGTTTTTATCATGCTTGAAGGGGTCGCTCTGCAATGACAACCATCTCGTAAGCTGCCGCACCACTGTCCTCCAGAACAGTCAGTCGACTGAACTTTGAGGACGCAAAGGTAGCCTCGTAGTCAGACTGCCAGTCCATTTTGGGTCCCAGCCAAATGATTCTGGAGAGGTTTGCATGATCATACACATCGAGATATCGCAAGATCAACTTAGGTTCACGTGGATAGGTAAACATCCAGACGTGGGCTTTGGCTGCTTGTGAACAGAGATCCCATGTGCCACCTACAAAGTACATGTTTTGTTCGGGCAGATATTTGTTCACATTCGGCGCTACTTCCACACCGCAGAGGTCGTAGGAGTCGTCGAGCAGTGGAGAGAGCAGACTTTCAAGAAGGCCGGTGCCGCTACCAATGCTAAGCACAGAGATGGCTGGGCCATGAGGCAGGAGATTGACCAGATTATGGATCAGGGATTGCGAGATAGCCATGCAATAATCCGGATGATGCTTGGGCTCTGCAGAAGAAGCAAAAGTCGAAGCGGTCATGGTGTTGGCAGGGCGATTTATGAAATCAAGGCAGAGACTGGCCCGAATGGTGGCTGGTGCTGCAGGGAAAAGAAGTTCAGACCCTCGGACGTCAACGAGGCCAGCAAGCGTGCGCACGTGCATCGGGTGGCCTGTCGGCCATTGACCAGGACAACAAGGATGGCGGTCTCGATCAATTTCTTTCTCAGAGACACTTTTGACAGGCCTTGTCTCTGATAACGTGCAGATAACACTCTTACTCCGACCTGTGTCCCGAACGTAATCCGCCTCGTGACGACCAAGTGCATACAGCCGTTTCTGGCGATCACCCCTCGTCCCCTTAATCGCAACGATCCGCTCCTTCCACATCGATCTCCTTGTTTAGAACCGTTTTCTGTCCAAACAAAGCGACTTTCCAGGACTGATCATTCTGTCGGTCGCTCTTGCCAACTCTACCCGCAATTCCTGGAGTATTCTGCAACGCAAGACGTCGCGTCGTACAAGAGAAGGCACATCTCGGTGGAACAAGTGTGTAGCAGACACTGGCTATACTGCCCGAAGGTCATGAACAGGCTGGACCTGTTGTGCATCAACCGTTTGCGCGACCTGTCATAGTAAAACCGACGACAACAACAACCCACCACACCTCAGCATGGCGACTGCATACCAGCCTACCCCGCGTTGGGAACAATCCGTACCCATGGGTCACGAAGTAAGCATGCCCTCGATGTAGTATGCGCGACTCGACTCGGCTCGCTGACATGCCCGCTTTAGAACCTCCCCTTGGCGAATCAGACTCTTTTCGATCCCTCGTACTCTTTCGATCCAAATCACATCTCTCGCGATCCCTCGAATTACACATCTCGTCGACCCTCTCAGCATGCTGCTACTCTTGGAGTCGACACATACCAGCTGGACCAGATCAAGCGCGACAGTGGAAGGAGTTTAAGAAAAGGAAGCAGTACCTCTCGTGGCTCGAGTCCTCAGAAAGCGGCCATGTCGCACTTGCGTCGACCGTCAACATCCCACAGTCGACCCTCCGCGCCTGTCACAATACCTCGCGCTGATTCCGAAGCCGCCATCGACCCCGATCCAGAACGATCAGCCTGGATTCATCGTGACAAACTCGCACAGATAGAAAGTAGAGAGATGGCTGCTGCAGGCTTTGGCATGCCTCGATCGACCCAGCGCCGCCAGAGTCGATCCGATAGCCGTTCTGCCAGTCGCTCAGCGAGTCGCAATGCTGCCTCCCGTGTGCAATCGGCTGATCGCCATACAAGCCAGCTCGCTTTCCCCAATGAGACCAATGTTCCCAAAGTACATGTATTCGAGGAGCAGAGTGGAGCAGGCGCCGATCAGGATCCTGACTCCGATGATTATGAGGAAAGATTGCGCGAGGAGCCTCGAATGGATCGCAACCTGTACAGCAAAAGTCTTCCCAGGCCTACTGTATCTCGTATCCCAGTCGCAAGGGGTAGTCCTGCACCTGTTTCACAGAGTGTGGTCGAACGAGATTCGCCTCTGCCACGTAGCATGAGTAGTCCTCTTGGTGCTGGAGATAGCGCTAGTAGCAGGACCCGAAGCAAAAGCTTGGGCAATGCTACCATGATAGCTGAACCTAGGAGTACGCGATCTGCGATGCCGTCAAAACCTAGGCCGCGCAGCTCCCACATAGAGGACTCGCCTCAAAGTGTTACCGAATCACCTTCGCTAAGCGCACGCACGACGCAATCCTTGACCGCGGTTTCAAGGGCCAAGGCAATGAACAAAGCGGCTACAGGAGGTTCCATGGGTAGAAAAACTATTCCTAGAGCCACTTCAAAGGCACGGAACTCGTCAGACTCGCCTAAAGACAGCCCGGTCAGAAGACCCACATCTGGCTCTACCAGGTCTCGACCGACTTCGTTCCACAATCGACCGGAAGGGGAAGCACCTTGGGTTGCAACGATGTATAAACCTGACCCTAGACTGCCGCCAGATCAGCAGATGCTTCCCACTCACGCGAAGCGTGCGATGCAAGGCGGATCGGATGGTCAAGATGAAGCGGACAAGACCTACCCTCTGAATATCGACTCTATGAGTGACGAGGAACTGGCTAAAATGGGTGCTCTGCCCCTGCCAGGATCCGCACAGATGGCGAGCCCCGTCACGTCCGATCAGCAAGGTACGAATAAGTCGCAGCCTCCGTGGCCTCTTGGAAGCAACAAAAGCGAATCCAGAAGTCAGACCGGGAGCTCCAAGAGCACACCTGGCGGTTACACCATCACACCCAAAATTGCACCTCCCATTGCACCTCCAAAATCACCGAAACCGCCGGCCACCCCAGTGGATACCTCTCGCCCTACAATCTCAGGAGTACAGAGAGTGCCAGACCTCGACGAGAAGGAGGAAGGCAAGACTAAGAAGAAGGTCGCATGCTGTGTCGTCATGTAGAGCATCCTGCATATACCCAACTATATGCATTTTGTGTAGAAGAGTAACACCAATGTCGCTCTCGTGGTTTCTTTTCTCCCTCTTTTTCGTTTGTGGGATTCTGAAAATGTCTGCTCTCCTACTTTCTTTCCAGTCTTCACCTTTCCTGTGTCCTAGCGTATTAGCAAGCGAATGGCGTTGTATCTTCTTTTCGAAAGCGTAGCGAGTCTTTTACTGTCGATATTTGGGAGGTCTCCTGTCGCTGCATCCAGCTCTCAATCAAACTACAATCTTATACAGGTACACATAGATTCATCCTTCATCAAGTGCGTTGAGTCGTTATTGCTGATACCAAGGGCCTGCTGAAACAGTTCTGGACTAATAGTTGACACTCATCTGTTCGAGATAGGAATATCTATAATATAGCATGACAACAGGAAGTGGTTGCAGCTGTTGCATTTGGTCAAAGGTTGGTACTTTTTGCAGAGCTTGTGATACTCGAAGCATAGCCAAATTGTCGTTGTTTACTGGAGCACTACAAATGTTCGGTATTACAGAGAAACAGTTTTGTCGCTCACTGATTGATGTTAAAAGTTGATGATTGAAGTCAGCACGTGATTCACAAACTCTTGGCACGACTCGCAGCCGAGCTCACGACGCACTGACCGAAATCGCTCGCGGCACTCACAGAGAAAGTTCGACCGAAACTCCCAATTCTTCAAAAACCAACACATATCGACTCTTCGAGGATCACCCGACAGCGTCGTTATATCTTTTCAAAATGGTATGCACCACCGATTGAAGGAAGCGGTCTTGAGAGAGTGCGCGTCTCCCTGCGCAATCTCCCACCCGCGGACAATTACAAAGGCCACACCAGACTAACACTGCGCTCAGTCGGATGTAGAAGAGCCCACCAGCCCCGTCGCCGCCGCCGAGGAGGTCGAAGTTGGCGCCGATGAGTCCGCCCAGTCTGGCTCGATGAGCGTCCTTGACGCCCTCAAGGGTGTTCTCAAGATCTCCCTCATCCACGACGGTCTTGCCCGCGGTCTCCGTGAGGCTTCCAAGGCCCTCGACCGCCGCCAGGCACACATGTGCGTTCTTAACGAGGCTTGCGAGGAGGAGGCCTACAAGAAGCTCATTGTCGCTCTCTGCGGTGAGCACAAGATTCCTCTCATCAAGGTTCCTGATGGCAAGCAGCTCGGCGAGTGGGCCGGTCTCTGTAAGTTTTTACGCTCACCCCCATTTCTTCTTATCTCTCTTCTAATACAATCTCAACAGGCCAGATTGACCGTGAGGGTAACGCCCGCAAGGTCGTCAACTGCTCTTGCGTCGTCGTCAAGGACTGGGGAGAGGAGTCGCAGGAGCGCTCCATCCTCCTCAACTACTTCCAGACCGAGCAGTAAACGCTTCATTGCGCTTTACGCCGCGTCTTTTCAACCACCGAGCCTCCCGAACATCAATCATCAACCACGTCGACTTGCAAACATAAACATGCATAGTACCGAGGGTCGGGCAAAGGTGTTTTAACCGTTGGGAATGGCAATGGCATACAAGTTCAAAATGGAATGAGAAAACTCTCCAAACAAACATCGATCGTGCACGTGAATCTTCTTGAAATGTGATTATGAATTAGTGCGGCGCGTGTATCTGTCAGCGCTCAAGACGAGCAGCACATTCTCGTTGACGGTATCACAAGCCATCATCGCCCTCTTCCTGAACCTCCGCCATCGACTACGAGCTCATTTGAACTGCCATGAAGCAAGTGTCCCACCACTCTTGGCCGCCAGTCTCAATCGTTGATACGGACTCGTCTTGGTATCGAAATAAAGACCCTCAATGTTGCCGTCGCTCCTCCGCAAGCTGACATAGTAAAATCCGCTGATCGTTAATCCGTGGTTCAGATCGTTATCGTCCCCTTCGCCAGACGTCGTATGTTCGCTGTGTGTGCGGCACAAGTCTGATTCGCAGTGTATAAAGCAGCGTTCCTTCCAGCGCATGAAGATCCAATCCGACATGATCTCATCCATCTGTGCCCGACTCAGCATTGCTCGCGCGACATCTTGATCAGACTTCATGCTGCTGAATGGTGGTAAGTTACGCCAATAACCCGCATCTGTTAGAGCCGAGGTTGTCGGGAAGGTGATGGGTCCAGGGTTTGGTTTGGCAGGTGTGAGAAAGGTGTGCAAATTCAGGTCAATGATCTGCCCTTCGAGATAGGTCGTGATTGGAGGCGTAGGTGTGCCTGTCTCAGTAGACAGATGTGTTGTGCTAGGAACGTCAAATGCCTCCATTGTACCAGCGACTGTCATGTTCAGGAAGTCTATCGCTTGCACCGTAACCCTGACAGGCCAACGCTCTTGAATCTCTCGAGGCGGTAGTGTCAAGTTGGACAATGTATTTGCCGAGAAGGACGGTGGGTTAGAATGTGAGTATGGATTGGGGTGATGACCCAACCAGGAGGGACGAGTGGTATCGAAGACTGGAGCCGGCCGTGCAGAGGATGCCTTGACGGCCGTGGTGGTATTCTGAGTGCCTCGAAAGACAGCGCCCGGGGCAAGCCATGAGGAAGGCTGAGGGCTTGGGCAGTTGCCTGTATCTGTGATAAGATCATCGTAGCATTCTGGAGCGAAAAGACCATGGTCCAAAGCAGTGCAGAGTGAGTCGTCGTATGAAGAGCACTCCCGCACATCATCAAGGTACTTCACAGCGGACTCGAGTAGAGGCGAGGGACTTGATAGAAGACTTGTTGTAGTTGTCGTTGTTGTCGTCAAGTCTTGTGCGGGGCTATCAGCCAGGTATGTTCGACGGTATGTGCTTCGAACGTCTTGTGTATCATTCACGTCATCGTTAAGCCGTTGGCTTCCACTAGGCGAGCGAACAGTGGTACGAGCATTCTGCATGATGGCAGCACTTCTCAAGTCATGGCGCCGGTAGAGAGCACGTCGGCGCGAGGCAGCCTGGTCTGATTCCTCCTGGCTTTCGTTGGTAGGAGCCCAGTCATACAGGGACTGCTGCTGTGTCGGTGGTACGCCGTAGGTCGGTCTTGAGTCGTCGAGGCGGGACAGTCTCGCGAGCACTCTCTGGAGCCTTTGCCTCCTTGTTTCATCCTCGGCTGAGCGATCGGTGGCTTCTGCTTCTCGTCGGCGGTCGAGGCGGTCCAGGTCTCTCAAGAGTTGTCGGTCACGAGTCGAATGCGACATGTCTGCTATCGCTTCCTCTACCGCTGCAGTGTCCCAGACATCAGCGTCTTCTGCGTCGACGTCTGGCAGAATCAGAACGAGAATCCATCTTCCAAGCTCTCTGTCCCTTCACCTACTTGGTGTATTTCCGGCAGGTGTGTTGTCGGGTCGTGGCATTGGCTTTGGAGCGTTCCGCGATGATGCGCCGCTGCTCACAAGCCCTCAACGGTGATGACGGCCTGTTTTGACTAGCTCTTTGTACTCAAGCACGCAACCTTGTTGATTTACACGAGACAAAGCCTCGCTGCGCTCCAGAATTCGGTTTGACTTGCTTCCAATCAGCTCGATATACTCGCTTGGAAGGCACTACCGAGGACTCTTGATCGTGCGACTTGCTCACTAGGGTACATCGCAGCACCTTCCTAGTCGACAGGCGTCAAACACGCCCATAACCTAATACCACCTTCCATGCCATCGCAGTAAGTCCAACACCACAACATCTGGCAATACTACAGGTCATCGCATAATATGTCCATTATGAATTTGCTCTTGTGTCTCACGGCCGATTACTCGACATCTTCGACTTATAAATAGCCTACTTTTCGAGTCACTGTGGTCGCGGATCTGTGGGCCCCATTACTTGGTACGCGCCGCTGTGTCAGGAGTGATCAGGGTTAATACACTTTCGAGCGACGACGTCTGTCGCTCTTCAACATCTTTTCTTCACTCCCAAGCACTCTTTTTCTCTCCTCACCTCTGTCTGTTCATTCCTTTGTTGATCTGTGGCCGGCCCACGATCGTCCTGACACTCTTTCTACTTACCCCGTCAATCATTGTACCTTCTATCGTCCCAGTCATTACTATCTCATCATTTCCATCTTCGATTTCAACATGCCTAAATCCCACAGTAGAGTACAATCTAGTCATTCCATTTCTGAGTTTACTCACTACGATGAAAAAAGAACCTGGATCATGGAGGAAAGTTACCAGCCTTCAAGACAAAGCAGCTCGCGCCAAAAGATGCTAGTATACATGCTTTTTCTCGCAGAGGCAATCATGGCGGCATCACTATCGGCACAAATCCCTCTTCTTGTCGCTTCCTCCTCGTCTGCTTGTTCGGACTACAGCTCTGCATACATTCGAAGCCTGCTGGAATGCGCCTACTTCTTTGGCAGCACTTGCAGTATCTTCTGGGGCTCCGCAGCAGATATCTTTGGCCGAAAGGTGATTTCCATGCTTGGTCTGGTCGGTACATTGGCTTGCTGCCTGTTCATGGGATTCGCTACCTCTCTTCCTGGATGGGTCACTCTGCGATTTTTGGCTGGCTGCATGAGCTCAGCCATATTCACATCTGCTCTTGCGATGCTTGCTGATCTTGGCATGCCATCAGCTGCTTCCCTTCGAACTGTATCGTGCCTCCCTCTTATATCTGTCTGTGGTGGCATTGGTCCACTATTGCAATCACTTGTCAGACAGCTCGGTAAACGTGCACCTGCCGGCATCTGGTCGCAGTGGCCTGCACTGAACGGTCAAGTCGCGTGTGCTGGTATGATCTTCATTGTTCTCTTGGTTGAAGCCTTCTGTTTGCGAGAGGTGAGTATTGCCGTGTCCTGTCGACGATAAATATGCTAACTGTCATCTAGACCCTGAATACCGAGTCCGCGGTCGATCGAATCACCGAGAAAGCAACTCTGCTTGGAACCAAGTCCGAGGACAGCGAGACATTGCTGTCTGTCTCTGTTGTCGATTCAGACGAGGAGCCCACGAGTATTTGCATCGACGACTTCCTGCAAGCTCCCTCCTTTGTCACTCTTCTGGTGTCATTCTCTATTCTTTCTTTACACTCATCAACATTTGAAGTACTGCTTCCTCATCTCGCCGACTCACCTGCCAACATGGGTGGTATGGGTCTCCCCTGCGGTCTGCTCAACACCGTCGTCACAATCGTCAAGGCGATAGCCGCTATTGGCGTCTTCTACACTTTGCCAAAGTACACAGCCAAGCTAGATGTTCTAGCCACTTACCGTCAGGTCTCTGTCGCTTTTCCGGCCATCTATGTTCTGATCCCCTTCTTTGCAATGCTGGCCACAGTCTCTGGCGCCCCTCCTGTGTCTTGGGCCGTCTTCTCCACCGCGGCAGTAGTCGCCAAAGAACTTTTCGCCGAACTCGCACACGTCCTCGCCATCCTCCTCGCATTCTCCGCGTCACCTAATGCATCGTCTGCAGGCACTGGCATAGGCCTACTGGGTCTCTCCAATCTTTTCAAGGCACTTGCTGTGGGTGTCAGTGGATTGAGTTATTATCTATCAGACGCATATTCAGTGGTCTCTATCAATGCCATTCTATGGGCGCTTTTGGCGGTTCTGGCATTTACGGGTTCGTGTGTTAATTCAAGGTTAAGAGAGGCTCCGTTGGTTGGACAGGATATTCCGGCCGAGTTGTTGAGGTGGAGCAGTGTTTTTGATGCAGAGTCGGATTCTGAAGCTGATGTGTAGATGCTGTGTGTCTTCTTTTGTTATCGGTGGTATAGATAGATTGGGTCCATCACAGGTGTTTGATGTTTCTCTTCAATACGGTGCACAAAGACTACTTGTTGACTTCGTGACGACTCAGAGTGTACCAAAGTGTCGAGTAGTGTGCACAGAAGTCTGCTGTCTGATCGGGACGAGAGTGTGTTGTCCGAGGGGCAGGAGCATACTACAGGCGCAGTCGTGCAAGAGAGGGGCGAGAGATCAGTGTGATCATGTCATCATCAAAGGTTCGAATTGAAAAGGTTATGCTACCTGTACACAGCCCCATGCCAGAAGTGCATCTTGTGCTCAACGCCTAAACGCCATCCATGCATGACATTTGACCGCTTTAAGGGCAAGCGACAGGCATGTCGTCCTTGTACTCTTCCTCGCGGATACCGTCCTTGGTGACGACCTTGACAATCATGCCCTTGAAGTCGATGGGAAGTCTTCTCTTGAGCTCGTCTGTGCACATTCTGAGAATCTTCATGCCTTGCTCAAAGGAGATGTCGGGGTGGTGGTGCTTGTCGAGTGTTGAGAGACAGTAGTATTGTGCGTAGCCGTGGGCGGCGTATGGGACGGCGGCGGACGAAGCCAGGTAGTCGATCCAGTGGAGGGTGGGCTTGTCGTTGATTGTGTCGTAGCCACCGAGCAGAAGGTTGACGGTGTAGGGGCGTTTTGATCGGAGGGCCTTTGCGAGCTCTGTGCGGATGAATGAGGCGGTTGCTGCGGGGTTGAGCTCGATGTCGTTGCGCATGCCGTACAGCTGGACGTTTGCCTGGACGTATTCGGCGAATTGGACTGCAGGCGATGGATTAGACTGGGAAAGTGACGGGATTGATAAGAGCGGACATACTGGTGTCGCCGGCCTCTCCAGTCAGACCCATCAGGATGTGCTTGCTCAGCGGGCGGGTCTTGTCGTCCGAGGCCTTGAGGACAGTTGCGCCGCGCATGGCCGCCTTGGAAGCGGCGATGATGGTGAAGTCCTTGCCAGTGATGCCGAGAAGACAGTCCCTGTGACAGTGTTAGCGATGAGATACAAGCAAGAGAATGGGTCTGCTACGTACATGATGAATGCGAGGTGGAGCGTTTATTTGTGATGAAGGGGGATTGTTGTATGCGTGCAAGCTTCCAGCCAGGTCGAGCTCTTGGATGCGTCGGCCGGCGATGATGCGCTGTCGGTGCTTCCAACTCCGATCTTTTGCTTGGCACATGCATCTTTTTGGTTTGCTCTCTCCGCATTATCACTTTTTTGCGATCAAGGCCAACTAATTTTTTGGTTTCCTCGCATCTTATCAGAGTCTTCCTAGACTCTTACCTGGAAAGGACATGGCTTACAAGGCCGAATACAAGACGACTTTCGAGCCTGGAAAGGTCATTCAGCCCATCTATACTGGAGGAAGTGTCGCCCTCAGTCAGGATGGTCGCATTCTCGCATCATGTGTAGGAGAGGATGCTCTTTTGAGTGATCTGGCTACTGGGGAGCACTTGGCTAGAATCGAAGGTGTAAGTTGTACTGCCGGGCCCTCTCAGCGTGGCACTGACGAGTTGACACAAGACTTTTGCAGGACGGTGAATCCATTACCACTCTGGCCATGACTCCCGATGCCTCGTACCTGGTCCTGTGTTCTCGCAACCTTTCCATGCGCATCTTCTCCTTACGGACATCGCCAACGGCGGACAGAAGCATAGACGCTACCCTCCTCCGAACCCTCAAGCCTCACACTGCTCCTGTTGTTGTCGCAGCAGTCGATCCTACCTCTACTCTCCTGGCAACTGGTGGCGCCGATGGTACCGTTAAGGTCTGGGATATCAAGGGAGGCTTCACCACACATACTTTCCACGGACACAGCGGCATCATCTCTGCTCTCCATTTCTTCCACGTCGATCCTTCCGCAAGCGAAGCACAGAACAAGTCGCGCAAGAGAAAGAGCAGGTCCGGTGACGACGAGAATGCTTCAGAGGCCACTGCTGGCTACAGGCTAGCATCAGGAGGTGAAGACGGAAAAGTCAGAATTTGGGATCTTCACAAGCGCAAGCCCGTTGCCACTCTGGACTCGCACGTCTCGGTCGTCCGCAGTCTGGACTTCTCCTCTGAGCAACAACTTCTTCTTTCTGCCAGTAGAGATAAGACGGTTATCACATGGGATGCAAAGACATGGCAGTCCAAGTTGACAGCGCCTATCTTGGAGACGGTCGAGAGAGCTGGCTTCGTCGCAAACGGAGACTTTTTCTTTACTGGAGGAGAGAACGCAAGAGTTCGTATTTGGGACATGGCTGGTCACGAGAGAACAGAAGAGCAGGAGCCTGGAGTCGAGACTGAGGCCATTCTGGACGTTATTCACCACTCCGATCTGCCCTTTTTGCTCTCCGTTCATGTCGACATGACACTGGTTTTGCACTCCCTGGAACCGCTCATTCAGACAAACGTGGATGTCTCTATCCCTGCGCTGCCCATCATCCGCCGCATTTCTGGCACACACGACGAGATTATCGATATGGCCTATGTCGGCACAGACAACTCAATGCTCGCTCTGGCAACAAACTTGGAAGACATCCGTTTGATCACCCTCAATACTGAGAGCAAGAACGACGGAGGTAGCATTGCGGATGCTGCGTACTTTGGTGCAGACGTTGCTCTTCTCAAGGGTCACACCGACATCATCATTACCATCGACACTGACTGGTCAGGCCACTGGCTTGCAACTGGAGCCAAGGATAACTCTGCGAAGCTGTGGCGTCTGGACCCTGCGAACGACTCTTACACCTGTTATGCCACTTTCACTGGCCATGCTGAGTCAATCAGTGCCGTCGCTCTTCCCCATTTCGTTCCTGTCGTCGGCTCCAACGCTCACAGCAAGCCTCTTGAACACCCTCCTACATATCTTATCACTGGCAGTCAAGACAAGACCATTAAGCGATGGGACATCAGCTCTGCCAAGTCTGGCTCAGAGGCACAAGCTGTTCGCGCATCATACACCCGCAAGGCTCACGACAAGGACATTAACGCTATCGACACCTCGTACTCCCAACAAGGCACCCTCTTCGCTTCAGCTTCGCAGGACCGTACAGTAAAGATCTGGGACTTGGAGACTGGTGAGTCTGTTGGTGTACTCCGTGGCCACAAGCGCGGTGTCTGGTCTGTTGCATTTGCTCCTCCTGGTACACCGGCTATTGCGGGCGATTCTGGATCGAGCAGTGGCACAAGAGGCATGGCTGTTACTGGTAGTGGTGACAAGACTGTCAAGATCTGGAGTTTGAACGACTACACATGTTTGCGAACATTTGAAGGTCACACCAACAGTATCCTCAAGACCATCTGGCTTCCCATCTCGAAGAACCCTGGAAAGCGCGGCGAGCGTAATTTGCAAGTCGCCAGCGCAGCAGGTGATGGTCTTGTCAAGGTCTGGGATGCTCAGAGTGGTGAGTGTGCTGCTACACTTGACAACCACATTGACAGAGTGTGGGCACTGGCCGTCAAGTCAAACCGAACCGGCACCAAGCCTACTTCGGCGGAAGACGAAGAGGATGCACCCGAACCTCCCGTCGAGCTCATCTCCGGTTCTGCAGACGCTACTCTCACATTCTGGACTGACACCACATTGATGACGTCTCAAGCTTCGGCAACCAGAGCGACCGCTCGCGTAGAGCAAGACCAGGAGTTGCAGAACCACATTCAGGCCAAGAACTACCGTGAAGCCATCGTACTGGCCCTGCAACTCAACCACCCAAAGCGCTTACTCGACCTTTTCACTCGTGTTCTGGAGTCCGAAGACAAGGACGACGACAGCTTGATGGGTGCCAAGGGTGTTGACGAGGTTTTGGCTACGTTGTCCGAAGAGCAGCTCTGGAAGCTCCTACTCAGATGCCGTGACTGGAACGCCAACGCCCGCACCGCTCACGTCAGTCAACGTATCCTATATGCCCTCTTCCGCATATACCCCAAGGAGAAGTTTGTTCAGCTAAGACGAAAGAGAGCACGCAAGCCTCCTGTCGCCGAAGAGGACGAGCTTGCCCAAGGTATGGGTGCCCTTGAGGTCAAGGAGGACATCAAGAAGAACGAGAACATCAAGGATGTGTTGGAAGGTCTCAAGGCATACACAGAACGACACTACGGACGTTTGGAAAAGATGGCCGAGGAAAGATGGGTCTTGCTCTGGACTCTGCAGCAGATGGATTCATGATTGATGTTGTGGGTTTTGTCTTCTGCATGGTGTTTTGGAGTTTAGGTCATATCCAGGATATCAAATGCATCGTAGGGGAGTATCTGTCTCGAAAAAGCAGCTTCGTTTTTCTGTTACCCACCTACGCTATCTACCTCCTCGCTACTACACAGGTCCCGATTTGTGATTTTGACACGGGTGCCACGAGACACTTTAGGTGGATTCGAGTCGGTATTCCATCGCCTAAGGCCAGGCACATAGTCAGCTATGAAAGGCACAGTGTAATTTAACACGTACTAACCTTGTGCCGAAAGGCGACGAATCTCTAGTGCCACCTTCCAAGATGAATTACATTTGGTTTGCTACTGTGCATTCATGTGGTAGCTGACCAAACAGAGCGTGTCTACTTAAGAGTTGTCTCGAAGCAGTCTCCCTTGGCAGTGCGTCGGGTAGGTGGCTCCTTCCATGACAACAACACGTCTGATTGCGTCAACGATCTCTGCGCTTCGCCAGAGCATCTTCTTCATCCAAACACCACAATCATGCCGCATGACAGTTACAAGCCTCGCGGTTCGCGGCCCAATGGTCACCGCGTGACTGCGAATCCCTTCAGTCTTCCTGTCCGTCCTGCCTCCAGTTGGGAGGATAGTCGTGACCGTACGAGCGGGCAGCTCCACACTTCGGCCATGCATCAACTCAACCTTACTCAAAATGCAATGACTCCTGCTGAGCAACTCAAGTCTATGGTGCTTCAAGCCGGCGGCCATATCTTCACTGTGCCTCCGGCTCCCACTACTACGTCGGTGGACAGAGGCTCATCCGAGACCGTCGAGACGATCCATCGGAAGTGGTACGATCGCGGCTTGTTGATCCAAAAGCATGAGCGTCGTCTGAGTGACAGCAACAACCTCTTGTCGAAGATGTGGCGCCGCCTCGATCCCTATGATCGCGTGCTCAACCTCCTGAACAACGATGCCGTTGTTCGACGCCATGCCGAGCAGCGAGCAGATCCTGCTTACAGCGAGAACCCATACATGCAGAGCCTCTTCACTCTTCTGGCTGCCTACGACTATGTTCATACCATCGATCCGGACTTCGTCTTGAAGTCAAGCACATCGACTACTGACGCCGCTGTCACTGAGAAACGCATCAACAGCTTGGCAGCTACTGTCAAGCTACAGTCTGGTCTTCTCCAGGAAAAGAATGAGACTATCGACAAGCTACGTGCTCAGGTAGCAGCTCAACGCAAGGTCGAGAAGAAGCATATGGATTCCCTGCAGCAGTACGTCACTCAAGCGGACGCGCAGTACAGTCACAAGCAGCGTCAGGCCCAAATCAGCCAGCATATGGATGCCATGCAGCAGCAATTCGTCACCCGTCAGCCAGAATCGCAGCGCCAGGACAAGCATCACAAGGACCACCCAGATCAGCAAGTCGATCTGCAGCAATACGGTAATCAACCTGGAGACCTGCAGCTCAAAGACAAGGACAAGGACGATGTCATTGGTCGTCTGAATCGCCTGCTTCAGAAGGCCAACGACAGAATCTCGGTTCTCGCCAACACCCCACAGCCACCACCAAATCCTCCGCGTGCTCCGCGGGCACGTTCAACCAACCCAACTCGCCCTCCTGCACCCCCTCCTCGTACTTCTCCCCCAGCTACCAAGGTATGCTTCAATCTCGCGCTAGCTGGCGATCTCACGGTGGCTAACAATAATAGCTTCCGGAAACAGCATTTGGCGGTGTACCTGAGAATCACACGTCTCTCACCTTCGATGGATTCTCTGAGCACAACTCTTTCAATCCCGCTCGTCTCCAAATGCTGACCGCTGTCAACCCCGGTGCCAGGTCCGAGTCTCCCATGACCATGACCGACGCCGCCGCTCCCCGTTCGTCGGGGGCCAATTGTGCTCCACTAGGACCCCTTAAGAGACGCTACGACTCTGCCATGCAGAGTTCAGGTGATATTCGGGCTCATACGCCCATGGCTTCTCACTGGTCGTCCAACGTTGGCTCGATCAAGTACTCGAAGAGAGATGACGATGGCTCGAGAAGAGCTGTCTCATTCCTTGACTACGACGACCCGGACGAGAACATGGACGAGGATCCTCAGCCTGTCAAGCGCATCAGGACCAGGTCCGGAGTCCTCACTCCTCCTCCATTCGAGGATCTTGTGATGTCTTCGACTGAGCGTGATGGTGGTGTGTCCATCAAGAGCGAGACGGTCGACCTTGAGATGGGCGAGATTGAGGAGACTTCCACCACAAAGCATGCCTACGAGGAGTTGGATAAGATGATCAGTCAGGCTCAGAAGGATGCTATGGCCTGAGTGTTGAGTCCAGAGGCATCAATACAAGGCAAAAATAGCGGTACAGATATCGTTCTTTAGCTAGCATTATCAAGTAAGCATGTCTTCTCGCATCATCCTTTGCAAAGGTATTCGAACACGATTCCGCATTGTGAGACATTTGTGATCGTCGGCTCGAGGCGTTGGGGTCACCAACTACACCCCGTGTTTACAAAAGTGAAGTGCATATCGACCACTCATTGCTCGGGATAATTTCAAACGCGAGGAACTCCCAACACTCCATTCTGCGACTGTGTTAGCTGTTCATCAATTGTGCTGTTGCACATGGAGAGGCATGATAAGAGTGCTCACGATGGAGCAGGGTCACACAGACAGCCAGAAATATGAGACAGGCAAGTCGAACCGAAGCGCGCCAGATTCGCGTAGCATCGCGTCCTCCATCATCTACAACTTCAGTAGACAGATCAGTCCGCGCTCAAGTATGCACCATGAAGCGTAAAAGGCATCGAGGTGGCGTCACTGAAGTCGTCAAACGTACTGGAATCTGCAAAGACACCACAGAAGGCAACCACCAATCCACTCCGTCTGTCCTCCGGCTATACTATCCTCAAGTCTTGACGCTGCGAGAATACCTCTCGCAAGCCACAACATCGAAGAACAAAAAGCGGCAGATTCTCAATTACGGTTCTAATACCGTGGATATATCACAAGAGGCCAATTTGGATCTTGCTAAGCTCCTGGACATTGTCTTGGTCGGATGCCATGATGTCAAGCAAGAAGAGCATGATCTCGTCGACTATCAGAACGACCTCAGCATCTTCTCGACTCAAGTGTCTGGATCCACAGCCAGGTCCACTGGCTCACAAGTACCACTCGCCTTCTCTGAGATAGTCGAGTTCGCAATATGGCAGTTGTTTCGTAAGCATACATCTGGGCATCGACCGCCACATGTTCTTTGTCATGGATACTATCACGACGGCCTTGGAGCTGTCAGAGCATCGGCGAAAGCCAATGCGGAAGATGATTGTGAGCCTTTATCACATAATCGGAACGAACATGTGAACAGGCTCAAGGGAGAAGATTGGGCAGGTCTACCGACATTGGTTGGCACGAGAGGTACTATCGCAATTGTCAAGCTCCTACAAGATTGTGGCATGTACATGCCTCTGGAAGGTGGCAAAAATAATCATATGCAGATCAGCGGTGTTGATCTTTCTGAGCTAAGGTCTCTTGACAAACACAATCCTGCAGGCGGTCCCAAGCAGAACGGTGGAGCTGTATCGGCAGTCTCGAATGTCAACAAGGATAAGATACCACAGAGGCGAGAGGCCAACACACTCAATACAATCCGGTTCGTACGCCATCGTATCCTCTACAGAAAGCCCGACTTGAACGCCAAAAACGGGGCATATTTTGGGCTCCCTCACATTCGTAGGTCGCTCGCCACTAGACAGCTGACTGATCTCTGACACATCCTAGACATCCTCAATCGTGTCCAGCATGTCGAAGATGAGAATAAGAACGCCCACCTCTTAAAATATGTCTTCCCACGACAGTTCGGCCTGCACAATGTCTTTACCTATGAGGTTGACCTCAAAAACTCAGCTCAGCCATTTAAAGACTACACACTACGAGAGCAGGAGATCGAATCAGCTAACAAAAGACCCAAACATCGATCTCTGCCTAAAAGACTGCGCGGAGAGTGCGAGACTCTGATCGGCCAACTGAGTAATCGACATGCAAGATGCGCATACTCGGCTCTGCTGCACTACTATTGTCCTGATACATTCACACGAGAGCACAGCGAGATCACCGAGGGTCGGAGCATCTTGCAGATCGCAACGTCCTCTTCACAAGTCTCAGCCTTCTGCAGGTCTGCAGTAGCAAAAGTCTTCCCGGGCAGGTTTTGGGGCCATGGGGAAGCTGGAGCCACGAACAAAGCGCATGTGATGCAGCAGATCGATCGTTTTGTCAAGCTTGGGCGGTATGAGAGTTTGATGCTGCACGAGGTAGCCCAAGATATCAAGGTGCGGAATGGGCAAAGCTGACAACGTGAAGAAAGCTGACAGAGATACCAGATATCCAAGATTGCCTGGCTCAGACCACCGCACGAGACTGAAAGCAGTAAGATGTCAGCATCTGACTTCAGAAAGCGAAAAGAGATTTTGGCAGAACTTCTTTATTACCTCTTCGACTCGTTTCTCATACCATTGATCAGCAGTAACTTCTACGTGACAGAATCATCCACTTTCCGCAACCGCCTACTATACTTCCGTCATGATGTTTGGCAGAAGTTGTCCGAACCGGCGCTAAACAAGCTGAAGCTGTCAATGTTTGACGAGGTTGGAAAGGGCAGGATGGAAAAGACATTGTCCGACATGTCGATCGGTACCGGTCGTGTGCGGCTGCTGCCCAAGGAATCAGGCCTTCGGCCCATCATCAATTTGAAGCGAAGAGTACAGGCCAAGAAGAACGGTAGGCTGGTACTAGGCAAGAGTGTCAACAAGATCCTGGAACCAGCATTCCGTGTCTTGAACTTGGAAAAGGTAAGGCTCACATCCACTGCAATGGAGTAATTGACTGACCGATTGCTAGACACTGGTACCTGGAAAGCTGGGATCGTCAATGTTCTCTTCTGATGAGATGTATCAGCGTCTACACCGCTTTCGAAACCAGTTGAAGCAATCTGGAAGTTCCCAGAAGCCACTCTACTTTGCAAAAGTTGATGTGCAGTCTTGTTTTGACAGCATACCCCAGAAGCCATTGCTGACACTGTTGAACACTTTGATCAGTGCAGAGAGCTATACAATCACGCGATTTGCTCAAGCAAAAGCACTTGGGGACTGTGTCCAGTCTGATGATCAACCCATCATCATGCCCAAGGCGTCATGGAAGTTTAAGGGCAAAGCTCAGATTACCGACCAGGAGGCGTTGTTCTCCGAACACGCTAAGAAGGAAGCAGAAGCAGCGCTCGGCACTGTCTTTGTGGATCTGGAAGGTAAGACGCACAGGAGTCGTGCTGGAATCCTTGCATTGCTCCGAGAGCACATCGAACGCAATGTCGTCCAGATTGGCAAGAAGTTTTATCGGCAGACCACAGGCATACCGCAAGGCTCGGTCGTTTCGAGCTTGTTGTGCAACTTTTTCTATGCAGAGCTTGAGAGCGACGTGCTGGCGTTCGTGCAAGATGGCGAGAGCTTGCTTCTTCGTCTGATCGACGACTTCTTGCTCATCACCACAAGTCATGATACTGCGACTCGTTTTGTCCAAATTATGCACCGAGGACTTCCTGAATATGGACTAAAGATAAAGGAGGACAAGTCAAAGGTCAACTTTGACGTACAGGTTGACGGAATGGTTGTGTCCAGACTACCAGCAATCACGAACTTCCCATACTGTGGTAATGCGATCAACACTGTCAATCTCAACATCACCAGGGATGAAACCCGGCGGCAGCAGAACAGTAAGGGCATGCACAATTCACAAACCCCAATGTTTATTGACAAGATGGCAGACATGGCGGCAGCAACGACTGTCGATTTTTCGAGATCACCAGGACAGGCCTTTTACCGCAAGACGTTCAGGTGGGTTCGGCACAGCATACGCCCAAGTCGCACAGGGCGGCAGGGCAGATGTTGAAACAAAACTGACGCCTGTGTAATAGCATGCTGAAACTGCATATGCACACCATGCATTTGTGCACCCAGCACAATCACATCACAACCGTGATCACCAATGTATCCTGCATGTTCGCAGATACGGCGGAAAGATGCTTTCACTACATCCGATGTCTCTCCCAGACAAAAAGGCCATCTGCCGCTCTGATTATAAGTAAGTTGGTTCATATGTCGAAATGTGTGGTGATCAAAACATTGAAATTCGTTCATAACTACGTTTCTTGCACGGTTGGGTGTCGAGAGCGTTCCGAAACAAGCGTTGATCGACATTTGATCGTTGATCGTTTGCCTTGACTCGGTAACACATCACTGATTCGAGCTTCGCACCACAGAAACGATTGACGACTTGATACATGTTAGCTATGGACTCATGAAACGCAAAAGAGAGAAGAGGAACAGTGACGTCGAATATGCATGCGCTTTGAGCAAGGCACAAACACGTTGGTAAGTTCAGCATGAATGCCAGATGACATTTCTTCATAACGGCGATCACGGTGAATGATGGAGGAGACAGTCCGATGAGGGCAGAGGATCATTGAGCTAACACGGCCTCGGTGTACTGCATCCTTCGCACCATCATTCATCCCGCGGGGAAAGACCTCCACTGATCGCTGAAGGCTTGTCAAAACTTGATATGTGCTGATTATTGAACAACGCGACAGGCTGGCTTGTGACTCGTTCTTGAAAACATTTGCAAGACGTCAGACGGGCTTTGGTGGCTTGCTATCTTGGCTACAGCGGGAGATGGCGGAAGCGGGATTGGCTTTGAAAGCTAGAGAAAGACAGGCGCTTGAGAATGCGGGCGTGTAGAGCCAAAAAAAAAAGTTATCAACCACTCGCGCCGACACGGTGATATTCCAACATTTGCATGGATGAAGCGGCGGATCAGATGAACAAGTGCATGATTTTGAGATAGGGCAAAGGGACAGGACTGGTTGGTCTCATTGAACGACGAGCAAAACCCCGCATTTGAGACACGGGTCGTGCGATCACGATACAAGTACCAAACGCGATCAAAAACGGTGCTGCGGTGCTTGCCTTTTGCGGGTGCAGGTTTCCTTGAATATGGCGGGAGCTTGGCTTGACGAGGTGGAGGGGCGCTTATGAGATGGGTGGACTCGAGGCGCATCATAGAAATGACAGCCTTTTTCGTGCCAGCCATGCCAGAGTTGGCAGCAGCATGCACGATGCGTTAAACCCGGGTTCTTGTGACAAAGGAAAGGCTATCAGTCCCAGACGTTCACGGTCAAAAGCTATGCTCCCCCTCGTCCCCTGATTGCGAGAAGATTGCCAGAAATACACAACAAGCAGCGACCGTTTTCAATCTAAGGAGATTCCCCAGCACTATCAGGCGTGCAGTAGAGTCGGTCGGTCTCGGCACAAGAGGCAGACGAAGATCCGCTCGCAAGACTCCTTTTTTACCGCCAGGAACGAACGGCCGAGCCCTCAAGAATGGCTAGCGCTTTGACATATTTTGTTGATGATCCACGCCGCCGTCTGGAGACTGTCGAAGCCTCTGGACCGGACGTCTTTCTTTTCAACAATCCACCCCATCATCACCATTCTTCTTCTTCTATATTTTCTTCCGCGCCCAGGTGCTTGACGTCCAATTCTCTGCATCATTTCCAGTATCCCATCTCCAGCATCGAGGCCAAGAATGATTATTGGGCCTTTTTGAAGCATAGCAAGCCCCCATCAACAACAGCAAAGCCCCGGCCTTGCGTCCGCTCTTTTATTATCCCTTGCGCCAGCGACACAAAGACAATGACGACCCATGTACATACGAGACCCATCACCACTACCACCCTTCACACCGACCGAGACCCCAGCCCCGGATCCCCACCAGAATTGACTGGCTCAAAGTCGTCAAAGTCGTCAGGCTCCTTCCGCTCCACCTGCTTGACAAGTCAACCGAGTCACGACAACCTGTCGCACTTCGAGGAGATCGTTCTGGCCGCCGACTCGGGCAGAGACGAGGCTGACGACCTACACGTCCGAATCACCCAGAGGAAACTGTCGAATACGCGTCCTCCTCCATCTCGTCGAGCCGTGTCCGCCGCCCCTCACAATGGTCGCAGTCCTTCGGCTCCTGATGTCTTGCGCGACGCGACAAACATTCACCGTCCACGCTATCCTAGCCTGAAGTCTCACGTCAATGCTGCCAATCTCAATGCTCGTCCCATGCGTCGAGGCTTTACCAGTCCCTCAACGCCAGCACTCGTCATGGGAGCAAGGTCTCGCTCTTCCAGATCCGTGTCTCCTCAAAGCCAGGCCCTTAGCGATGGCAGTCGCTCTCCAACCTCTGCAGCACCGAAGACTCTAGCTCCCAGACCACCAATCAGAGCCCGCAAGTCGGTAAAACAACTCGAGGCTGAATATCACGATTCAGATGAGGATGTGCCCGAAGATGCCGTCATCTGGAATGTTCCCATCTCTCCACGTCCTCCGATGCAATCTACCCCTCCTAGCCCGACAAGGACTATTTCGACCGCTCTTACCCCAGAACTCAAACCAACAGATAGCAACACATCCTCAAAAGACGAATCTCCCCGCTCTGCCACGCGACCCAATATGCGTCACAGCGCTACCATTGGCGCATACCCACCAGATCCGACCTCGCCCAGGCTTCAGCGCGGCAGAACATGGAATGAAGATCTCAGTGAGGAAGCCCGTGAGGTGGCAGCCGCTTTGGAGGAGCACGCAGAACGCGTCTCTGAGGAAAGACGTCGTTCAACTCGCAACAGCACCAATGGCAGTCCTCCGAGACCTTCTATGAAGCTCAGAACAAAGACAAGCGTTATGGAGTTGCCTCCTCTACAAAAAGGGAACGTCATGATCGATCCTCTGCCAATCAGCAAAGAGAAGGAGGCCGTACTAACAAGGACACGTCCCTCGTGGCTCCCGCCGAAAAGTCAAAAGGAGGAGAAGAAGCACATAAAAGAGTGGGAGAGGATGATGGCAGCTGCTGAAGCAGTCGAGAAGAAGCGCATCGCCAAAGAAGCCGAGCAACAGCAACAACGCAAGCATGTCGAATCCAACATCGCACGTATCTGGGAGCAACATGTTATTCCCAACTGGGATCACGTAATCAAGGAGCCTAGAACTCGCGAACTCTGGTGGCGCGGTGTGACCCCAAGAGATAGAGGTACCGTCTGGAGCAAGGCCGTCGGCAACGAGCTGTCATTGACCGAAGTGTCATACGCCAATGCTCTCAAGCGTGCTCGTGCTTTACAATCCACAGTTAATGAGCTTCCTGAAGAAGAACGATCCAAGCACGCCGATGCAGGTTGGCTGGCCGCCATTTCACGCGATGTCCCAACTGTCTTCCCTGAGCTCGGCATCTTCGGTCCTGGAGCACCTCTTCACGCTACACTTGAAGACGTACTACTGGCTTACTCTGCCTACCGCAGTGACGTTGGTTACGTCTACGGAGTTCACACGATCGCTGGTTTGCTTGTACTCAACATGAGCGCTTCGGCCGCCTTCATTACCCTTGCCAATATGCTTAATCGGCCTTTGGCTCTCGCCTTCTTGATCAACGATCAAGCCACCGTTTCTCGCATCTATTCGACTGTTCTCTCGACATTAAAGTATAAGATGCCCCGTCTGCATGAACATCTTACAAGTACCGAAGTCGGCTTCAAAGGACCCGAGGAATGGTTACATCCATTCCTCGCTACCCTTGGCACTCAACTACTCTCTCCTGACTCGTGCAGTCGACTCTGGGATATCGCCGTATTCGAAGGCGACAAGACGTTTGTACGTGCGGCTGTCGGCATACTGGCATTGCTCGAGAGCAGACTCTACGGACCTCGCGAGGAACTTCTATCTCTCATCGGCTGGGGTGCGCGACCTCTGGAGTTTGAAGAAGAACAAGTAATTGTCGCCATCCGTGAAGCTGGCAAGATATCTCCCCAAAACTCCACCTCTGATCTGAGCAATGGCAACAAGCGATAGTGCGCCCATGTCATACTCAAGAAACGGAGATGGCTTGCAGCAAGAAAGAGAAGGCTGGTCTTTCCCCTACGGTAATGTGTTTACGAAATAGTCTCAAAAGGGAAGGGTTATTGCAGTGTTTTTGTCGTCTTTTGTTGTTCTCTTTGCGTTGTTCTTTCTTCTTCTTCCCTTTTCTCTCCATTAAAACTTCTTGTTTATTCTTTACTGTCTCTTTTACCCCTCTTCTGCTAACCAGCTTCCACAAGCTTGGCTAGAGGTGCAAAAGAAGATGATCATAACCTACCATGGCTCACACATCTTTTTCCTTTGTTCATCATCATCACATCACCACTGCGGGCATCACTCAATTTCGTTGCTTTGTTATCTATTCATAAAGGGATTCGCTTGTTGTATGGATGGGTGTGGGTGGGGATCCGAAGAGTTGCGGATCTCTTGTTGTTGTTTTCTTACCATTGCTCGATAACTTGTAATGGGGAAGGTGCGGAGAAAGATCGGACGAAGGGTGGAAGAAAGGAAGGAACGAACGGTGTATAGCTTCTTTCTGTGTCTGCAAAGGCAAATAAGAATATTCTTTCCTACTCGAGGAGTGTCTGTTGTCACAGTTGTGACTATCAACGAGTCGAGGCGGTTGTGCGACACAGAGGACAATCATATTCTTGCATGTACGGATATGGTAGAGAGCTATAAATCTCTCGCATGTCCTGGAGCTTCAAAATATGGCGATACATAAACTGATGCATATCTAGGAGACACACATCATCTCTGTGCAGAGTCGATACCGTGTCTCTACAAAACATACATACTATAGGCTAGCACGCAAACCAGGCAGTAACAACTTGTTAGCCGCATCCCTCACCTCCCTCGTGATATTCTCCGCGCTTTCAATCTTCGTGACAAGTCCAATCGCCGTACCAGCATAAGTCGTCAACCTCGCCCTCTCACCCTCCCATCCCTTATCTCCCGACTCAACAGCCTCTTCGTACAACTTCTTGTTATCCTCAAACTTCACGCCGGCCTCATGATCTCTAAAACTCGCATTCAGCACACCTCTTCCACCATATCCGGCCGGCCACTCTGTGGTACCGCGTAATTGATCGTAAACGGAGGAGCGTATCGTGCTTACTCCACCGTCTGAAGCGCGTAGTACGGCATCGCGGTACCCGGGTGCGATTGTAGCTTCAGTAGCAGCGAGATAGCGGGTTCCAAGGCATATCCCTTGGGCACCTAGCACGATTGCTGCGGCCACACCTCTACCATCACTGATTCCTCCTGTAGCTACAAAATGCGGTAGAGGTGTTGATGAAGTTTTGCACAAGTCCGTGATTGCATCGATGGCCTCAGGCACCAAGGAGATTATGCCAGCGCCTTGGGCAGCGCCGTGGCCTCCTGCATCAGTGCCTTGGATTACCAACACATCTGGCTGAGCGAGTTTTGTAGCTGCGAGGGCTTCTTGCACGCTGGTTACTTGGATCCAAATTTTCGACTTGTTGGATGTGGCGCTGCGGATTCCTTCTGCCCAGTCTTTGAGATCTTCTGGTTGTCTGGGGGCAAAGAGCCATACTGCTGCGGGTATGTTTTCGGGTTTACTCAAGATGGCTAGGGTGTCCTTGAGGGGTGCTCCCCATAGGAGAAATCCGACACCAATGGGTAGCACGCCTGTAGGGGATGGTAAATTGGCTTTGGAAAGGATGTCACGGGCATTGGAGAGTTCGGAGGCGAGAGTGCTGATGTCGCTGCCGGCGCCTATGAAGCCGAGACCATCGGCTAGGGAGACGGTTGCTGCCAGGGATGCATTGGCTATCAGACGCATTGGAGCGCAACTGATCAAGGGGGCAGTTGTCCATGGATATGCGGCTGTCAAGGAGGATGCCATGTCGCCTGGTGAGATTTGTGGTATAGCGGATGTTATTAGATCTCTCCTCAGATTTGCGACAAGGGAGTCGTGACCGTGTATCTCGAGGATACGGGGAGTCAAGTTTACATTATACCGATCTCTCAGGAGTCTGTCTAGAACATATACCTCACAACTGTGCCTCGGGAGTGTCGTTGCTTCTCCGCAACAAGGTGAGCGGGAAGGTGTATCCGCACGGCCCGGGGTGTTGACCGCCTGGCAGAATCTTTCGCGATTGCCAACGCCTGGCTTCAGTTGCGACTGTGAGAGTCGAGTAACACAAAGTATCCATATACCAACGAACTACTGCCATCTCCCGTCGACACTTGCGCGTCTGCATACTTAACAAGGAGCATACTTAACGATAACGCGACCAAACGCTCCTCTCGAAGAGCCGGCATACCTTATTCTCCCCCGTGCGCGATAGCAGTTTCCCTGTGTTACTGCAGCCATGAACGCACCCGACAGGTATGCGCCGCTTCTCCTTATTGTTCGCTCTTTAGCCCGCTCGTCACACGCAACTTCCTATTGAGTGATACATTTCCTTCACTCCTTCCCGTCTTCACATTCGCAAGTTCCGCTTGGTCGCAACCATATAAAATGACACTTTCACACACAACATATCCCTGCCACACTCGCAATCGCAGCCTACAGATCTATGATCTATCGACTTGGTTGTTCTGCACATACAAAGCACCTCGTCATACTCAACTGCACTCCACACTCCCCCAAAATGGCTCCTACCGGCTACCATTTCAAGGGCACTCCTGTCACACACATCACAGTCAATCGCGCAGACCATGGCGATGTCGCTAACGATGTACAACAAAGATTCGAGCTCTTCCTCCTCGGCGATGGCGAAAAGAAAGTGACCTGGGCACCCGAGACTCGTAAGCCTTCTCGACCTTCCATGCGCTTGTCTTTCGCGCTTGTCTGACACTCCATCACAGGCGTCCCTGACGCAGCAGTCTTCACCTTCAACAAGGAAGACCACACCCTTGCCAACCTTCTCCGCGCCAAACTCGCAAAGTCGCCAAACATTCTCTTCTCAGCCTACAAAGTTCCTCACCCTCTCTTCGCAACCTTTGAACTGCGTGTTCAGACCGATGGATCTCTGTCACCAAAGGATGCCGTCATTCGCGCCTGTGGAGACTTGATCCAAGAGTTGCAAAGACTGGACCAGGAGTTCACAAAGGAGTGGGAGTTGAAGAAGATTGCTGGTCAAGGCCGTGATGGACTTTGAAGAGCACGAAAGAGGAAGAAGTACAGCGATGATGGAGCATTACAATCAAGGAGTTTCGGGCGTTCAATGTTGCTGCGAATACATATGGAAGGGAAAGGCAACATCACATACACGTTCAAAAGAATCAAAAGGAGGAGAGGCGGACAAAAAGATCGAAGAAAAGGTTGCTGCCCTTTGATTCGACCCTCGAAAGGTGCGAGGCAGAAGCGTCTGACCTCGCCTGCTCTATTCGATTATGCTTAACTTTGCTCATCATGAAAGATACCCAGACCAAAATTATCAAGCAAGACCATCACACGAGCCTGCAAAAGTCAAGGCGACATCTTGGGTTATAGTCTTTACTGTGATTTTCAACGTGCTTACAGTCTGTAGTTCGCCTTCTTTGTACTATCTGCTAACCACCAGCTATACAGACGTTTTAGTCAAGATCCCATCTTCCAGGACACGACCTTGGCTGTCAGATTTGTCTCGGCAGCTTCATCACGATCTCGGCACCACGCTTCTAGTAGAAGCGCCTTCTAGTTCTATGCCAATAGCGTGATTTTGCAGCCCTCGAACAACCGCTATTTGGGTCAAATCTCACCATTATAAAGGTACTTGCCGGTCTTTACGTACAGCATGGCGAGGACTGATCTACCGGGGGTGCACTGTACATCCAGTTCCAAAGTCCCTTCATCCAAGATCTCAGCTTCTGCATCAAAGGCGTGGTCGACGAGTCACGCTTCTGCTCCACACCAGTCTCCATCAACCTCAAATCACCAGGTCTTGAAAAGCCTGGACCATCATCGCAAACAAATTTGAAAGTCTTGGGCTGTATAGGTTTCCACGCTTCCGGATGTTTGGACCAGTACCCATGACACAGTTTGCAAACTCTGAATTTGTACATCTCGACCCCTTGAGATAGTGACGGCCAGCGCTTTGGCGTCTCATCGGCGGGTACGATATAGCGACAACAGTGGCAGAGGAATCGATTTTCGACTCGTTGGTCGCATGATGTTCTGTGCTTGAATCCTTGGAACAGACAGTGAGGCATCTCTTTGTCGGTTAGAATTGTGATGAAGTAGAAGTATCTGTTTGTTTGGTTGAACTTGCGTATAGATTCAAAGTTGAGGAGTTTGTTGATTGCGTTGTGGAGTTCTCCTGGTAGAGACTCGAACATCGAGAGCTGCTTCTGCATCGTCACCATGGTTGAAATTCTGATGATGAATGTTGCAGTAAGAAGATCGAGCGAGGTAGAAGAAATCCTTTTCGTTCTTTGGCTTACACGTGTCGTCTATTCTATGAGTCGGATCGTAGGCTGCAACGATTCGACTCGGAGTGCTAGAGCAAGATTATGTCCAAGCAGCTCATCCATGCTCACATGGACCCTCTAATGGATTCTTCTTCGTCATAGCTCTGATATTTGACAGTCGTCGAAGCCCCAGACTTCTGTGATGACCTGAGAGGTAAGTGAACTTGGCTACATCGCCATTTACCATAAGCATCAAGCTCCACCATCACAGCATAACTTCATGATGTAAGATTGTTGGTGGCTGACTTCGATTGCTTCAGTTTGATGATTATGGAACAAGGCATACTACATTACATCGTTTCGAGGACTCGTCGATTACCAAGCCATGACTTGACCGTCTCCCTTATCCGAGATTCCAGGATTGGCCCAGTAGCGACCAGTGGTGCCGGAAATGTCACCGAAACCCAACTTGACAGGAATTTTGGCACCGTCGATTGGTCGCTTGGGTGGCTTGCCCATAATACCACCCATGTCAGTGTCTACCCAGCCTGGGCAGCATGCGTTGATTGTGAGGCCAGAGTTCTCCTTTGCAAGTATCGCGGTGATTGCGTTGACGCATGCTTTGCTGACACTGTAGCCTTGGCCCTTGTCGCCGAAACCTGAGGCAAGCTCCTTCTTTGCCTTGACAGCTTCCTGGAAAACAATCAGCCACGTCTTGACCAGACTCGAAATAAGTTACAACTTACCATGTAGTCGTCGGCAATCTTCTCAACATCCTCGTATGATCCAGTGTTTCTGAACCGAGCTGCGTTGTGCTGACTGTAGATCTTCAATTGACTTCCCACGGATGACATGTTGACGATACGTCCGGAATCTGAGAGAAGAGGGATGAAAGCCTTGCACATCTTGTACGTTCCACGGTAGTTGACGTCCAGCATTTGCTTCACGCTCTCAGGGGTGTGCTCCGGATACGTGTTGACTCCAGCATTGTTGATGAGCACGCTTATCTGGCCGTCTTCACGCTTGATATCTTCGGCAAGCTGCTTGATGTCTTCATCCTTAGTGACATCTAGCTTGGGGTACTTGATCGATCCAGAGCCAGCACTCTTGAGACCAAGGTCGGCTCCTGCCCTTGACGCCGCATACAACTTGACATTTTGGTTGGTCTTCAAGATGAGTTCGCAAATAGCAAGACCAATGCCTCGATTCTGTTGTCACCACATCAGAATATGGCAAATTGATATCATGGGTAGGGACCGACTGACCGCTCCAGTTACAATGACGACCATATTCTCTGACATTGTTAGTTCTCGAGCCAAGGAAGTAGAGGCAAAAAGTGTATAGACCGTGGAGATATCAGAAGATAAAAGCAAATTCAGAGCATCGTTCGAAGGTTTTGCGACTATTGGGCATCTTAATGCAGTTGAACATTTAGACCCCTAGAGATCATGCGTCATTGATCGCGAGACGCGTTAGTGCCACGCAGAGCGAATCTGCTTAACCCAAGGATTTCACCACAAGCATCGCGCCATGCAAAACGATAAGCTGGGCAATTGAGCCTCAATGCGAAACACTACCATGACCATCCAATCCACAGTATTGCGACTCAATTTAAGTCATGGATGTTGAGGCTCCGAATGAGGTGCCTGGTTTGCGATCTGCCGCTGATGAGATCTGAGGATCTGGGGTGCAGCCGTTCAGCCGCGGGCTGCACAAAACCAGCATCATTGCTGGCCGGTGGCCAGCTACGTCAATTCGATGAAGTGCCATCATGAGTACTTAAGACAAACTTTGCATACTTGTAGAGATAGGGCTGGTATATAGAGGCCTTGGGTGTTGCAACCCGAAGGGGGGCATCACTCCACAGGCTCCACCACACGCTTGAACCCATCCTCCATCAACAATATGCCCGCCAAGGACAATCTTAAAGGATGGCATTGGAGAGAGAGAATTGCTAGTTTTGGTTCACCATTGTCATGAGTATGTAAACGGCAAAAACTTGGTCTACTACACACTCTCTCTCTCTGATGGTAGAGTTCAAGCACCGGTGTTCTGCAGCAATGCTTCGTCAACTTCCCATACCCAATCGCTGGAGCGAATCGATGGCTTCGTGACATTGGTTTCTGCTTATGGATACTCGAAATCGTTCTCTTCGGCTTCTTCATTGGAATGCTGACATGGCGATACATCTCCCATCCGATACTGTTCAAGAAGAATATGAAGGAATTTCCACTAAGTTCTGAAACTAATGCTTATAATGTATATATGTGCTGTAAGGCATGACTAGTCCATAGCAACACGTCGCTTCATGTACATATCCTAAGCTCGAAATCGTGTGAAGAAGTGCAAGATGTGAGATGCTCTTATGTTTAGTTGGCTTGGAGATGGTGAAACGCGTCATTGCTTTGAACTTGTGCTTGAGCTTCGAGGGGCAGTCCACCGCCATCTCTTTCCATCACAGACCACACCACAGTCACAATGCAGTCTGGAATCTCAGGTATGTAGTAGAGTACTATTTACATCAGGGGACAAAGCTGACAGTTCGAATTCGCAGCATCGAAAGAATTGCAGGATGCATTCAACAACCTCGTGTCCTCATCCTCACAACGAGGCCTCCTAGCAACGATAAAGAACGAAACCCTCGTACCTCTCGAAACTCTGCAAGCCAGTGGAGAATTCCACAGCGATCTGTCTGGCCTGTCGCAGTACCTTAGCAAGGATGAAGCGAGATATATTCTGCTCAAGCAAGATGGCTCGGCAGCCGACGGCTACATCGCCGTAACATACGTACCCGACACAGCCAATGTGCGCCAGAAGATGCTGTTCGCCTCGACACGTTTGACTCTTGTGCGTGAGCTGGGAGTCGAACGTTTCCGCGAGACCGTCTTCTGCACTACGGCTGAGGAGCTTACACCGGCGGGCTGGGATCGTCATGAGAAGCACAACCGTCTGGATGCACCTTTGACTGAGGAGGAGGCTGGTCTGAAACACATCAAGGACACCGAGGCGCTGGAGAGTAGTGGAGGTACTGGTGGTAGAAGTCTGCCCAGTGCAGGTATCGCCCTCAACCTTGGTGACGAGGTCAGCGACGCTCTCGAGAGTCTCAAGGATTCTCGTGAAGGCTCGCTGGTCATGATCGTAAGTGCTTGGTGAGATGGGCTGTATATCACAAGAGACTGACCAAATGCGACAGAGAATCGATGTAGCAAGCGAGACCCTACACCTCGACGCTTCGAAACAAGACGTCCAACCCGCCAACCTCAGCTCCGAGATCAGCTCATCGGAGCCCCGCTACTCCTTCTACAACTATCCTGGTCAGCAAGGCGTTGTCTTCATGTACAGCTGCCCTAGCAAGAGCAAGATCAAAGAGCGCATGGTCTACGCCTCGTCCCGCTCGCAGCTCGTCACCCTGGCCTCGAACGTTGGCCTGAACATCACAAAGCGTCTCGAAGCCAGCTCTCCTGATGAGTGGTCAGCAAGCACACTGGCCGAGGAGTTTCAGGAACAAAAGGTCGAGACCAAGACGTTCGCGAGACCCAAGAGACCTGGAAGAAGGTAGACACTTGCACATACTCTGTATACCGATCGCCTGCATCTCAGGCGCAAATCGAAGCATTGACAACGGAATGGCACAGCAGAGAGAGAGAGAGAGAGAGAGAGAGAGAGAATAGTGAAGTCGTAGAAGATCAAACGCAAAGGTAGGCGGGTACATGTCTCGAATTATTTCCTACTCTTCGTAACTGCCGCCCGGCTTCATCTCTCTTCCTCTTTCCATGATCTCTTTCAAGTACTCGTACACGGCGAATGTGACGGCTTGACCGGGAGCGACACGCATAACACGAGGTGTGATGCCCATCCAGAACGCTCTAATACCCTCTTGCTTCCACATCTGGCTGCCAATGGTGACGATTCTGCCCACGGCAGTCTCGCCAGGCTGAGCAGGGTTCCTCTGTAATCTCGTCTTGATGGTATCAATTGGCGCATTGCTGAAAGGACCAACAGCACCAGAAATCAATCCAATAAACGCAGTCTGCCATCCCGGCAAGGCAGCGTTGGGAGATCCAGATCTCTCCTGCAACCAAGCCTTGAGCTCGGTGTACGCGGTAAAGTTGGCAGCCTGATTGGTTCCCTGTCTGAGTGCCGTAAGCGACACACCTCTGTACAAAGCACCCACACCCTCCTCCTTGACAACAGTATACAAAGCATGAGCAGCGTTTCTGTATTTCGGAATGTCCAAGGGATCAGCCATACTGTGGTGCTGAGCCTGCAATCTAATCTTGACGACTTCCATGGGGGTGACGACGGCAACGGCTTCTGTGACTCCTGCTGCTAGACCAGCCAAGAAGGTAGCTTTGGAGGTGATTTCTCCTGTGGGGGAGGCGAGAGCTTGCTTGTACCATTCGTAGGAGGTGAAGCGAATGGCCATCTTGGGCACGATACCCGTGAGGACGGCACCGAGACCTTTGTACAAGGCGAGAGGGGTTTCGCGTTTTACGATCGAGACACCGGTCTGAATGAAGCCGCGACGGGAGCCCTGCATTTGCTCATGAGTAATTGCTCGAGAGAAGGAAGCGGAGGAGTAAAGACATGGGATTACTTACACCACGTTGAGATCTTTTTGAGAGTTGCATGCGGACTTTTATTGTGTCGAGGGGATGGCAGACGAGAGCTTCCATCATGCCTGCTCCTCCGCCAGCGACGAGGTTTGTGGCTGCAGAGGCTGGCTTCTTGCCGCCGGGACCTTTTGTTGTTTTTGCTGACATGATTGCTCGTACTTCTTTTGTTGTTTGGGAAGGTAGTAGTCGTGTGCTCTTTCCTCGGCTGCAGAGCTTGCAGATGGGCTTCCCTCTTGTCGTGCTCGTCTCGAGTGAATTTGTTCGTGCGTTGACGGTTGTTTTGACAACTCTGTCTGATATCTCTTGCAAATACAGTATCGAGGGGTATAGCTCAAGCTACTTGCGACTGCAATGCGAAGACTAGGGGTTGATCACTGGATGACTAGGAATAGGGAGAACGAAGACAGTTGACGAAAGCAAGAGGAGTCATATGTTACTTCTTATTTATTTCCCCCCACTGCACGAGCTAGCTACCTCATAAAGTGTTGTCTGATTTGAGTCATCAGACCCTTTTACCGGTTACTTCTTGGGTGAGCGAAAAGGGATTGGCAGATGGACGAATGGATCACCTCGGTATTGGGAAATTCCAGAAGCTCAAACTGCCAAATATTCCAAACTCTCGTACCTGATCTATGAACTCGTCAACCATCCATCTTTCTGGTTTCCTGGGATACGTAGCACTTGCACACATTCAGTTGCCTCTCTGGTCTTCTTTCTTGCTCGTCAAGTCTCCCAATCGCAATAACAAACTCATTCATTCACCGAACAATTATCTCCAAAGATGACGTCGCGGGGGGTCCTGACATGTGCGTTCTCCGCAAAACGCCGATCTGGGGAAACTTTTCTTCGAGGGCTGCTTTGCATGCAACAGCCGAGGCTTGTCCCTCTGGCCCGAGAAACACATGAACGGGGGCCCGATTGTGTGACTCGAATCCGCAGAAGCTTTTGATTCTATAGACCGAGTTTGGACCGCGGTATGTCTCGAGTGAGCGTTCCGAAGTTTGCCGATGTTGTCGTTGGCTGTGACTGGTTTCGGTGAACATAGAGGAGATACTCGGAGGACCTGGAAGACAAGATCAAGGTTGCTGTTCACGTGGAGGTTTTGTGCAGCCGAGGACCTCCGATCTGGTCTGAGATGCAGGGGCGTGAGTATTATGAGCAGTATACATGAAAGGATCCATCTCGGCAGAGTGTACACACGACAGAAGATTGGAGTGGGCTCAAGACTGAAGTTTTGTTCTATGGATTGTCTCGAGAAAGATTCTGCCTTCTCTATCTATGCTTAGACAATACGACTTGTCAAGTCTTCTCTTTCTCTGAGAAGCTGGATGTGGTCTGCTACTGACCAGCAGAAGCAAAGAAATCGTCCGTTCAATCCTCAATCTTCATAGCATTCTGTTCCTGTTCGCCGCCGACAAGAATAGCAAGCATCTCGGCCACCTCTTTGGCATCTGCATCAATACGTCCTTGAATGTCGTTCTTGTCCAATGTCTTGAGTTGACCAAATAGCCATAGCTCTTGCATTTGGCGTGTGAGAGTCAGAATGTCTTCGCTTGTGCGTATCTGATACGATAGTCAGCATCGCTCGATTCTCTCCCGTTTTCTTGTATCATGAAGTATTTTTCGCGCAGAGATCATGGAGCAAAAACGATCACAAAGATGCAGTAGCTGGGAAGGGCAGGAAGAAAGCAGCAGCAGTCGATGAAGATGGGGACGAAGAAAACACAATCGAAAAGGTACCCAAGCAAGATAGACAACTTACCAAAGCAGCAGTCTCAATCTGTGATTGATATTGACTCAACGCCGTACTATTACGATCATTCTTGTCGACCTGCGTTCTGAATCAGCCATCTCTCCCACCCCCCGAAAGCCCATCCCATCATCAGGGAAAATAGTCGTGTAGTCCCAGCACTTACAGCCGCTTGCTCGACCAGGTTTTCGAATCGCTTGATCAAACTGTTGCGTAATTGATCAATTCGCGCTGCGCTTGGGCGTAAGTCTGTGTGGTCATGCTTGTGTTGTGATGGAGAAGAAATATACCTAGTAGCGCGGGCGTGTTTCGTGGGATGTTGTTGTCCATGACGAAGAAAGGATGATAGAGATCCAGTGTTCGGCACGTTCACTGAGGGAAAAAAGATACGTTATGTCATTATTGTTGATTGAATGTGTGTGTATTGTGGTTCTCAGGCAAGATTGCGGATCCATCATTCACGCCGAACTTCGTTCGTTTGTCACGCGTGGAGAGAGCGACTCACATCCACAAAAATTTGGCGAGTATTCTTCACTTTCGATCTTACGATTCACAACATAATTTGCACACTGTTCAGAGGTAGGAGAGGAGATGTAATATCATTAGGTGTCTCGAACAGACTAGCAACTACTGACAGCTAATTTATATTGCTTACATGAACCAAGAGTCCAACCATTACACGAAGCTCGATGTTGCTTAACCAATGTGCATTAACCATGAGCCGATAAGCTGTGAATCATAACAGTTGGGTCGGTAAATCTTCGCGTTGCGAGAAATGCTTACTCCTCGTCAGAAGACTCTTCGTCGTCCTCCTCGTCACTCTCGGCAGTCTCGAGCCACTCGATGAACTTCTCGGCGCTCTTGCGGACCTTCTTGCTGGTGGGCAGATCAACGTACTTCTTGCTGGCCTTGGAGCCCCAGGCCTTGAGAGTCTCCTCAGACACAAGGTCGTTCTGGTAGTACTGGAGGAGGATAGCGGAAACCTGAGGGATGAGGTCGGGCTTCTCCATGCCGACAAAGCGTTCGAAACCGCCGAGGAAAGCCTTCTCGTGCTTCTCGGAAGAGATCATACGCTTGAGCATGCTGCTGCGGGCATCGACCTGCTTGACGATGTTCTCGTCGAAGATAGTCTGAGCCATGACGGCGACAGTCTTGTGCTTGGTCTCGATACCAAGCTCCTTGGCCTTGAGATAGACCTCGACGTCGTCAAGCTTGGAGACACCACCCTTGGCCTCGCCCTCGGAAAGGATCCACTTGCCGAATTGGTCGTAGGGGTTGCCCTCACCATCCTCGTCCTCGGCACCCTCAATGACGAGAGCACGCTTGAGATCATCAGGCAGATCTCTGGCGCGGGCCTTGATGGCCTCCTCGGACATGTCGACAGTCCATTCAACTTCCTTCTCCTCTTCAGGCTCGTCGAGCTCTTGAGCCTCAGCGTTAATGCGGCGGGTGAGCTCGTCGTCGCTGCCAGCGTCAAGACCGACGTCGGCGTCATCGTCGTCCTGGTCCGAGCTACCGTTGTTGCTACCGTTTCCATCGTCGTTGACAGCAGTGCCGTTACGCTCGGCCTCCTTTCTGGCCCTGCGCTCAGCCTTCTTGGTGGACTTGTCCTTCTTGCCCTTGGCGGGGAGCTGCTTCAAGATGAAAGAAGACAGCTTCTGGCGAGGGTCGGCCTCGGTGATGGTACCGCAAGCCTTGCAGTCCATGAGAATGCGCTGGTCCTTGATGCTAATAACAGTCTCGGGGTTCTTGCAGCTTCTGCACAGGACAAACTTGTTGATGAAGCCGTCAAGGTAATCTTGCAGCTTGGAAGCCTCGTGGGCACCGTTGATGATCCAGCGGTCATCCTTGGGGTCGTTGGTGGTCTGGGCACCGAGTTCGAAGCCGAAATACTTGATAACGTCTGGATATAATCAGCGTTGAGAAAGATTGAGTGTGCATCGAGGAGACTTACAAGTAGGAGGGCGTGCGAGTTGCTGAGCGACGTTGCTCAGGTTGACGACAACGGTCTTGATACCGTTACCCTTTCCTTCAATCTTGGATTGAAGACGCTCCATCTTGTAGCGATAGAAGGGGTCGCTGATGTCCTGAAGATGGAATCAGTACGGGATGGATTGTAGGCTGGCAAGGGGCAGGGTACGTACGCGACGGATGTTGACAGATCCTCCAGCCATGATTGCGGTTGTTGGTGGTTAATGGTAAAATTTGGTTTAGGGTAAAATGTAGGTGTGGGAGATTGTTGATGGGTTGGCGATATTGGTCGACAACATGCAATTGTTCAGTCGTTTGTGAGTTGGTTGCTACAAGGTCTTCGCAATATACGAAAGGGTTGCAGCTTGGGAGGGTCCGGAACTGCGAGTCGTTGAGAGCGGCGGGACGAATACATAAACTGCCTGCTTGGTCTGAATGTCGCGGGTTCTTGGTAGATTTCAAGTCGGATCCGGAATGCGGGCGAGCGTTGGAGGGTGTAGGGTGTTGAGTCTTGTCTCAGGGGTGGTCTGCAATGGTCTGAGGCCAGGCAAACACAAGGCGTGTTAAGTTGGTGATGGCAACTCTTTGGGGTTGGTTGTGTGGGAAGAAGAAAGAAGAAAGGGAGAGGAAGAAGGCGTCTCGGGCCAGTCAAGAGTCGCAGCGAGTATGAGTGTGCGAAAAGTCTTGCAGCCTCCGCCCCGCGTTCAGCGCTCGTGCCCGCATTCGCCGACCTGCCGTAAGCGTGATCTTTGACCGTCGTCTTGACTCTTCGACGACGGGAGCACCTTTGTTCACAAGCAACTCTCAGCTGCCCGACTTTGCTGTGTCCTTTGGCTCTGTCGCAGGTCCTTCTAAGTCTGCTTGCAGAACAGGTCTCGGAAAGAAAAGCTTCCATTGCTGTGATTTCTGTAGTCCTTGTGATGGTGCGGCACGCGTCGAAGCTTGATCGTGATCTCAAATGTCATCTTCATTTGGAAGCTTGTGAGGAGGACACATCTTTATGCTATGCAGGCAGCAGCTTCCTAGTCTGCTAGTTTTGCACCTAGTGACAGCACAACATCTTGATCAGAACCAGACGAGTCTTTCACATACTACCATTTCGATGAGCATGCATCTGACAGCCTCGAAGATGGTCCTTTGGAGTGACAGCGACCATCGGATGTTGCAATACAGCTCCTATAGATTCTGCCGTGACTCGACGCCGGGATCGGTTGATCTCTCTTCCCAACCACCAACTTATTCTTTCATTTGTTGAACAACGCACAATTAATCAAAATGCACGTAGATTACTCTGTATATCTGGTCACCGATAATACTCCTGCCATCCTCGGCGACAAGGATATCATCGAGGTCGTTCGTGCTGCTGTGGAAGGAGGTCCGAGAACACCAGTCATTATATCTCACTACCATAAAATCTGACTTCCTCATAGGCGTTACCATTGTTCAATTGCGTGACAAGACCAGCGATACCGCCGAGCAGATTCGTATTGCCAAAGCTCTACATGCTGTGACCAAACCTGCTGGTGTTCCGCTTCTCATCAATGATAGAGTAGACGTAGCTTTGGCTGCTGGTGTCGAAGGTGTTCACATTGGCCAAGATGATATTGGTATGCTTGCTCTTTCGCTCCACTGGTGCATCACTTTTCGTGTGAAGTTGGCAGATCTAATCATATGTTGTCAGATCTCGCATCTGCTCGTAGACTCCTCGGAAAGGACGCCATCATCGGTGTGACGGCAAACTCCCTGCAGGAAGCCGAAATTGCAGCCAAAGGAGGAGCCGACTACCTAGGTGTAGGAACTGTCTTTGCTACCCCAACCAAGGAAAACACAAAGTCTATCATCGGCACCTCTGGAGTCCAGTACATCCTCACATCCTTGGCTCAATCTGCACCCGAGATCAAGACCGTCTGTATTGGTGGCATCAACGCAAAGAACTGCCAGCGTGTTCTCTACCAGACTGCAGCTGCCCAAAAAAGTCTCGATGGTGTTGCTGTCGTGAGCGCCATTATGGCTGCCAAAGACCCCAAGAAGGCTGCTTCCGATCTTCGCGAGCTTGTTGCAACTCCACCTCCTTTTGCTACGTCCATCTCTGCCCCAGCACTCTCTCATGAAGACATCGTACGCATCATCCCTGAGCTCGTCAAGCGTTTGGCTGGCAAGAAGCCCCTTTGCCATAACATGACAAACCTTGTTGTGCAGAATTTTGCTGCAAACGTCGCTTTGGCCGTCGGTGCAAGTCCCATCATGTCGAACAACAGCATGGAGGCTGATGATCTCGCATCTTTTGGCGGTAGTCTCGTCATCAATATGGGCACTACTACCCCCGAGATGAGAATCAACCATCTCAACACCATCGCTGCTTACAACAGTGTTGGTGGACCTGTCTTGCTTGACCCCGTTGGTGCAGGAGCCACTCAACAGCGTCGTGAGGGTGTGGCGGCTCTCATGCGCGGCGGGTATTTCGATGTCATCAAAGGCAATGAGGGCGAGATCCGTACTGTATCAGGAGCTACAGGCTTCAAACAGCACGGTGTCGACAGCGGTGCTTCGACCTTGACTCTGGACGACCGTGTCCAACTCGTCAAGTCTGTCGCTGCAAAGGAACGTAACGTAATCCTGATGACTGGCGAGACAGATGTTGTGTCTGATGGAGAACGCACGTTCAAAATTAGTAATGGACATGCATACCTGGGTGAGATTACCGGAAGCGGATGCACCTTGGGCACTACTATTGCGAGCTTCTTGGCCGTGGAAAGAGAGGACAAGTTACTTGCCGCTGTCACCGGTATCTTGATGTATGAGATAGCTGCTGAGAGGGCTGCGAAGAGAGAGTCTGTTAGGGGTCCTGGCACTTTCGTCCCTGCCTTCATTGATGAACTTTACGCGATCCGTCAAGAAAGCGCAGCAGGAAATGGAGACTGGGTAAAAGCAGCTAAGATCGAGAGCGTTTGAATCTCGTAGTTATCACGTAATAGGGTGAGGTTGCTAGCTCTTTGTATAATAGTGAGATGTGTCGTTCTGTTGGTGTTCATTGTTTTGCTAGCAAAATGCCTTAGCTATCGTATGTGTCTCATTCATCGTGCGAGTCCAAGCATGTCATCTCTGGAATGCTTATGCTTCTCCAGCAGCGATCTTAGCATGTCCGACAACAACTTCCAGCTTCTTCGCTTCGGCCAGGACTGTGGCATCGATAGTCTTCTCCAGACTAGGAGATTTAGCCTTCCATCCCAAAAGCTTGCCAGCTCTTATTGCACGGCATCTGGAGTTGCATCCCCACAGCGCAGATCCGAAGGACTTGATCTTCTCGACCTCTTCGGCTGAGTACTCCTTGACTCCGTCTTCCTTGATGAGATCTTGCTTTTTCGCAGAACGGGCAACTTGACGCGCTACCTCTCCCCAAATAAGATCACCAGACTCGCAGAAGTAGTAGCCCTCGTCGTTCCAGGTAGCAGGCTCTCCACCGTTGGAAGCTGCTTCCACAAGTTTCAGATAGAGATCTGACAGGTCTTGGACATGGATCTGAGTCCAGAAGGTTTTGCCAGCGCCGACTTGGATACCTTGGCCCTGCTGTATAGTGCATCGAGCAAGCGAAGGTACCTGGACGCTCGTTTGGTTGCCAGGACCTCTTCCAGGTCCATAGATACATGGAGGGCAAACAATGGCACTCTTGACGTTATCCTCATCGCGGGCAGACTGAACTATCTTGTCGACATTTCTGTGGGGTGCATGGTCCGGGATGCCAGTGATCATCTCCTTGACGTTGTCCCAATCATCGTGGATCTTTGTAGCATCTTCTCCAAACATCTTCTGATCAAGATCTGTGTACATCAAGATTCCGGTTCCGGAAGTATGAATCAGGAAGCCGGATGTCTCAGACTGTCTTGCTGAAAGACCTTTGATGATAGCTTTGGCTGATCCTTCATGGTCGGCGTCGGCCCAATCTGATCGTGTTAGTCTGACCGAATCGGTGTGGTGGATAATAATCTCGACGTACGACACACAACATCTGCCTTCTGGGACTCTTCTTCGATGAGATCAGATGAGTCCAGGTCACCGTAGACCAGCCTCACCTTAGGGTAGTCGACCGCAACTTGTGCACCTTTGTCAGAGTTTCGGACCAGAGCAGTAATTTCGTACTCGGGATGAGCTTTGACGATGGCGTAAAGCGCATCGCCGCCGATATATCCTGTTGCTCCTGTGCTATGGATGTTTGTCAATAGTGAGATATGATGTCACTCACATCGAACTTACACGAAAAGCTTCATTGTAGCAGAGGTATGGGGAGATGTTTTGAGATTTAGTTGTTGAAGCAACTCGAATGTTGAAATGTGAAAGGAAAGGCGTGAAAGATGAGAGGTGAGAGGTGAAAGATAGTCAGTTGTATGTGGTTGGAGGTGGAGAGACATCGATCCTGTCAGCATTACCAAGCAATCGATTCACTAGGTGAACACTGTTTACGCAGGAAGGTGCCACATGATCATGCAACGTCCATTCTGAGCTTAATTTTACCAAAACCTGCTATCGACTGCAGTAACCATGTCAGAACATGTTCACAACATCAACTAATCTGGCAACAGACGCTCTATGGCAAAATCGATTCGTGTTGGCAATGCGATAAACCAATGTTGCTGGGGTAGCCCTGGCTTTGTTGTCTTGGATTCGAGGTGGAGCTCGCGCAAGCGCGTCACCCTTACAATCCGCATCTTTGGCGTGCATCCACTCAGAAGCCTTTTCGGAACGATACACAATGTTTTGGACAGGATAGTCTCCGTGTCATAGTATCTTAGTCGCCCGAGATGTGGTCAGGACTCTTCATGTTGCTCGTCTTGAGCACCATCATGACAATTGCGTGAGTGAGCACCCCTTTGAAGACAAGTAAACACACCGTCTGACAAGATGCGCATACAGTTCCTTTCTCGCCGGATCTCTACCGCTATCGTTTTCTCTATCTCAACGCCAACTTCGATTGACTACGGCAATCGGTACTGGTGTGCTCGTAGGAACAGCGCTCATCGTTATCATACCGGAGGGTGTCGAGACGCTGTATAGCGCTCGCGAAGTTGGCCATGCTCACGCAGGTCGATCCATCTCTCTGACCAGCCGAAGTCCAGAAGAGCAATTGGATTCGCCGGACTATAATCTCTCGCATCTTCCCGACATACATACCAGAAACACGGACTTGACTGGACCCGATGACGGACGCCCCGAGGACGTACCTACCTCTCCGAAAGAACCCGACCACAAAACAGGAGGTCATCAAGAGGAGGAACACGATGACTGGGAACCTCATGCATGGATCGGAGTCTCTTTAGTCATGGGCTTCGTCTTAATGTACCTGATTGATCAACTGCCTCGCCATGCAGCAGCTTCTTCGCAACCACAGAGATTCCATATAGCGCTGGATCGTTTCAATCTCCACAGATCTGCCAACCAGACGTCGGAAGCAGAAGACCCAGATGGCGCACCACCATCAGATCCAATGCAACAATCACGTCCCTCTTCGACGACCGTCGGACTGGTCATACACGCCGCAGCCGACGGTATCGCTCTAGGAGCTTCCTCGACGGGCTCATCACGAAGGCTGGGATTCATTGTTTTTATAGCCTTGATGATTCATAAGGCTCCTGCTGCTTTTGGTTTGACCTCAGCATTACTCAAACAGGGACTTTCGAAGAGAAGAGCCCGAAACCATCTCATAGTGTTCAGTCTGGCTGCGCCAATTGGCGCACTGATGACATGGGCCCTCGTCAACATTTTCGAGGGGAGTATTGGTCAGAGCGAGCATGGAACCCGATTTTTCACCGGCCTTCTGCTGTTATTCTCAGGAGGCACGTTCTTGTAAGTCAAGAACCTATATGTGGTTCACTCTGCCTCACAGCTAATGTGCCGCTCAGATATGTTGCCATGCATGCTATGCAAGACACGAAACATGGACACGACATGGGTAGTGCTACTCCCAACGGCTATGGTGATTCGAACGCGTACGATGGATATCAGCCAGCGTCGAACAAACAAGAGAGTCCTGTGCTCAGTGACACGCTGGCAGTCGTAGGAGGAATGCTGCTTCCACTCTTGACTCAAGTATTTGGACACGGCCATTAATATCGGCAGGTTTGTTTAGATTCTATCTTGACAGCAAAATCTCACGATTTCTGATCATGCGAAGTGTGTGTCTTTGGAAACCACTTATTCCACGCACGTGAATATGCATGTCGATGGATGCAAATTCGCGTTCAGCACTCCGATCGGATTCGAGCAGTCATCTGGGCTTCGTGTCATGAGTTGGCTGGACGATGGCAACGGCATAGATGGAGAGGCTGTAATCGATAGCGAAGTTTAGTCGCTGCATGCGGGCCCGGTGGATAGCAGTGCAGAGTGGAGTCTGGAGAGAATCAACGGCTGCACAGTCTGGACATGTGGACGGAAGCGGAATGCAAGAATGACCAGGGCGGCACCGTACAGCATCAGACTGATTCGAAGGCGTGAGCAGATTCTGTGGTATTATGGTCACATCAGTAGACTCGTGCTTTAGCCTTTATGGGCGTGTCTTTGGCGCAAGGATCTTCACGTCATGGCGAAGGGGGGATTTGGTCAGGCTGGAACGGTCGCTTGGCGTTGGTGACGGTTCTCACTGGTTATTGTCCCTGCCACGCCTGGATGCTGATAATGGTTTCGAAGTGTGTTTATGAGAATCTCGAGAACGGAAAGCGAGGAAGTGATATCGGAGGCTTTGTTGAGACGTTTGTTTGAGCATCGGACAGTAAATTGTAGGCCTCGATATTGAATCAGGCGTCTGGACGAGTGTTTCAGCGTAACCAGCACCTTTAACTTCCCGGCCTCGACTCACTTAGTCCGCATTGCGCAACCAGACCATTTTTCCATCTCCTTCCGACATAACCGCCTTTTTCGACACACAAACATTCGCATCCATTCGTTTGAACAGGACGATCCCACTTTCGACGGAGACTGTGCCGTCGCTGATCGCCATCATCCCCAGCCGGCTGCCCCATCACAAGTCCGCCTGACCACGAGGGTGACAAAGCGCGAACGGGAAGTCAAGAGTCGTCGACACAAGCACGCGCAGTCATGGACGACCCCTCGGACTGGCATCCCTCATATCCGCAGACTCAGCGACCTTTATCCATGCCTGTCGAATACGATGCGGACGTCGCGTCGGGCAGTGAGGCGCGCATCTTCGCTCAGCGTCACCACAAGCCCCAGCCTGTTGTCTCGCGACCCTCAGCACGATCTATCTCCTCTTCTTCCACCAGTGTGCCCATACCGATCCCTTCAAACCCAAATGTCATCCCGGGCAACCTGCTTCCGTCAGCGCCCGCCTCACCACCCACCCCGGCTCCGTCTCCTTCCCCAGGCCGTCGTCTTCCCAGCTGGGCCTCTACCGCAACACCCTCCCTGGACTTGAACATGGCAGATGATGGAGACTCAGACGATGGTGATAGCCAAAGCAATTTCGGAGTGGACAAGAGTTTGAGATTTAGGCATATGAAGACCATCTTCTCCGACATGGACATAGACGAACGCAAACGCATCCTGACAGAACTGTTGACCAACTGCGATGGAAAGCTACTAGGCTATGTTGCAAACTTTGTCGCTCCACGATTAAAGAGAGACCCCTTCGGCGTATTGCCTAACGAGCTCTGCCTAAGGGTAAGCATCTCCATGCTAGATTGGGTCTACCTTTATGCTGACGCAACTCCAGATACTCACTTTCATCGACGATGCCAAAACGCTTGCTCGCTCATCACAGGTTTCTAAAAGATGGCATGAGTTGGTCAGCGACGACATGGCTTGGAAGAGCCTCTGCGAGAAACACGCCTATCGCCGCATGTCAGATGACGCTCCGTCCACTAGTACAAGGCAGCAGCATTCGTCACCTTATGAGCCGTCTCAAGCGGCTTCCTCTCTCAGCTTCGCAACACATGCCCTACGCATACACAACCCCGCACTCGCTAGCTTCAGCACTTCGACCCCTGATCTGAGTCGTGTGAAGAGTCTTGATAGAACAACCTCTGCCCCGGTCCTGCCTTCTCAAGCTATCCGCCGACGACCACAGGCCATGACATACCGTACTCACTTCAAGCAAAAGTACCAGGTCGAGACGGCCTGGCGAATGGGCGGCAAAGTAGACACGAGGCAAATCACTCCGGACCAAGGCGTTGTAACGAGTCTGCATCTCACCGACAAGTACATCATCGTCGCCCTGGATAATGCAAAGATCCACGTTTTCGACACTGAAGGCAAGCATCTAAGATGTTTACAAGGTCACGTCATGGGTGTTTGGGCCATGGTTCCATGGGGCGACACCCTGGTGTCTGGTGGTTGTGATAGAGACGTTCGTGTCTGGAACATGGCAACCGGGTAAGTTCCCTCGTTTTGACGGGGGTGTCACACGCAGTACTAATGACATATCTCAGACAACCTATACACATGCTGCGAGGCCATACTTCCACGGTTCGTTGTCTAAAGATGTCAAACGCCACAACGGCTATATCTGGTTCGCGTGATACCACTCTTCGTATCTGGGATATCGAAAAGGGTCAGTGTAAGCACGTACTCATGGGTCATCAAGCAAGTGTTCGCTGCCTTGAGATTCACGGAGATCTGGTCGTCTCTGGAAGTTACGATACCACTGCACGAATCTGGAGCATTAGCGAGGGCAGATGTTTGAGGACGCTGCAAGGTCACTTCAGTCAGATTTATGCTGTCGCTTTCGATGGAAAGCGTGTTGCTACAGGCAGTCTGGATACTAGCGTCCGCGTCTGGAATGTTGCGGATGGGTAAGCATCTACACAATCTCGTTTCAGATACACCACTGACAGCTCACAGCAAATGTCTGGCCATTCTACAAGGCCATACCTCTCTCGTTGGCCAGCTTCAGCTCCGCGGCGACACACTCGTGACTGGTGGTAGTGATGGCAGTGTTAGAGTCTGGTCATTGCAATCCTATACGCCAATCCATCGCCTTGCGGCACACGATAACAGCGTGACGTCGCTGCAATTTGATGACTCACGCATCGTTTCTGGCGGTTCCGACGGTCGCGTCAAGGTCTGGGACCTTCAACGCGGCTGTCTCGTACGCGAGCTCGGTCAACCCGCAGAAGCCGTCTGGCGTGTCGTGTTTGAAGAAGAAAAGGCAGTCGTCCTTGCATCCAGGCAGGGTAAAACAGTCATGGAAGTCTGGAGTTTCGCACCGCCAGAGGATGGAGATGTTAGCAGTGCGGCATCAAGTCCTGCAGCGATTTCGAAACCGGTACTGTTAGCTAGCGAACCCTCGCCTATGCATATATCTGATGCACCGGCATCTGAGGATCGGGTAGTGGAGCTTGAGGACATCGTTATGACGGAAGAGACCCCTCGAGCAAACGAGGTCTCCTCACCTGTCATACCATCATGACACCTTCCGAGGCGCACAACATAGGTTCGAGGCATTTTACGACTGTTTTCAAGGAAGCGTAGGCGCAAGGGAGCCCAGGAGACCAACCAAATTCTGGACAAGAATCGGATCAAGGAGTGAACAGACGAAGTTGGAACGCCAATCACTGCGTTCACGGAGTTACAAGGCATCGGATCATGGGAAATGGTCAGGCACTCAATCATCTTTGGCGAACAAGATGGGAAAAGGGGAGTTCTTTCGGTTTGATGTTCATCTTTTTCCTTTTCAAACTAGATTCATTAGCGAAGCATTTACTATCTCACACACATTATATCAATTACTAGAACAAGACTTGTTGAACCTTCCCAGAGCTGTACCAGTGCAATCCCTCTACCACAGTCAGTCTCATACATTGACTGTGCAAGTTGACCTGCCTCGGCAACCCGACATAGAGTAGCGTGCTCAATACCCTTATCTCAACATGGCTGGGAGGGGAAACGGCACTGAGCGGGTTGGGAAAACTGTTATAGGCGTCGGTGGTCGGTGTTCGGTAGAAACGGCACGACGCTCCGACGACGAAAGCTATCAAAGCCCTGACATCATCGCCGTAACATCCGGGCACCTAAGGAGGAAGCAGCAAGGTTGAGGGAACATCGGTTGGTTCGGTCAAGTTACTTTTGTTCTTCAAGTCTTGCTTTCTCCTCCTGACTACTTTGTTGTCTCAATCTCCTCTCTGGTCTTGTGCTCGGTTTTTGGTGTTGTTAGCTTGCATTTCAATTCACTTCCACCTCTGTCTAAAGCTTGAAGCTTGACATCATAGCTGTATAGCTCTTATCTCTCCGGAAACACACAGACGCAACGATGGCACTGAACAAGCCTGAAGCGCCTGGCGCAGTAACTCCCAAGAGAAGCATCGAGCTCTTCTCTGGCACCTACTTTGCAGCTTGCACATTGGGTGGAATCATTGGTGCGTTCTTGCTCCTCTCCTCAGCGACGCAGCCGGCAAGCAACCAACTAACACACTATAGCTTGCGGACCCACCCACACAGCAGTAACCCCCCTGGATCTCGTAAAATGCCGCCGTCAAGTAGATTCCAAACTCTACTCCTCCAACACCCAAGCCTGGCGCACAATCTTCCGCAAAGAAGGACTCCGCGGCGTCTTCTTCGGCTGGTCTCCCACTTTTGTCGGCTACTCCTTCCAAGGCGCCGGAAAATACGGCGCCTATGAATTCTTCAAATACACCTATGGCGAGAAACTTTTCCCCAACACAAACAAGACGGTTGTGTATTTGGGAGCTTCGGCTACTGCGGAGGCTATTGCGGATTTGTTCCTGTGTCCGTTGGAGGCTATCAAGGTGAGGATGCAGACTACACTGCCGCCGTTTGCGAATACGCTTAGGGAAGGGTGGAGTAAGGTTGTTGCGCAGGAGGGTGTGGCTGGTCTTTACAAGGGCTTGTATCCCCTGTGGGCGCGCCAAATCCCTTATACCATGGTCAAATTCGCGACTTTTGAATCTGCGGTTGGGCAAATCTACAAGCAGCTCGGCAAGCCAAAGGAAAGCTATGGCACCTTGGCACAGACCGGTGTTTCCTTCTTGGGAGGTTACATTGCAGGTATCGGCTGCGCAGTAGTCTCCCACCCAGCAGATGTCATGGTCAGCAAACTCAACAGCGACAGAAAGGCCGGCGAAAGTGCTGGTGCAGCAGTCAGCAGAATCTACTCCCAGATTGGCTTCAGAGGTCTGTGGTCCGGAGTCGGTTTGAGAATTGGAATGATTGGCACTCTTACCGCTTTCCAGTGGTTGATTTACGATTCCTTCAAGGTTTCTGTTGGTCTGCCTACTACTGGTGGTCATTAGAAGGGAGGGGCGGTTGGATCTTTGGAGGTTTCTTCTTTTCATTTCTGCTTGCTCTGTTTTGTTTTTAATATAATGTTAATGCTTTTTCATCGAGGCGCTTGGGTGTTCAAAAAAAGGGGCTCCTAGAGTACAGTGAATACAGCTTCTTCTCAACGCACTCAGAGACATGCCAATCTTCCATGTGTCCATCGAGTGTCTACAGGAGAGAGACCTTAAGGAAATCGAAGACTTCTCAGGCAGGCTCGAAATTACATGACTTGCTTTCATTGCATTCGGATGCTGCACCGGATGCATGTAAGAACGGAGGAGTCTGGAGGGACGATGGATACTCATCTCGTCTTGTGAAGGTAGGAAGCTCTGAGGAGTAACGAAGTCACCGTTCACATGCCATGCGATGCGGAGTTCAGATACGTGTTTGAAGTGTAAGAAGATTTGCTTTTTGATTTGCATATTTTGTCTTCTCTCTGAGGAAAGAAGCAGAAGCAGGTATTAATCGAGGGCTGTCCTATACAAAAGGTACTCGCGCCTCGCTTTGGAGAATGTGGAAGAAAGTCTATGGATGAGGTAAGGAATGCAGAAAAAAAAGGTATAGGAGGAGTAGTCTCGACGCCTGATACCATGCCGATGTATGTAGAATGAGAAAAGCCAAACAAAAGGTTGCGCCACCAAAAGGAGAAAAGTCGTGAAAGAATTAGGAAGGACGAGTCTACTTGAGCTTCTTGGTCTCAGGCTCGTAGCTTCTATCATCGTCACCTTCGACTTCCTTGACAATGTTCTCCATCTCCTTGACCTGGCGTGCCCACTCGACCTTGCCCATCTTGGTCTCGCGGCGGAAGAGTTCGTCGTTGGGCTTGCGGTAGCTGCCGCCGAGACGATCCCAGAGTGTGGTGAATTGGCCATAGTTGTAGTTGAAGTACAGGTGGTGCATGGTGTGGCAAGCGGCACCGTTGATGATGGGGCTGTTAGCGACGTACTCGCCGTCGTGGATCATGACGGTCCAGACGTTGATGAACATGAACAGAGCAATGTAGGCAAACTTTTGCAGCGGGAAGAGGAAGGGGAAGACGTGGTAGGGTAGCGATTGAGCGTAGCCATCGAGAGGGTGGAAGGCGTGCGAGGCGAAGGGCGAAGGCATGATCCACTTGTGGTGAGGCTTGTGCAGCTTCTTGTAGACCATGGGGTGGTGCAGACCACGATGAATCCAGTAGACGAAGAAGTCGGTGAAGCAGACGAAGAAGGGGAACTGGAGAAGCAGGTACCAGCCACCGAGGTTCCATGATGAGCCCTGGGGCAGGACGTCGTAAATGTTGGAGTAGCCACGAACTTCAGCCAAGAACCATGGCACTGTGAGAGCAGACATGGTGGGCATGGCGGAAAGAGCTTGGTTGATTTCGAGGCGCATCTGGTTCTTGAGGAACTTGGGGTGGTGAACTGTCGACTTGTCGAAGACGAAGATGTACGAGAGGCCGGCGCAGATAAAGTAGTTGAGCAGACCGAAGATCCTGCAAAAAGGGTTAGTCTCTGTCACCAAAGCAGCAGAGCAGCATGTTGGTCAAGCATACCATGTGATGAGGAACAAGCTGATAGCTTGTCTGGCCATGTTGTCTCGCGGCAAGCGGCTCATGTATGCGTATGAGCTGGGCTCGACCGAGAAGTACTGGCTCGCAGGCTCGAATTTGAAAGGGGTGGCGCTACGGGCCATGTTTGACCATGTGTCGTTGGAAGAGGCAGCATAGTCACCGACGGTGCTCATGGCCAACATTGACGACGTCAATGGCAGGACCGTCGCGTATAGCCGATCGAAGGCATATGTATCGAGTATCTCCAGAATAACATCCATGCTTGCGTCTTGCTCTGTGGCGCTAGGAAGTCCTGAAAGTTGTGCTTGTTGATATGCGCGTCCAAGGAGATCAAGGGTCCAAGAAGAAAGTTCGAGTGAGGAAAATTGGACTTTGACTTCTACGATTGAAAAGGCACAGTTGCCGGTAAAGAGTGACAGGCGCGTGGATGCGATTGAAAAGAGCGACTTGTTTATCTATCAAAAGATTGGCAGAGGTCTGCGAGCGTGCTGCGGAGCTCGGAATCAGCCCACAAAAAATCGAACCACAATCAGAGGCAAATGAGGGATCAGTGGGGCCTGGCCCGAAGGGTGAGAACTAAGAAGCAGATTCGAAGCCACCAAGGTTCAGCTAAACTTGCTTGCCGCTCCTTCCCGAACGAGCAACAATCGACAGGGCGCCTTCTCCCGCTGTCAGCTTCCGTTCATCACCACTCCTCCCTAGTTTCACCAGAACGCCGCTTGCGAACCCCTTCCAAGAACCCCTGCCTCCAACTTTAACCCGACGTGCTGGGTCTGCTGGGCTCGTCAACTGCTCCAATCATGCTTTTCTACACGCGACTTTGCCAGCCGCATAACACCGTCGCGCCACAACCCCTCTGCGGTTGTGAGCCTCAGGCAAAAGTGGTCTGCTTTTTCCAGCCATTGTGATTTGACCTACAGCCAAGCGCTGTTACCACTCTCTCATTTGCCCAGCCCTCATCTTATCTCTCTCAAAATACAACGCTCATATCTCGGATCTCCGTATCTCTCACCGGACCACGGACGTTCGCCGCTTCCGAGTAGCCTGATCTTGACGCCTTATTTCCTTGTTGTTTGTAGTTGCTGCTTGCCTTCATGTGTCGACTATCGTCAACAATCGTCAACAATCACATTTCACTTTTTTTACCACCAGAAGTCGAAGATGTCGTGTGTATAGTAATTTGAACAGAATCAGTCATGATTCGTCTACCGAAGTAGACCGTCGAGAGCACGTCTCTCAATAAGCAAGGCGCTCTAATACTAAGATCAGCGCATGGTATCATCTTTCCCCCCTCCCAATCACGCCGTGCTGTAAGAACAAAGAACCCCCAAATCCGCAAATGATACGCCCTTAATGCAGCCGCACCCATCAGTCCTTGTGCCCGCCTAGGGAACGCCGTGCTCGCCATATTTCGTTAGCCGCTGTCGTAAAATCAATCAAGGTATGTCCTTGGCTACGTCCAGGCCCTAAGATGGACTGTTGCTATAGCTTTGCGAGTCTCTATACGTGCCAGACCAGACAGGTGCTCCTGTTGGCCATGGTAATCGTTGCCCTTGTGGTAGACCTCCATTCGGTTGTGGTGCTTTGATCGGAGGTAGTGCAAGAGGATTGCCGGGATTTATGGGTGGTAAGCCAGATCCTACTATGCTAGACGGTCTATTGGCCAAGTCAGCAAACCTGCCGTCTTGGAGACTCGCCGGAGTATTATAGGAGGTGTTCTGACTCGTGGTAGTGCGTTTAGCTGGCCTTGGGGGTTCATCCTCATCGTCCGATAGGGTCAAGTCGATGACCGCCGCAGAGGGTCGTTTGGCGCTGGGCCGGGGAGCCACTGTCGATGTCTCACGTGAGACGGGTGGCGTCTGTTGCGCAAGTGCTGGCGTAGCCGATTGGCCTTCAGTCTTGATCTTCTCCACAGCATCCGACTTTTTTGGAGTATCCTGAATCTCAATTATGTCGTCGTCGCTGTCATTGTCGTAAGCTGCCCTTGGCTGAGATTTATGATGACTGTTGGTGTCGTCGCTGTTATCGACTGCTTTCCACTGTCCGTCGGCCTCGACTCTGACTTGATCGACAGAGCTCGAGGTGTTTTGTAATATGTCTTGGACGTAGTTGTCGACACACAGACTTTGGTAAGAGAGGGTTTTGTTGCAGACGGGGCACGTCCATGTCGGTGCCTGTTCCTGGAGCTGCAGAAAGTACGAACCGTCGAAGCACTGATTGTGCGAGCAGACGTTGGATCTGCAAGGAAGATTGATGCGCATGGTAGAGATTGGGTCCTTGAGAGACATGACAGTGGAAGTGGTGACGATGTCAGGGTCTGATGCTTTGACGGCCACTAAAACAAGGTCAGTCGTGCATCATGTGGAAAGGGAAAGAAAAGCCTCGCAACGCACTTTCTCGGAGGACAGTATCCTTTGGGATCCGGCTTCCAGTTTGCTTGAGCCGGGCTGCGAGCTCGGTCGCAGATGTAACTTTCACCAGGTTGACCATGAGAGAGAATCGCTTCGAGTCAAGTCAGCACGAATGTTCGGGAAATCAGTGAAGAGGAGTCAACATACTTCCTTCGTGAGCGCATAAGTTACGTGGAGGTCATTCTGATATCCTGCGGCCTTTCTTAGAAGATCGGTAATGTCGACAGGCTTGGTGGTGCCGGGTTTGTTCTTGAGACCCTTGAAACTCTTGCGAATCTCGTCTCCATTGATCTTGACCTCGATCTGACTCGGGAAAGCAATGTCGACGTTGAAAGCGTAGGGGCCTAGAGTCGAAGTAGTGGCGCAGTAGAGCATGACGCGCAGAGACGGATCCGCCTTTAATGATGTGCAGATAGCATCACTGAGCTTGACTGTTTCTTGTAGAGTGTGACGATTATGTGGCATTTCTGGAGCTATTGTTAGTCTCGCATGGTGGTCAAAGTATGATAGAGTGGTTTGGAATAGGTACCTGACAGTTCTCGCGTGGGCATAATTGCTTCTTTGACCTGATAGAAGGGACTCTCTCTGAACTTGACCGAGGCACGAGATGCAGCAGCTGGACGAGCGCCCAGAGTCTGGTGATAAGAAATGCCTGCGGGCCTTGGATAGGCGGGCATGCCGACGGTAGTGTGTGGAGCTGGCGAAACAGGAGTGATGGTATCGCGGGCTAGCGACGGCTGATGACTCGTTGCTGGAGGCGTACGACCTTGATTATTGGTCTGATATTCGAGGCGCGTGAGTGCTGATCGATCGTTACGGCGGAGGTAGCTAGCGATGACTGCCAGACTCTGGTCAGCGGCGTGTTGTGGGAGTGAGAAGACAAGTGAGTTGAATACCTTCAGAGATGCGCTTCTGCAGCGCAGCTTTCACACCCGACACGGGCAGATTCTCTACGCGGCAGATTTCCTTCAGATCATTATTGACCAGTGTCTTTACTTTGCGGTCGACTTGCGCCGCGAGTAGTCGAAGGTCGGTTTCGCTTGCCATGTCTGGAAATCGTGCCAGCTCGCTCTGATACACTCTCTTGCCTTCGAGTAGCCACTAAAAAGGAAGTCGCGATAGATGAAGAATTGGGACCGAGTATAGATGGGCCGCTCCAGATTGAATGCTCTGTAGTCGGAAGTATGTGAGTGAAGGCAGAGTGCTCATCACAAAGTGACGGTCGAAGATGGAAGGCGATTAGGACGGCTGGCGTCTGGAAGTGAATTGGGCAGAATGCACGCGCAAGAGAATGCACGGTATCTACAGAACCGACATGCACACGGGTGACGACTGTTCTATGCGCCAATGCTAAGGGAACGACATGCAAGGTGCTTTGGACGGAGACATTGTCCTCGACTGAGGCAGACTTCAGTAGGCAAACATCTTTCGGCCTTCTGGAACAACGTGACCGTGCGTCGACAAAGTGACGAGTTCGCGCCAAAGTCCAAAGTCCAAAGTCCGGGCCGCCATTGCCTAATCCGGTGGTGCCTCAGCGTGGCGCGAACGAGGCAGAGGTCGACCGAGAGAGGCTTGGGAGCGTCGAGCCCTGGGCAGTGGGCAAAAGAGTCACCGACTAAGCAGCCATAACATTGAGGAACCCCTCGTCGTCCAGACACACCTCCCTCATAATCGTCCATTCAAATTCTTGTATTACTCTAGTCCACACGCACAAGAGTAGTCATCTGTCTGTGGTTTCACACGCGACTGGCTTCATCATCAGACCCTGCACCCTTTCAGCTGCCTTTCAACAGTCGTCCGATCGTCCTTCTCCGCACTAAGCGACTGCCCGCCGCTGACCCGCTTTCTTGTTCCATCCCAAGAGAATTTATCTCTTTCTTTCACCGCAATCTTGCACGTTTTCAATCACCACAACACCGCAAAAATGGGCAAAGGTCTTCGATCAAGTACCAACAAGGTCAACAACAGAAAGCTCAAGAAGAATGTCTTTGGCCCCGTCGAAAAAGCCCGTACCCAGCGTCTTTCGGAAAAGCTCCAAGAATTAGCCTCTCAGCCAAAGCCTCCCAAGGTCGACATGGAAGTCGAGGAATCAAGTGGTGAGCCTTTTCGCCTCTTCAACACAAGACATACGAGGCTGACAGCGCGACCCACAGACTCGAAGCAAGCCGCGTCGGAGGCAAAGGCTGCCAACGCAAATGGTGCGTTAAATGCTCTTGCAATCCCGGTGCCCAAGTCGCTCGCCCATCAATGTTCCGCTACTACTGCTGCTGCCTCGATGAATGTGCTCACTGCCCCACCCACCGCTCCGCTCGACATCTCCGACTTCAGCAAACCCTCGATCAGATCTGCGCATAGGCGCTACGCAGACGAGCAGCTCTTCTTCCACCTCCTGGGCGTCTCGACCGACATCCACGGCTTCGACACGTCTGGAAACATTTGTTTAGGTTTCGGATCCGACTCTGAAAGTGACAATGAGAGCAGCAGCAGTAGCAGCAGCGTTGACAGCGGCTATGAGTGAGAGCCAGTTGACCGTCCAAACGAGGCTAACCCGCCTTTTTCATCATCAGACACCGCAATGGAAGTCGACTTGACCAACGAACCCAGATCAAGCTGGATCAAGGCCGAGAAGAGAGCCAAGGAAGGCAAGCGCGACCGCATCGCAAAGAAGCAAAAGCGCAAGGTCATCAACCAGATGACTTTCAAGAAGAACCCTCGTACCGGAAAGAAGTGAGAGGCACCGTCCAGACTGTATTCACGCTTCGAGGTACAGAGAAGAGATCGAGACAGATGGTCTCAGGGGAGGACAGGAGGGCAGAGGAGGAAAGTAGCAAGCATCAGGGCGCGCGACCTAACCATCGCGGCCCCATGGAGTTCTGGAAAAGGTAGAAGGTCTGTCTTTGGGTTCCAACAAAAAGGATTACTGGCGTCAAAGAAATACCAAAGGCTGGCGACACTGTCGGAACAGAATGGATGTTTCGAGGGTGTACATGAAGTTTTACTTAGCACACGCGATGATCATATCCGTGCGAAGAATCGAGTTGCATGTTCCTGTTTCAAAGCCGAGTCCACTTGTCGAATGATGTGTTATTAGTGATGAAAGTACGTGCATATGGGTATCCATCCCAAACTCCTAGCTATATAATGAAAGAGACGAGGAAAGAAAAGCTGCACCCTCCGTAGTTACAGCCCAGTAAGCCGAACAACGATGGCACTCCAGCACAGCCCAAGTCAGATACAGCATGTGTTGCTCACACGGACATGACATCTCCTTCTCCCATATCAACATGCGGATCCGGAATCTGAATATCCAGACTCAAGAAACCCGTCCTCCTCAGATCAATCAACCTCACCTCCCTCCCCTCCCTCTCAGCCTCAAGATTCCAACCCTCCACCCACGTCTCCATGTGCTTGACCCCTCTCTTAACACCCGTCCAGCCAAAGTTGTCCCACAGGAAGCCCGTCGCAACACCCATCAAGGCATCAAACCAACTTCCCCAAGTGTTTGGCTCAAAGGCTTGTTTCAGCATTGGGTTTAACGTTTCGATGACATTTCTGAATTCAGACTCTGACATGCACATGTCCAGGATTTCCGGGTAGAGGTTTTGGAGGGCGGGGTAGAGGTCGCCTGCGACCAGCCAGTCTCGTTGGATTCTGATGACGCGAGTTGCGGAATAGAGTGGTGAAGTCATGGCGACGTGGGTGTTTAGGTGTGGGAAACACGGATGCGACGGGCCCCATGGGAGTTCATCTTCTAGTTGAGTGTCGTGGCTGTGGGCGCTGGCGGTGTAGTCTGCACCGGGTATGCCTTGCCAGCCTGGACTAGGAGGCAAGAGACTAGGGTGTAGACTCGGGGGTCTGAGGGAGTTGCGACTGGATTGTTCGTGCAGGGTTCGTCGACTTGGTTTGCGGTTTACTGGCAGAGAGGCTCGAGAGGGTCGTGAGTGCAGGCTGTGTGTCGCTTGTGATTCGACGTCGGGGATCGGAGGTGGCGGTGGATGGTTCTGAATGTTCGAGGCATCATCTACGCCGGCGAGTTTGTTGAACGGTTGCATCTTGTGTGTGCAATACGTGTGGTGCCTCGATGGAATCGACTGGAGGGTGGATTATGAGCAAGTGGTTTGCGCCGGCACTTGTCACGGCTGCGGTATATACAATGGTTTTATGTCGAGGGTATGGTTGTAGAAACAAAGGTAGACTCAATTCATGCCACGGCTCTTCTGCAAGACTACGTCGTTGTGTATGCTCTCTCTCCCGACAGTCGCAATTTCCCAGGGCCTTGATGGGCGCATCGCTGCGCACGTCCCTCTTTGATCTCGCAACCGTTGATGTCTATCTCATAACCTTCTGGAAGCATTTGATACCATCTTCCACGATCATCTGCTCATTTGTGTATTTATTCTTGTCATACTTCATGTACGTGAAGTTTCTAGCGAGTATTGTCGGGAACGCCCAGTCTGCCACACCTGACTACACGTTGACTCTGCTTGACATCACGCTTACATGGCTAAAGCGATAGAGGTATCCCTGACGCCTACCCTGCATGTAAATATACATAGATATACACGAGTATTGATCCTCGTTCCACCAATGTCTTGAGTCCCTCTTACTCTCTACCACCACTTAGATCCGTCAGAACCAACATCCTGCAAAGTTATCACAGCACGCTGGTCTTGAGCAATCCCCATTTGCCGCTAACTAACCTTCGCTCGTGAGTGCGTACAATATCAAAGTAGAGGTGATAGCATACTTCCCGTTCCTGCTTTCTTACATCTTCCTTGCGATAGTCAGGTTCGACAAGAAACAATGGTGATCCTTCTCTCAGGAGTTGGCGGAGGCGTAGTCGATCCTTCGAGCATTTACCTCAGCGTGGCAGACAAACTGGCCTCTTTGTAAGGAGGTCACATTGCGTGCCTGACGTACAGGCAGTTCTGAACTATCTGAGAGGAAATTTGAATGCCAGTCCCATCGCGCTAGTCGGTTGGTCTTTTGGTGATGCTAAACTATCAGAGCAGTTGGCGGAAGAGGTGAAGCCTGTGCTGCTGCTTGGCTTGCGACTATCGCTTGATTGAAGATTGGCAACACTGAAGAGACGATCATGGGCCCAATCCTTGTGCAAGATGGATACAAGGTTGGCAACAAGAAGACGGGTGGCGACTTGAGAGGTATCCAAAGTGTCTAGTAAGGATTATATATATGTTTTAGCAACCCTGTATCCCCAGATTGCCAAAACGGTCAAGAGAAAGAGGAAATTTCGCGCTGCAAGCGGAATTCATCTTGTCAAACGCCATGAAATTTGACCGTTACACATACTGCTAGCCTGACAGTTGAGTCGGAGAACGCTGACCGTTGAAATAAGCATTCACAAAACCTGATGAGATTGGAAATTGAGCGACGCAACAGTCAGCTATAAGTTCGTGTAATTTTGTGACTTCGGAGAATCGGAGTATCGAAATCATATTCGAACTCAATCAAAGTAGTCAAAGAAAACATCGCACTCCAGTTGACCAAGCATTCTTTGATTCGAGCTTCGTCCGGCTCTGAAACCTGCAATATACCTTCTACAGACGGAAACAAGGCTTCGTGACTGTGTTTAGTGGTAAGGCGAGAAGAGTGTGCTACAGTGAAACCCTGATACAGAAGCCGAGATCCTGGTTGGGCGATGCAGATAGGCGACTTGCTGTGTGTGGACGCGGAAGTTGTGATGACTTGTCGTCGTTCACAACGCACGTGCCAAAGAACATGTCTGACAGGAGAAGGGCTGATCGTACCGAGCCAGTGCCCTGCGGCGAGTCAACCGAGTTTGCAGGAGGAACCTTGCACCACTAACAGCCGGTAAATCTGGAGAGAAGTCAGTTTTGACTCCGCCGCTCGATGCACGGTCACAGCAGGGTGCCTGCAAGATATTCTGGCGGTGAAACACGGCGTGCATGTGTCTCTGTAGCGACTCGGTAGACACTCTCACACAGTTTCGATCGACGGAGAGCACAGTGTGTGGCTGTCGAACGTGGAGAGAGAGATGCAGGTTGAGATTATTCCCGATTTGTATAAGAGTGGAACGGACTGCGGGCACGCGGGTGGCTGATCTTGGTGACCCACACCGGCCAGCTCTCAAATTGAGTTTCTGGCGCAACCGTGCCGAGTGGACGAAGAACAGAGTTGTGGGAACGGGGGCTTTATGAGGTTCCATTCGGAGAGAGCCATCGTGTGCGGTTGTGCTTCGCAGGCGTTTTCTCGCATCTCCATACGTGTCTCCCCTTTCGGCCTCACCTCCCATCATCATCATCGTCAAACCAGCATACCTTTCCGCCGCGCCATCATCTCGAGTCCTTTCGGCGCGAACCGATCTTCGGAGTGTTAGTACGGTTTAGGGCCTTGCCAAACATTGTGCCTGTTCGCGACGCCGAGCAAAGTCGCGACGCGCCTCGAAGCACTCGGCCAGTGCCAGAGCCATCCATCCCCAATTCCACCCATCTTCAGCCGCTATCTTCAACACCTAGATCGCCATGTACAACGCGCATCGAGGCATAGCCGGAGCACCGGCTCCGCCAAACAGCCGTCTTGTGGAGCTGCTCGAGCAAGTCCGCGCCGAGTTTGAGGCTCAGGGCGGACGTGCAAACGAGTATGAGCATCAGCGTGAGTCGTCCCCGTTTGTCCCGACAAACACCTGCTGGTGCAGCCATGTGTATACATATGCGCCGGCCGCTGTGTTTTCATAAGCACCCTGATATCGCCCCGTCGCGACTTTCCCGCCCACTTCATCGCGGCCAACATGGCGTTTCCCAACCCCGATGTTGTTTTTGCCGACTATTGCTTATACGATCTAGTCGCAAACCAAATCCAGGAGATGGAACTTGTTCGTAGCAAGATCTTCCAGCTCGAGCAGACACACATGCAGATGAAGCAAAAGTATGTTTCCCTCTGTTCCATATCCCTGCCTTGCGACAGGCGCCAACTGAAGTTTTCTCAGGTACGAAGAGGACATCTCCCGTCTGCGCCGCGACCTTGAGGCTCGTGGAGGTCCAAGCCAGTCTTCGCACTCCGGTCCCTCGCAGCCGCCCCCACCTTCAATCGGCCACGGCCCTGCCAACCTGTTCCAGGGAATCATGGCTGGTGCTACCGCTCAGGGCGGCCCCGGTCTTGCCCCTCCTCCCCAAGATGGCCCTCCTCAGGGTGTACCTGCCCATATTCAGGGCCCTCCAGGTCTCAATCCTCCTCCTGGTCCTCCTCAACACGCTCCCTTCGGTGGCTACGGCCAGCCTCCCGCTGGTGTCAATGGTAAGATTTGGATAACACTCGAATGTCAGTCCGACTAACACGGCGTTGCAGGATACGGCCCCGCACCACCTCAGCCTACAGCCTCCCCTGGCCCTGGCAAGCCCCGAACTAACGCTCGCGGTCCCGGCATTCCCGGCACCCCTCAGCAGAACAACGCAAACCCTTACCCCGGTAGTCCCGCTATGGCGCGTCCCACCCCTCCTCCTGCTCTCGCCCAACAACAGCAAGCTCTTTCTCTGCCTCAGCACAACCAGTATGCTCAAGAGCTCGGTGGCAGTGGCAACCAGTTGGTCGACTTGGCTGTCGAGACTCTCCCCGGCAACCTTAAGCGCGAGGGCGAGGACTGGTACGCTGTCTTCAACCCTCGTGTTCGCCGCACTCTGGATGTTGAGCTTGTCCACAACTTGGCCCACCAGAGCGTGGTTTGCTGTGTTCGTTTCAGCCGCGATGGAAGATTTGTTGCTACCGGTTGCAACCGTTCTGCTCAGATCTTCGATGTTGAGAGCGGTCAGCAGGTCAAGCACTTGCAGGATACCAGCTTGCCCCAAGATGGTGACCTTTACATCAGAAGTGTCTGCTTCAGCCCCGACGGCCAATACCTGGCCACTGGTGCTGAAGACAAGATCATCCGCGTTCGTAACAACAACAACCAGGACTACATTGACAATCTGCTGACTTGTTTCTAGATTTGGGAGATTGCTGCTGGTCAGATCCGCCATCAGTTTGCTGGACATGAGCAGGACATTTATTCTCTGGATTACTCATCTGATGGACGTTATATTGCATCTGGATCTGGTGATCGTACCGTTCGTGTTTGGGATATCCCCAACAACCAATGCGTCTTGTGCTTGACCATCGAGGACGGTGTCACCACCGTCGCTATCTCGCCGGACAACCGATTCCTCGCCGCCGGCAGTCTGGACAAGAGTGTCAGAGTCTGGGAGCTGGCAAGCGGAAACCTCCTCGAGAGACTCGAAGAGGCTGGTGGCAACCCTGGTCATAAGGATAGCGTCTATTCTGTCGCGTTCTCGCCCACTAGTAGGGAGCTTGTTTCAGGCAGTTTGGATAGGACCATCAGAATGTGGGAGCTCCAGAGCCACTACCCCGGCAACCAAAACATGCCACCAAGAAACCCTCGTGGAGGCAAATGCATCCGCACTTTCGAGGGACACAAGGTCAGTCCGCAATCCTCATTCGATGAGGGATCCCAACTGACATGCATGTGTAGGACTTTGTTCTCAGTGTTGCGCTTTCTCCCGATGGCGAATGGGTCCTGTCTGGATCAAAAGACAGAGGTGTTCAGTTCTGGAACCCCCAGACTGGTGATGCTCAACTTATGCTTCAAGGACACAAGAACTCGGTCATTTCAGTGGCACCCAGTCCTGTTCAAGGTGGTCTGTTCGCCACCGGAAGTGGAGACATGCGTGCGAGAATCTGGAGGTTTGTTTTACCCAATCACCTTGATCTGCTTCGTTTGACTGACCATGCTTTAGATTCTCAAGATACGACCCCGCTCGTGGCTGAACGGATTGGACCATATGACATACCCAACATTATATCCCTTGGATATCTACGTACATTGTTTTCATTTGCACTTTCAATTGCTCGTTTTTTGGTTGTCTCCTCGCCCAGCATATTTGTCTGGCTTCTCCATGCCAGCCAACGTCATGAAGAATCCTGCACGGATACGAAAAAAGCCCAAGAACAACAAAGAAGAGATGGCAGAAGTCTGACAAAGACAGAAAGACAGGAAGAGGTGTTATGGGCGATATATGTGCCTCTCATGCATCAACGGTTCATGAATTCCAACACTTCCGAGGTTGCGAGCGGCGTGTCTCATGTTTGAGAATGCGCAGCTCCATGTGCAGAGAGGAGATTGGCTTTGTACCTCATTTGTAGCTTTCCCGGATCTTTGTATCTGATCAATCTAGTTTATACCCCTTTATCTTGAGATTCTTCAAGCAGCGTCGTGATGTTAGTTGACCACGAAAGCTAGCACCATGGAGTGCGACAAAGACAAATTGAAAAGATGGTCGGTACCTAGGTAGCACCACCACAGATGTGTACGAGTATACGACTTGGGCCCGATAACACCGAAGCTATCAACGGAGAATGGAGTTAAGGGTAGTTATGTGCCTACAAGATGGATGAGGGCATTGAGTCGTGGAACACTCAGCGATTGTCAACATTGAGATCCAGCAGAGGTTTAATCGAAAGGCACCATGTCAAAACGAAAACGAACCGAGGACGGAAGGACTAAAGTGTGTGAAGAGGGAAGTGGCTCCAAACGCCAAGATTCGAGGATGACCGAAACGTGGGAGGAAGTCACAATCGACTTGCGGGATGCTGCTCTCGCTCGGGACCTTCTTACTTTGTCCACTTCGACAGACAACAGAATCTTGGACTCGAGAGTCCCTTCCCATCGCGAAATCGAAGGCGACTCGAGATCAACATTCTCAACTGCGACTTCATCAACATTGCGACCAGACAACTCGAGGCACACTGGTCCTGGGCTTTTTACTCTTAACTCCGACGCGCTTCCAGACCGGTACAAGATAAATAATTACTCTCTCGCGCAATCAGTACGATCTTCGCATACCTCTCCGTCGACCGCTATGACGCCCACACCGCCGACAACCAACTCGTCGACTGGCGCGTCGCCCGACAATGGCCAGTTTCGCGTGGTGCGCAAGAGGAACAGAATCCCTCTCTCATGCGCACCGTGTAGGCATAGAAAGTGAGTTGACATAGCGCACAAGATTCTGTTACAGATATCTGACTGCTGCTAAAGGCTGAAATGTAATCGCGGACACCCTTGCGACAATTGTACCAAGCGTGGTGACACGACCTCGTGTGTCTATGCCTCTCCTACCACGCGTAAGAAGCCTGGCATCCACCATGTACCTACCGGCACACCAGACGACATGCAGAATCGCATCGACCGACTCGAGAGTCTCGTACTTTCGCTCATGACCAATGGCTCTCAAGCTGCTGGGCCCTCCGCCGCACACGCTGCTATCACCTCGAGCAGAAGCAACAGCCTCGGCACCTCCATGAGCATGCCCTTAGACCCACACAGGGACAGCATTAGAGAAGAGGGAGAAGACAGCGACATCAATGATGTTGCTCAGGATATCGGCATCATGAAGATCGATGGTGCCAAAGCCTTCTTCGTGCCAGACGCGCATTGGTACGCCATATTGTCGGACATTGCTGAAGTCAAGAACTACTTCGCTAGTCACAAAGAGCAGTACCAAGAACAATTCAGAAAGGTCCAGGCCTCGAAGTCCGACGACGTCTCGGGCTCCTTTCTGTTCAAGGGCCCTAGACTGAACAACAAGACCGAAGTCCTGGTCACGATGCCAGACAAGATCGCTGTTGATGACTTGGTTAAACGTTACTTCCAGTCATACGATCCAGCTGTTCATATTATTCACGGCCCCACTTTCCAAGGCCAGTACGACAGGCATTGGCAGAACCCCAACGAGACGCCCGTCACCTTTCTCGCCTTGCTCTACGGCATGATGACCCTCGCATTACAGTCATACACCAGAGCAGGCGATGAGCCTCCAGAATATCAAGGCAGATCGCACGACATGTCCGTCTCATTCAAGCGCCTCACAGCACAGTGTATTGTCCTTGCGGATGTCACCCAGCCATTGCCACAGCTCGTTGAGGCGCTCATATTGCATATCCAAGCAGAGCATAGCAGTAGCAACGACGCAGAAACAGGCATTCTTTTGCTGGTGAATCTGTGTACTCGATTGGCTATGCGCATGGGTTACCACAGGGATTCTGGCCCGTACCCTAATGTTTCGCCATTTACTGCCGAAATGAGAAGACGTGTATGGGCCTTCGTTCGACAGGCAGACTTGCTCTTCTCATGCCAGTTCGGTCTTCCTCCCGTGGTCCGTTCCGACTGCACTGACTCCGACCTTCCTAACAACATATTTGACGACGAGTTCACCGAAGATATGAAGACCCTGCCTCCTTCGCGACCAGAATCAGAAGTTACTCCAGCCTCATACATGATCGCCAAGGCTCGATTGATTTCATGTTTTGGTCAGATTGTTGATCGCATACAATCAGTGACAGCGCCGCCATCATACGAAGAGATTATGAAGCTGGACGCTCAGCTTCGTGAAGCCCGGACTCAGATCCCTCCTCATCTTCAGATGAAGCCTCCTTCGGAGTTGGCTATGGCTGCGCCTAATCTGATTATGCAAACGTATGCTCTGGAGCTGATCTATCTGAAGTCGCAATGTATGTTGCATCGCAAATTCATTGCAAGAGGACGCGACTCGCCACGTTATGCGTACTCTAGACGAACCTGCATTGACGCATCTATGGAGATGCTCACCCACCAAGCCACTCTGTACATAGAGTCACGAGATGGCGGCAGATTGCGATCAGTCAAGTGGTCCATCTCTTCGCTCACGACACACGACTTTTTGCTTGCTGCCATGATCGTCTGCCTCGACCTCTACCACACTACTGAATCGGACAGAAACACGATTAAAACTTCGTCGTCCAATCCCTCATCGCCAATGGGCGACGTATGGACGCAAGATCGCAGAGACCAAATGATCACATCACTCCAGCACTGCGCGTCGATCTGGGAGAGTCTGCGAGATAAGAGTATGGAAGCCTACAAGGCCTCAACACAGCTGCGCGTTATGCTGGGCAAGATTAGAGCTCAAGAGCAACAACAAACAGTGATGACTGGTGGCAGAGAGCAGCAATTGCGTAGCGCTAGCCAATATGGCATGCGTGGTCAGTCCTTTGGCAGCTTCACCAATGGTCAAGTGTCTGATACTGTTGATGACGAAGTCCCACCCGAGCACTCTGCTGCTATGACCTTGGGCCTGTTGTCATCCGGCGGCGTTAGTCCCAATGCTGGATTCGCTTCTAACAATCCTGCCTCACTTGGCATGGATGCGCGCGGATACCCAGCCAGTATGGCTGGCCTGCTCAATGAGCCTATGTCTGAGCGTACAGGGTTGACATCACAATACAGTGGTGTGGACGTCAACGGAGCGCAGGCTGTTCAAGGTGCCGTGTCTCCTTTCACACAAATGTTCGGCGCTGGTGCACCAGATGTAGATTGGGTAAGTTCTAGACTGCGAAATACTTCTCGACAAACTGTTTTGGCTAACGCATCACAGGGCGCATGGGACTCATACGTCCAAGGAGATCCGATGCAGATGTGGTCAACGAACCTCGAAGTCAACCCGTTGGACGGACAACAGGCACAACAGCAACAGGCGGCTCAACACCAGGCACAACAGCAATTAGCTCAACAAGCGCAGCAAGCAAGTATGAACAACATGTTCATGGGTCCAGCTGGCGCTGCCAATATGATGTGAGGGTGTAGCAGATCGATGCATGGGGATAACGCGACGAACGAAGGAATGACGAAGGCAATTGCGGAAAAGGATATCATATGAGCATTAGGCGTTCACGCGAAGGCTGGCAGTGTTGATTGCTGGGGATGAGACATGGCTTATCACAGAATGCCTAAAACGATGGGATATATAATTCGTGTAACATTCGTGCAATATTCATGGCCGTCGCTATGATTGCAAGCGAATGGTCGCTATCATCAGATCAAGCAGCATGCAAGTCTACTTGTAATCCGAGTTTGGGTAACCGCCCTTGTCGACAGGATTCGCGGGACCTCCTCTGTTACTCAACACGCCGGCAACATCGACTTCCTCCTTCTTCTGTTCCTCGATCTCCTCTCTGGCCTCTTGTTGCTCCTCCTTCTTGCGATCCAGATCGGAAGCCAAATCTGGCGCTGCTCCAGTAGCACCTGGCTTGCGATCTACGACATCTGCAACCTTTCCTTCGCCAGGAGCAGCCATCTGCTCACCATCGAGTTCCTTGTTTCTGCCTACAGACTCGTGAGTCTCGCCTTTGACCTCTTCACCAGGAGGGGCGCCACGGATACCGCGGGCTACAGAAGTGGGAGTGGCTTCGGATTGATCATGTGCTTGCTCGGAGGGGACGCGTTTCTCGCTGTTGATGTGTAAGTCATGACGAGGGTTGATCAATGGATTGCGACGACACATACATGGAAGCAGAGTCATCTTTATGATATGCCTGAGCCTGTTCTACGGGCTCTTTCGTGGCGGGGTTGCCGGCGACTTTGTATGCTGTATCCAGGTTGGGCTGGGAAGGTCCCGTGGGGTCGAGGCCGGAGGAGGACATGGTATCGATGATGGAAAGTGGTATAGTCGATTTGAGTTTGGTATATGTGGAGTCCTGGCAGCAATTGGGCAGGTACGCTTTGTAGTATAGCAGAGAGTATGACACGGAACGACTACTCTTTTCCCGATAAGAAGAGCAGTTGTTGGAGCTGTTTCTGCCGTCCGGCATCGTCATGCTTTCCCCACAACCCACCTCGACCGACGTCATGGCTCATCATGAGCTCGACTTTGTCTACCGCGCACAAGAGTCCTCTGCCCTGCGCTGTTTTCCACTCTGCCTCTACATCGGATCTGAATTTTACGCAAATCCGACCCCTCAAAACACAGATACAAAATGGCGTCTCGCAAGGAAATCATCAACAAGATCTACAAGATCGTCCCTCCCATGCTCGAGAGCTTCCACAAGGGTAACTTGAGCCTCATCCAAAACTCTATACCAACAACACAATTGACTTTTTCTGTGTAACAGGTCAGCTCGGTCGTGTGGCCGTCATTGGTGGTAGCGAGGATTACACCGGTGCCCCCTACTTCTCTGGTATGGCTTCTGCAAAGCTCGGTGCCGACATGTCACACGTCATCTGTGAGCCTGGCGCCGGCCAGGTCATCAAGACATATTCTCCCAACCTGATGGTTCACCCATACATGCGTCAAAGCAAGAACATGCAAGAGGGCGAGACCATTGACAGTGTCTCGAAGACTGTCACCGACATGCTGTCCCGCCTCCACGTCGTTGTCATTGGCCCTGGTCTTGGGCGTGATGAGGCTATGCAAGAGACTTGTGCTCGTGTCATCCAAGAGGCTCGCAAGCAGGGAATCCCGTTCATCGTCGACGCTGATGGTCTGTTCATCATCCAAAACAGACCTGAGCTGGTCGAGGGCTGCACAGAATGTATCCTCACACCCAACGTTGTCGAATTCGGCCGTCTCGCAAAGTCAAAGGGCATCGACGCCAGCGGCGACCCAACAAAACTGTGTGAAGAGTTGGCAAAGGCATTTGGCGGTCCCACCATCATCCAAAAGGGAGCCAAGGACTACATCTCCAACGGAAAGGTCACACTCGTCAACGACAACGAGGGCGGTCTCAAGCGCTCAGGAGGTCAAGGCGACACCCTCACCGGTTCCCTCGCCACCCTCATGGCGTACAGGAAAGCCTACCACGACAAGATCTGGGACCACGAGGACGACCTTTCAGAGTCCGAGACTCTTGCTCTCGTCGCTTTCGGTGGCAGTGCCATCACCAGAGAGTGCTCGCGTCTCGCATACAAGGAGAAGGGTCGTTCGCTGCAGGCCGGTGACTTGACCGAGCATGTCCACACTGCTTTCCTCAACACTATTGGCGAAAAGACGAAGATCTGAACGTTTATGCCTCGCCTTTGATGACTTTTCTTTTTCACGGCTTGATTGGAAAAATGTACCCTACCCTTTCTTCTTTTTGATTTCATATCGTGATGTGACGATGGAGAACGACTAGCACCATGACGAGCAATGATCATGACCTTTTCTGACGAGCAACGTTCCATCTACGTCAATCTCGAGTTTGTGAATAGTATGTAACTTTTGCGTGAAAATTAGCGAGAACCCCAATGTTTGGTCAAAACAATGTGGACGTGTGAAACTGTACTGGACGTATATGACTAGCTCCCACGTCAACCTAGTAAATACTCTATCCCTAGTGAGGTATTCTCGAAAGTGTATATAGCAGCTGTTCATGTATAGATCATTCCACAATTATGTGCATGATGCATTTGACGAGGTCATCTTTGCAAGAGCAGGGTCGCCCTCTTTTCGAAGAAAGTTGGTCGTTCAGAGTATCGTTGAGGCTCTGCTCGCGAGCTTCCATGAGCCTCAACGTTCAAGTGTAATGGTCAAACCTTGTTGAACGTCGTGTACAATATTTATGCTGCTGTACTGTTCTATCGAAAACCGACATACTACTTTCGCAGTCTTCGATCTGCAGAAGCTCCGAGCTTTTTGAAGCTTGAGTGAGCGACGACTTCGTCCATTGGCCTGATTGGGATAGCGAGACTCCAAAACGCGATGCTCAACGGTGGAAACGATATACCAAATGCGGCACAGTGCAGCCAACTTGTCACCAACGGCAACAAGACCAAGAGGTGAAGCTCTGAAAAGAGTCAAAGCCGAACATGCAGATCGTGGAGAAAGAAGTCCTCAGACACGTTTGATCCACAAAGAGTGGAACCGTGGGTACGGTCCGTCAACTCACCACTGTTCAGCTTAGGACGTTTTTGGGGATTGGACCATCAAGCTCAAGCTCGATCTTATACATGATCAGCAAGAACTTTTGGACTTGGTGTCCTGTAGAGCAGTAAGAGACGCTATGCAGTCATTCTAGCTGAATGACGCTATAACAGCTGTTTGTATGTCTGTACATCGACGATTAGCAGGAGAGAGGATGGCTGCGATAAAAGGTAAGTCATGTCAGCGGCTCTTGCTTGACGATATCCTCAACACAAAAGTCATTTTCCCTCTTCTTCGACCACGGCAACACATCAGCTTCGGCTGCCTCGGTCAAGATTCCCAGAAAGAACAAGAACAAGCCGATAACCATGGCCTCACCACTAACAGACAAGGCGTACGTCCAAGCCCAACACCCATCAAGCTTCAGAACACATACCTAATCGACGTGATATAGCAACGATGTCGCAAAGGAGCCTCTACCCACTGGCTGCAACCCGTTAAACGCCAACCCAGGCGAACTGTTGAGCAAACGCAGTCCAGCAGATACTGAAGCAGGGGAAGAGCCAAAGAAGAAAGAAGAGAGGGATTCAAGTCTGAAGATTAAGATCGAACTCGATCTTGATGTGGAAATTCATCTAACAGCGAGGACCAAAGGTGATATTACTATTGGGTTGTTGTAGATGTGAGAGGTTGTGAAGGGAGCTGACGGAGAGTTGGACATCACTTGAGAGATTTTACACATACAATCTTCCAGCAAACACATACCTTGAAATGATGGAGGATTTGGCTACAACGTAGAACGAATCAGAAGATAAACCAGTCGGGTAGCCACGATCAAATGCTACACGAACACGAAATGAGCTGCTCAAGAGAAATCGATCGCGTAAAAGCAACATGACATCACAGACGATCTTTCTGGCCCCATAGACCCGTATATCCGGGCAGCAAACTCTACACGGATACATATAGAAGAAAGTCCATGAAGCGTTTCCATGACATCTTTACCTCATCACCAGAAAAGTCAACATCCAAACTCATGGTCTTCGGCATCCTCACCGCTGTAGCGGCCTGCTCAGCTATCATTGGTACAACCGAAGCAATAAAACAAGGCCAACGAAACAATACCCGCGAAGAACATCGAGGCCGGAAATCAAATCTTACAATCACCTTGCCCGTCAGAAATGCCTACAGTGCACAATTCGACGGTGCTTTGGTGGTGCTCAAGAATAATAAATTATGCATCGATACCGAGCACAGTAGACTTGGAGCACATAGATTTCACCCTTTCTCTGGCTATTATCTACCAGTGCCTTGGATAGGGATTGCTTGGAAAAAGGCTGGATTTAGACATGGAGAGGGAATGGTCACCACGATCAGCGATGATCCACCGTTTCTGAACTGGGTGTATCTGGACAGGGATACTTATGAGGTCAAGTATGGTATTCGTGTTGAAGCCGAACCTCATCTTGTAGGGCCTTGGGATTGTACACCTATTGACAGACGATTGATCTTCAATGGATGGGAGGGCTTTGTCATCGTACAGGAAGATGAGGAGAGTGATCTTTGGGCACTCTACTTTGATCGCGATGACGATGGATTGAGGGGAGAAGAGAAAATGGGCACGCAAGGGAAAAGGATGCTTCTGGTTGAGGCTTCAAGAAAGGAAATGAGGAAGACGAAGATGACGTCTGATGAAGAACGAGTCTCACGCATCCGAGCGCAGGCAGAGAAGGAGAAGAAGTAAGCACAGGCAGAGCTCGAAAACGTACCAGTCACACCTGCTCAGGAAGAATCACCACCGCAAGTCGCGAGAGATATCCAGGTGTCCAGTACCGAGGTGTCAAAGATCGAAGACCACACCCTCAGTACGTCCGCTGAGAAAGCCCTCTCATCGAAGGGGGAGGAGAACGAGAAGACAACCAACAGCTCAGGCGTTTCGGTATACCAGACTTCAGTCCAGTCGTCCAGCTCGTTCCAAACCGCTAGTTTCGAGACGCATACCACCAAGACGACTCGATGATTATAGGCACGGAAATCCGTGTCCGCCTCAAGCCTGTCGATACACGAGTCCTCTAGGGCTTAGGATCCTCTCTACTCCAGCGGCCTTTCGACTTGTTTGTATCTCGGCCCAAGATGATACGCAACAATGTCCCCGCGTAGCACAAAGCCGACTGAGGGCTGGAAACCTCTCCGCGCGTAAAAGTTGCGATAAGGAAGAAGTTTTAGCGAGAACCGCGAGAAAGCTAGGACGCTATACCACAAATTTCCACCGTGCGCTTCCACCAAGCTTCTTTCGGTACTCTCGGCCGAGTGTATATAGGGCCAAACTTGGCTGTGGCACAAGCTTTTACAGTAGTCTTGTGGTCTTAGACCGCTTTGATATAATGGTCAGATAACCAAGATACATCCATATAATCCAGGGCTTCCAGCCATTTCTGAACATCTAGCCATCTCTCTATATTCCTCGGTCGCTCTCCAACCCACCATCCACAAGATCTCATCGAAACGCTACAAAATCTCACAAGACCCGATCAGACCAACCAAAGAACAGGACCAAACATGAACTCGACATCCACACCTTCAGCATGTCCCAATTTTCTCGAGGGCCCACACAACAACAACAATACCGCCTTCTGCGCCCTAGCCTCTTGTGGTGATAACACAGCCATCATGTCACTCTGCTGTAAAGACGCACCAACCCCTTACTACTACGACTCTGGCTTCTCAGGGGAGCATAACGAGACTTCTGGAAATGCTTCTTGGTGTGCGGTCAACACTGAGGATGCACCTACTTGGGGTGATTGTGTGAGTCAATACGGAGCACAGAGTGGTGGTATGTGTGGGTCGGCGATCAAGACTGTTGAGGGTGCTGGGTCGAGGGTTGGAGGAGATGGAGTTGGTCTGGTGGGTTTGATGGGGTTGTTTGTGTTGGTGTGGAGTATGTTCTGAGAGGGTTGTAAAAGTCGAAAATTGCAAGAGGTGGATTGGGTGACGAATAGCTAGCGCGATTGGCTTGATGTTATACGGAATATGTTGGCCATATATGAGTCAGCAAAGCGGCTGCCACTTCTCCGAATTGTAAGAGATTAAAGTCCTACAACGCCACAGTTTCCGCGATCAAATATCGTTCTGCGAGCATGTGAAGGACTATTGGTGGTTTTTGTGTTGGTTGAATATAGCACAGTCTTCGGACTACCACTGAGAGCATTGGATGTCAAGACGTGGAAAAACCAGTAATCCAGAGCTTGAAAGAATCAGGCTATGTCGAAAGTTCTGGGGTCGCAGTCGTAGGAGTATATGTTGCATCACGATGTTGCTGTATGAAATGCCGCGGCGCAGGCGAGTCATTCTCTCGGTTTTCCGGCAAACCATGCTGATAGTTTGCCATGGATCCATATTGACCACTCATACCCCATAACGTAGTGGTACAAAAGTCGTGTTTGCGTCCGTATGATCATTACGTGTCTCGCAGGCTGTTTGTTGTGAGCCTCGTACAACGTCTAATGCGCTGCAATTCTTGAAATTGTATGCATCCAAGTGTGGAGACCTACCAACCACAGTACAAGCAGGATGTAAAGACATGCTTGATGAAGTAGGTATATGTGCGTGCGATTATGCTCTTAGCAACTTCCAAACTCAGAGTCTACCACTCGAAAGTTCAATATGCCTTCCAGGACCAGATTACGCGAAACTCTCGACTCCAGCGCATTCATCAATGGTAATGATACTGTGACTACTTCTAACCATTCTGCCAGGAGACTAACCTTCGAGAGGCCTCCGAAGGCTCAGTATAGAAATTGCCAGGTCTCATGTCTTTGCACCATACCGTCCTCTGGAGCTCATCGCCGTTGGTGGGTTTGTTTCAGTGATGCATCTCGGGAACAGAAATGTGACCGAAGACCTCGACTTTTTCCTGAACAAGAGAGCGTTCGGCAGACAGTATCCAGCTGTCAAACAAGAACTGGATCGCCTTATCGCCAGAGTCGCTAGGGAGTTGAGACACACAGGTCATTGGGCAAACGATGATGTTGCCCCCCCTAGTGGACCTCCTTCATGACCCCGAGACCATCTTCAACGATTTCAAGAGACAGGATATTATACTCTACTCAGACGGTAGCTTGAAGATTTGGGCAGCCAAGTGGATATGGGTCCTCTCTCGCAAGCTGAAAAGACTCCAGATACCTAATCGGGATCAGAAGCCCCAGGTCTGGCTGGACTGCATATCGATCACTACCCTCTTGTATGACAGAAACAGAGGCCAGCTCAGTCCAGCAATACTAAGGCGTTACGACGATCCCAGGGCCGAGACAGCAGTACGTCCTCAAACAATCGCGAAATTGAGTATGCGGGTGCATAGAGTCACTGAACGTTATCCCTTCCCGAAGCCCATTTGGGTGTACAATCGAGCCGGAGGCCTCTGGCACCAGTGGGTTACAGGGGAGAGAATCCAACGCAGTATCTGGCCTCTACAGGTTGGAGTGATAAGAGTCTATAACGCCGACGAACGCAGGTGGAGATTCTACGACTTCAGAAGACGAAATTGGCTGTGATCAGAGCTGATGCAGTTGGCCTATCCCAAGGGGGGCCGAGATCTTGGAGATGGTTAGGTATGGTTGAGCGAGCGAGCGAGGCGCGAACGTGCTCCAAGGGCTGATTTCTGGATGTCAAAATCCATATCAACAACGTCTTATTTGCGTTTGTCTAAGCTCAAGACCAGGTGACTGAAGATGTTGGACTCGCAAGTGGAGTCGAGTCGGCCAGTGCTCGGCTACTCGTTGATAGGTTGCGGAACACGATTTCGCGTGCATAAACAACAAACACGTAGGCCTGCCATGTAAGCAAGTAAGCACATGACAGATAACCTAATATTTGTCCTCAACCGTCACATCTCCTTCTTAACCAGACCATGCCATGGAAATACCTAGATATAATCCTGTTCGATCCTACCTCCTAGCCCATGTTCCGACCAAATATTGGGCGTTACTCTGGTTGTTTAGAGGATCTTCTTGTCATCCAATGACCATCATCCGGAAGTTGATATTCTCTCCAGAGACTCTCACCCTTCCACGACCTCTGCCGGCGCCGCAAGCCTTGCGTGAGGACGAAAATATTGTTTGGACGCGATATGATGGTCTCGACGCACTTCGACATATCCAAGCCTTCAGGTCGCACGACAAACCAATCAACTCGGTGTATCGCATGTGCGAATTCATTTGCGTAGACGCACCAAATCAACTTATGATCGAGACGGAATACTTTTTGTATCGGACAACGTGGCGGCTAGAGGAGATCCCCAACCCAGACGATGACCACCCGGAGCGACGAGCTTTATTGGCCGCCACGATCGAAAGTCTCGTTGATGCTTTCAACGAGAAGCACAGCTTTGGTATCACACGCGAAGGCGCTGTTGTCGCACAGCAAGTGTGTCCGAGATGGGTTGAAGAAGTGCCCGCAATTGACCGCTTGCTTGACTTGGTGGCTGAGCACGAGGAATGCTTCGACTCGGATCATCAACGGACTGATCCATACACGAGGCGCAACATTAGAGCGCACTCAGGGACCATCTTTAATTTCTGATAGTCCGAATCTGGTCGATCAGCTGTCCGAAAGGTAACGAACGAGCTTTGAGATTATTGAATTCGAAGTTCTGAACCTCGAAAGCGAGTGCCAAGCGTGATTCGGCGATGTTACTAAGCCAGGAAGGTGCGCCATTGCTTCACAAACCGCCAACCCCGCCTTCGCTGTCGCAGCTTCCTCGATGTTGATTCTTCTCCCAGCTATCTCAACATCAGCTCTGCCACGGACTCACTCTCAAAAATCAAGCTAGATGCAAAATCACGTTCAATAGTACAGAGTTCGCTGTCCTAGCATATATCCAATTCACTATCCTGAGTCTTGAAAATTGTCAGGTAGGTGCAGTGCCACGATCTTGCGTGCTGGCACCCGGATCGTTCACACCCACCATGCTCTTTGGCGTGCGCCACCCACTACCACAACGATAATCACAACGAAAAAGGTTACGACCATAGCAAAGACTTCTTGCGATTGAAGAATGTCAGTTCGAACTTCGACTTGGTGGCTCAGGTGCGCATCTTAGGGCTCCTTCGGTGTATACATTCATGAACCAAAGTGGTCAAGATGCAGTCAGTATGTGGCCCCTCGACCTTGCCTCTGCAACACAGCTCTCAACGGACAACGCTCAAGTGTTTCCGAGGGATTCCGCGCTTTTTACTAAACGTGGTCGACATCCGCTTTGCAGCTCTGTTCTGTGCATCCGCTAAGCAGCGACCTCTTCAAATTCCTCTCTTCATTACAGCATCACGGTCGACGGTCCACAGTCATTTTAAGACTGGGCATACAAGCCACGCGATCTAGAGTATCGATGGGCAATGACGTGTATTAACAACTTTTCGACGACGTACGCGCTTGCATCGCGCATCACAAACAAGAAGTCACTTTTCACCCTGGCTTTGGTAGAGACCCATTCCATCCGTACGGCAAGCAAGCCGACAGAGCAGGGATGATCGTCCTGGAACCTCCCGATTGGAAACAGAAAGCCATTGTGCTAGCTTCTTTCACTATGAGTAACAGGCTGCCGTAATGGAACGACAGGCATGCTATGACGGCATGGAGAACTTATGACATCAAACATACTGCATTGGAATTTGGATGTGGTAGACTGAAGGAGTTCCCACCATGCAAAAAGTCGATCTCAAAGCGCAAGGATGAGCTAAGCGATAGACAAGCTAAAGAGGCTTGCATACAAGCCTTTTCGATTGGTGTCTTCGCTGCTGAACGGCTCCGCACTTGAATGCTTGTTTAGCCGTTCATGAAGTGATGGAGTTGCGTGGTCTACCCCGCGATGATCGACAGCCATCGCCTTCAGATTAGGCACAGCACATTTAGCCAGAAACAAGACCTCCATATCTGTGAGTACGACATGCGGGGATACCCAGGTCTGCATGTCGACTAGCAGAGTCCGGAGTCACCTTATGTGGCCAGGATGTCGAATCCCGGGATCTTTCCCTGCTGCTCATCCCTGCTCTCCAACGATCAGGCTAACTGTACAGGTACCTGCAGCTTCAAATACCCAGAGAGGGGCAACACATGTGTGCTGAGAGATTGCCGAAGACAATTCTGCCATAACACCCGTCGAGGTCTTACTTGAGGCACGAGTATAAATCTAGCGAGCCGCCTCGGTGTGATTTCGTATCCTCAGCACCAGCCAATATGAAGCACACTATTCTGCTCACTGCTGCTGCCAGCATCGTGTCAGCCAAAGGATGGAGCCCTTACCACAGTCCCGTCTCCTCGAACGCCTCATTGGCCTTCGAAACAACCATTAGAGTCAATGCGGAGCAGAGATACCAAAAGATGCTTGGTGGTGGTTGCTCTGGCGCTTTCGGCGCGGCGTGCACAACCAACACTCTTTCGGCAGCCGACCAAGACGCCGTGGTCAGAACACTCTTTGACGAGAACGTCGGCGCCCTCTCGATCCTCCGCAATCTCATTGGATCATCCCCAGGTTCGACCATACTTCCAACATGCCCGGCAACACCTGCTGGCCCATTTAACTACACCTTCCCTTCCAACAACGACAGCTGTCAGTTGACTTTGGCTCAAGGTGCACTCAGATACAACCCAGACCTTTACCTGTATGCAGATGCATGGTCAGCTCCAGGCTGCTTCAAGACGACTGGTCGCGAGGCTGGGGGTGGTTTCATCTGCGGCGTTCGACGCTCCAATTGCACTTACGACTGGCGTGAAGCTTACGCCAATTACTTGCTCGAGTATGTGAAGCTTTACCAGCAGCGTGGTATCAAAGTCTCTCTCCTCGGTGCCTACAACGAACCCGATTTTAACCCTGTCACCTACTCTGCGATGTTGTCTGATGGTTACCAAGCCTATGACTTTCTCAGTATCTTCTATCCTATGGTCAAGAAGGCCTTCCCCAGTTTGGCCGTGTCCTGCTGTGACTCGACCGGGGCGCGTCAACAGCGAGACCTGCTAGCCGAACTTGGCCGTCTTGGTGGCAAGACCCTCTTCGATGTTAACACCTACCACAACTATCAGTCTGATGTTAAGAGACCATTCGATGATCTGTTGGCTGGACAGCCTACTCTAGAAACTGAATGGAGCGATGGTGGTAACACCTGGACTAGGACTTGGGACGTTACCGGCAACAACTTTGAAGGCTTCCAATGTAAGTAAGCGTTAGGTGCACATCACAAAGATTAGTGACAGGGAAGACTTCGTTGTCTGTCACTGACTCGTGGCGTTTCACGATCTTTCCTAAATTAGTCTCATGCTGACTTTTCCACCTATAGGGGCCATCTACATGCATAACGCATTCCGTAACAATGTAGCAGGTTGGAGTCATTGGTGGTGCAGCTGGACCAGCCCCACTGATGCTTCTCTCGTTCAGGTGAACGGCACTTCTTATCAGGTTTCGGCCCGTTTGTGGGCCTTTGCAGGCTACTTCCGCTTTGCCCGTCCCGGCGCCGTGCGTCTGTTCGCAGATACAAGCGTGGAAGAGGTCTATGTCACTGCATGGCAAAACACAAACGGCACTATCGCCATCCCCGTCATCAACGCTGCGCACTACGCATACACTCTGGACGTGCAGTTGTCTGCTACAAATGTATCTCTGGCTACTGCTTACTTGACCGATAATGATCACAATGTCACTAAAGCTGGTCAATTTGCGTTCGAAGGTGGAAGGTTTACAGCACAGATTGAGCCCAGATCTATGAAGACGTTCTTCCTGGAGGAAGCGGTCTAGGCGTATACATGTCCGATCCGTCGCGGCGATGCTGCTAGTTACCTCGTAGATAACTATTCTTTTCACGCCATGGCATCACCTACATCACTGTCACGATCAGCACACGATAGTATAGCACAATTGACATCAAACTTTCCTTAGTAGGCATTTTGAAGCATGCATTCGTCATAGGACAATGGATGATGTAAACTATGCTTTGTTAGATCGAAAATTGATATATACAATGCTATAAACTAGCTGGTCCGTTCTCGAGTATCACTCTCTATCAACAACAACAACGGGCTCAGGGTGGATTTCGACCTGCTGCAAGGTCGGTCTCTCGATCGGGGTCGTGGGCAAGGTCAGCTTCCGCAGCCACGCCGCAAACTTCACGCTAGGGTCATCGACCAGGACCGTCAGAACCTCGCCGACCCATAGCGTGAAGGGCAGTATGATGAGATGAGGGAGTAGGAAATTGAGCTCCAGACCTAACGGACCCCAATGCGGGATAGGGAAGCGGCCGATCCAGTGAGGCGCGACGAGGGCGTGGTTGGCGCGCTGCATACCGACCGCGGCGTAGATTCTGTCGCCCAGCGTCGACATGACAGGTCCGTGGACGAGGTAGAACATGAAACTTATCCTGCCGAGGTACTGGCAGAAGCGGGTCTCAAAGAAGTTCTTGAACGAAGGGACGCGAGGCACACTGGCGACGAGGAAGATGGCGGCCCAAAAATTGTAGAACCATTTGTAGTCAAAGACGGCCTCGGGTTTGAGGTATGAGAGGAGGCCCCAGCCAGGGGAGATGCGCAAGTCTGCCATTTCTTTCGAGAAGCTTGGAACACCGCCGAGGTAGAGACTAGCGACAAGCATAACCTGGAAGATTATCGTGGAATGAGGTTTCAAATGACGATCCATCCAGGCGGGAAGCTCGTCTTTGGCAGCCAGAAGATCAAGATCGCAGAGGAAGAGACCGCCAGCAAAGAGGGCAAAATACATGCCATCAACAATCCAGATGAAGTAGAAGATGAGCGCGAGCTCGCAGCACAATCTAGCTGTGCGTGTGCATCGTGCAAATGCTGTAAGAGCTACATATACCACAAGAGATCCTTTAAATTCCAAAGGGATGGTCCAGGTATGCGGATTGTATGTGAACCAGATTGGCGGGCTCGAGTTCAGAATCCAGGTGAAACTCTTGAACTCGTTGTACCAGAAGTAAAGCTCGGCGCTCAGTGTTCGCTGCGGTCTCAAGTTTGCGGATATACCAAAAATGTGCCACATGAACACTATGCCAAGCGTTGTGACAACGATGGGGATGTAGAGTCGGAACCAACGTTTGAAGACCGATGAGCCCAAGTTGTCTCCAAGCAGCACAAAATCTCCAGCTTGGATACACATCAAGGGCTTAGCCGATAGCACGTAGCCGGACACGACGAAGAAAATTCCTACAGCATAATGACCACCAGTGATGAAGTTGCGAACGAATGGCAGAGCAGCGAAATAGTGCTCGCCATTGAAACCGAATGCGTTTTCCAATTTGCGGTCCATAAATTCGTGCGCCCAAAGCTGATGATGCAGCACATACACCATGAGTGCGGCAAAGCCTCGCATACCATCGAGATAAGCTGTTCGTCGCAGCTTTGCCGGGGATGCTTTAGTCCTTCCCAGAAAGGATGGTTTGAGAATGCGTAGACATCGGACCAGCTTCTTGGAAATTCTCAAGAGTGCTGGATCTGGCTGTTGAGCTTCCAAGGGGCCCTTTTCGAGAAGGTCCTCGCTCGAGGAGGACATGTTATGTCCTGAGTAAAGTGGCAAGCTCGACCACGAAAAACCTGGCGGCGGCAAACGTGAAGAGAGAGAAGCGAAAGAGATCAGATGCAGATAACCACGCGCATCCGTTCTTCGCAGGAATGCAGGAAGCAGATGGTAGATGTGCAGTATTTTGCAACCCCTGTGTCGTGCAGAGTGCTGAAAGAACGCTCTTTGATGCCACCCGGTCCCTCGGTCTGTTCACAAGCAAGCTCATGTCGACAAATCAGAAAACGCTTGCTTGGATGTTGCCGCCGTTTGCTGCAGCCTCCGGGGTCCCCGCCCAGAAGTCCAGTTTGAGGCACCGAGGCTCAGGTCTGAAAGTCTCTGCTGGATCGTGATTGGTCGCATGTGAGACCCTGAGCGCTATAAAGTTTAGTAGTTCTCGAGTAGTCATTTCCCCTGGCGGGTCACGCGTCTCATGTCTCGATTCGACCCCTGGCGCGCTACCCAATTCCTTCACAAGCTTACTTCATAGAAGAAGGATTGTATTGGTTGAACCTGCCCACTGCTTGGCTTGCACCCTAGAGTTTTTTGGTTATGATCGAGCTTGTTTTGTTGAATATGCAATTTTAAACCAATATTCAATCTTGCGCCGATAGAACCCCGCGATATATTGTTATTATGAGCGTTGACCGCTCATCTCTTATATGACTCCAAGTGCTCAGATAGGCACTTCTTATACTAACTTGTACAGAAGACGCCTAATTAGCTTCTGTAATACGTGATTGTGCATTAGGAGATCCCATGCGCTAGGGTTTGTGCCATCGTCCATAGTTCTTGCTTTAAGTGTTCGTGCGGGCGTACCAACTGGCCGCGGCTTCGAAAGAGCGAGATGTGTAGGAGTGAGGCCGAGGTCGTTGAATGATAGCACTAAACCTACGCGGTGGGGCGACGCTTGTGGGTGGCGCCGGAATGGGGTAGGCGAAGTGTATTTGCAGCCACCTCGTAGCTTGCACAGTCAAATCTCCTGCAGCGGCAAAACGATCATTGATATGCACAACAGGCCGAGGTGGCCGTTTTTGGGACTGCACTCGCACATTATCTTCACCCGCCCCGCTGTTCAACTTCATCCTCCTCCACTCAGTGCCTTCGCCAATTCCAGTCGCTACCGAGTCATTCGCAAATACCAATGTCAAGATGAAAGCAACCGATGTCGACTACAAGGAAATGAAAGAGTACAGTGATGCAGCATACCTGGGCGAGACGGATTGGCCGCGGCGATACAAGGACCTCAAGGAGAACCTTTTGAAGGTGTACAGCAGGACGCCGGACCTGCCCTTCACAAGATGCATGCGCCGGACCGGCGTACTGGCCTGCGGCTTTGTGGTGATGGTGATATTCTTTTGGAGCAGCCTGTTCGGCGGCACTGGTGTGTCTAGGCATGAACTTTTCCCGCGCAAGATCTGGCAGCTCTGGAAAGTTGATGCGCTGGACTTTGAGGAAAAGCATCTCAAAGTCGCTCGTTCATGGGTCAACGTCAACCCAAGCTACCGTTACGAGGTCTTGACAGATCAGAACGACCTTGCCTGGGTCGAATACAACTTTGGACCCGACCGTTTCAACCGTCTCGATATCATCTACATGTACAAGGAGATCAAGGCCAAGATCATCAAGGCCGATCTCCTCCGCTACCTTGTAATGTACGTCGAGGGTGGCTTGTACACTGACATCGACGTCGAAGCCATTCGTCCTATTCACAGATTCGTTCCGGAACGCTGGAACGAGAGAGACATCGACATGGTCATTGGCGTAGAGATCGATGAGCCCGACTGGAAAGACCATCCCATCCTCGGACCGAAAAGTCAGTCCTTCTGCCAATGGACTTTCATGTGCAAACCACAATTGCGGGTCATGATGGACCTTGTTGAGAACATCATGGATTGGCTAAGGGATGAGGCAGCAAAACAAAAGGTCGCCATTGGGGATGTGAAGCTCGATTTTGACCAGGTCATTAGTGGAACTGGCCCGTCCGCCTTCACCAAGGCAATCTTGGCCGATATGTCTCGCCAGACCGGACGACAGGTCACTTGGAATTCCTTCCATGGCCTCGACGAGTCAAAGGTAGTGGGCAACGTTCTCGTCCTGACGGTCGAAGCCTTTGCAGCCGGCCAAGGCCACTCCGACTCAGGCAACCACGACACGAAACAAGCTCTCGTCAGACATCACTATCACGCATCCCAATGGCCCAAAGCGCACCCGAGATACAAGCATCCCATCTTCGGCGAGGTCGAAGAGTGCAACTGGAAGCCGGATTGCATTCACAGATGGGACGAAGACAAGGCAGCATTCGAAGCTCTGGACCCTGCCGAACAAAAGAGGCGGATCGATGAAAAGATTGGCAGAGACAAAGCAGATGAAGACGAAAAGAAGATATGGGAAGACAGAAAGGCTGCAGAAGAACGCACCCAGGGCGAAAAAGAGAGAGTCGAACAAGCACAACAGTTCGAAGCATTCTTGAAATATACCGAAGAACTTAAACACAAGGAGGAACACAGAGACTAAGGGAAAGAGGATCAGCATTCATTCACCAAACACACCCTGCAACATTTCGTGCATATCGGCCCGTTGGTAAGGTCGCCGTCGACAGATCACTGCCATTTTGTCACCTCATTTCCCTCATAATTCCCCATTGCTTCGCATCACTTCCAGCGGGTCTCATTCTATTTTCTGGTCAACCACACTGTACATATACCAGGCTTGTTGCATCTCTCTAATATACGCAATTGACGTTCCTTCTAAATTCCCTTCTTTGCATTACTGAGTTGACTATGTGCTATCACCGGACCACGGACAACATCTCTTCGCAATTGCTTGATGGTATTATTGAGATGTAGTCGCGTACTGCTTCATATGATGGGAACATAGATGTCAAGATTTCGAGACATAACATTACTTAGATGCCGAGACTACGAATCTCACCGACTCCAGTAAACAGAGAAGATTCCACAAAAGACTTCGGATTTTGTTTATGCCTCCCGTGTCGTCATGGACTCAATTGTGATTCTGACTCTGCATTTCTCGACAGCGATTCTTAAAAGTGGCCAATCCTTGCTGTACTCGTTCAAGTCTGGTCTCATAGTCAAACGGGCCTTTGACTCGTCTAGCGGATATGGTGGGTCAGGCATGTATGTGTAGCTGAAGCAGCTGAAGCAGCGGCGGATGATAGGGGTAGGTTTCGGGTTGTTGTAGACATGTAGCTTTGGCCGACGTGCGGGAGTATATCGGAGATAATCGACGCAGCTTTGACCAAGGCGACGGCACCGAACGCTTCTTCTTGCCTCGCCGCTCTAGCCTGCATGTCCATTGCTCGTACCTGCGCCACACGACTCCGCAAAACATTCCGAGCTTCCTATTTTGCCATCACTGTTCTTGGCTGTCGACATGGCTGCTGCTTTTCTGCTGCAATAGCTTTCTGCTAGTCGCGACGATCTTGCACTTCGTGGAATGCTTCCAGATTCCCTTCTCGCCTGTGTTTGCGTGCGTCAATGTCGGCAGCATCCAGAGACACCAATACCGCTACAATGTGCGAAGCCTCCATGCGGGATACTCTACGCATTCGTTTGACATGAGCGCCTGACGACCGGACGATTCTTGCATTGGCTTCGGAGAGCTCGAGCTTGTCATCCTTCAATGCACATGTATGCTCATGACCCACCCGATCTTGTTTACAGGAGGACTGAAGCGAGGCAAGCCAGTCACTTCATAGGATGAGAAGCTTCCATCATGCAGGGTAATGCTTTAGACCAACGGCATCCGTATAGCAGCGTGCAAACTTTGCTATATCGCGGAGAAGTCGGGCTATGCCTTGATGATCCATTACTTTGGCTTTGATCCTTCGCAATGATGTCTAGGGTATAAGAAAGCAGCGATTCCTCCTTCGACTCTATCTCTGACATCCTTGTTATACAAAGTGACATCGCACATAGTATGTTGCTTCTCCCGGTATTGGTCGCTCTCATGAGCGCATGCCGTGTGCAAGCGAAGGCGGTCTTCGCTCATTTCATGGTACCTTTTAATAAAATTGTTCCTTTGATCGTTGCTAACGTTTCTTACAGGTCGGTAACGTTGACGCCTACAGTGTCACCGACTGGCAAAAGGACATTCAATTAGCCAAAGACGCCCACATCGATGCCTTCGCCTTGAATATCGCGAACAACGGCGGCTACGCAACTCAGCTTTCCAATGCTTTCACCGCTGCCAACAACGTCGGAGGCTTCAAGCTATTCTTCTCCTTCGATTATGCAGCCCAAGGAGCATTCAACCAACAGGATGTTATCAATCTCGTCAACCAGTACAAGAACAACGGGGCGTACTACAAATATAATAACAAGGCATTTGTGTCAACCTTCGAAGGCCCTGGAAACTCTGGTGACTGGAGCAACATCAAGTCCCAGACTGGCTGCTTCTTCATTCCTGACTGGTCATCATTGGGTGCTCAAGGTGCTATTAGTCGTGGCGTTGCAGATGGCCTTTTCAGCTGGGAATCTTGGCCGAACGGGCCGAACGATATGACTACAGCACCGGACAACTCTTACAAGAGTGCTCTCGGTGGTAAGCCCTACATGATGCCTGTCTCTCCGTGGTTCTATACCAACCTGCCAGGTTACAACAAGAACTGGCTCTGGAGAGGCGATGACTTATGGTACGATCGATGGAACCAGGTCATGTCCATACAACCGGAGTTTGTTGAGATCATCACATGGAATGACTGGGGAGAATCTCACTACATAGCGCCGCTGGACGAAAGACAGTTTGGGCTCTTCAACTATGGAAAGGCACCTATCAACTACGCCCAGAACATGCCTCACGACGGCTGGCGTATGTTCCTTCCCTACGTCATCGACATGTACAAGAATGGCCAGGCCTCGATCTCAGCAGAAGGCCTCGTTTCCTGGTACAGACTCACGCCTGGCTCTGCATGTTCCAGCGGAGGTACCACCGGTAATTCGGCAAGTCAAGGACAGACCGAATATCCTCCTGCACAGGTCGCTCAAGACAGAGTCTTCTACTCTGCGCTTCTGAAATCATCTGCTGATGTGAAAATCACTATCGGCAGCACAACTATAACCGGAACATGGGAGAACACTCCAAGTGGTGGATCAGGTATCTATCATGGTAGCATTCCTTTCCAAGGCACTGGGTCCGTAACCGTCGTGATCTCCAGAAATGGCAACACAATTGCTCAGATGAACGGAGCAGCCATCACTAACAGCTGCTCCAACGGCATCGAGAATTGGAATGCATGGGTTGGAAGTGCTACCGCCACCACCTCCGGATCCGGTGGTGCAGCAAATCCTTCTTCGTCCACCAAAGCTTCCTCCACCTTGAAGACATCTACCACCGCCCCTGCTTCTACACCTACCAGTGGAGGGGGAAGCAGCAGCTCGTTCTGTACTGCCGGCACTGGAGAGGGCAACCTAGCTGGACTGTGTAGCTTCTCTTGCAACTATGGCTTCTGTCCGTCAAACGCCTGTAAGTGTACCCAGAGAGGAAACCAGATCAACGCACCAGCCGCTAGTACTACTCTCGGTTTCCCTGTCGCCGGTCAAGACGTTGCACTTTACAGCGCGCTCTGTGAGTTCACTTGCAGCCATGGATACTGCCCTTCAGGTGCTTGCACTTCCGATCCTTCAAAGGCAGCCAATGGTGACGGCTCTATCTGCACTGGCGGTACTGGAAACGGCAATCTGGCTGGACTTTGCAGCTTCTCCTGCAACTACGGGTTCTGCCCAAGCAACGCCTGTTCTTGCACATCCAAAGGAAGCCAGATTAACCCACCTGCAAGCTCAAACACTCTCGGCTTCCCAGTCGCTGGCCAAAATGTGGCCCAGTACGCTGGTCTCTGCGAATTCACCTGCAGTCATGGCTACTGTCCTTCAGGCGCCTGTACCTCGGATCCTTCCAAGGCTGCTTAGGGAGCCGCGGACGGCACCAATACATGCCAACACGGCTTTTTGGCGAGCACATTAGCACCTACAATAGTAGAGAGCGCAATAGTATCGTCCTCTTAAGTAGAAAAGAAATGAAGTGTGGTTGACAAATGGAATAATCCATTGAGCTTCCGTTTGAATTAGTGCCTTGAAACGGACAAGGCGTTGAGGCACCCTGGTCGCCAAGAGCCGCACCTCTCGCTATCCATGCTCTTCGTTCTTCCCATCTCAACATCAAGTGTCCGAGTACGCATCCCAATGCCCTGAGTGCTTCTTCATCTTTCATCTTCGAAACATGTTTGTTCTTACGACCTGTGTGGTCGCTCTTATAGGCGTCCGATGCGTAGACGCAAAAGCTGTATTCGCTCGGTTCATGGTCTATCATTTACCATCATATTCCAAAAACTCATGCTGACCGAAGATCAGATGAACAATGTCTCTTCGTCTGAAATATTACAAAGCACAAACGCCGTCTACGTCGATCCAGGTGTCTATACTTCCAATGCTGGTAGTATTCAGTGTCAATCTCCTTGCACCTTCATCATGCCGCCATATGTCCTGCCAGATCATGAGACTACTACCATATCGTTCGAGCCTTACACCACGACTCTGACTGTTGTCTGGATGGCGACATCTAACATAACGACTGGGAGTGCCGTAGTTCCCACTACAGCCTCCAGCAGCGTGATCCAGACGACCGTTCTCGACATCCCTCCTATCACAACCACCGCAATACCCATATCGGATGTAACGTCCACAACGGACGGTGGCATCACGGACCTTGCGATTGTACCCTCTATTCAACCTGCACCTTTTGTCATAACAGATGATCCAAATCCGCTCGGAGAGACTGGTGTCAGCCACTCACAAAGTACACGTACAGTGACGCTATCAGCCTACTCTGCCACCTCGTCATCTACTTCCGAGGATTCTGATACTGGACCATTATTTCCAATCGTTCCCGTCATACCCATTATACCCATCATACCAGTCATTCCTGTGGTCATTGGAGTGGGCACACCGAGTCCAGTATGTTTGGATGCCAGCTGCGACTCTGGAGACTCTCCTGATCAGAACAGTGATTTGACGTCTTCCGCAACCTCAAGCGCCCTACCCACATCTGAGCTCACCTCCTCGTCTTCAAGTCTTGATCTTACGTCGTCCCAGGCAGTATCATCTTCATCCTCTTCAACAGTAACCTCGTCCTCGTCGACGTCTAGTTGTACCACCTGCACGTCATGCGCTGGCTTCGATATACTTGGTCCTGAAATTACAGAGATTCCGAGCGATGAAGATTTTCCAGAATATCCCTGGATAGATCCGAATATCTAGTCTCCAACTTCATCGATAGAGCCAACGTCAGCGCAACCTACATCGGCACAATCAATGCCAACTCAGCCTGCCAATCCTATCAACGAACCTACGTGCAGCGACAGGCGTGCTGAGATTGGTTCACTTCCTCTACGCAGCATACGTTTGCCAGATGGTAATGACGTTGATCTGAACGAGCTGATGTATCGTGTACGACAAGTCCTTTGCGACGGTACATGTACAGCGCCGTCTGGAATACCCGATACTTACGTTGCGTCCTATATCAGTGGTGTCGAGTGTGAAGTCTCAGTGGGACTCACCAACCAGACTGAATTGTACTTTTATTGTGGCACAGCGCCAGAAGGCGACCAGTGGCAACAGTGCTGGGATAGTACCGAATATATCATTAACAGCTGTATTGACAATAATGCAAACGATGGGTGGTGGTAAGTTTGAGCACAAAGCTTTCAATGCCTGTGACTGACAGTGATTCCGACGTAGGAATGGCAATCACGTTTACCAGTTCTATCAGGGTGGCGTACGCGAGATCAACTCAGCAAGCGCCAAACGACCGTCCGACATCCAGCTCAATAATTGGCTATGGCCTCCGACTGAAGGTCTTACTTGTGCAAAGGACTGCCATGGTTATACACCCAATGGTGATTGGTGCATACAGAATGGCTGTGCGCCTCATCTCAAACGAGGCACTCCACAAGCAGAGGCTAGTAGGAGCGTACTTGGAAGAGCGCCTGCAACTGTGAATCTCGGAGGGTGCCGCATTCGGTCATACAAATACCCAGGCTATCCCAGTTCTGGCAGCCTACAGATGCTGGGCGGTAACCTTTGGTATGACCGGGATGATTCAGTGGACTGTCTCAACCCGGCATTATCCTTGTTCTCTCCAAAGATCATCCGTCACCAGTATGACAGTAAGTATCATGTCAATACATGTCGTTCGCTTTGCTAACGATTGCTTCAGCCGAGCACGTTTATGAGAAACACTTCATCACTCGTTTTCTCTACTATCTTGTCAGCGGTCAAACTAGCGTAGTGATCAATGATGATGACATTGGCGACGTGAACGCCATTGGTGTGATAGTTGAGGGTGACATGACTACTATTGGTGGTCCTCTCACAGATTGTACGACTCTACAGCAGGTCTTTGGCTCAACAAGTACGGATGACTTCGCCGATCAGAGCGTCGCACAACAACTCGCCAATGCGGTTTCATGTTACCACACCTCGACCTGTGAAGACAATGGCCGCCTGGACGAGTTCTTTCTCCTTGAACACAACATTAACGGTGCGAAAAACAGAGTAAGTCCATCCCTTTCCGAATATTTATTTCCGAGGGATATCTAACTGGAGATCACGACAGGTGCTTGCTGGCTATTACACGGGCGTTGGTACCGACAAATACAATGATCAAAAGCTTCCCGGCTGTACAAGTGGTGATTACACAACTGCACAACAACAGATGATTCTTTACAGTCTTGTGTTCAAATACATGAGAGAGGACGCAGTCTTTAGGTCATTCGACAAGGTCAACAGTCGTATGAGGGTCATCATGTGAGTAGTCAGTGTCTGTATCGACAGGGTGACACTTTGAGCTGATACTTCGCTCATGTACAGGGACAAACTTGACAACCATCCTCTCGGCCAAGCGAACAGACCAGCCATGGACCACATAATATCAGGACCAAACACATGGCTCAAAGCCTACGACGAGTTCATGGTGAATATGCTGGACACATCCGAGAAGAAGATGCGAAAATGGATGGATGATTGTTTCAAATTCTACATGGAGGACATGGAAAGCAAAGTGATTGATGAGATCAGACAGAAGGAGTTGAGCAAGTCTATCTGGGATAGGAGTACTGGGTATGATTCGTACTCTCTTGATTCCATGAGCTTCGGACCACGTTACGCTAGGCTCAGGGGAGATCTGTAAACAAGCCTAGCGGTACCCGTTCTTCGTGGTTTTTGCTTGTGGTTGGAGCAAGAGTCGAAATGATGATCGAATGACGTTGTAGCAACTAGCGCATAATTCATTCACGTCTCGCACATGTTGAGTGTGTAACTGCATTTTCTCAATACGGATAATGAAATATATGGATTCTAAGGCGATCTATCGTACGTAACTTCATCAACAAATCTTCTCTAGTCGTTATCCTTGACATCGATGATAGTCTTCTTGAACTGTCTAGCAGGAGTCTTGCGGTTGAACAAGATATCAAGCTCACGGTAAGAACGACCCTTGAGCTCGGGAAGGAAGAAATATGCAGCGACCCAGCAAATTACGGCAGTGCTACCCCAAACGTATCCACACTTGCCAGCAAGATTCCATCCGGTAGGGTTGAGGAGCTTCGAAGCCAGGTAGATCATAGGAATCTCGGCGACATAGTAGGCTGCACGACCGACACCAGTAGAGAGAGCTCTGAGGCGAACTGAAGATGTCTCGGAGATGATGGAGTATGAGATAGGTCCAAGGGTGCCAGCATAGACGAACGAGATGATAATGCCGAGACAAGCCTGAGCATAATTGGTGCCAGAAGTCTGCTTGACAGTAGCGCATACACCAAGAATGAAAAGCATAGTGGCGTTGAATGCTGTACCCCAGAGGTATATTGTGCGACGACCAAACCAGCCAGTCAGAGGAAGAGAGACAATGTTGGCGATGAATTGCAAGCATGAGTTGATGAGATTGAGCTTGAAAGCAAAGTCGGGAGAAATTCCAGCTTGCTCGAAGAAGAAAGTTGCCTGGTTGGCAATCAAGTTACCGGCGAAGTTCTGCGACATGTACATGAAGCAGGTAATAAGTGTACGTCTCAGGTCGTTACCTTTGAACAGGTCGGTGAGTTTGGGGGAGCCTCCAGCTTGGGCCTCGATCTCCACAGTACGCTCCATCATAGCCAGTGTTTCTTCGTTGTTGCCTTCACGCTTGCTACCAAGACGCTTGATCGAGCGGAGAGCTTCCTCTTTGCGTCCACGACGGATAAGCCACCAGGGCGACTCAGGTGATAGCCAGACCAAAACCAAGAGAGGAACAGGGAAGATCCATTGTAAAGCGATGGGGACTCTCCAAGCCCACTGATCGTTACGTTGGTTGTACGAGTATGTTGCTGCTGCAACAATGATGCTTCCAATGGACCACGACATCTGCAGGGTCGCAGTGCACGCACCTCTAAGCGCCAGAGGAACGATCTCGGATGCGTAAGCGGGCGAGTTGGCAATGAAGAATCCCCATGGGATACCTTCGAGGGCTTGTCCGACTACCAGAAGGGTAAGAGAATTGGCCTGATGGAAAATGTCAGTAACGAGATGCGAGATTCGTGTTCAACAAGCTTACGAAGAACGACACGAGAATGGTGAGTATCATCAAAACGAGACCCAAGATAGTGGTCCATCGGTAGCCAATGCGATTTGTGATAGGTCCGGCGAGGAATACACCGACAAAGGCTCCGCATTGACCTGACTGGAAGAGAGCACTTTGCCACTTGGTAGGGATGGAAAACTCTCCAGCAGCGACCATGACACCGTATTTGCGTCGGAAAGCACCAAGAGCCACAAAGTTGCCGTTCAAGAACATGTCGAATGACTCCATAACCTGACGATTATTAACAAGGTTCTCTGATGTCATTGGGACTCGAAACGTACGATTGTGAAGCACATGATGAATGCCCAGAGACATGCCCAAGGATAGGACTTGACAGCTTCCCACATGCCCATCTCTTGTTCGCGTGTTTCAGCCTCGTAAGCATTATTCAACACCTCCTTGTCGTCCAAGACCTCGGCATGGAAAGCACCAGTCTCTTTGACCCCATTGGCCTTCTCATCGTTTTGGAAGGACGCCATCTCGAGTTTTCTGATCGTTGTGTCTGAGCAAATCAGAGGAGTAAGTACAGGACAGATCAGGGGATCACTCGCAGGTCTTATAAAGCAGGTCAACAAGGACCCACATAGCCCATGGGGAAGTTCTCCAGATTGCAATCAACCGAATCACCCATGAATCCCTACCGATCTGGAGATTGTCAAGTCGCTCGTGTGGATACCATGGGGAAACTTGGAGTCATTAGCCAACAAGGCCGATGATACGGCATGACACACGGAAGTGTATTTTCCCGATGGTGGATACATGGGCACGGATACTTGTAGTCGAGTCGTTATGGAAGAGGTGCCACGGAGCGTATGCCATGACGAACCACCGTGATAACGCGGTATGCCCTCGAAATGGCGACTTCGTCCAAGCAAACTCATAGTGCTGACTGGCCATCGAGGACTCTTGTCGAAATTCACTGCGTTCACGAGAGGCATGAGTATTGCTGTCGCGTGAGGTCGTTATGGATGGATGTGAGTGAGAAGCGACGAGGACACGCCGAAACTCTGTTATGCCGTTGCTGCTCAATCCGCTAAGCTACGCAGGCAGGACAAAGCGACAGAGCCAAGTTATTTCGAGTTTTGCTCGCTGCCTGCAGTCGAAACTTGCTAAGCTTCGCTAAAGCTTGGAGTGGAGCCAAGCCCACCGGAACTCGTGATTATTGTGCATGTGCACCGTCCTCCTGCGTAAGCGGCAGGTGTTGTAAGGTATTGGATCGGATGCTATCATGTGGGGGTCTCGATACTGCTAGGGAACCCCGGGGCGGGGGGGGGGGGGGGGGCTCGGTGCAGAAGGGTCCTTGACCTGTCTGGACTCCCGGAGCCATTCTTCCGTCCTGAGCGATTGTCATTGCTTCAACCACATAACCATTCGTTCGGCATTCGCCTGCAAATGGTGACCGTACAGATCTGCTCGTATCGTTAATTGTCCGCTCGAAAAATTCTCGCCCGCTTTGACTGGTCTGCTGGCCTGTCGCTCATGCCGATATTACTCGCAGGCTCTGCCTGTCAACATTACCGGAGACGGAACTTTGCAGCCATGATCGCTTAGTCTCGCCAGAACCCAGGTGCTCATCGGTACCTGGCATACGATCCATGCTTCTAGCTTTGGACCATCTGGGTTGTCTGGTATCCGTTGAAGACTCTGATTACGTGATACAGGAAAGAAACAGTGCCGGCTCGATTTATCCTTGGGCGTACGAACAAGCTATAACAACCTTCGAGTTACAAAGAAAAGGTCATGTTGATTCGCGAAGCGTAGAAGATGGAACTCGCAGTCGTGAGAAACTTTTCTGCCAGGTCTCGAGAAGCGAACGATACAAGGCTCGTGCACTGCCGACAGATACCTGGACAAATGTTGCAACTTCTTCTCATCTCGACTACTGGCACTTAGGAATATCATTTGGCAGTGGTACACCAATGGCAGTGAATCATGAGCATTCTAGTTATGCGACAGTCGCTATTTTCGATTCCCAGTATGTTGCGACTACTGACAGCAATGCCGTCTGGTCATCGTTCGATGTATGTACAGCAAGTTGACCTGCACAGAAGAATTTTCTCGACCCGGCCGTGCAGACACAGCGACATCACGAGTGTGTCTGGACGGCGTACGACCTCCAGCAACGACTAATCCTCCATGCTCACGGTCTAGATTCCTTCATGACTTCCTCGAACTTATCAAGGGTCTTCTTCCTTTCGGCTTCATATTTCTTCTTCAACTGCTTATCTGCCTTCTCCTGGGCATACTCGCGCAAGTCCACCCCCAGAGCGACATGCACTCTTTTCTCGATTTGCTTCTTGAGGTACTCTGGCCGAGACCAGGGAAAGTGGCTGTACAGAATGATTAAAAAAGGCTGGTGGAAAGTGTAGAGTAGGAAAGATGGCTGAGCAAGGCGACGAGATCAAGATAGTCAAGAGTCATGGCTCGTCATTGCCGCATTCAAGATGGAAGGTACTTGAACGTCCACATGTGAAAATTCGCTGTACCAGCAGGAGCACCCACGACAGACAAAGGTCGAATGTCATCAAGCAAGAACAAATATTGTCCTGCAGCTGCCTTTTCGATCACTCCCTCGCGTACAAGTTCTCGACGGCCTTGCGCAACTCGATCTTCATGACTTTGCCCGTCACATTGACCGGAAACTCCTGCATGCCCAGATCCTGCAGTGCGAACACTTTCCCTACCGCGTAATCCGGACCTAAATGCTCAGCCACCAGATCCGTGAGTTTCTGAGGCTTGATCTCTGCCATACTCGACACAACTGCCACTATTTCTTCTCCCAGTTTTGCGTTTGGAAGTCCGAAGACCGATGCCTGCTATTCAGTCAATGACAGATTCGAACACATCACGAGCAACGACTTACGCGGACGCCTCCGAAAGTGGCGAGGATGTTCTCCAGCAAGATTGGAGGGACAGGCACACCGATTCGTTTGATGATATCCTTCTTCCGTCCCATGACATACAGCAAAGCATCATCGTCGATGAAGCCAGTATCACCAGTCTTGAACCATCTGCCCTCATTGTCCTCATGGAAGGTATCAGGAGCCACGTTGCCGCGATACCGGCTGATCATGGCTGGGGATCGGATATAGATGTCTCCCGTCTCTCCTCGCCTAACAGTGTTGCACTTGTCGCCCACGATCTTGAGGAGATTCCCTGGAAGAATGCTACCTTGTGCCAGTAAGCCTCTGCAAACTGGAATACGTTCTGGAGCATCAGACAGTGGCCAGCCAACGACCCAGAGACCTTCAGTCATTGCATAAGCAGAGACCACCCGAGCGTTCACGAAATGGTCGGTTACCAGATCTTGGATATTCGCTGTCACAATGTCGCCTCCTACAAATACCCTCACCATACTTTGAACCCTGTTCTTGGAAAATGTTGGACACTTTACAAGTGCACTCAACATGGGTGGTATGAATATGGCGGCCGTGATTCGTTCTTGTTCAATCGTTGACAGTACTCCTTCCGGAGTGAAGCCCGTGGAGAGGTATATTATCGTACCTCCGACCAGCCAACACTGACTGCACATATGCAGGTTGATGGCTCGCGAGTTCGCAAACATCATCACAATTCGAGAGGGGATGCCGATATGCTTATCGGTAGCAGGATTTTGTACAGACCAGCCGAGGATGAGATTCTTTTCTGTCAAAGGGCAGCCCTTGGGTTGACCAGTCGATGTACCCGAGGTGTATAGAATCACGGCCGTGCGGTCGTAGTCCGCACACCGATCGTTGGCTCGCTTTATGTTGCTCTCCGAAAAGTCGAAACTTGCCAGCGCCCGCCAGCCTGGTGCTCCATCGACCGAATCAAAAGTCACCTTACACTTGACAAAATGTTTCAGTTCGGTACAGACTCCATTCACTGCTCCAGTACCATCGCTTCCATGGATGGTTATAATCTCTGGTTGGAGAGAGCGGATATAGAAGCTCAGTTCGTCCGATCTTGCTGGCTCCAGAGCTCTTTTGTCGATGGTCACAAGAGTGACTCCGTGGAGGTTCGCTGCCCACCAAAGCAAAGACCATTCTGCACAAATTGGTGGCAGAAAAGCCAGTAGTATCGAGCCTCGTTTGACTCTGTGACTTTTGAACACAGAAGCGACATTTACTGCCCCCTGAACAAGGTGCGAGTATGTCCATTCGAGACCATAGCTTGACCAGTTGTGGGATTTGCCAACAACAGGCTCTAAGAGGTTGGAAGGCTGACTTCTGGAGATGACAGCGACATGATCAGGCTTTTCTTTCGCTACAGTAAAGAATGCTTCCCAGATTGACTCCTCGATAGGATACGCTTCTCCGCCATCCAGTCTAGCATAAAGTGGTTTGTCGCCGTTCATGATTGAGTGATTGCAGAATCGAGATCTGAGAGGTGAAATTCTGCTGTTAATATATCTACATGTTTGATCAGCCCATGGTCATGTATTAATTGCTGATGGGATGACACGTCGTTGAATGTCCAATGATATCACGGTCTTTTTAGCTTCTGAGTGCAGATCATCCGAGTAACCGGTGAGGCACGGCCACTGGTCAGAGAGAGACACGCTCCGTCAGATTTGGACAGCTACTGTGCTCTGCTTAGAAGGATTCGAGACCAGGTTTGTAAGCCGAAATGAGGTTCAGCACGTTCATGTTGGGCAAGAAGCAGTATGACCATTTTCTCTTTCGTTCGACCATTGCATGGTTTTGCGCTAGTGTATGCAACTTATAGGAACAGTGAGCAATCTAGACTGTCAGCACCATTGACCACAGTATCTCCGCACTTGAGCTGACTGTGGTACAGTAACACCATTATGTTGTAGAGCGACCTCACACCCACTCAGGCCACATGAATCCGTCATCCCTAAACATCGCTCCCTCATTCTCAAACATTGGTCCTTCAGCCTCGGGTACGTAGCCATTGTGACAATACTCCCACTCTACCTTGACTTGTTCGTCATAGAAGCGATCGAATCGCTCCGCCATCGCGTCCTCTAAACTTCCCACCTTCCCATCCGGATGTAGAGATTTCCAAGGTTCCCTGCATCTTTCTCCATTGCAAGATTTTTGTGCCATGAGCAGAGCATCCAATCTAGCCACTAGCTTTCCAACGGCATACCCGGAAGCCATCTCCACTGTATTACCTTCTTGCAGCAGATTAACCATTTGTTGTGGATCCTTGCTCATATCATACAGCTCATGCTCATTCGTACACCAGATCTGATAGTAGAAATTATAGCCTCCTCCCACAATTCTAATACCCTTGAATGTATTATTCTGGTGCAATCTGCGATCATAAATCCCTTCTCCTCCCGCAAAACCCCAGTACTCGATTTGAACATGTTCGCGTCTCTTTTGGGAAGAAGCTGCAATTGCGGATGTAGTGACAGGGATGGGTGAGCCGTCAAAGTCTTCGCGGAGAGGAATGTTTAGGAGCGAGAAGATTGTCGCGGCGATGTCTGTGTGGCTCGTTACCAATTGAGTGGTGTAGTTTATAGGCACATTGGGCCCGCGGACGATCAAAGGGATGTTGATGTCTTCTTCGCAGCCTGTGGACTTTCCTGGTTGCATGCGATGGTTACCGATGTGAAAGCCGTTGTCGCTGGAATAGAAGATGTAGGTATTTTCGAGTAGGTCGAGAGATTCCATGCGGTCGAAAAGGCCATCTACCATTTCATCGACAGCTTGAAGAGCACGAAGACGTTGACGGTGGAAATGATCGTTCCAATCCACATTTGTCATATTCTGTTGTTCGAGTCTCCGTATCCAATTTGCGCCTGATGGAATATCTGGATTGAAGTTTGAGATTCGAGGTACTTTCGCGTCAGGAAAGAGATGCACATGTCTGGGTGCTGAAATAGGGGCGTCGAAGGTGAGGGTGCCGCTATTATTTTGAATATCGGCGTGAGGAGCGCTCGGTGCCACCATGAGGAAGAAAGGCCTGTCTGCTTCTACGGCTTCCTCGAGGAGATTGTATGCTTTCTGGGCTAGAACGTCTGTTACGTATTCGCCTTCGTGGCTTTGAGGTGGGTCCTGGTTGTGCTGAAAAGAGCTGTTCATGTAATTGTAAGTGAACGGATCGAGTAGAAAGTCCTACAAATATCAGTCGCTATTGGTCAATCTTGTATGACAATCATACATGACTTGTGAACCCAGCCGGGTATGGTGAGTCGTAATTGTCCACGTTATGAGCGTTGAACAATTTGCCAGTATAATAGACATTATATCCAGCCTCCTGTAACCAGACAGGCAGATATGCCGAGTTGAAGCCTTGTTTGACAAACTTAGGATATCCACCATATGGTGGATTGACATCAGTAATGTTGGTATTGTGTGCAGCTTTGCCGGTCATTAGAGTGACTCTTGCTGGACAGCATACTGCAGTTGTGCAATAGTGTTTGTCGTAATATGTGCCCTTGTCAATCAAGTGCTTTTGCACCAATGGCATGTAATCCAGTGATTGGAGATGGACATCTTGATCATCGGTTAAGATGAAGACTATATTCGGAGGCCGAACGGCGTCCGATTGTTGGCCGAGAAATTGCTGCTGAGCTGTGACGCTGTTGACGGCAGTCCACAAAGCAGCTATCAAGGCTAATCTCATGTCTAGATAATGAGAATATACGTAGGTGATTCGGTGACGGAATGAGCCTGATCTCGAGAGAATGATGTTTGACTTGTGTTCGAGTACCCCGCATTGATGACGGACCTTGATGGCGTGCTTCAAGCTGTCTGGACAATAATCTAAGAACTAGGTTCTGGACCTGAGTTGGTCTGATATTTGAATTGGTGTTCTTACAACTATACTATACATTCTGATTACCCATGATGAGATGGTCGAACGTGCTGGCGCAGTCGATTGCATAACAAAATGGTCAGAGTTAGCCGGCTTCGTAAAGCGGCATTCTAGATCTTCTCGGCCTCTTCCAAGAGCTCCTCGATATTGAAAGTGCTGTCTCCCTGGCTGAACTGTTCCATCAACTTCCTGCGCGGGCTCTGTTCGGCAGATTTGCCGTAGAACTTTTGTAGAGACATGAGCAGCCATTTGCCCTCATCTACGGTAATTTGCTTGTCCTCGAGGACAGTGCCCTCGAGCAGGACGAGACCCTTTTCGTCGGCCAGATCCAAGTGGTGTGTTACGGTTGTGTGGGGCTGAGCAAACTCGCCCTTGAGCTTGAACTCGGCCAGACCGGTGAAGAGCACGGTACAAGTTGTTGGCGAGGGAAAAGTCCATTGCAAGAAGTGGATCTCGGCACCCTGACCCTCCTTGGGCAGAGGTAGGACGAATTGCGGGTGCTTTCGGGCAGTTGCGGCAATGTGCTGGTAGATGTCGGTAGGCACGACGGCGCACAGGGAGTTGGGAGAGCTGGCGTGACGCAGTCTCCAGATGTATTCGATCTCTTTCTGGGGCAGCTCTTTTGTCTTTGCAACATCGATGTAGGATGATAATGTCTTGATTCCAGCTTTTTCCTCGGCAGAGGCGCCGGCCTTGGACTGGATGGCCGACAGTGGCTGAGGCTGAGGCGGCGGCGGTGGTTGGAAGGGAGCGTTCGGTGTGTCCGGAGCGGTAACAACAGCGTCCAGAGGGGCATTTGCACCGGGAACAATGGCTTTCTGCCTGAGCTCGACTATCTTCTCCTTGTATGCAGACTTGAGCTTGTCAATGTCTCCATGGCCCTCCCTGTGACCGTCAGAAGTTGATGCGACGACAACGTCTACTTCGGACTCATCTTACTGCTTGGCCTTCTGCTCCAGCTTGGCCTTGTACTTGTCGTACACTCTCTGGTCAGGCTTCTGGTGAGTGGCCAGAAAGCGAATGTCGTGCACTTGGGCCCATCGTCGCTGCGTAAGGCGCGTTGTGGGACCGAATGCTCTTGCAATGTGGCGGGTCGGCGATACCAGAGATGCCATTTCGGAAATATGAAATGCGATCGATATGTTTTATTCTTGCTCGAAACAGTACCCGAAGCATAAAGATGCTATTCTTGGCGGATTGCCTCTCTCGGCCATCGGCTTTGTCCGCCGTGCAGAACCTCCATACCGCGGTACATGTCAGACTTTCTCCGGCTTGCTCTCCACAAAACCATGACCCCGGTTGTTATTTGCGGGGCTGATCACTTTGACAGTGACGATGCTTTTGAATCAAGCCACTGACCAGGGCGGCTCGTGCTGGCTATCCGGCACACGATCACACTGGTAGGTAAGTTGCGCCCTCGTCCACACGTTTCTCTCTTGTCGTCTACAATCCTCTCACCCCCTCTCTCCTTCAAATCTTCCTCCTCTATCTTCATATCATCATGCCTACCGAGTCTCCTTATCCGCGTATTCAGGTCCCAAAGGTTGGTCTCTGGGACTTTCTGTTCGAGAGGAAGGATAGACCATACTCGGACGACCATGGTACGCTTTCTGACACGCTCGATGACCATTGTGATCTGACACACTTTCAGTTGTCTTCCAAGACGCCTTCACCAAACGCTCATACACCTATTCCCAGACTCGCAATACCGCCATTGACTTTGGCAAAGGCCTGAAAGGCGCCTGGGACTGGCAGAAGGGAGATGTCATTGCCATGTTCACCCCGAACAGTATCGATACTCCCATCGTCATGTGGGGTGCTCATTGGGCAGGAGCCACTGTCTCTCCTGCCAACCCTGGTTACAGCGCAGACGAATTGGCTTTCCAGCTGAAAGACTCGGGAGCAAAGGCTTTAATCACACAATGGCCCGTCATCGAAACCGCTCGGGCCGCCGCAAAGAAGGTCGGTCTACCGGAAGACCGCATCATCTTGATCGGCGACCAGAAAGATCCCGAAATGAGGTTCAAGCACTTTACCAGCATCCGCAACACCGCGGGAACCAATCGCTACCGTCGTACCAAGGTTGATCCTGAGAAGGACCTGGCCTTCTTGGTGTATTCTAGTGGTACGACTGGCCTTCCTAAGGGTGTCATGCTGTCGCACAGCAATATTGTTGCAAACACACTTCAGGTTGGCACGGGAGAAGCACCATTGACATACGAGGACAGAATTTTAGCCTTCCTTCCGTTCTTCCATATCTACGGTTTGACGGTCATCCTACATATGAGCTTCCACAAAGGCTGCCGAACGGTGGTTATGCCTAAGTTTGATATCGAAGACTTCTGTCGTATCACACAAGAAGAAAAGATCACTTTCGTGTGGGTCGCACCGCCCGTGGTATTGCTTTTGAGCAAGCACCCAGTTGTTGAAAAGTACGATTTGAGCACAATTCGTATGATGAACTCTGGTGCAGCCCCACTGACCAAAGAGCTTGTGAATGCGGTATATGACCGTACGAAACTCAAGGTCAAGCAAGGATATGGTTTGAGTGAGACTTCGCCGACCACTCATACTCAGCAATGGGACGTTTGGCAAAGCACAGTAGGCAGTGTTGGCATTCTGCTACCCAACATGACTGCCAAGTACATGTCGCCGGAGGAGAAGGAAGTTCCAGTTGGTGAGGTTGGTGAGCTTTGGCTCAAGGGCCCCAATATCTTCCAGGGTTACCTGAACAACCCCGAGGGAACTGCGAACGCCTTGACTTCGGATGGATACTTCAAAACAGGTGATGTCGGCTATCAAGACAAGGACAACAACTTCTTCATCACCGATAGAGTCAAGGAGTTGATCAAGTACAAGGTATGCCGCGCATCGCATTTTCAAGTCTAAATGACCATCTGACACACTTTCGCAGGGCTTCCAAGTGCCACCAGCAGAGCTTGAAGGCTATCTCGTTGCTCATGACAAGATCGATGATGTTGCAGTCATTGGCATCTACAGAGAGGATCTCGCGACAGAAGTCCCTAGAGCATACATCGTGCCTAGCAAAGGTGTCGAAGCTGGTAAAGCTCTCGAGGACGAAATTGTCAGCTGGATTGGTGCAAAGGTCGCAAATCACAAGAAGCTAAGAGGTGGTGTCAGATTTGTGGATCAAATCCCCAAGAGTGTCAGTGGAAAGATTCTACGACGAGTTCTGAAGACGCAAGCCGAGGAAGAGGCGAAGAAGGGTCAAAAGGCGAAGTTGTAGTTGAGACATTCTTGGACAAGACTGGTGTCCGATGCTTTTGGAGCAGTGGCTGGTGGATTATATCCGAATCAAATAGATAAATGTACGATACCAAATATGAGGAATTCCCACAGACAAGACGTTCGTCGCTCCTTCTGCCGATGTGCCGAGGAATGTTAGAATTTTGGTCTTTGACTACAACCACCAACAATCGTTCTTGCCTTCCTTCAATGATTACCTTCCAGGAAGATAGTGGTTTTTTTTTCCTTCAACGGGCTTCCAATCTCGTCGCCATGTTTCAACAACAATGGATCTGCATCGAAGAGTCGTGTTCAAGATGCGCTTCCTTTGTCGCTTTCGGTCGTATCTTCGTCGCCGAAAGCGGTAGACGTCCACGACTCGAAAGGTGAAAGAAAGTATTACGAACAAGGACTTCAAAGTAGGCCGGATCCGGATTGGCAATAGTCGACCGTCGTTGATTTTACAGGTAAATCATGGGGCCTCGAAACATGTCTCGTACGCAGTCTTCGACGCAACGGTTCGACGCACTGTTACAACATCGCCATGGCACCAAAACACCCCATCGAAGACGACGAAACAGACGAGGGCCCAGACCCAAAACGTCTGAAAGAAGATGATGGAGAAGAGGAAGAGGAAGAGGATATAAACATGGATGACTACGCGGATCCCTCACCTGAAACAGAAGAGGATGAAGATAATGAGGACTTTGGCATGGACGACGCAACAGACGAGGAGAAGGAGGAGGAGGAGGAGGAGGAGGAGGAGGAGGAGGAGGAAGCGAGTCCGAAACGCCATTTTACTCCAGTCGTGCTCGAAGCCCTTGATTATGGTGAAGGAAACTTCCCTGGAGATCTCGCCTTTCCAGCAGGGATCAGAGAGCATGCCAAATATGGAGTCAGGGATACTGGTTTAAATTCAGGGTTGTTCGGTTCACCTACAGTTGCAGGTGCCGCGAGAAATCTGGCGGCATCTGCACTTGCCAAAGCGATCAAGGGCTCGAGGAAGGTGAGTTCTTTGATGAGGATGGCGATGCGAGATATACCGTTTTACAACACTGCCGCGCCAGACAAGGAACTGACTATAAAGGAATTCAAATATCTTGATGTCCTGCCTGGAGAATGGATAGGTGTCCAGAAGATGCTGGGAAGTGGTGGACAAGGTTGCACTCGACTGTTCGTCAGAGTCGATGACCAGAACAAGATTACCGAGCGTATCGCCGTCAAGGAGTCTCTTGCAAAAATGGCCCGCTGGATGGAAGAGGACATGTGGTTCCCAGGCAGATATGGAAAGGATCCCCAAGAGTCAATCATTCACAAGCTTTTGACGATGGTAACTCCTCAGAGGTGGGAGCGTTACATCATCGGATATCTCGGCCATACCATCAATCACGAGTTGAAATCGCACAGAACCTACATGGAATACGTAGAGGGGGGTGATCTTGATGACTTGTTCCAAGCTCACAATCGGCATTAGTAAGTCTACGCAGGGCACACTCACTTGACATCAGAAGCTTACATTCGTACCAGCAATCATCCCAATCCGCATGGAGGTGATCCCATAGCCTCCCCTCGTGGCACTGCCCCTTCTGAAAGTTTTATTTGGTATTTCTTGAAGCAAATGGCTATTGCGTTGCACCGCATGAACAACATCCCTTTGGACGCATATGAAGATCAATATGTGGTCCATCAGTAAGTAAAACTGCACTTACCTAATGAGATATGGCTGACATGAATCAGAGACATCAAACCAGCCAACAGTCAGTACAGCAGACACATGCTTGAACACCCATACTGACTCGAGCCACAGTCTTCCTGGGAAATCCCGACCCAACTGATTTCCCGAAATATCCGGTGTTGAAGGTCAGTACCTAGTTGTTTCTCCTTAGCTTCCGTTTGAGTTCTGACCATGCTTGACAAAGCTTGGGGACTTCGGCTCCTCAAGAATCACGCATAAATACGACAAAAACAATCCCTCTGGATTTGATGATCCTCGAACGCACGGCTATAAGTGTGCTGAGATGTCACATTATGTGACTGACAAGAATGACTTGGGAACTCGGCTCTGCCACAAATGTGAGTCGTTCGCACAGTTAATCCCTGGCGCATTGATTACTAACATATAGTCACCAGGTCTGGCAAATCGCAATGACAGCCGTCACACTAATGAGACTGGAATGGCCTCCTTACATCGACTACTCAACCACAGAACTCGAAGACACAAAGGTGAGCCTCGACGACGTCATGATGGACTACAGTCTAGAACTCCGAGAATTGGTGGAAGCAATGTTGGAGGTTGATCCAGCGGATCGTCCGACCCCAGAGATGATCCTCGAGCAATTCTACACGTGGCAAGATAGGTGGCATCGCATGGCCACAGCACCGAAGTGTCATATGCTTGACAACGTGAATGATTGGTTGCATTGGAGACCGGGTACTCAGTGGCAGGTTGACGACTTCTTCGAGATTGCAGTATATTCCGATCCTCCGCTTAGTCAAAGGGAGAATGAGACCTCCTCGAGTGCACTTCCAGGTGCTGACGGAGGAGGAGGAGGAGGAGGAGGAGGAGGAGGAGGAGGAGGAGACGACGAAGACGACTCGATGGGCGACGGAGGTGCAGGAGGCCAGGAAGAACAGCAGGATGACGATTGCGTATTGGATGATGGAACAGGAGGCCCGACTGATGGGTCAAGTGCTCCTAGCGGAAGTTCATTCAAACCTTCCTCCGGAGACAAGAACTCTAGCGACTCTGACTGAAGCAGCGACTAATGCTCGTAGCCATTGAACTTACACTTGTTAGGATAGTTTTATCTTGATGTGCGCTTGATCTTACTCTTGCTTGAATTGCATTTTTCTCTAGATGAGCTTTGTGTCCTCTACGTCTCCTACTCGATTTTTGTCCTGGTCGTTGTCTCTTAGACTTCCTATCATTCTGATGCGAGAGGACATCAATTGACTAGCTCATTAGCAATCACCTGGGAAGTAAAGACCAATGTTATCAGGATGAGAAGGAATGACTATAGGAACAAGAGACGGTAGTTACTAAAGACCCGAGATTACATTCGAAGCCCACTCTTGGAGGGGAATATGAACGACTGTGTGGTAACAGATATAGGCATGATGATCGATACTGAAGCAGGCACGCGAAAGAGATGCATCTCATTGGCCAAGACGAAAGCTGTGATCGATTCGACACTCGAAATGGATCGACACAGCACCAACGATTCTGAAGTGATCAAGACAGGGAAGTCCAGATCAGATCAGCAAGAACCGAAAAGCACATCGGATTGATCAACATACAAAGCGATCCCCGACAGGCTCGAGTGGAGACGTAAATCGAGGCCGGGGTATCAGGGCTAGCGACAATGACACGAAGATGGACAGAGAGGAGGATGTATCGGTACATTGATCTACACATGACTACATGCCTATCCACTAACTGTCGCGATGTTGATTTGAACTCTTATTTTTCCTTTTTTCATACCAGAACATTCACAGCATATGCAACCTTGACCCAAAACCCAAACGAGGTGTCTAAATTACACCAACAGGAAAGCAATACCCAAACAAGAAAACCCAAAGTCCAGGAAATCCCAAAACAAGAAACCAAAGAAGGAAAATGACTCCGCCACCATCCTACATGTGTAACGCTCCAAGCTCCTTCTCCAGAGCTAACCGCAAGCCGTCGTCCAAAAGTGGAATGTGAAGAAGTGAAGGAAGAATGTGTGACCCATGGTCTCTTTGTTTGTGCGAAAGAGGGTTGATGCAGAAGTGAAACAAGATGATCAGCCTTGAAGAAAGGCGATGATCATGAAGAACTACCGGTCCAGTACCGGCATAAATGTGGCTTTGAGGGGCTGAAACGTGAAGAGCCGTTGGGCTTCTTTGTGTGACAAGAACATCTCAAATGTTCTGTTTAGGCCGATCGGAGATGCAGAGTTTCTCAAGCCATTTGTGATGTGTTATACAGTATAACAGTGCAGGGAATGTCTGAAGAGTGGCTTGCAGCTGAAGGAAGTAAGCTCTCAAGATGACTGGTTACCACGTCTGCTCTCGATCAAGCGCTCGGCAGCAACATATAGCTCATCCAGATACCTCATGGCGTCAGGGTCCTTGAGCATCTTTGAAACCTGCAGGCCTGCAGAGATAAGCTGCAGGACGTTGCGATCGTCTTTCAAAGGTCTGCTTTGATGCTTGGCCGCATGCCTCATCTCGAGCGAGTTTTCCAACACGGTGACCAGCTGCTTGATTTGTCCATTGTAGAGCACACGGGCTGGAATGCGGCGTTTGGTCGCCAGGCGCTTGAGTAGATAGCACCATTCCGTCCATTCGCGATCGGCAGGAACGCGGACGGGTCTCTTGTCAGGCTCCAGTGGGATGGGGAACTGGTATTTCGCTACAAAGTCGTAAGCGCATTGCGACAGGCGGTCGTTGACACGCGTCAGGATCGAGTCTTGCTCCTCGGCATATAGAGATACAGGCAGCTGGATCAACTCCGACTCCGGTGTCTCGAGGTGTGAGTTGGTGGGCTTGGCCAGCAATTGGTGGGGCCCGTCGAACTCGTCACGGCCTGATGATCGGCGGTGCGAGCTACCAGGCAGCAACGCACCTCCATCATTGCTCATGGCGGAGGAGTTGTAGTTGGGATGGAGCATACCCGATTGCTGCTGCTGCTGCTGTTGTTGTTGTTGTTGTTGTTGTTGTTGTTGTTGTTGTTGTTGTTGTTGTTGTTGTTGTTGCTGCTGCTGCTGATGGATTTGTTGCTGAATCTGCTGCTGCTGGAGTTGCTGGAGCTGTTGCAGCTGTTGAGCGTTGTTCATGTCTACTGTGTTAAGTCCTGGGGGTGGTGCTGTCGTATAGGGGTTTGATGAGATGGACGAATTGTAATAATCCGGTGTTGGGGGAAATACGGGGTGAATTGGCGATCTTTGTGAGCCGACTGCCAATCCGCCTGCCGAAGACATTCTTGAGGAGCCTACTGAAGAACCCGAATCTCTCGGGTTGGTGGTAGTCCATGGTGATGCAGGCCACGAGCGGTCGCTTTGCAAACCAGAAGAAAAGTATGATCTGTTTGATCGTGAGGCTTCCGGTGAAGAAGGAGTGTATCTGATATGATAAGATTAACTTTGGGCTTCAAGCGGTGAGAGCAACATCATTATCATGAACATACAAGCCAGATTGTTGAAGCAGAGTAGGGCGTCGGTTTAATGATGGCCGAGAGGTGGCCTGGTTCTGCTGAAGGTTGAAGGAATCCTCCAATGGACTGCGAGCGGAGTACATGATCGGAGTCGAGGTAGGGGAGTATTTTTTGGTCGTAGCAACCGAAGCACCGGATTGAGAGGAAGAAGTGTCGGGCAGTCGGAATGCAGGATTGAGAGAGGGTTCTGAACAAAGCCTAGCAATCATAACCGATGACATACCGCCACTTATTGTATTGCAAAGGGGGGCAGTCAGATTGTGGATCAATGGCTGGTTGGAAGAAAAAAAGTGTTTTTACGGCAGTGGAGGAAAGTGCTTAGCTGATATAAACAGAACAAGAGCCCCTCCCAAAAGTGCCAATCGCTGCAACTGCGGGCACCTTCGTCATCACAACATGTGAAGGAAAGCAGAGGGATCTGTCTTGTTACGGTTCACTACGCACTGAAATGAGCAGGGGACGGGAGTGGTGTGTGCACAACTCCAGGCACGCCTCAGAGATGGGCGTCAGCGTCGCAATGCACCAAAAGCGCAAGCAAGCACCACACGTCTACCGGAGAGGGCAAGGCCGAAAAGCTTCGTACAGGACGGTCTGGGATCCAAAAAACCGCAGGTTCCATGTTTTGGATGCTTGGTGATGCCCGACGAACACATGGGTGCAGACGGGTCGCGGACCTTGCCGAGAGATGCCCAGTAGTCGGCTAGTAGAGTCGTGGATACTCATGTCCACCGCCAGTCCAAATACGACACATCCGTTGCCGGTCACTGCGCGATTGCTGCGTGTGATTATGGCAACAACCAGTTCTGCTCAGCAAAAGCCAAAATGTGGCAGACAGGGCCGAGCGTTGATTTTCTTTCGCAACGTCCAACGTCGATCTCTAGAAACAAGCACATCCACGCGATGCATCATCACCCGACTTCCGCCTTTCTTCCAATCACCGCGCCTCCGGGCTCCTTATTCAAGACGAAACCCGGCAATCTCGGGCAGAAGAGGCCGCACAGTGGCGCTGACACCATACCGCTGTATGGTGAAGGAGTGAGGGAGAAGCTTCGGTCAACAAGGTTGTTTCACCATGACTCGGGGACTCGAGTTTGCTTTGCGTAACGGGGCAAGGCTGATGGCGGCACCGGGAGAGGCTTGAACGAGGTTGGAATGAAGAGGGGGACGAGGTCAGCAAGACAGGAAACGGCGCCCGGACAGTGTCAAACATCAAGTCCATAGTGGCCTTCTCAAGCAGACCTCTCTCATCTACCACGGATATGCCATCTAGACGTACGGAATAGCATGGTTTCGAGTTTAACACGTATGCGATCGGTGATTGAACGTGTCCTCGTGTTCCCCATTCCAATCTATCAAGGTTGTTGGCGCTCCACGATCTCCAAGTCGTCTTCCAGAGGATGATCTGTTGCTGGGTATCGATCAAGTGTGATTGGGCAGCATTTACGGAAACTCTGGAAAACTGGACCCCTCTTTTGGTCCGCCGAGAAATCCCAAACCACCAAACGGCTAAACCCAGCCCGCCGACATTGCACTGCACTCTATCTTGCCTTTTTGCTTTCCCTGCTTGACCGATGGGATGGTGGACATGAATCAGTAGCAGCACGAGGCGTACACGGATTGTGCAATGTTACCGTGATGCCACAAGCACTTCAGGGCAAGGTAGCCACGAGGTGGGAGAGGGTCTATGCTGTCGAGAAAAGTCCATTCTTCTGCTTCTGTAGCCGCGACGTGGGTCTGTTCGCGAAATTTGACACGGAGGGGCATCGAAAAGTTCCACAAAGCTTCTAGAAGGGGAAACCTTTGCGGCATACACACCGCATGCGAACAAAGCCGTCGACTTCTCAGACATGACAGCCCGTGTTCCAAACAACGATGGCTCTTTTGTTTGCTGGCTTCGGCAAACATGGCAAGCGCGCTAAGCGACCACTGCGCTTGCCGACATCCAAAACGACAAACCCGCGTCAAACACAGGCTCGGTAAGGGTTCTCAGCCAAATGTCTCACTCTCTCCGACGAGGTTCCCAGCAATCCGGTCAAGCTTCAATACATTATCTCGTATGCCACGTTGTGTACCAACGAGCTAAGAAGCGTCAATCGGGGTCTGTGATCTCTTCAATGGTAGATTCTGGAATCTATTCGAAATTGATCAACAAAGATCACGTTGCGCGATCAGGCATGCCATAATGTCCGCACTGCTCAAGGTCACAAAACTATCAGCGAATTTACCCAGCCCGCACATGTCCACTGTGGAGGCCAATGATGTCGTCAAATGGTAGGCCTTACAACCCCAACAGGCTTCTAGAAGGCTTGGAACATAATCGTGCCGTTCAGCCAGCCTTATCCATAACATCATACTGTCGGCCTTGCAATGTCAAGCATCGTGGCCTTGTTCAAGTGGTCCAGTCACTGTTTCCAGGCATGCCCGCCGAGTGACGGTGGTATCCTCCCAGAGTTCAACTAATTCTCCCGCGCCATAAACCAGAGTACTGGGACAATCTCTTCTTTCCCTGTCAATGTTTGACGACGCTCTGCTCGGAAACAACTTCTCGTCCCGGGAAGGAGTCATGTATAGGCTTATTTTCTGTTCTCTGCAATTGTTGCCATCTCTGTATTTCTTTCTGTCTTTCTCTTCTAGAACTGCGGGTACAAGAAGCTACTAATGAGGCCTTCCCTTCTCGGAAATTGTTATTACCGAAATATGATGTACAATCAATGCCATGGCCGCCCAAACAAATAGAGCTGGAAAATGAAAATGAAAAAGGAAAAATGGCAAATGGCTCCCACGACCATCTTGCATGCTTTCTTAATGGGGTATCGAGAGAAGAAGAACCCGCAATGAATCGCTGAAAACATGTCACAACTCCCCGACCTTTTGTTCTTATCCTGGACCCAGATATCCAACCTTCCTTCCATTTCACCGATTGATCCTATTACTTATTCCAGTTGACGCTTAAGAACGGAGCAACTGTATTCTGCTACCTCCGCGGCCTCCTACCTTGACCACTTGGTCTAGCCAATAGGACTCAGCAGAAGATGTGGGCAGCCTGTCAGGCGACCGATGCTCATCATATGAACTGAGGCTGCTCATAGGCTGCGCCTGCTTTGGTGTCGTGCGAGGGAACGTCCTCGTTACCAGCACGACTCATGACGGTGTCGCGCTTTACCCGCAAGCTGCCTCTGTCACCGCGGATCACATGGCCAGTGTCGACCTTGTCTTGGATCATCTCATCCAGAAGCTTGGTCATCTCATCCACGGTTCGTCTGGTGCCGGGCACATTTTTAGCGCTCCTAATTCTCGCTACGTGGTTCGACGGGTCGACAGGAGTTCCGATGTTTGTGCTGACATCGCCCCCTTCCATGTCAGCTGGGAGAAGGGAGGCGGGATGCTTTGACAGCCGCGAGAAATTCTGCACCCCAGAAGGCGGCGATCCAGGTGGTGACATCTGGTTGGCGGCACTGGCAGGCCCACTCGTGCTTCGAAATAGCTCAGGGCGACTCATGCTACGAAAGGGCGTGCCTGTCTCCCTTTTCTCCGGAGAGGTGGTAGGGCTTTGTCTAAAGGCCGGGTGTTGTGACAGAACACCAGAAGTGTCAAGCATGTCACGCTTCCTGGCTGCATTCCTCAGCGCAGTCACCATACGCGTCTGATCTTCGAGCTTTTGTCGGAGTCGCTCAATTTCCTGGTCCTTTTCTTTGACCACAGCATCTGGGTTTTGCCCGTTTCGAGATGGCACAGGACTTGGTTGAGGAGACCTTGCACTGCTCGCCCTGCTGTAAGAATTGTTCCTCGTTTGCAAGAGGCGTTTCTCCAGAGTTGCAATGTAGCGATCCTTATTTGCGAGATCGGCCTGTAAAGCACTGATTCGACGGGCCGACGAGGCACTCCCGGGGTCCAGAGCGTCCTCGTCAGCTGCCGACTCCTCCTCATCGTTTTCATCCTCCGATGCGGAAGCCAGTTCGATTTGCGATGTCCGTGCTATAGGAAGCATACCCGCCACGGTGGAACCGGACTGGACACGACTCGAAGTGGTCTGACTCCCACTGCTGCCTGGTCTTCGACTCTTTGGCCGATCCAACGTGCTATGTGTGCTGGTCCTCTGTAGGACTGGCATGCTCGAGCTTGCGTTAGAATATCGCCCCGAATTTACTCCTCGTGACTTTGAACTCAGAATCAATCGGTTCAGATGTGCGATACGCTCCTTGAGTGCAGTCCTAGCAAGCTGCATTTCCAGCATCTGCTCTTCGTGGCGCTCGGCACTCTCGCGTTCTCTTTCTCTCCACCGCTCTTCCTCGACTTCGGCCTTCTCGGCCTTCTCGGCCTCATTCTTTATCTTGCTTTGTTCTTCCAGTTGGGTTCTTAGCTCGATGATCTCCAGCTTGTATCGGTCAAGTAAAGCTCGGCTCCGTGGGTCTGCGCCATCGGCAGGATTTGACTCGTTCCGTTTCGCATGGCTGACGAGGTTATTTTTGGCTCTGCTTGCAAACTTCAGTGTGTTGAGGGTCTCGGTGGTGTGCGATGAAGTTGCAGCAGCGCTGCTAGACGCCGAAGACAGCTGGACAGTACACAGGATAGAGACCAATGAGTTTCCAGAAAGTGCAGGTTGAAGAAGTCGAGTAAGTTTGCTGTCTCTGTAAGGAAGATGCTTTTGATCTTTCTCCGCAAGCTCCTTGTCGCCAGATAAACGAGCGATGACCGTGCCTAATGTAAGTAGAGACTTGTTGATATGACCACCTTCGGTCCGTCGCTCCTTGCTCTCGGCTGCCTTCTCGGAGCCAGCAAGATCAATCAAGGAGAGAGTCGAGACAAGAACGCTGCCGGGCAGCAATTTATCACGTCTGGAATCATCGACCGGAGCGGCGGAGCGTTCACGCGACTCGACCACGATTTGTACAACAGCGTGTGAGCGCGACGAGCGAGCGTTGAATTGTGTGCCTGCCACACGTCTCTGCTGGTCACCACGTGCAATGACTCTAAGAAGTTGGTTGGGGCTTTGCACAATCTCCTCTTTCAGCGGAGTCGCATAGACTCCACGGCGAGGGTCTTCGCGCAGTTTGATCTCTTCGTTCGAGTCGGGATTGAGCAAGTCGTATATTTTCTCGTTGTAAATTTCGAGGTAGCTGACACGCAACAGAAACTCGCGGGCAGGATTTTGGCGAATATACGAGAATATGTCGGTGATGGCGAGAGGGATGACACCGGGAGACATGGCAGTGCCTTGCATGGAGAAGGTCTTTCCCGTTCCCGTCATGCCGTACGCAAAGACGGTACCATGGTAGCCCTCCATGACGCGCCGAACAAGGCGTTTGGCGGCCGATTCGTAGACGCGAGCATTCTGATCAAGTGGTGAGAATACATTATCTGCAGTCAAGGTCAGTACAAGATTTAGCGGTCGAAGGGGAAAGACGCACCATAGCGATGTTCTCCACTCTCGTAACTTATAAGAGAGCGTCTGCCATCGACCAGCCATTCACCATCTGGCTGAGTGTCTGCGGCAGCATCGGGCCTTACGCGAACACTGACAGTAATGTTTCCCTTTGCTTCTTTGTCCTTGTCTCCATTGAGTATCTCGGCCATAGAGCCGTCGACCACGGGCGTGTCGGGTGTCAGAGGCGTGGCCGGGGAAACTGGCGCAGACGATGAACGGCTTCCAGGTGGAGATGGTATGCTTAGGAGGCTGTCGCTCTTGGAAGTACGGACGGCGCTGGTAGGAATTGTGCGGAGAGATGCAGTTGATGTCTTTGAAGGTAGATTGCGGAGAGATTGCTTGGATTGCAGTCTACGAAGTGCGGTAGGAGGTTGTAGGGGTGATAGCGGTAGGTGCGGACTCGACGAAGAATAGGAAGTTGATATGAGAGGACTCGTGGATTGAGGGCTGGACGACGAGAATTGCGCAAGGGGGCTGGCGCTGCCACTGCCAGGGGGTCGCGGAAAGGCTTCGATGCTGATCGTCTTGCGCAAGTTGGGAGTCGGCACTCGCGAGACCGACGGCGACGGCGAGGATGCCTGAGTGCGCAGAGTAGGAATTGACGGCGACGACGTGACGGATCGAGGGATTCCCGTGGCTGCGCGCGCCCGAGGGTCGCCTGAAAGTCCGATTGTTGTTGTTGTTGATGCAGCAGCTGCACCTTCCCGCTCCTTGTCCGACCCTGCGCTTTCCTCTCCAGCCGCGGCCGAGCCTCGTGTCTTCCTCATTGCCGGCGGCAACGGCGGTAGCGGAATCGATGGCGGCGGGTTTGCCTGCGGGCTGAGGAATTGCTGCTTCTGGTAATGATGCTGTTGGCGTGGTGTATGTTGAGCGGGCTCGGGTCGAGGATACAAGTAATGCTGTGCTGAAAGGCGTTGTTCCTTTTGCTCCTGCTCGAGCTGCAGGAGTAGTTGCACCCCTCCTCCAGGCATGGCTCGCGTGTCCCCCTGCTCCTATACCCAGAGACCAATTCTGCACGCCGTTGGTTTACAAGCAACGACAACGCTCACAGCACATGGCATACGCTCAAGGTTTTGCGTGCAGGGGAATTCAATCGTACAAGAGAAGAGCATGTTCGAGGCTCAATCGCCGTACGAAACTTTACTGGGCATCTGTCTCTCTTTGGATCAACAAATAATGCCTCCCTCGTCACTCGCATTCCTTCCCGTCGCCAACCAGACCCATAACCCTTACTAAAACCACCCTGGCTTTCCCATGGTCGAGCCTTATGTGCAATTTGAGCAGCGCGCGACCCATGCGCCACCCATAAAGAGTCACTGACCCCAGGAACAGGCAAAGATCTCCAGGCTCTCCGATGATATTCGGAGTAGCCTCTGTTCACGGCCAATATAGATGAACCTCTACCGCCGAACCTTGAGAGCAATCCTCCACAACCTGCTCTTCCGTTCCGCCTGACCGGGCATACCACTCTCGCCATTGGCAGCCTCATCACACCTCGTGCGTTCTGCGTGATTGTATCCTGCGACCTCGAGTCATCTCTTCACAAGTAATCAAAGGTACCTGCAACGGTTATCCGCACTCGTCCGCGGCAGCCGAAAAGCCAAGTTTTCGACCACCGCGCGGTTGGCGTTCATCGGGCGTTCATCGTCAGGTAGCCGTGCCGCGAGAACTGCCCGCAACAGGGCAACCTTCTTTTGCGCAACCGCACTTCTGTCCGCCTGTCACTGGCAACTCGTCATGTCCCGAGTACGAGCACAGCTGGAGCTAGGTAAGCTTCGACTATGCTCTCAAATCAGTTACTGCCAAGCCGTGATGTTTTGTTGAGCGTGGATCCAACATTCCTCTGATGTACTCGTACGGCGCGCACTTGCTTTCTCTACAGTCTTTGCACGAACAAAACTCTACGAGAATCTCTTACGACCAGCGCCGCAATGTGACACGCGGCCAAGTAATCACATTATCCCATCCCTCCAAATTGACCTTCCAATCAATACACGCTGCCCTTCATGGTCCGTGACCTATCGTCGTGGGGGGCAGATCCAAAGACACAACACAGCAAAAGATCCGGTGTCGAATTAATTGAAGGCATAGATTGGACGCTATGTTTAATGACTTCTATTTGAGGTAGGATACATCTAACAGAGTTCACCTCAAGACATTTTCACTGGCAATCACCAGCCACTTTGCGATCATCAGAATCAAGTACTCCGTACTGCGACAGGCTTGACCAGCTTGCACATGTCGACGACATCCAAGCCTCAAAAGTAGGGCACGCCGATCATGCAATTATTGGACCGTCTCATCACACCAATCGTCCCCTTGGTTTTTATCGCAGGCGTAATGTCGCTTGATATTGCAGCCGATCAGAAATATTTGTCGCAGCGAATGAGATTATCGTGATCGACGTACTTGAGTGCTCAGTAGTCCTGGGCTATCGCTACCTACCCATGTGGTCAAGTCTGTCACGCGCAGCCGCTGGAAGGCACAATCTCCTTTGAGGCTCGAGCAACATCGGCGCGAAACATCGTCTCGTGGGTCCGAAAGGTCTGCGGTTTGAACAAGATTTCGTGCCTTGCAGCAGCTCGTGCTTGTCGTGCCTTCAACATGGAGGGGGGCGGAGGCGGCCTGCTTTAGCGCAAAGGGAAGGAGCACATTCCTGAAGTACATCATCCCTCAAGAGTGAAAATCGGCAAAGCAGCAAAGGTCAAAAGTCCCTGTACCTCCTGTGCTGCGGCCGCCGAGAGCGCAATCATGCGCCTGGCATTTGTGTCCACACAAGACCCATGTCACTACCGATGTCATTTGCACAGGGTACTTGACATCATACCCTGACGAAATATGAAGACATTTCAACTTATGGAAGGTCGAAGCCTTTACGAACACTAGGAAGACAAAACCCAAAAACATCCATCATCGAGGCCCTCACCAGACTGACAACCAATCATGACCACCTCGTCGATGCTTAGTATCTCCCTGAAATCTTCAGAGACACCTTGCACAACTGTGAAGATGTTGGCGTTATCGTCCTCTTTGCGTCAACTCGTCATCGTCTACTGTAGAGATGGTGGAAGAGAAAGTACCAACTCTCCATGCACCATGATCGGAAGAGGGTGTCAACAGGAGGCCAGCTACAAGTCAGCAGCGAATGTAACAGCGCTGGTATACACTTTGAACGATGACCAGCTGTAGAATGTGCTCTCTTTGTCTCGCATACTGGTACGAACACGAAAGAAGCACACCGAAGACTGCCTTGGGGATCACCTGATTGTCTTCATGCAAATAATATGATTCAGCTATGCGTGACAGACTTGAGCACATGGGGAGAAGGCAAAGCTGGCATAGATATCGTGCCTCTCATTAACCTGTGGTTGAAGTGGGCACACTAAACACCCCTCTCCCCTCGACTCAAAACCTTGAGATATCCCTTCCAAACACCCAATTGACAAACCAGTAGACAGGAATGAGAATCCTGTTCCTCCAACTAACACTCTTTGCCAGATACGCACCCCTCCAAATCAACCACGCGACCCTGCCACTGACATCACCACCACTAGACTGCATGATTGCATTCCAGTTCCCGACATACGCCATGATGCCCAGATCTTTGTACGTAAATGCGTTGGCATCGATGGTATTGCGATTAAGCTGTTTGGCTAGCCAACGGGCTTTTTGGTTTGCGACTTGCGCTGTTGCTGGGTAGGCCGAGTTTTCCATGATTGCGCAGTCGCCGAGAGCGTAGACGTTGTTGATTATCGCTCTGCCATTGTTCTCTTCTTTCGTACCGGCAGAAGGTTGCATTATGATACGGAGACGGTCATTTGTCATGATGCCACCACTGCGAGGATGGGTAGAAATATTCCAACTCTTTGCGTCAGATTTCTGTTCCACTGCAGCGCTGGATATGGGGATTGTATAAGGTCTTGCAAGGGATTTTGAGATGAAGGGGTTCATCATGAGGCCGGTGGACCAGACGACCATTCCTACGCCTACTTCTCCTTCTTCTTTCAGATCCAGAGTGTAGCAGCTTGCGTCGTCTTTAATCTCATCACCGTCGTCCGCTTCTTTGAGTTGTTTTGGAGCACCTCTGCGAAGAGACTTGACGTGATGTGATGTCTTCACATCAATACCTTCGCGGGTGAAGCGTTCAATGGCGAACTTTGCAAGCTTGTCGTCGAACATGCTCAGGACTTTTTCCGCAACATCATAGACTGTGATTTTGTAGTATTGCATCAGTTCGGGATAGAGTCTTGCCATGTCTTCGCTGATGAGATCGTGGAGCTCAGCTGAGAACTCGATACCGGTTGGGCCACCTCCTACGACGGCGAAGTTGAGGAGTTGCTTCTTCATTGCCTCGCTGGTGGTTGGGAGGGACGCTGTCTCGAAGCCTCGAGCGTGGTCAGTAAAGCTGAGGGAGACTCAGGGGGAAGCTACTCACAAGAAAGCATTCTGTTGCGAATCTTTCTAGCATCGCCAACGTCCTTGAGGAAGTAGGCATTCTCTTTAACACCAGGTGTGCCAAAAGTCTGCGAGTAGCATCCAACAGCCACAACCAACTTGTCGTAGCTCATCTCGAACAGCTTCCCCTTCTTCGCCTTGACTTTCTTCTCTTGTTGTGATTGATCTGAGTTCTGATCTTCTTTACCATCACCCGTCAAAGCCATAGCCTGCCATGGATTTTCCACAGCCTCTTCAACGGTCAACTTTTGGGTTACAAAGTCGACCGAATCAGCCCATCCCTGGAAAAATTCGACTTTCGTGCGACGAGAGCGGACGGGTTCGAGAGCTGTGCGGAATTCGAGGGTACCAGTGGAAGTGGATGCGAGCAGAGGAGTGAAGACAAAGTAGGAGCGAGGTGATACCACGACGACTTGGTATTTCTTGGGGTCAAGGTCGCGAGCAAGTGTGTAGCCAGCCCAGCCTGTGCATCATATAAGCCGCAGTTATACAATCTCTCAGTAGCGAATCTTACCAGAGCCTAGCACAACGACACGTTCTCGATCTGGTTGTTGTTGTTAGAGAGTGTCAGCGAGGACGGATAGCAGGGCTTACCTCCTTTGCTACTCTCAATGCTTTTTGTGAAGAGTCGTGTCTGTGTTCTCGAGGCCAATTGACCAGCACTAGTCCTCCTCGACACAGCATCTTGACCAAGACTTCTGAGTCCGGCAGCGACAGCAATTGAATCATGCTGTCGCGCAACACCGACATTTCGCGACAGACTTGCGTTCCTCAAGACCAGCATTATGCAGCTATTGTTGGAAGATGAGAGAAAAATTGTGAGGGGAAGAGAGCAAGATATGATTGCTATCTCATGGGCCTGAAAATCTATCTGTCAGACAGCCCCTCCATTCTTGGCTGAGCGTTTGCTTTATCATCGTCTTATTTGTTTATGACTGAGTCGCGATGATGTAACTACCAAGGTGGTTCGGAAGTCGCGGTCGCCGGACCTTCCTCCATCTCTTCCGGTATCCTCCGCAAGCTTCGCAAGCTCTGCCACTCCATCGCCAACGGTCAACCGAGGCATTTTGTGGTCTCTGTGACCGAGACTTGATTGGTTTTTGGCTGTGTCTTATGGAAAATGAAGTGTATCCAGTGCATTGTGGTGCATAGAGAGAATAAGGGGAGCCAACCATCGTCTGAGCAGAATTTGATCAGTCACATTGCTCCAGATCCCGGGTCTTACGGTCAACAGGGTAGACACCATACATCACAGCAATCCAGTCAAGTCTACAAGCACTAGCCAGTCAATTCGCATTGGATCTAAGGAAAGCGGGTGATGTAAAGGTCCCCTCGTGAGGGACTTTGAATTTGTACAGTGAATCCGTTTAAGGAGTTGTTTCGTAAACATGCTAGGTAATGAAGTGATTACATTAAAAGTGTGCGTGCTTTTGTCTTTCGTTATGCTGGATAGGGGAAAAGAAGAATGTCCAACAACAAGCCGTCTAATTGAGAGGTATCAGAGGCGATACGTTTAGCAGGCGCGGACGTAAAGACCCAGAGGAGAGGGGTTGTAGTCCTGGAAGAACTCGAGATCGAGACCGCCAGTGGAGGTGACCTCGAACGAGACTCTCTGGCCGGCAGGGCAAGCGTCCTGGCTGAGAGTGTGGGACGAACCACGCTGGAGTGCGGCAACAGAGCCGATCTGCTTAGCGACAGCGGGAGCATTGGAGTAAGTGGTCGACTCGGTGGCGACGCCGTTCAGAAGGGAAATGGTGAATCCACCCTGGTTGTTGAAGGAGTAGCTGGAGGTCTCGAGCTGGTTAAGCTGAGGGAAAAGGAAGACAGTAGAGCAGGTCTTTCCAGCGTACGAGGCGGGGATGTCGAAGTTGAAGATGGTGGAGATCTTGGGGCTGACAGTGCCGTTGTACTGGGTACCGTAAGCCTTGTTAGGGTTGCTGGAGTCAACAGGGACGATCAAGTGAGGGTACTGGTAAGCACCGTTGATGTCGGCAGGGCATCCAGAGGCAACAGGGGCACCAGTGGGGACGACAGTGGAGGCTGCAGCAGAAGTGACGCTGGGCTTGGCAGAGATAGCAGTCGACATGCCAGTAGGGCAATCTGAGACGGTAGAGCCACAGTTGGTAACGGTAATCAAAGTGGTGGAGTAGAGGGTGACGGTCTCGCCATTGTCAGCAACTGAGGTGGCAGCCTTGGTGGTGACGGGAAGAACAGTGGTTCCGGCAGCAGACGACACAGCGGAGTTGCTAGCAGCGCCAGATGACGAAGGCACGCCACCAGTAGGGACGGCATTGCTAATGGCGAGAGTAGTGCTGGAGGCGGCGGAGGTAGGCATGGTGGCGCTGGCAACAGAGCTAGTAGGAGCGGCAGAGCTGCTGGTGGCAACGCTGGGGCAAGAGAGGTCGTACTTGGGCTGCTCGCCGGATGCAAGAACACCGAAGCTGGGGCTAGCAGAGTCCTGGAGAATGTACCACCAGGTAGGGATGTTGCGGTTGATCAACTCGCAAGCAACGGCCTTCCAGTAAGTCTCGGCGTTATCGACACTGGGGACAGCCAAGTTCTCAGTAGGGCCAGAAACCGGCCAGCCAGTCTCGGTGATCCAGATGGGCTTGCCACCGGCGACACCAGCAACGGCGTTGTACTTGTCGAAGAAGAGGGTAGCGGCGTTGGAGATCGAGTTCTGTTCGGTGTTCTCATAGTATGGGTACTCGTCAAGACCAATGAAGTCGGCAGCAGCAACAACGGCAGCGTTGGAGCTGTTGGTGTAGCTGTTCCAGGTGTCGACGTGACCAACGGGCTTGCCGGAGAGAACGGTGCCAGAGATGGCAGACTTGACCTGACCGATGTAGTTGACGAGGACGTCAGGTGACTGGCCGTAGCCGGAGTTGGCAGCAATGCCGGTGGGAGAGATACGGTAAAGATCCTCGCTACCGACCGAGATACCGACGACGAGGTCGGAGAAGGCCGAACCGTACTGGGTGATGGCGTTTCTGAGAGCAGTGAGCTCGTTGTTGAAGGCATCCTGGTTGGTGGATGCCCAAAGACCAAGGAGAAGAGTGGTGTTGGTCGCAATGGCAGCAGGGATGGCGCTGATTACAGTGTTTGCTGTACCCTCCTGAACCATGGTGTACAGACGAGCACTGTTCCAACCGCTAGTTGTGTCAAGACCTTGAGCAGTGCGGAATTGGGACTCGAAAGCCTCAAGAGTGTTGCCCTGCGAGCCATAGTTGAAACCACGGGCAGCGGCGAGAACGGTGGAGGCACCTCCTGCAAGGGAAAGAATAGCAGATCTCATGTTGATGATGATTATGCTAAGGAAGAATAATAAAAGGCTTCCTGTATGTGATGGGAGAAAGGGCACAAGCTTGAGAGAAGAAATTGGATTGAAGAAGGAAGCGAGCTGTTTTGTACCTAGTGGGCCTCAGTGACGACGACAGAGGAAAGTGTACGATGTACATCGATCCTGCCGTGCTTCCGCCAAAGAGCATGAAGTTTCTTGTGGGGAATTGATGGGTTAGTCGCATGACGAACCAAGACGGTGCAAACCAAGCCGGCTCTGGGCCATGAAAGGGCACCGAAAATAGCAGCATGACGCCCATCACTGCAGGTACGCCATCATCGCGTGGAGGGCTCAGTCGACAAAGTTAACGAAAAATCAGATCCGCGCGGCCAAGAACCAAAGTAAAGGCGGAAAAGCCTTTGTTGGGCCGCCGCCGTCCGCCAAAGGTTGGCATGTCAAGACATTCAACCCCAGTCGGGCAAAGCGGGATACGACGGCCTCCAAGAGAAGGATGTCAAGAGGGCGATCGTATGTAATAGCGTGACGGTAAAGATCGTATTCGCGTCAATGGTGTCTCTGGTAGTCTCATGGGACTATATATGGACGCTGTCCTCCTGACATGTGGTGCCTGAAGATGGCTTGCAGATGGCAGTATCACAATCATTCCGCTGCGGAAAATTCAACACTTGCGTCGAGCTCGCTGTACCTCAAGACAACAAGGTTGGTCCACGTTATCGTAGTCTTCGATGACGATGCAGCTCAGCCGCTGTGTGGCGGCAGCGTGCCTGCCGGATGATGTTGCAGCGTTCGACCTTTTGATCCGCCCCCGTTTGCTGATCAGGAACGCCTTGCCTTATTTAGCCAAAGGCGGGGCAACAGTATTTGCTTGGCGGTAAAAAAAGTCTTGCGCCCATGAATCCTGTCGCCAACAAGCGATCGTGACAAAGAGAAGTTGTTTGCTCTGCAACAAGTGGTTTGGTTCTATTCATGGCGAACCACTATGAGGCGTTGGGTCTCGGTCATCGCCAGTTCGACGGCAATTTGACCACTCAGGATATCAAGCAGGCGTATCGCAAAGCCCTGCTTGAACATCACCCGGACAAGTTGCGAGCTGGAGGTGCATCTCAAAGCGTGGATTCGATCACAATTGCCTACAAAACTCTGTCAGAACCCGAAGCCAAAGTAGACTATGATCGCGATTTGCGTCTGCAGCTCACGCGCAACAAGCGTGGCGAAAAGATCTTTCACACTGGACTCGATATTGTAGACCTTGATGACTTGGATTATGATGAGAAGTCAGGCGAATGGTGGAAAGGCTGCCGTTGCGGCCAGGATCGGGGGTTTGTGGTCACAGAAGACGAACTGGAAAATGAGTCGCGCTATGGAGAACTCATCACTGGCTGCAAAGGTTGCAGTCTCTGGCTCAAAGTGTTGTTCGGGATTGAAGATGATGAAGAGCAAAACGTCCAACTCGCTGGCTGAGCTTACCCACTTGAGCTTGTGTTCCCTCAAGCTTGTGTTTCTGTTACACAGATTCGTGGTGCCTTGCATGAATCAGCAGGCAGCAAAGTCGCCAAACGTCCGCGGAATCAGCTGCACCAGACCCTGCATTACTATCAGCACATCGAGAAGATGCGGAAAGTGGACGTTGGTCTTTTTGATCTTGTTCTCACTGTGTCTACCAGGTCCAAGTATTTTACGATTGGTCGTCCGTGTCGAGAGGCTTCGCAAATGTTCACCGTCATGGTTGGCGGATCTTGCTCTCAACGACATACAACAGCTGTCTGTCACTGTGAGAAGGTTCTCCAGCAGCAGCAACATTTTCATCGCAGCGAAATTCTTCTTCCCTGCTGCTTTGTCAAGACACAAAGCAAAACGAGTCAAAGGGTATCGTTGTTTGTGAGGCGCCGTATGAAATGTATGGTTCGTTGTTCTTCTTTGTGATGTCCACCTCCACATCCGGCTGAAAGATTCCATCGATCGACTGAGATGCGCATGCATACATCGGACGACGGCAGAAACGAGCTCGTATCGTGACTAGCAAGATACTACACACCATGCCCCCTCACGATTACAATATTCCAGACCCACCGCTAGCTATTCCTTCTGGCCTCGCGGAAAACTTCGTTGCTAGGCTGAATCCTGTCACAAATCAATTCAGGATTCAATCTCGTCGATTCGGCCTAGACTCACAGCTCAATTACGCCTCCATGGATGATCCGCCCACTGAACAGAGGGATCTGAAACTTGGTCCCCCTAGTCGATGGCCAGATTGGCATCCTCTATTTCACAAACATGGACTTAAGTTATGGATGCGGCTGGCTTCGTCAACAGCACAGCATACCGAACAGAATCTCAGATGCCCTCGGGTCGCCTGGATACTGATTATATCATCCATCCTGTCCTGATGGAGGATATGTGGCACGGACTTCAGCCTGGTGAATACACGCTCATGGAGCCCGCATTACGTCTAGCATCGGCTATCTTGGACGACCCTGACACTTCGTGCTTCTTTGCCGGACTCACTGTTCCAAGCCGCTCGGTGCCGTGGCTTCATGTTCCATACATCGGGAAATGTGCCGCCTTCAGACCTAGCGATCCCCTTGACCATGTCGCCCAGACAGCGGTGTATGAGAGGTTGACAAATATGCGCAGTTATATGGTCTGGTCAATGCAAGACATCAAGACAGTGGCGAGCGACTTCGAAGCTTTTGGGGTCAATGTGCCTTGGTCTGACAATGAGAACAAAGTGGCGCTTGGTGCCAACGGAGTTGGGTATGTTGATGAGCTCCAGCTTGTCTTCTAAGATAGTTGACATCGTCTCATAGAACTCGATCCTCCGTGATCTACATCAGTAGAGGTTACACAGACGCAATGCGAATGTTTTTGGACAACCATCCTACGCAACCTAAAATCGGAAGATATATCAACGACACACAGTATCTTGCTGGGATTCCTCTTGAAGACAACATTCACCTCGATGAACACTCGGCGATTACTCGTAGCACACTTCTTTTTGCAGACACTCTCATCCACGAATTTGCACATGCAGTCTGCGGTGCCTATTTCGAGGTTTCGGCTATGGCTATACCAGGTGATGTACCATACAACCACATTTTCGAGCCCTTCTTCGCTGGCGATCGTTCCAATGAAGTCGGTCATGCCATCTCGTCTTATATATGGCGCGGCAATCCTGCAGCCATGATGTACTGTAGGGTACCTAAGAGCTTGTCGTCGCGTTGGATGCAACAGCACATTGGTCCTCTCGGACTCTACTGAGCTGACAAATGGGACAAATGGAACGTCGACAGAGGCAATACAGGTCCCACAAAGACGAGGAGTTTGGGTCCTGTTGATTGCATGAATCTTCAGCGTTTGTATCCTGTCCCGCAGGCGCATATTAACAAACTGTTCTCCACTAAGTTGTGGCAAGACGAGATCCATAGTTATGGGCTCGATGCTGTCAGGTTCCCGCGCTTTCACGCTTGGGCGGCAGAATGGACCATGATTGGTGTGACGAAGGGTGAATGGGGGACAGGTGTAGACAGGTGGGGTGATCGAATATGATTTCCTATGATCTGGTATAGCAGGGACCAACAACAACCCATCCAAGAGACACACTGACCAACACACAATATGCTGATGATACGCTTTGGATGTTGACTCTCGTCCACGATCCAGACCTGGGCGGTCAGGGTCGTCCCCATCACGAGTGTCTCAGCTCATATCAACAACTTATCCGCATCATAACCACAGTATATAGGTTACTCTTGCCATGAATGTCCTCGTGGGCTCTTTACGCTCGGGCTGGGCTATCGTTTCAATGTTTGTGCCACCACATCATCCGTCTATTGTGCGTTCTCGGGTATCGATTCAGAGCCAACATCAAAATAAAGAACAACCTGCTGAATCCCGGTGCCTGTAGCTCATTCAAGGCCAGATTGACTCTAATGATGTCGATGGGACTCAAATGACAAGTTCCGGTCCAGGGGTACCCCACTCCGGCTCTCTGAAAGTACCAAATATGGAACAATGATAGCGTTCTCAAGATTTGGACAGGGTGCTACCACTAGCCACAGGTGTTGAGTCATGGCAGATGAAAGCTTGTATCACCAAGCATGACTTTACAGAGGTCGATACAGTATAGCTGCACATGGTATGACGTCACTAGAAACGTTCGTTACAAAACAAAGAGAACATACCTTCCGATTGTTTTACTGTTACAAACAAGTGCTCATTCGTTGATGTGTGCAAGTATATACTGATAATAGCCAAATTTAGTCAACGGCCATGCGAACCTTCAACAGATCTTTCTTGATTATCTCATCCTTCTTATCCAAAAGCTCCTTCATGTCCCAGGTGACACTGACATATCTACCGGCCAGCCAATCTCTCTTCTCGTTGATGAGCCAAGCGATCGTATCAGCAGCCAGCTGAGGTTGGTCAGAGAGCACGTGATGCATTTCCTTAGGTGTTCTGCCGGCTAGCTCGGTCATCACACCGCCAGGGTGAATGCCATAGCAAAGAACGCCCTTGTCGGCATATTCAATCTGGATAAACTCGCCAAGTCGAAGGAGTGCGAGTTTGGATGTCTGGTATGAGCTAGCGCCAGGCATGACGATGTGAGCACCGATAGAACTGGTGTTGATGATGGTCTTGTCGCCATCCTTCGTGTCCAGGAGAACAGGAATGAAAGCACGAGCAATCAGGTAAGGACCTTTGATGTTGACTTCCTGGGTTTTCCACCATTCATCAGGATCGCTTTCTGCAAAGTTTTTGAATATCTCGAGGTATCCGGCGTTATTGAAGAGAAAGTCCAGACCACCAAACTCGCTCTTCACGGTCTCGGCTGCTTGCTCGGTGCTTGCTCTGTCTGTTACGTCCAAATTGATGCTAATGACCTTGGGTGCCGAATGGCCAGCTTCCTTAGCTGTCTTTTCCACTTCGGTGGCGAGATCCGAGAGGGAACTACGAGCACCAAGAGCGATACTAGAGACACCAGCGCGTGCAAGAGATAGAGCTGTCTCCTTGCCGATACCCTTGGAGGCACCAGTGATGAACACACGCTTGCCCTGCAAGTTCTGGTGTTTTGTTGAGATGAAGTCGTAGGTATCATTGTGAATGGTAGGAGTAAAATCGAAGCCTATCAATGAATGGAGTTAGGTACGTCTTTATATCGTCCATGTGGCTCACGATCACATACCAGCGTGATGCATCATGGAATCCGACATTGTGATCAAATAACTCGTGTGTAAATTTCAGAGGAGAATTGATGGATTTAAAAGAGTAAGGGTATGAAGCTGAGCAAGTAATACTGATTCATATTGTTCAAGATGTGATTAAGCAGCCGGAATTAAAGGTAAACCCGAATGGGTGTGACATCATCAACAGAGCCGCTGCATGAAAACTGGCCATCGCCTCACGTGTGAACAGTGGTCGTACACGATATCTTCGCAGGCAATTTTGTCAAGTGTCAACCTACCTTTAAGCTATATCTTGACGTGCCAGTCTCAGCGGACTTGACTATATTCATTGCGCCTGACCCAAGTCAGATGCTTCTCTCGCGGTAGTATGAGCTGCTGCTCAACTCGTATCATTTGTATCGTGAATCTCATCACTCCTCCTCTTATGGTTTCAACAGCCGAACATCTTTGTGGTGCTGACATTGATCCGACTCCACTTGAAGCCGGAGACCAAGCTCTTTGCGAACTGAAATGGCCAGTAGACGTGGTACAGCCACCAAGCTGGAAGTGGATCCCAGATCTCGTATGTTCCATCCCTCCAGAAGAACAAGTGTTCAAGGAAGGTGCCAAAGTGGTCCAAAGCTTCGCCAAAGCTGTTTCCGTGGATTTTGAAGAGCGAGAGGGCTGGGAGTATGATGCATGTAGTCAAGTCATGACCGATCCAGTAGTATTTACCAGGCTGATGGGGATACACGGGCGGGGTATAGGAAGCTCCGTTGGAGCCTTCTGCTTTCGGCGTAGTGGGCTCTTCAAGAAGAGACATGTATCCTTTCTCAATCATTTCGGGTGTGCTGTTGAACAATGCAACGGCGGTATGAGCGCGAGGATTGCATTCGATAGGATATAGTGTGACGACCATATTGGGGTCTCTCTTTGCGCGCTCGGCCTCCTCATGGTCAACCAAGAAGTCGAAAGAGAGATGACCGGTGAAATTTTCAGGGTCGCTTGCTGCATACTCTTGAGTGAAGCGTAGCATATTGCGGCTAAGGGCGGAATCTTGGGGAAGTGCTTCGTAATGCATAAGTAGCTCAGCAGAAGGACAAGCAGTGAAAGCCTTGACCTCGCCACGGACGACCAATGCATGAGTGCAGTATTCAGGACCATCAATAAATTGTTGTAGGATCCAAGGGCGGCTCTCAGATATCTGTAGACGAGAAATATGTGCTTTTGTTGCAGGTACCGAGTCGAATGGCAACAATGTCATGTCGCCTCGGACAGAGTCATCTGTTCCGATGAACTTCATGATGAACTTCTTGCCCGATGGTCGCACATCTTCGAGAACCCTCAAAGCAGCAGTTTTGGAGGTGATTGTATGGGTTTCGGGTACGGTAAGGCCAAGAGACTTGGTGTACTCGGTGAAGGAGTGTTTCTCATGCAGCTTCTGGGTAGTGGCTACATTGTACTGCACTGCCTTGCACTTTGTGAGCAACTCGATCATCTCCTTGGCTTGGCCATCCTCGACAGCGCTTGCTACACCGGAGCAGCTAACCCACAGGTCGACCTTCTCCTTGCGGACAATGTCCAAAATACTTTGACAGTATCTGGCCGAGCCTTCTCTGGTGCCATCAGGCTTCGCAAGACGGTGGAAAGCTTTTATTGAGCGAGACACGTGCCCGCAAGTGATTGGCAAGAATGGTGGCTCAAAGTCGGCTCCAATCACATTGTGACCAGCGATAAAGAATAGGCGAGCGAGGACGAGGCCCTTGGTCATGCCCACACCAGTCACCAACACTGTGCGGGGCTCGAAGTAGCGCGTGTAGGTCGATCTTACTCGAGCGCGGTGTGAAGTCGCTGGAAAGGCGACGAGTATGCGGACCGCATAGCTGAAAAAGAGGATGAATGTATCGAGCGGGAGGAAAAAGAAGCTCAATGCGAGCAGCTTGATATTCTGCAGCGCATGCGCAAGGCGCGACGACTCAGCAGTAAGCATGACGGCTGCACAAGGTGAGAGAGCGAAGGATGCCTCGAGGAGAGAGCTCCTGGCAACACAGCACTCGCAGGACGTTAGCGAGAGGATTGTGAGCCTACGTGTCACTGTCACGACTGAAGCATGGCACAAGAGGAGCCATGTTTGTTGATCCCGATAGCTCCACGATAGCTCGGTGGATAGCTCCACGATAGCTCGGTGGATAGCTGTCCCGTTCTCACATGCTTTCCGCTAGCCAAACGTCATCCATCTAGCACCTCGGCCATGTATCGACATGCCACCAAATCCTAGACGCGAGGCAGGAAATCTTGGTTGGGTTTAGCCAAAGCACGATCGCGTCAGTGCTTCCTTCAAGAGGGCGATTCAAGATGGCCAACACTTCCGATCGTTGAGGCACCAAAGGCAGGGCGAACGGCAGTTCAACGAAGCTTCAGAGCGCAACGAAAAGAGTCGGAGGGGCAAAGACAGCTTCAGCTTGCTGTGCAACCTTTCACAACTCCTTTGTTTACGATTTATGCAGATTGGCATGTGAAAATTGAATAGCGAACAACTTTTTACTATGATACAATTTACGATATCGCTTGTAGTTTGCTGAGCCGATTCTATATGTTCCGTTTCGTTCGTTTCGACGCTCTCCACCAGAGTTGTATGTAGGGATGTTTGGTGCGCGTATATACATTAAATCGTGGTCAATCGCCCCGGAGGCTCTACTCCCGCAAGATCGGCTGCTGTGAGGCGTGAAGCACGGGCTCTGTCTACGAGGACTCTTCGCCGGTGCAACGAGTAATTTCAACACCGTCCTGTGAATGATGTCAATGCTAGTCGTTTGAGGTCGAGGAGACTCTCGACTTACTGGTACACCCGAAGGCTCGTAGCTGTTGATGAGCTTGCTCTCGTAAACCAAGTTGGGGTTGCCCTTGGACTGTTGCAGCTTCTCCTCTGCCTGTCTGTTGGCGTACTGCTTGGAGGTTCTGTCGGCGAATCTGGTGTCGGGGTTGCTCTCGTCTGAAGATGCTTCCGCGGCCTTGCGCTTCTCAGCAACGCTGCTACGGACATACTCAAGGTAGGGCGGGTTGCCGGGCTTGATGACGTTGTCCGCTGCCAGCACTGTTCCAGGAGTCACAATCTTGAGTTCTTCGCAAAGCTTGAGGTCGGTCTTGTAGGCGGGCTTGTAGTGGTCGAGGAACATCATGTCGACATGCTTGAGGATGCCTTCGCTGTGCAGTCTTTGGATCGAGACAGCGCTTGAACCAATGATGACCTTGACCAAGTCACTCAAACCAGCCAGATCAACCAGCGAGGCGATGACTGCGCCAAAGACAGGGTCTCTTTCGAGACTGAAGTAACGCTTACCACCAGCCTTACGCACAGCGTCGGCGTAAAGAATGCAGGAGTAACCAATGTAGCCTCCCAACTCGACCTGTGTGCATTGTAAGCTGTCTGTTGCGTATAATGTTCGGACCTTGGAGAATAGTACCATGGTCTCTGGCTTGACCTCCGAGATCAAGTCGGTGACGATCTTTCCCTTGAGTTCTCCTACATTCATGAGGTACTTCTTTGTCCTCGCGAACTCATCAATGGCAGCAAGTACTTTCTGGGGGTTACCGCGGATCTCCTCAATCTCTGGCTTGCCGTAGACATAATGCAGAAGCTCGAGTTCGCGACCATCATCGAAGAAGACTTCCTCCTGTTCGGCGTAGGCCTTGCTCTGATCGAATTGTGCCATTGTGAATTTTCTTGTAATAGTGTCGAGGTTTGCGAGATTCCAGTGTCGAGTCGACGAGTTCCCAAAGCGGTTGCACAGGATAAATGATTTCAATTCACTCGGGTTCCAAGCGAAGCACTACGTGGCAGAAGCTCCCAAGAGCTGAGCTATCGGAGTGACGCGACGAGCCCCACTATCTGTTGACGAGCCAAAGTAGATCACTCGCGACGACGCGATCTTACGAGCTAAGAGGAGGGGTAATGCTGCAAGAAGCTGCAAGACTCTGCAACGGGAGAATCCAACCATCATGCAAGCGTCACTCGAAGAGGAAGCACTGACGCAAAAGCCAGATCTGCCCCTCACCTGAGCCCCGCATCGACTCCCAGGCATGGGCGGTTTATTTCCAAACAGCTCGATTTGCTGGCAAGATAGATTTGGTTTCGGTTGATTTAACCTAGCCCTGTATACTCGCAGATTCCATCAATATGCTGTCAGATGGTTGTCACCCATTGACGAGCCTTACATGCCGTGTCCACAATCCGTGCTTCCAAGGCCCAGACGACAACTTGAGCCGCAATACGGGAACCCCAGAAAATGTCTCGACAAAAGCTCCGAGTTTAAATATCTGATGTCAGGAACTCATCAGATCTGTGTGGGTCACTAAACTAAACATGGTTTAGGCGGATCTCTTACCCACGACATGGACCCCACGGCCCAAGCCCAACAGGGAAGCTGAGCTGTTAGTCTACGATGCTCATTGGACGTTTGCCATGCCCGCTGTGTTCCATATCCATGGCAGCAGAAGCCTCATGGGCTTGCATGTTGCAGAGATTGACAGGCCTACGAACCTGGCCGGTGCAGGCGGCGGTGCAAGTTTGTGGCACTAGTTTCTGTGTCGGCCAGACGGGGCTGACCTTGGAAGCACGCCCATGATAGCAGGTGCTGCGGAGCGATGCGCCTTGAGACTATGTACCTGGATCCGAGCTAGCGTGAGTCTGTCCTCTAGCTGTTGACGTGATGCACTCGAGCTTCCAGTGCCGTGCTCCAAGATATCCGCCGATCTCGTTGCTGGCAGGAATATATGAAAACCGCTCCTCCTCGACCGATATCTTCCTGCACTCACCTTTCTTCTTCCGCTCTCATCAACCCCTCATCCTCTTTTCAACTTTTCCCTGCGTTTGTTCAACACGCATACAATACCTTAATTATGTCTGACATGAACGCTACTGTCCAGGAGACCAAGACTGGTTTCCATGTCTCCGGATACGAGAAGATCGAGTACGACTTCGAGTTCATGGATGGTGTCTTTGACACCAAGAACAGCCAGCTTGCCGACTGCTACCAGCGTTGGGGCAGAGCCCTGGCTGTCATGGACGCAAACATCTTCGATGTCTACGGAGACGAGATCCAGAAGTACTTCGACCACTACAAGCTCGAGCTTTCCATCCACAAGACCATGATTGGCGAGAAGGCCAAGACCATTGAGACCCTCTTGAGCATCGTTGACTCGATGAACAAGTTTGGTGTCTACCGCAAGGAGCCCGTCCTGGTCGTTGGTGGTGGTCTCGTTACCGACGTTGCCGGGTAATACACAAACAAAGATCCACCGCCATAGATCTATAAGGCACTCTGGCCAATATCTCCTAAGCGGTCAACTCCTACCTTTGAACAATTACTAACCGTTCACAGTTTCGCTTGTGCTTCTTACCGTAGAAACACCAACTTCATCCGTGTCCCCACCACCGTTATTGGTCTGATTGACGCTTCCGTCTCGATCAAGGTTGGTGTCAACTACGACAACTACAAGAACCGTCTTGGTGCCTACCACGCTCCCATGAACACCTTCTTGGACTTCAGCTTCCTTCGCACTCTCCCCGACGCTCAGATCCGTAACGGTTTCGCAGAGTTGATCAAGATCTCCACCTGTGCCCACCTCGACACCTTCAACTTGCTCGACAAGTACGGTGAGCAGCTCATCTCCACCGGCTTCGGTCGCCGTGAGGGTGCTCCCCAGGAGGTTCGTGATGCCGCAGACAAGATCAACCGTGGCGGTATCCACGAGATGTTGAAGCTTGAGACCCCCAACCTCCACGAGATTGGTCTTGACAGAGTCATTGCCTACGGTCACACGTAAGTCAATCTTTATCCTTCGCAAAGATATTTCCACTAACATCAGAACAGCTGGTCGCCTCTCCACGAGCTGATCCCTGACCCACCTCTTCGTCACGGTCACGCCATCTCCATCGACATGGCTTACTCGGCCACTCTTGCCAACATGAGAGGCCTCCTCAGCGACGAGGAGCACAAGAGACTTCTCAACCTGTTCTCTCGTGTCGGTCTCTCCATGGACGACGACAACTTCACCGAGGACATCCTTGACAAGGCCACCAAGGCTATCCTGAAGGTAAGACAATGTCCCAAACATCACACCCTTGTTCACCATGACTGACCTCATCCCACTAGACTCGTGACGGCAAGCTTCGCGCTGCAGTTCCCAGTCCTCTTGGTTCATGTGTCTTCCTCAACGACGTTGAGGCAAGCGAGATGAACGCCGCTCTCAAGAAGCACAAGGAGCTTATGAAGTCCTACCCTCGCGCGGGTAAGGGTCTCGAGGCCTTTGTTGATGGTTCCGACACCGGTTACACCACCAACAACAAGCAGATTGACCCCAACGTGAAGAACTCTGCCAGCAAGTCCGTCATCAACGACGATGTCCAGGGTGGTCCTAAGCCTGACGGCAAGAAGACCGCCGAGAACATGGCCTCGGGCCCCGAGGGTGTTGACGGTGTCTCCAACCCCACCACCAACGGTGCCAACAGCCTTGGTCGTGGCGAGTGCTGCTAGATCCATCTCTTCAATGAACATGGGTTGTTGTCGTTCTTAACCAAAAAAGCTTTTGATACCACGGCCTTGGATGTGCCGACACAAAAAAAACATCACCTACCTTTGGCGCAATGATGGCGCTCTTGTATAAATAACACCTGCATAGATGAACCTAACCCTGTAAAAGGGCCGGTCAAGCTAAGAAAATAGCTACGAATATTCAATTGATGATTTACCAACCACCTCGATTGCCGTTATACTCTGTGCACGTATTCCTTCCTTCATACATGCCAAGCTCCACCCATCTTCGTATTCTCCTCCGTGACCTCATCCATGTACAGCCTTCTATGGGTTTGGTTTACCATCGACAAAAGCAATGAGCATCTTGTCGCCCTGCGAAACCTCGTCTGAACTACTTCACGGCTGTCAACACGTCTGCCCATGTATAGCTCGATACTAGAGCTTGGACTCCATATGAGGCTACATGTCCTGAGTACCACTGTCACTTCATTCAATCTGTTCTCAGATTGACACTGCTTTTTCTTTTTGGCCGGAGCTGAGATTCGTTTGAGCTTACGGATCGTCTCCTCTCTTCCGAAGTGGCTGATCTGTACATCCGGCTCGTCTTCTGACTCTTCCTCGTTGTCATTTTCGTCTATGATAAATTCGACATCGCCAATCAACACAAGGAGCTGCTCCTTGTCGTCATCGTCTTCTTCGTTGTTGATGGGAGCTCTGCTACGTCTCGTATGTTGGCTTGATCGTGGTTATCGAGACTTGCGTAATGAATGTGCTTGTATCTAAAAGCTTCTTAAGAGCTCCTGGTGGTCGACCGGGATGGAGACGAGGTTCGGCAAGTCAAAGCCTCATAAGACGAAGTAAAAAGTGCATCTCGTACAGTAATGATAAGAGCACCTCTTGCTCCCATCTTTCACAAGCACTCACAATTTGAATATCATAACTTCTGGAAGGCTACCTTCGAACCACTAAACGGTCGCAATACAAATCAAGATTAGCCCGACTGCCAAATTGGATATGGCGGATATTCCTGGATCGATGAGCGTCGTTTTCGTTGAGTTGCCGGCGAAATGGGTAGCTGCATGTCCGGCTGACCGAGGTTCAAGAGTCTCTTGGTGTCCTCAGTGACACCTTCTGCAGCTCTGAAGACGGCGACGGTACCGAATGGATAGGGAGCTCATCGTCTGGCGAGGTGGGCTATTCGACATAGGGGCCACCAACATGTTTGGCGAGTTGCTTGGCTTTGGAAGCAGGAAGACGATTTAGTCCTACCCACTTGACTGTCGAGTAAGATGCTGGTGCAAGGCGTTTTCAGTCCGGCTGGAGAGGATGACGAGGAAAGTGCTAAATCGTGAGAGCTAACTTCACAATGCTTCCTTGCACCATGTTGACTTTGATATTTGGCCGCCCTTTTAGCAAGGTTCGTATTGATCAATGGTACACGGCCTTTCCCATCGCCAAAAATATAACGAGTGAAGCGCTCGTGGCGACGAAGCAGAACACGTAGCTCGATACTAAAACTTGAGGACGTGGCTTCAATGTTAGCAGTCGGCATACATCAGGTTGCCATGCGAAAAGTATCTCTGGGGTTGTGAGTAGCGTAGGAACTAGCTGCCGCAATGCAGTCTTTTCCTAGATACGGGAATGTCATAGGAGGGAAGATCTCTCAAGCTCTCACCGAACATCGACTGAGTCTCAGAAGTTGTTGTGCATCTCGACAGCTGCAAAATCAGTAGCAACGAATATCGGAGATAAAAGGTAGGACTCGGTATTCGACATACCATGCTGACTATATACAAATACACCGTCTATTACATACCATTGACCAGAAAGAGAGGGAAAATCTATAGTTTTGCTCTGATAGGCCCCGAATAACTCCTATGAAAACCAGTCAACCTGAGTCGTAACACATAAGAAAAGGGTCCGCTTCATCAGTACTTTTTCGATTCGATACGTTCAGGAATATTCTCTGGCTTATCCTTGCCCTCCAGGATATCTACATCAAGGGTCAGCGCTGTCAATCTCCCATCGTTCTATACTCATATCAGTGTCAAGTAATCAAATGACTTACTATAGATGGCGGTGAAAAGAGGGAACTCGTTCTCGAGACCTTGTTTTTTCAAGAAGTTATTGACGTCGACAGCAGTACTTGTGCCTTGCAACTTCTGCCCGTTAAGCTCTTGCTTTTCAACCTCATTGATGGTCATGCCGCGCTCGACACTCATCTTTGCGCAACGGAAGTTACGGCCGCCGCTACAGCTGGTAATCAGGTCTGCTACGCCACAGCTTTCCTCGGTGAAGGTCTCAGTGCGGACAGAGTCGGCGAAGAACATCTTGCCAAATTTGACCTGTTCCAGGATACCGACACGCATGACGGCAGCCTTTGCATTGTCTCCCCAACCCAGGCCATCGACAAAACCGGCACCCAGAGCGACGATGTTCTTGAGGGCACCACCGAGTGACACACCAGCAACGTCGGAAACCATGCGAACATGGAAATAAGGCCTGTGGAAGATCTTCTTGACGTTGTCGTGGCTGAGAGGTGGGTATTCTGTGGGCAGAGCGTAAAGCTTAATCTTTTGGTGTTGATCTTGTTTACCGCTCAGCTGGGAGAGGTCGATTTCAGATGAACGAGGCGAGCCTTTAGGCGTCGGCTGCTGACTGTCCATAGTAGGGGGGTCGTATGCGACGGTCGTCTCTGAGAACTTCTCAAGGGCAACCTCGGTAGCGATATTGGCACCTGATAGGGCGCCGCAGTAGATGTTCAGTTTGCGGCCAATCCACTCGGAAAATAGCTCGATGCCCTTGTCTGAAACCTCGACACCCTTGATACATGAGATACCACGAGCGTAGGGCAGGATCTTTCCTTGCAGAGTGTTGCATGTCTTCTCGATGAACTGGTGGGGAAGGTTGAAGATGAGGATGCTGGCGTCCTTGACGGTATCTTCGAGCGAGGCGTTTGCGATGATATTCTTGGGGAGGGCGACGTTGGGGAGGTATTTGACGTTCTCGTGGATGTCGTTGATGATGTGGGTCAACTTCTGGGCCTTGTCGTCGCCCTTGTAGTGTTTCGACTCTTTCGGGATGGGCACCTCTTCCTCAAAGACCCACATCTGGACATCCTGCTCGAACATGTCGCTGTTGGCTGCTGTGTTTTCGGCGACAACCTTGGCGATGGTAGTGCCCCTACATTGGGTAGTGTGTCAGTCTCTCTGCTCCAGAAGTATGACGTTGGTCGGCCGGTAGAAAGGCACAGTGCTTTTAGGAAGGGAGGGGCGCCTTGCTGAGGGCGTACGCTGTGACTGCCCTCGATGGACACGCCATCAGTCTCAACAACGTTGTGTCTTGAGGTAGCCAATGTTGCGCTTGGCTACAGCGACGGGCATGTCGTGTGCTCGTGTCAAGGACAATTCACGTACCAGTTGCCAGAGCCGACAATGGCCACCTTGTGCTTCTTCTGGTATGCTCCGAGGGTCGACATGTTGCGTGAACGGGATTGTAGGAGTGACAGTCTAGGAATCTGTGTCGACAAATTGTAGGTCGAGGAGAGGGGGAAATTGCTGGGGAAGATGAAGGAGCGACGCAGACAAGATGATCGGGCCGCTCTTGCAATAAATATCTCTGGCATTCCCACTCGAGTGGATCTCTCACGATTGCGATTGTGTGTTGGGAACTAGCAGATAATACCTAGTAGCACAAGAGCTCACTGCTTTGTCTGTTTTTTGCCCATGATCCCTGCCTAGCTACATGTCTTCTCCACAAGCTTGTACGTCACTCTTCGTTGATGAAGGCGTGCCGACATGCTGGTTGAGATCGCCGCGCCGCAGGCTTCGTCAGAAAGTTGCTGATCTAGATGCTTTTATTCTGACTCCAGTGCAGAGTCCAGACATGCATCAATCTCAATCATGTACCGACGAGACACTCTTAGCCGCATTGTGCAGGTGCAGATACACTTCTACAGCCATCTCATAATTTAGTGACACCGTTTATCTCTCTGCTCCAAGCCTCAAGGTTTGGTGCGACATTTGCCCAGACAATTTGCCCGTCTTCATGCTGCCCTGTGCTTTCATCTTGCATTTGATTGGCTTGGCCATGTATACTCTCTTCATCTTCACCGTAGTTGCAAGCAATCATATAAGATCTAATCAATGATGTTCATTGAGTCATTAACTACTGAAAAACAAGAGGCATCGCTATGGATGCGTAGAATATAAAGCCCTTTTCGACCCAAAATACCAACTCCGTCGCTGGTGGTGAATAAAAACGCCTACTCTCATGCCCGGTACCATTCGTATAATGTGCCGTGATTACTTCTCGCAAAGGAGTCCATCGCTTTCACAATCCGTGTCTACTCAGACTACCCACTTAAAGAGCGTAGGCAAAGAGACCGAACAGAGAGGCGACGAGAGCACCATTGCCGACGGTGAGAGAGCTAGCAGCACCAGTTGCGGCAGCAGACGAGGCGCTGGCGGAAACAGACGAAGCGCCACTGGCGACAGCGGAAGTAGCGCTGGCCACGGAGCCCGAGCTGGAAGAAGCAGAGCCGGTGGAGGAGGCAGCGGAAGAGGTGGCAGAGACAAGGCTGGAGGCAGTCTTGTTGCCGCAGGGAAGGGCAAGGCACTCTGCCTGGGCGGTGGCGTTACCAACGTTGTTGCTGTTGCACTGGCCTCTGTACTCGACACACTCAAAGGTGGGAATGGTGTTGACGTATTCGGCGAGATCGGGGACGAGACCGTTGTTGCAGATACAGCTGTATGTGAGCGAAGTCTTGGACAGGGTCAGTAGGATCATCAGGCTTGTTTGTCAGAATGGTACTCACGGAGTCGCAGGTGTTGGCCTTGAGCAATTGGCTGCCACAGAGGACGGGGCAAGTGTTGGTCTGGGCACGGCACCAGTTGGCTCTGGTGGTGGAGTCGACCGAGGAGGGGACGATGGTGTAGTTCTGGGCGGCAGCGAGGCCAGAGAGAGCCGAGGCGGCGAAGAAGATGGAGGAGTAGAGCATGTTTGCAACGAAGATCTGCAGAGGTTCAAGCGTTAGATGCGACAGCTCTGGGGGATTGGGCCATGGAGGATTGCGCGTTCCTGCAAGTCATGATTGACATGGCAGTGCAGACGCTCGGATCAAGGACCATGGAAGATGGAAGCACTTACTTGTGGATTAAGAGTTAAGGATCTGCTGTAGTCTCGTGTAGTCGAGTTTGCAGAGGCTGAAGGTCAGGAAGTGGCTATGTAATTTGGACGGAGGAAGGAAGAGGACGCTTGATGGGGACAACAGGCATAAATACATGAGTGAGGGCTGGAAAACAGCGTGGATGCCGCGCCGCCGGACCGTGGCAACCAACCATCACGCTAACCCAAAATTCATCTATTCTCATCTCCCAGCTCATCTATTCCTACCTGTCTCTTCTGCCTCTATTGCTTATCGTGAAATTGTTTGCTGCTACCGGCCTCTCCTTCTGCCTCTTGCCCGATATTGCACGCAAATGCAGCATAACATTCACTCTATCTGCCTCCTCAATGTTCAAGAGGTGACACCTCCAGCCATCTTTCCCGCTTGCCTTGCATGAACTCTAACCTGTTTCTTCGCCGATTGGATCTGCACCTCGGCCTTGGGCTTGGCTGTCTTTATCGCGCAAACTTCAAAGCTAGCTTGGCCAACTTCCATAGGTACGCGGGGCAGTTGCTGGTATCTGCGGCTCTAAGCTCTACTCGTACTTTTTGATCGATTTCGCTCATTCCGTCCTCTTCTTGTGTGACCATCAGAGAGTGACCGAAATCAAGCCTTGATCATACATGATGTCGCACAATTGTTACTTTTGTGCGAGCGCTGCACGCCAACTTCCACCACTCTGCCAAAAACCGTAGGCTGAAACGGCTCAGTTTACTTGAGGCATCGGCAAGGTTTGAAGCGTGCAAGCAACACATGCGCCGACCACTCTAGCCGATTTAAACTCCAGCCTGCGTCGTGTCGTCCGAGGAAGCGAGGACGACGACACCCTCGCCTTCTTTGCCGCGACAACGTACTCACCACATTGCCACCGCTACTATTGCCATGGACTGCTTGGCTCGTGAACAGGATCCTGCTCGGTGGAGGATACTCTTTTTGGCATCGTGATCGGCAGTAATCCTTTCGGATCTTCTGGGGGCCAAGCCGGAGGTTAAGGTTGCATACCCGATGAACGACTCATCCAAGAGCACTCACTTCTTTATGTACTCCATGAATGTATGTAGATGATGAGAAGAGCTGCTAGTAAAGATGATGTGTCCATAGTACTGTGAATTGCTCCACTTGATGCCTCTCTGTAGTGAAGGCTAGAGCCGGGTTGATTGGTAGGTTCGAGCCTGACGTGAAATTTGCGCTTGAACATGTGCGGCTTGCAATCAGTCACAACGTCAAGAGTCTCAACTCCGAACCTCTCCATCACGAAAGTTGAGACGAGAAGCTCCACCCAACAACAACACAACATAAACAACCTTCCAACATGGGTCGTCTAGCTACTATATCGACTTGCCAGCTCGATCAATGGGCGCTTGACTTTGATGGCAACCGTGACCGCATCGTTGAAGCCATCCGTCAGGCCAAGACAGCCGGATCAAAATTGATACTTACTCCAGAGCTATGTATCCCAGGCTATGGTTTGCTCGATCACTTCCACGAGCTCGACACCTTCACCCACTCCTGGGAGGTTGTGGCCGAGATCATAAGCTCTCAGGAGACTCAGGACATCATCATCGACCTTGGTCTGCCAATCCGTCACAACGATGTTCCGCACAACGCTAGAGTACTTGCCTTGAATGGCAAGATTCTCGCCATTCGACCCAAGATCGACCTCTGCAATGATGGCAACTATAGAGAGATGCGTTACTTTACTCCATGGACAAGATATCGCGTCGACACCTACACCCTTCCGGACAACATCCAAGAACTCACTGGACAGACTGAAGTGCCAATCGGAGATGTCATTTTCCAGACCTTAGATGCTGCTTTTGCTTCCGAACTTTGCGAAGAGCTCTGGACGCCGGATTCTCCTCACATACAGTACTCACTCAATGGCGCGGAGATCATTCTCAACTCCAGTGGCTCTCACCACGAACTACGCAAGCTTGATACGCGCATCGACTTGATTACCCACGCTTCCAAGTCAGGCGGTGTCTACATGTACTCCAATCAACGTGGATGTGATGGCGATCGTCTCTACTACGACGGTTGTTCTCTGATCGCGATCAACGGTCAGATGGTTGCTCAGGGCAGCCAATTCTCTCTACGCGATGTTGAAGTCATCACATCTACCGTTGATCTCGACGACATCTGGTCTGCGCGTCAGTCTCGAAGCAGAGGAATGCAAGCGATGAAGGCATACGAATTCAAACGGGTCAAGATTGAATTCGCTATGACCCAAAAGGGAAACTTCAATCGTGACCTCCAAATTGCGAAAGCCATCCAACCCCGCTACCACAAACCTGAAGAAGAGATCGCTCTTGGCCCTGCTTGCTGGCTCTGGGACTATCTTCGAAGATCTGGAGCCTCTGGCTACTTCGTTCCTCTCAGCGGTGGCATAGACTCGTGTGCTACTGCCACTATCGTTTTTTCAATGTGCCGCTTGGTCGTTACAGCCATCAAGGAAGGCGACGAGCAGGTCATTCGAGATGCAACGCGCCTGTGCTCTGGAAAGGACGTCACCCAGATGTCAGCTCAGGACTTCTGCGGCAATGTGTTCTCTTCTGCCTTCATGGGCATGAAGGAACAATCCAGCAAGGAGACTCGTAGCCGTGCAGAAATACTTGCTCAGGCAATCGGTGCGCATCATATTGACTGCAACATCGACGAAGTCTTCAATGCTGTGAGGCACCTCGTTTCAACAACCCTCAGCTTTGAGCCTAGATTTAAGGTTCATGGAGGAGAACATGCAGAGAACATCGCGCTACAGAACTTCCAGAGCAGAACAAGAATGATTCTATCTTATGCATTCGCTCAACTTCTACCAACCAGTCAAGGAGGCAAGGGTGGGCTTCTGGTCTTAGGATCGGCCAATGTCGACGAAGCACTTCGTGGATACCTCACAAAGTATGACTGTAGTAGCGCAGACATCAATCCAATCGGCGGAATCAGCAAGACGGACTTGATTCGTTTCATAGCATGGGCGGAACATGCCTTCGACCTGCCAATCCTGCAAGAGTTCATCGATGCGACACCCACTGCTGAGCTCGAACCCATCACGAGCGACTACGTACAGTCTGACGAAGTCGACATGGGTATGACATACAAGGAACTCTCGGTCTACGGCTACCTCAGAAAAGTCCGCAAATTCGGCGTCTACTCGATGTGGGAGAAGCTCTGCGTCGACTGGAAGGATCAGCACACTCCCCGAGAGGTCTACAAGAAGGTCCGCGACTTCATGTATTACTATGCTATCAACAGACACAAGATGACCACCATCACCCCAGCCTACTATGCAGAGCAGTATGCACCCGACGACAACCGCTTCGATCTTCGCCCATTCTTGTACCCACGTTTCGCCTTTGCGCACAGAAAGATTGAGAATGAATTGAAGATGATGGAAGCCGGTGAGGCTGGCAGTGCAGGAAAAAACTGATAGATGCATAGGACCTCAAAGCGAAGACGATGGCGTTTGTAGACACTACTTCTTCGTAGCATAATCTCACCTTCAAATGACACGCTCAACTCTACGTACAGTTTCAATTAGTATTTGCACAGTTGTCTCTACGTGTCATATTAGAAATGCTTTGATTACATTCATGAGTTTGCTTCGACGACAGACCAAAGTTGAGATTGGGGAAGGAAGCCCGACAGCGGACCGAAGCGAGGATTCTCTTTCAGTGAGCAACAGGTTGGAGCACAGAACTAGTGGCTTGCCGCAGGCACTATAGAAACGTTAAAACGCTTTAACCTCGAGTCATGAAAGTCGAGATGTAATTGTTTAGCTTGGAGCAAACAATGTTTCGTCGAGGCCCTCAGAACACAAAGGGGTGCTGTTCAAGCATGAGATGAATCAAAAACGAGAAAGAAGATCAAGAAGCGAGCAAAGCACAAGCGGGAGGACGTTGGAGTGACACAAGCCCTAGGGGTCCATCCAGGGTTACTCGAGACGGGGATGGAGCAAACAGGATAGAGTTGGGCAAGCAAGTGAAACACGGACGTTGGAACAGACGGAGTGGAAGCCAGATGCTTGAGATGAAGGAAGAAATGCTTGTTGCAAGTGTAGGGTTTGTATGCAGAGCCAGGGGCACTTGCAGTAGGCCGAAACATTTCGGGCGCGGTTGAGTTGAAAGAGTGGTTAGTTGTCCATCAAGATGACAGCACTGGAGGCGGGCGGAAGGGCGGCCTTTGCATCGTATGGCGGCGGCGGCGGCAGAATCCAGGCTTCCTTTCGGGGCAGCCAAGCAGCCGTTTGTAGTGACAGAGTCAAGGCGAGTTGCGCTGGCAAGAGCAGCCCGTCTGCCCTTCTGTAATTCGTCCACCGCCGGACGACTGACTACCGCCGTCGTGCAACCTCCGACCCGCCCGTACTTTTCGCCGACGACAAGCAAGAACGACCCAGGACAATTACTACCTAGACCAAGTGCCCACCCAAGTAGAGCAAACGCGAGCGACGCGGCATACGCGGTAGACGACATCATCAAGCTAAAGGCTTCGGCTGTGAAGGCTTTACAAACGCAACGCCAGAGCAAACGAGCCTCTTAATACCACCTCCCGCGCATACAACCACGCACACGTCTGCACACGCTTCTTGTGCTGGAAGTCTGCCATGAGCATCCGCTAAGCAGAAAGAAATGCACCCGGCGCCGCTATAGCAACTGCTCCGTTCCCGATCCGGTCAATCATCTTGAACCACAACGCAATGGATCCTCCGCCGTCCGAGACGACACGTGCGGCATCTAATCCCGTCGCAGCTGCGACGTCTTCAAGCCATCTCGATACTCCGCGCTCACTCTCAACGGCCACGTCCCAGCGATCTATCAAGGATCTGGTCAATCGTTTCAACCAGCAATCCACAAAGGACCAGCATGTCCCACGACCTGCGCAGCGTTCCCGTCTCCAGCGCCCACCGCGCTCACCCGCCCAAAGCCGCAGAGCTCCCTCACCACAAGCCCGCTCCGCCACTCCACAAGACACAATCTCGCCTTTGAAGAGTCCTACTCGCCGAAGCAAGATCCGCACGCCCGCTTCTCTCTCCGCCGAACAACTTCGCACCCGCCGACATGACCCCCACGACCCGGCCCACGATAGCTTCTTTTCACTCGCGACGCGAAGAGGTTCCGACGGCAGTCTGAGTTCTTCCTCAGCACAATCTTCCAACCTGCACAAGCGAGCCAGGTCCAATGTCGAATATGATCTGCCCGCTCCTCTGCATTCGAGTCGCTCACGTCCCAGCACGAACCACAGGCGTGCACGTAGTGACTTCGTCGGCCCCGAGTCAAACTCTGCTCTTTCGATTCAGACCGTCTCCTACAATTCACTCCCTCGCCATTCTTCGGCTTCGTTGATCAGTCCTTCGCGGATTCCTGTCAGCAGTGCTAGACGTACTTCCAGCTTTGAACCGCTCTCGCCCACCACATCACGCCACATCTCGCAGATGGGCCAGTCGATCAACCACTTCCCCGCTCCCGCATCACCTCGCTCCCGACACACATCGTCCCAGCGTACTCCTTCTTTTGGTTCGACTTCCTCAGCTTTAACCGCTCTCGGAAACACACGGTATGATTCCTCCCCATATCAAGGACACGCTTCCACAGAAGCCTTCGTCAACGCGCCCCCGCCTCTGAAGTCTCCCCCGCTAAGAAGCTCACGACCCAGGCCCCCTGTCTCTGCCGCAACGACAGCTGCCTCGCGTGCTCGGTCTGGTCAGCGTTTCGAGTCCTCGCTTGCTTCGCAAAGCACCGATTCAGCAAGACTTAGGAAGAAGAAGATACCCGAACTGGACAACATCAACCTCGCCGCGCGAAAGGAGAAGATTCAACGCGCTTTCAGCGACCACTCGGCTGAAGCACCTGGACGAAGCAGCCTGAGCGGTGGTGAATCGAGACGAGGCAGCAATTTCAACGACACGGCAAGCGATGGCCGAGGAGATCACAATGGCAACGAGCAAGAAATGGACTCTTCATTTGAACACACAGATACCGAATATACCGACACAGAGCAGAATGAGGCCGGCCATGCCGACACAGACCGTTTGGAGGCTTCTGGTCCTCTGTCTCCCATCACGCCACGCAACATCCCGGGTGCTTTCGTTGATTACGACGAGTCACCGCTCCCGGACAATCAAGACATGACCACATCTACAGTTTACCCTGGACCAAGCTCTAGTCCGCCGAAAGAGGGCGCCCACGAAGCCATATATGAGGCAGAAGAGGACGATGAGGCCGTCGTAGAGAGCTGTGACGAAATTTCAGTGGAAGAGAACGTTCTGGAAGAGACGGCACCTGGAACACTTCTCGACCAGGTCATGAAGATGCGTGAAAGGAGTTTGTCCAGTGCTTCCCACACCGACTTCGAGGAAGGCTCTTCGTTCGCACCCTCAGAGAACGGAGATCGCGCCTCGATTCATATAATGCTTCAAGATGACGGCGAAACTGAGCGGAAGAAGGCAGAAGATTGGTCCTCGGATCTACCTTCATCTCCAGCGCTCTATCATGCTTCTGGACACGCCGAGTCATCCTCTTCATCACAGCCCGCCCCTGAGACATATCGTATCCCAGATTCAGATGAAGATAGCTTCGCTAGCGATGCGGCTCAGGTCGGACTCTCATCACCTTGGTTTGGTCAGCTGCCGCACTTGGAGGAATTCGAGCCTGAAACGCCCAAAAAGTCCGACTTCACCAGAAACGTAGGAGCAGCAAGTCTCATACCGGACGAAGACAAAACCCCACGTCAGTCGAAGCGTGCTGGTCGAGCTTCAGCTTTGGCCATAATACCTGACTGGACCGGAAATGGTCTTGCTCGCGAAGCTATAAACCGTATCGCCGATCAGTACCAAGAGGTTGGCTCTGTATCCCCTGAGATGCTTCACGACTTTCAACAGAACGTTGCCCCCAATTCTCCAGCCATGTCAAAGGCCGAAGCTAATGATCCAAAATCTGTGGCGTTCCTCCTTGATACCATATTGCGTGAAAAAGCCGGTTCGCCCCAACCAAGAAGAACGTCAGGTGAATTCCTGACTCCTGGAACATACAATCCTGGCGATCGCAGAAACATGGAAACACCAGAGGGAGATGATACCGGCACTGCCATCGTTTACAGCACTACATATAGAAGATCTGGTGCAAGCTTGCCAAGAGCTTCCCAAGATGCTACCAACGACTTTTCATACATGCAGGCCTTCTCCCCGTCCAGCATTATGGTCAATACGCCAGCATCTTATTACGACCTCGGCACTCCTGCTTCAGAGTACTCGGGTACCAATACTCCAGCGCTCTTCGATACTGCTCCTGGAGCAGCTGACGAGGATGACGACTACCGTCCTCCGCCTCCACCAAAAGATTACGGTTACTCGCCTCGATCGAGTACTGGTCAGCTCTCGATCAGGTCATCGAGTCAGACCATGCCCTCTTCCCGCAATAGCAGGTCGTCGGACAGGCTTCGACTACCAGAGATTCCCATGGGCACTGGGCTGGGCCTTACCATGTCCAACTCTTCAGAAGACACCACAAGGCTCCCGCCACCTTTGCCGCAACATTCACCTCCCCCACCGCCTTTCGCAGCTAGATCGGAGCTTCCATTTGAGGTTGTCCTTACGGATGCATCTCCCGGACCTACATTCACCAGTAATCCCACAAGTCCTGTCTCGACGCGATCAAGGACCCTGGAAGAACGCCACAGAAACTTCTCTACGCCTGCGCGCCCCTCAATGGAGTCCATGAAACCAGAGATGGTCCCCTTACCTCCTTCACAATCAATGTCTTCGTTCCAGTCTTCCTCTGTCAGACCATCTGTCGATTACGGTCCACCGCCTGCGGTGATGCCTCCGTCTCCAAACCCGGAGACTGAGCGTCTTACCAAGCGTAGGCACATTGTGCAGGAAGTCATCGATACTGAATACTCCTACCACCAAGACATGAAGATCATTCTGGATATCTACAAAGCCACTGTCAGTATGATAATTTCAGCAGAGGACAGGAAGACTTTGTTCGGCAACGTCGATCGAGTTGAGGAGTTCTCACTCGAGTTTTACGATGCCCTGCGTAAAGCCGCCGCGCCCATTTATGTTCCGCCCAAGTCATCCCGTTGGCAACCTAAGAGGGGCAGCTTTTCGACTTCGAACAGTGACGGAAATTCATCAGGCTTAATCATAGATGATGACAAGGATCGTATGACCACAATAGGTGCAGTTTTTTCCAAACACATGTCTCGTATGGAGCACGTGTACGAGGTTTACTTGAAGAACCACGAAAACGCAAACAACTGTCTCCAGAGGATTCAGGCCGACCCGACTGTGCAATGTTGGCTTACTGAGTGTCAAAGCCAGGCCAGTGACATCACTGGTGCTTGGAACCTGGATTCATTGTTGGTGAAGCCAACCCAGCGTATCCTGAAGTACGGTCTTCTACTTGGAGATCTTGTCTCACGCACACCAGAGAACCATCCTGACCGATTGGCTCTACAAGTTTCGCTTGCTGGCATTCTTGCTGTCTGCAAAAGAATCAACGACTCCAAGAAACGTTCAGAATATGTACAAGAAGTGCACAGAAAGCGTGCCAAGTCCAATGCTCGCAATGCCCTAGCCGTATTCCTCGCAAAGAAGGACACTGTCAAGGACCGTGTTGGTGCAGAGGAGACTCACAAGGACCCCGAATTCGATCAAGCAGTTCAAGCGCTTAATGGGCACTATTTGAAGCTGCAAATCTGTATGCGAGACATTCAGCACACCATGGAAGAACTTGAGAAGCCCGTCGCCCACTTTATGCGATTTGCAGAAGCGCTGCAAAATTACATAGAATGTGAGCCAAACAACTGTCCAGAGATTGAGAGCAAGTTCCGCAAGTTTATCCTTGCTATCAACGAACTCGGCACCGCCGCGCTGCCAGACCACAAAAACCGTATTCAGAAGCATGTCGTACAGCCGATGCTCGATTGTCTAAAGCTCTATGCCGGGCCCCAGCATTTGATTGCAAAGCGTAAGAAGCGGGTTGCAGACTATGCTCGACTCCAGGCGATGCAGCAGAAGGGACAGAAACCTGATGCTAAGACTGTCGATGGTGCAGAGGTCTATGAGGCACTCAACGAGCAACTCAAGCTAGACCTCCCGCGACTCTACGCTTTACAGTCTGAGCTAGTCAGGGCGTGTCTGAATACCCATGTCTATCTCCAGACACAATGGTGGTGGTTATGGAAGGAAAAGTTGGCGCCCGTCGTTGACTTCGCTTACGCACAATATGGCGATATCGAGCCCGACTTTGCCGGAGAGTACGAGTTTGTCCACTCACAGCTGCTGTCGCTTGGTGTCTGCAATGGCTCAGCGCTCGCCGACATAGCCAACTTCCTATCGCCGCAAACTACCCTTGTTGGCGATGAAACCATCTCATCTCAGGCTTCCACGCGACGCCCTTCAATCCTTCCCAATGGTCATAGAACTATGTCTATTGGTAGCGAGAATCAGCCGCTATTTACCCCTAGCGACTTCAACAAGTCCTTCAATTCGGCGTTGGCATCCCCAGTATTGCCTGATTCTGGGCAGCCAGGCTACTATGGTAGGATGCGATCCAGCTCATCTTTGTCCGCTCGTGGTCGCGCTCCCAGCACCGGTGCAAGCCAAAACAGTAGCCTCCCTCCTTCCCGGATGCCTAGCGTGGTACAGAAAGCCTCGTTTTCTTCACACAGACCCTCTACCGCTCAGCGTCCTGCGGATCTGAAGAGCATGTCTTCACGCATCAGCTTGGACACACCGAAACGTAGCCCTAGTATCCGGCCTGGCTCTGCCGTGAGCTCACAACAGCAGCAACAAGAGCCGCGTTTCTCGGGAATGTTCAGCTCCGCCATGCCGATGTCTGATGTCCCCATCAGTCCTGGTCCACTCTCGCCGCAGCACGCACCTCTCGACACGCCTGTGATGTTTGTAGCTGCCAGTCTCTTTGAGTTCAACATTGATAGGGCGAGACGCGAGGCAGGCTATCCATACTTGACATACGTTGAAGGTGAAGTTTTCGACGTCGTTGCGCAGAAGGGCGAGCTTTGGCTCGCAAAGAACCAGGACGACCCGACTTACTCACTTGGCTGGATTTGGGAACAGCACTTTGTCATTTTGTCCCAAGAGTCTTAGGCAGATTCCAATGGATGGAAACCAATCTTGCTACCTACATGGCTTAATCACCAAGTTCGCCCTGGAGGGTGGAATGTCGCTTGGTCATGTCGCGACCAGCGTAAAGATTGCTTCTATCCTGATTACTCCCGTGATCAAGAGCCGCCCAAGTCACCAGTCAAACCTAAGCCAGGACACATTGGACACCCCGTTCCTCATCTTTGCCTCAGGGATACTCGCACGTACTATTGAAAGTGTGCATTCCTTCGATTTCCCTTTGGCATTATCGTTATTGCCTCTCCCGCATATCATTCCATTCACACTTGTCACCATAAATCATATCGGACCGGCTCCATTTTTCGCATTCGATTCTCACCAGTCGATCCTTTTTTCCCCTGAGGATCTCACCTCATTGCCCCCATGTCGCATCATCTTGAAGGAAGAGATGTTCATTTTGCGAGCATTCACTTCACTCAGAAGCGGCGTTTGTTGTTCTTGACGAATAGTTTCCATTCCATTGGCGAGGAGTTTCTTTTTTCTTTCTCTTTTTTCGTTTCTTGATGGTTTCTTTGGTGGCATTTTCACATTGTAACAACTTCTTTTTGGGAGACTTGATTTTCTCATCTTGTCTTCTTGACCTTTTCCAGATCATGGCACGACGCTACCTTTTTTCTCAATGGCATCACAACCCACCCTTTGACGCGCGATAAACTAGTTTTTGTATCATACAGGCACAATTCTAAACAGCGATGATTAACATATACCAAAACATTTGTTGATTGCTTTTCAGTGATCATGTTTGTCACCAAAGAGTAAAATCAGTATGGGTACGCAATGCTTGCTTATTGCAAGTGTACAAAAGAAGAAGGTGTGTTTCGTGCACTAAAAGGCGGACAGATCCGTATATGGCATGTGCAGGCGAAGGAGTCAAACTATAAATCCTATGGCGTGGGTATACGGCAACATCATCCCGCTATCTTTTGTGTGACTGTTGCCTTGAAGGCAGCGATAGTTACTCCTTCGGTGACTCATATATGTTTGCTTTGAGTCAGTCGTGATTCATAGCACCTGGCATACCTCATTGTCTCCTGGATCTTGGCATTGACACGATTTTTGACCTTTGAGCAATTGATGAACTGGTTGTGAAAGGGGATATTCGAATCAATTCATACTGGAATCTATCGCGTTTGGATCACATCATCGACTCTTGAAGTCCTTCAGGAAGAACCGAGTACCACCAGAGTGCGACAAACAACATAGTCATCGAAGCCTCTTTCAAGCACGAACTTGACCAACATCTGTCCGGCATTCGCGTTCGCCAACAAGCTATACGCAATCATGCCTATTCACATTCGTCCTTTCCAGGCTTCCGATCTTCTTGCTCGTGAGCGCATCTTCAAAGATGCCTTTTCAGCGGGCCTGCGTCCTCACATCTATCCCAATGGCACAACGGATGCGGACTTGATCCACAACTTTGGCGAAAACATCAAAGGTCTGGCAACCAAGATGTCTGCCTCTGACACCCAAGCCGGACAACGCTTCTTCGTAGCTTACGATACCGAAACTTCTGCACCTACTTCTGACCTCGAGTTCCCAGAAACTTGGGATAAGAAGAATGAAGTTGAGTTGAAGGGCAAGGATAGAGAGGAGGCCAAGAGGATTGTAGGCATTGCATTCTGGCAACTACAGCCCTCACCTCGCACACAGGAAGAGATTGACAAGGAAGCTGCAGAAGGCCAATCTCACGCCCATGCACCCTCAGCCAATGGCCCTCTCCTTGATGCATTTGGAAAGGCCCTCACTGCAGGGAGGGAGAAGTGGATCGGCCTCGACGCATACCTATACCTTAAAGTGCTCGCCATCGATCCTAAATATCAGCGTAGGGGAGTGGGATCTCTTTTGCTGGATGAAGGGTTGGCAGTTGCAAACAGGGTGGGGATCAAGGCTTATTTGGAAGCTACAGAAGCAGGAAGGCCGCTTTATCAGAGGAAGGGGTTTGTGGATAGGGAGTTGGTAGATTTTGATGTTGCAAGGTATGCGCCTGCTGCGAAGGGAGAGAGGCATGGTTTTATGTGTATGGTTAGGCCTGCACCTGAGGGTGGGAAGAAGGCTCAGGGAAGTGCGGAGGAAGGCGAGGGACATGGTGGAAATGAGGCTGTGGTCGAAAAGGGCGAATAGAGGTATACCATGACGCTGATACTATATAGTGACGTCTATTAGCTATTGCCGACTGGGTATCTAATCCTGAGAACGATTCTTCAAGGCTGTAACCTTTCACCTTGCTTCTCGCCGACCAGGTTTCCCTGGTTCGCTGTTTGTCTCATTCGCTCGTGCAACGCGTCTCAAGCTTTAGACCTCTTCACTTTCGGCAGTCCCAAAGGCTGTTCACTCATTTCGAGCTGCGTCTATTCTACTTGCCTCTCTCTCACTTATTCAGCGCGCCGACTTCGACCATCATAACCTCTGCGCGTTCAGTCCTCCTTTAATCAACCTTGACCTTCACACTTACTATCGAGTCTCTCTTTCACTCAACATCAGCTTCGTTGGTAAGCATCTCTTTCTCCATCCCCATCACTTCGGTCTGATCTGCGCTAATTACATACAGACATCATGGCAAGCACTATGACTTCGGATCCGAAGACCATCGTGCCTGTTATTGTCACAATCACTGACAGCCACGACGTTGTTCTGCGCGTCACTGAATACGACAATTCAGGGAAGGTTGATAAGGACGGCAAGTACAAGATCAAGACGATCGTCGACTTCCAAGCTACTCGCCAGAATCTGATCGATGTTTCACCTGTCTTTAAGACACTCTTGACCACCCGCAACTTCGCCGAGGCTGGCCAGTACATCATCAACCTAAAAGAACATGTACCTGAAGCAATTGAAGTCATCCTCTGCGCCATCTATGGCAAAGACAGTGTTTGGGAGGCTTCTGCTACTGGTCAGGAAGTCGCTTTACGTACTCTGAAGCTCGAGCCTATCTATCTCTGGGAGGTTATGGACTCTAACCATTCATTCATGATCGAGTTCCACAACCTGGATGCTTGGTTTACTCTTTGGTACAAGAGCGTTGGTCTTCGCTTTGATGCTGATGTGATGATGTATCCTTGCTTCCAGTTCCGCCATGCGGAAGGCTTTCTCAGAGCCACCAAGGCGATGGTGTACCACTATCATCACATCAAGGAACGCGGCAACAGCAAGCACAACGATCTATGTCTGCCTCCCCGTGTACTTCGTAAGTTCCACCGCGAGTTATACTTATCGATTTTCTGATTACTAACCTTGAGGCAGAGCAAGTTCGTGCAGCACTGGGTCGCGTCAAGACCGTACTCACAAATGAGATATGGTTCATAATCGACAAAATGCTACTGAGCGCTTTTTGCGGCTGCAAAGAGAGAGTTCTGTTCGCGTTTCAACTCGCTCTCAAGAAGACTGAAGGTTTCCCCATTGACAGAGCTTGCCAAGGAGATTCCATCCAAAATGTCATCCGCAAACTCCAGACCTTCGACAAGCACTTCAAGCTGCCAGCAGACTGCTGCCGCGAATGTCGCAGAAACTGGTTCGCACTTGTGAAGGGGCTCTGCCGCGTCGGTATGGATTACTTTGATGGTCTGTGTCTGGATTGTATGGATCACTCGAAGGCCAACTTTCCGGATTCGCAATCCGAAGCAGCGGACCATCTCGTTAGTACTCTTGAGTGGGACTATGGATGCAGTGTCAAGCATGGTCAAGCCAGCTGGTACTTCTCCTTCAGTACGATATGCATCATGAACCTGCACATAACAAATACTGACACGCCACAGTGGCTCAGCATGACACTCGTAGCGAGTTGCTCAAGCGTATCAGAATGGCCAATCCTCGTGCCAGAATCTTCTAAAGTAAAGGTGTTGCATGGAAGTCGAACAGGATGTTCAATGACTCTCGCGTGTGACGTCTTTCATGGAGAGAAGACTGAAATAGGACATGCTGTTATGTGTATACATTAGCTCAAGGAGGGAAAAATACAAAGTTAGCTTTTATCGAAAGACTCGATTCATAGCTTTTCATGTTCAGTATGCGGTTAGCTGTTACAAATGTAAACTCTTCACTTACAGACATCTTGTGTTCGTTGTGTTTGACCGTGACTTTGTGGTTTGTTTACACCTTTCTCTTCCACGGCCCTTCGTATCACAACTTCCCACTCGTTCGCTCTTTCCTTACTCGGTCTTTGAGCTCACATCGCACCAATTTCCTTTGAGGCTGCGCGCATCTACTCCTCAAAGATCCGACTTACCTTTTACCATCGCGGCATCGTCGCGAGTTCCAATCCTCCGAACCCTCTACACACACACACACACCGTGTCTACCTGCGCTACTATCCACCTTTTGCTCCTTTCGCACCCTCCTTCTTGATCAACGCATCCACGAGAAGGTCTTAGCCGGCGCTCTTCGCCCTGGATTATCTTGTTCACCACAACGTTACGTGTCAGCTCTCTCAGATCGACTTCACTGTAGAGATCTTTGCGCGTTCTTCGAGCTTCACCTGCGCAAACAATCAGCACCTCAGCACAACAAGCATCTCACGATGGCCAAGTGCAAGAACATGAATAAGGCGGATAAGGCCTTGTTGAAGGCGACCAAGCTTCTTAAAAAACGTGCCAGGAAGGCTGCCAGAGAGGCCAAGATGTCGAGAGAGGAAAAGCAGGCCAGAGACAATACCGAAAGTGCTGAGAGAGCCTGGGCCGAGGCCAAAAGAGTCAAGAAGAAGGCAAGAAAGGCTCATGCACGGACTACCAACCACCCTGGTCCCCAGAAGAAGATGTCCGAAGAGCAAAAGACAGCCAGTCTCCACCTGAGCTTGAGTCAGAAGATCAGTGACCTCACCAACCAAAACCAATCACTGCGCAGAACCAACGAACGTCTCTCGAAGCTCCGTGTCGAGAGCGAGTCGCAAAAGTCCATTCAATCAGGTCTTGATGTTGAAGTGGATAACCTCCGTGAGGAGGTCGACGCGGCCATGGCTGACAACAACCAGCTTCGAGCCAGTAACTCGGCTCTGTACACCAGTGCCGAGCAGTGGGAAACGTACGCCACAGATAAAGAGACGCGAATCCAACGGCTGAACAACTATGCCGACACTCTTAAAGGCCGTATCGAAACCAAGAAAGCCAAGGTCGTCAAGCTCAGAGAGCGCTTGGAGCATCGTAAGAACGACATCAAGGACCTCCAAGAGAGCAACGACAACCTTGAAGAGCGTCTCGCGACCAAAAAGATCAAGGCTCAGACTTTCAAGGTTAAGTACAAAGCAGTCAAGCATAACCTTGACGAGTGTATTGACGGTCTCGATGATCAGCTCGATGAGGATCAGTCTGTCGTCATGGAGTTGCTCAGGCGAAACGTCAATCTCAAGAAGCCTGTCGAAGTTCGTGAGCAGCAGCTCATCAAGGCTCAACATGAGCAGGTCGGTAGACACGAACAAATCGTGTCTGAGCTGTACAGCGAAATCAACGACCTCAGAGACGAGATCGAGAGAATGAAGCGAGGTAGCTCCCATGACTCTATGGATAAGCTTCCTGGAGTGCGCATCAAGTATGAAGACGACTCCATGGATGCCGAAACTTGATACGTAAGCCAATCGTCGTCCGGTGTTCATGTTCAGAGCTGACATACTGGCAGATCGCATCACACCCTCCATTTGCGATCGAAGGTCGCAAGTCGGGTTGCTTAGCCGAAGCTTGCGGTCCGGTCCAAGGGATACCAGAAATCAGAAGCGTGCTCTTCCTACAGTGCCAGCTGTGCCCAAGTCGGCTATAGCGAAAAGGTCAAGAAACAACACGAGAAGCTGGGAGGCTCTATTTGCTTCGTGTGTCCGCACTGTATGAGGGATTAGAAGAAGATGACGAAAAAAGAAGGTTGAAGAAAGGGGGTATCTTTTTTTTGCTGTGGGCACCAAGTCTATAGCTCCAAATGATAGGTCCAACATTGCTCGACTCTCTCTTCCTTACAAAACACGCTTGACCTCGAGCTCACCATCAGAAGCACCGGTTAAAGCGGTATATGTCTTTGCCTCGATTCTCTTGAGCCATTTGTTGCTCTCGTAGCGCCCTGTAAAGATGCTCATTCTCAAGACTGGCTCTTCTTTGACCTCGGTCTGATCCAAAGTCCACATCCAGCGACCGAAGCTCCAGTTGAGGATATATCTCTTCGGCGTGGTAGACTCTGAGCTGTCATCTGCGGGAGTGCCATCACTGTTGGCGGGTGTTTGTGTTGTTCGCAGCACGGCTTTGATGCGGTAGACTTCATCCTTGGGAGCTGCCTTGAGGAGAGTGGCGAGTTTGTTGACATCCAGGGATGCTGTTGATGAAGAAGGCGATGTGAGGGTGATGCTCAAGGCTTCCATCTCCTCGTTATGGTCGTGCTTGTGTCCATCTCCATGTTCATGCTTGTGGGTAAGACTTTGCTGACTCAAAGCAACCCAATCTCTTGCCATCCTCTCGTCAATGCCGAATAACAAGTCCTTGCTGATCCAACCCTTGTCACTCTTGATATGCGGTGTATCCACATCCATATCTCCCAGCTTATCCAAGGTCCTCTCGAAGGCCATCTCAGACAAATTTTCCCATTTGTTCAAGACAATCAGATCTGTCTGTTGGGCTTGTAGCTTTGCAGTGTACGAGGTACTGGCATACCCATCCCAATTCTCGACATCGATAACAGAGACCACGCCATCGAGCGCATACCTCCCTGTCTCCAGACTCAACCTCTTCAACTCGACCATCAACTTTATCGGCTCAGCACTCCCTGACGTCTCGATAATCACACGATTCGGTGCGTAAGTCTCATCCAACTCTTTCAATGCATCTCCTATTTGTCCGACATTTGTGCAGCAGATACATGCTCCCAGCAGTTCGGACACTCCAGTCATTTCGGCGGCAGCCGCGAGTTGAGAGTCTACGTTTAAATCGCCGATTTCATTCTTTATGAGAGCGAGCTTGTAGGAGGGATTTTGGGCGCGGAGTTGGGGGAGGAGATTTAGGATCAGAGTGGTCTTTCCCGAGCCGACGAAGCCTGTTATGACGGTGATGGGGATTTTCGGGGTCGACATTGTGGGTGGTTGTCGCGTGGTGAGGTCGAGGTATGTGATGGTGATTGGTGCTCGGTAGGAGTAAGACACAGAGCTGATCGTATGGGAGAAAGATGCGATCGAGTTGAAACCTGGTTTTGGATTTTCTATGGTATACGGTTACTCCACCACTCACCAGACTTCGAGGTTGAGGCCGAATGTTTTTGTGTTTGTTTTGTTTGTTCCATGCATCATCGAAAGCACATGTGAACTGTTTCCATCTATACCATGACTGGCCTTGGCCACCACATTTCTAGCACATCTATAGACATTTAGGAAACACAAATAGTTGTCCGATATCAAGTGTTCCTCTCGGAGAGACAAAAAGGGATAAAGGTGGTAACCCTTTGGTGGAGTGATGTTCGATTGGAGTTGTGGCTGAAATGGCTGTGCTAGCTCTAGACCGCCCTCTTGAGCTGTGTCCCACTTCGCTGGCCCAAAAGCAAGAAATTAGACTTTCTGCATTTGCTCATCTATCAACATGTAGGAAGATCTTCTGCCATGTGTAAGCAGTTCATACGGTACATCACAACTCGCGGATGTTGCACTTGTTTACACAAGATGCCTAAAGAGCTACTGCTCGAGCCGTCTGACTTGGGCCATTGAGCACCTAGTCGACCGGCATATTGCAAAGTCGCGGTGAGGTAGGTAAACATCATGCTCACCTATCGATGGGAGCAGCGCCAAGTTCATCAGTGTGAAACGACATGAGCACTGCCACAATCCCCCTCGATCATAGCGGGGTCCCCGAGCTAGCTCAAAGCTCTCTGATACGTCACTGTCAAGCGCCCTCTGTTCCTTCTTCACCTCTTTTCTTTATAAACACACGACCTCGTTCCCTCGTACCTGAAGATCTTACTTTCCATCATCGATCACACAAAACACTCCACACACCAAACCCACCAAACCTCACACAATCATGGACTTTGTCAAGAAATTCGCCGGCGGTAACAGCAACGAGCAGTCTGCTCAGCAGGGTAGCGCTCAGCAAGGTTCCACTCAGCAGGGCCAGTCTGGTGGCTTCCTCGGTGGCCTTGGTAACAAGCTCAACTCTGCTGCTGGCGGTGGCCCCGAGAGCGAGAAGAACGAGGACTACCTTGACAAGGGTAAGCTTCATCACACCTTACTTACTCCATCCTACTTCAAAAACTAACATATCCTCAGGTGTCGACTTTGTCCAGGAGAAGTTCATGGGCCAGGGTCCTCAGGTACTTACCACATCCATCTATCTTCTCCGATGCTTCATACTAACTCTCCTTCAAGAACAACGAGTCCGCCATCGAGCAGGCCAAGGACGAGCAGATCTCCGACATGATTCGCAAGCAGTGGCAATCCACTACCGGCTCTGCCTTACCCATCAAGGACAAGGAGACCAAGTTCTAGAAGACTGGCGATTACCACGACGATGACGACGAGCAAAACGGGAAGAAGAAAAAGGAGATTCCCGCTCGTGGTTTCTGCAAGATGGTAGATTGAAGCAATTGATACGACAATTATGAATCGCACAAGGGAATGCGTGAGTTGCCAAATGCAACGACGCTGTGTTATGCTATGAAATGAGAATTACCTTATATCCCCTATCTCACTTCCAATCTGGCTGCCGTGTTACATCGTGCTACCGACCGACCAAATTTTGTTGATGTGTTTGTTAACCCAGACCACGGAATCCTACCTGTATCGCAATCTTCAATTCACAAGGATATTCTCAAATGGTAATGTGGGGCTTAACTTCCATTAGCCACAAGGACAGCTGATAATCTATCTCTTCCATTCCCCGCTCCTCTGTCTGCTGAAGCATAGTGTCCTCCACTCCCCTATAGCTCTTACAGAGGGCTGAAGTATTGTTCACTAAGCCTTCTCATTGCTACTTCTCTTCATGATCAGAGGCCCAAGAAGGAGACCAGCTAGACTCACTCAAGTCAGAGTCATCCCAATCATCCTCGCTCTCTACCTCCTTCTTTCCCACAGGCGGCTTTACACTCTCGAGAACTCTGGCAAGCTTTCTGGCTTTCTTGGCTGCCTTCTTTGCCCTTTTGGTCTTCTTTGCGGCTTCTTCTGGGTCTTCTTCCGAGTCTTCTTCTTCCTCCTCCTCAAGCTTGACACCACCAGTCTCATCCTCCTCAAACATGCCAGTGACAGCATGCTTGGTTACCTCCTTTTTGCTAGCGCGGACCTTGGACACGAGAGCGACGGCACTCTTTCCAGTAATGTTGCCGTGACTTTCGGACTTGACGGACATGTCATCGACCACTTCCCGGGCGCTCTTCTGTTTGGCGATGGCTCTCTTGGGCGACGATTCCTTGACCTTCTCGACGAGAGTGATGCCAGCATTCCAGACGTAGATAGGCTTAGGGGTACAAAGTTTGACAGGGTAGCGTTGCTGATGTCTGGCAGCATCTTCGGCCGTGATCCCACAGCGGGCTGGTTAGTCCTTCTGTATCGAGATGCTTCTCGGACGAAGGCGACTTACTCCATAGCACGCAGTTCCTCCAGGACTTTGGGGGCCAAGTGGAAGAGTTCTTTGGGATGGAGACCGAGCCCGAGAGCTACGATCCATCCCGTGATGACGAGAGCGTTGAGGTCTTCGGCGCCGGGCAGGTTGGGTTCGGCGTTCAGGTGGATTGCGAGGCTCTCAGGTGTGACTCCATCCATGTAGGTAGAATGAGTTGAAGGAGACATCTTGTGTTAGTCTCAGCTTCAATAGGCTGTGCGGAGCGGACAAGGCAGAGTGTGATGAAGGAAGAGAATCCGCCAATAATGGAGGCAAGCAGCTTATTATTTGGTGTGGTTGATATTCGAGTGAAAGACTGCAGCACCCCGTGGATCCTGGCTTCCGTTCGTGGTCTCAACAACGAACTGATCGGGAAAGCAACAAAGGCATGTGAGACTTTTCGCGTTTGCTGTGTGCATCGTTCTTCCCTTTTCCACACCGTGATATGCCAGGACAAAGCACACTATACATCGGCTCTTGAACATGCGTATCCTCTGTAATGGGAAGAGTCAAGCTGGAGTGTAGGAGACAAAAATACCCGTATACCATTGGTATTCAGGATGTGGCTCAAGGACAGATCAAGCAGATATTAATGGTCTCTCTGACCTGTCCATGAGAAGGCGGCCATGGATGCAAGATCCTTGGAGGTATCATAAGGATAAGGAATAGCATTCTTCACGTCCAACAAGTGACTTAGTGTAGTGGGCAATTGAGCCCGTTGCTCTTCCCACTCAGATCGTGTACGCACGATCCAAAAGGTCACTTGTTCGACCTCAGCCTGAGGTCCCAGTAATCCTCGCCCGACACAAATTATGATGAAAGGAACTTCCACTGCGGTGGTCAGTACTTTCTCTACCCTCCTAACACTCGGCAGCTAGGGGGGGGTTCTGTTTGCCAAATTATCTTTTTGGAAGTTTGCTCGGTTTTCATACTCTGATAGTCGGTGGAGGCTGGCAGGTTGATGAGACTCTGGCCAATTCTCTCTCTGGACAGGTCCTCTCGTTCGACATGGGAATATCTGCTTGTCGTAAAAGCTCGGAGAAGAAAGTATAATTCACAGATTTTGTAGCATTTGCAATGTCAAAGGTCAGAGGCGAAATCACCCATCTACCTGATAATTTCAATTAGAGGTTGGTAGGTAGCGTCTATATTGCAACAGCAATCAGAGGAGGAAGTTCGAGACTGGATCGCATGTCGTTCAAAGACAATAACGTTATCGAGAATGAGATGGCATGAATGTAGGTTGTCTATGTCGTTGGCTATAATCCGTTCTACCCGGTCTCTTCCCAAAGAGGAATGGTCGCGTTTTGCGCTCTTTGTGCGTCCCTCTCCCACCTTCGATTGCGCGTTTTGTGCGGAATCCATGACATGGCAAACACGAAAGTAGGTCAAATACTTAATAAGGTGACGTTCAGCGCATGACCGAAATCTCTTTGACATATCTCACAATTCTTCCTATCCTCATATTCCACCTCCAAATCACAAATGGAGCAATCACGCACGAAAGTGGAGGCGGTCACAACAACGACCAGTACCTTTTTCATATCCAATCTACATTGCCCCTCATGTATCACAAGCATCCAATTTTCTCTGGAGGAAGATCTGGGTATCCAACCATCTTCAATCTCTCATTCAATAATTCAGCATTCTGTCACAATTCGCCACGCTACATCCATCTCCTCTAACACTGTCACTTCAAGTCTAGAGAAAGCAGACTTTGAAGTCTATAGTGTTGTACAAGCGAGTCGGGCGCCTACCTTTACACCTTGGCAGTTTGAGGATGCCGGCATTCACGAAGATTGGGGTTTGGAGCAAGCTGTCCAGCGATGGAAGACTGCATGGAAGGACAAAGACGCAGAAGTGGAGAATCAGAGGAAGAGAAAGAGGCACGTGGAGCAGTGTGTTCAATGTCGCAAAGAACTTTGCAGGTCTGGCTCTTTGGACGCTTTGATGGACAAGGCACAATCATTCGCCGATGCAACAGATGTCGAAAAAGGAGTCTATGTCTCTACAGAGGATGAGCACTCGGAGAATGCTACAGAAAAGCTTGCGACTGTGGGATCTGCTACACCAGAACTTTTCCGTGCAACTTTCTCGGTTGAGGGAATGACATGTAGTGCTTGCGTCACCAATGTCTCGCAGGCCGTCTCTCAACATCAATTCATCCGAGACGTCAATGTCAATCTACTCAGCAACTCTGCTACGGTCACCTTCTCTGGTCAAGACAACGAGAAGCTCATCTCTGAGTCTATTGAAGATGCTGGATATGATGTCGCTTTGAGCGCAATAGAGGACATCGGCCTCAAGCACAGCACCAAAGAGGAGTCTGAGGAGACACGGAAAGCGACATTCTCAATCACGGGCATGACATGTGCTGCTTGTGTACGAGCTCTGACTACCGGACTCGAGCAACCGGATTGGATTGAAAGTGCGCAAGTCACTCTGCTCTCTAATTCTGCGATTGTTACCTTTAGAGGAGCCAAGAACAAGGTGAATGATGTGATTGAACTCATTGAAGATCTCGGCTTCGATGCTTCGGTCGAAGACATACACAGTACTCATGAAGATCAAGGGCCGACTCTGAAGCGAGAGATCATCTTGCAGATGGCAGGCATGTACTGTCATCACTGTCCAGCACGCATAGTGCAAGCGCTTTCCGACCACTTTGGCAACGAGGTCACGATTGAGGAAGAGTGCAGCACGACAAGACCACTACTAAAGCTCAGCTACCAACCTCGACCGCCCATTTTTACATTACGACACATCATGAAAGTCATCAACGACGTGGATGCAGAAGTTCAAGCTTCAATTTTCAATCCTCCAACCATCGAACAACGATCAAGAGAGATCCATGCCGCCGAGAGCCGGAAGATACTCCTCCGCTTCGCGCTTTCCCTCGTCACAGCCATTCCAACCTTCATCATCGGCATCGTCTACATGACTCTCGTCGACCATGAAAATGCAGGTCGCAAATACCTCATGCAACAAATCTGGGCCGGCACAGTCAGTAGAGCAGAGTGGGCCCTCTTCATCCTCGGCACCATAATCTACTTTTTCGCCGCCGACATCTTTCACATCAGAAGTCTTCAAGGCATTTATCTCATGTGGAAGCCAGCGTCCAAGACACCACTTAGCCATCGTCTTTTCAGGTTTGGCAATATGAATATGCTGATTAGTTTGGGAACTTCGATTGCGTATTTTGCTTCTATCGCCGCTTTGGCTATTGATGCTACGAGTGGGAAAGCAATGGGAGAGGGTCAGGCTTATTATTTTGACTCTGTGGTTTTCTTGACGTTGTTTTTGTTGGGAGGGAGAGGATTGGAGGCTTGGAGTAAGGCAAAGACGGGAGATGCTGTTGCTGCTTTGGGGTCCTTGAGACCTGATACTGCACTCCTTGTCACCACATCTCCAGACAATGACACAACGACTCTAGACAACACGGCGACTGAACTGCTCGAAATCGGAGATGTGGTCAGAGTGCTCCACGGCAGTTCTCCACCTTTCGATGGCATCATCCTCGACGGCGAAACAAAATTCGACGAAGCAAGTTTAACAGGAGAAGCAAAACTTGTGCCCAAACACACTGGCGACCACGTCTTTTCTGGCACAATCAACAATGGCTCTCCTGTGGATATACGTCTAACCAGCATCTCTGGCACTTCCATGCTAGATCAGATCATCAAAGTCGTCCGCGAAGGCCAAACAAAACGCGCCCCTGTGGAGAAAATAGCAGATCTCCTTACCTCCCGCTTCGTGCCCTTTATAATCCTCATCGGCACCTCGACCTGGCTCATCTGGCTCTCTCTAGGTCTTTCCTCTTCTTTACCTCCCTCTTACTTGGACTCCACCATCGGTGGGTGGCCTTTTTGGTCGCTGCAATTCTCCATTGCGGTGTTTGTGGTGGCTTGTCCTTGTGGTATTGGACTTGCTGCTCCTACTGCATTGTTTGTGGGTGGTGGGTTAGCTGCCAAGTGTGGTATCTTGGTCAAGGGCGGTGGAGAGGCTTTTCAGGAGGCTAGTATGCTAGATTGTGTTGTTTTTGACAAGACGGGGACGTTGACGCAGGGGACTGCGCCGGCTGTTACTGACTACAAGGTCTTTGGCGATGAAGGCGAAGAGACGGCTTTGGCTATGGCAAGAATGCTCGAGCAAAACAGCAGTCATCCGGTTGCAAGAGCTGTTGTCGAGTTCTGCAAAGCAAAATCTCTAGAGGACGACGGCATGCAGGTTATTGATGTCGAGGAAGTGCCCGGGAAAGGACTAAAGGGCACCTTCAAAGTCAATGCAGAGACAAAGATCACAGCAATCATCGGCAACGAAGCATTGATGACAGACCACGGCATATACATCAACCCGCAAAACAGCGATCTGATCGAGAGCTGGAAACAACAGGGCAAATCTATTGCTATTCTATCGATCTCCTCGTCTTCACCAACAACCTTCACACTGGCGGCAGCTTTCGCCATCGCCGATCCACTGCGACCCGAAGCAGCAACTGTCGTCAAGTGGCTGCAAGAGCAAGGACTCGAAGTCTTTATGATCTCAGGTGACAATGCGATTACAGCAAACAGCGTAGGAGCAGCTGTAGGGATACCCGCCTCCAACATCATGGCTGGAGTCTTGCCGGAGCAGAAAGCAGACAAGATCAAATATCTGCAACAGACTCTGGCGCCACGACGTTCGCGAGGGGTACTCGGATTACTCGGATCCCGCAAGCAGAGGTCTGTTGTGGGCATGATTGGAGATGGCATCAATGATGCGCCAGCTCTGGCGACGGCGGATGTGAGCATTGCGATCGGATCCGGGTCTGATGTGGCTCTGTCGGCTGCTTCGTTCGTCCTTGTGACGTCTGACTTGCAAGCCTTGGTCAGACTGCTGGAACTGTCGCGTGTTGTGTTTCGCCGAGTGATGGTCAATTTCGCTTGGGCGTTGGTATACAACTTGATTGCCTTGCCCGTTGCGGCTGGAGCGTTGTACGCAATCACCAGCGGAGGCAAGCACGTCAGACTCGACCCAGTGTGGGCTAGTCTGGCAATGGCCTTGAGCTCAGTGTCTGTCGTGTCCAGTTCGTTGTTGCTGCGGACCAAGATCCCTCTTCTAGGATTCAGAGCATCCAAAGTAGTCTAGTGTAGTTGAATCCAGATAGCAGACAACAATCACACAGCGGGTATCTTCCTCTTGTGCTCACGATTCTCCCTCCTTCTCTTCGCATCCTCCTTCATGCGCGTCTCGATCTTGACCTCCATCTCCCTCTGATCCATCAACGTCTTGATCTCCTTTTCCACACGCGCATTCTGCTGTTGAGCATCATAACGCGCTCGCATGCGCTCTTTTGCCAGTGCCATATTCTGCTGCATGTGATGCTGCACCGCCATGCCCAAGCCCTCTTGCCCAACTACACCCTCCCTCGCCACAAAGTCCCTCGCCCAACTCCTCTGATCTTCGGGCGATGGACCAGGCCCCCCTTCCAGATAACCGCCCGGATGCGTCAACCTAATGCCCGGCACCGGACTCGCGAATATCCTCCTCGGGTCATGGATACTGAGTGGTAAATGTTGTAGTGTGACTTGCGGCAAAGATGTCGGATCCACATCTCTTGCGCGCACAGAGACGCCTTGTTTCGGTTGCTCGGACGAGTCATTTGGGATTATAAAGATGCCATCGCGAGAGCGGGGAGGGTATTCGAGGATGTGGTGGAGGGCGTTTTCGAAATGCGCAGAGTAGGGTATTTGGCGTGGTTGGTAGGTTGCGTATTGATTTGGTATATTGTTGTTTTGGCCTCGGGGGCTGACGGATTGTGACATTTGGGATTTTCGAGATGTTTTTTTGAATTTGTTTGTGAGATGCTCGGGCTGACTGAATGCGATGATGCAGGGTGCGACGCTGAGCTTTGGGAAATGATGAGCCTCGGATGTGTGGAGGAGAGCGAGAGACAAAGCAGAGTTTATGCATGGTGTCAATGCACATTCCGCTCCGCTGGGCTGGCAGTCGCGGGAGCTTGGCATAACGCTGGTCAGCGACCGCGCGCGCCCGGCCAGTCGCAAGCAAGCAGCAAGTGACGAGGCCGTCTTTTGATCAATCACATTTCCACAAATCACAACATGTCGTCTGGCTACGGCTTAACTGGAGGTAACATCGCGGCCATCTACCACCTGCACTCGAAGAATTGGCGCGCTGACAAGGTCTCTTTTTTCCACGACAACCAGGCCCCGGCCGCTGCTTTCCCTTCTGGCAGGAGATGCTCGCCTGCTACGTCGTCAACACAAACTCAGAGGACGGCTCGGGCAAGAAAAAGTGTGCTCCCATGCTCGAGGACTACTACGAGTGCCTACACCACCGCAAAGAGGTACAATCTCCATCTCCGCACCCGCTCCGACACACACACACTCCATCACACACCGGACGAACCCCTTCTAACACCGCATCAACCACAGGCTGCTCGTGTCCACGCCCTCCAATCCGCATACCGCAAGCACCTCGCCGCAAACCCCAGAGACGACGCCCCCTCGGCCGGCCAAATAAGGAGTCTCGGTCTGATCGAAGGCTCGCTGGCAGAAAAGGACATGAAGGCCGCTGCCCTGCTTCCTCACGTCAAGACGAACTGAGGAACAAACCCCTCCTACAGCAATTATACCACACATTTCAGCCTTTTGTCGAATACAACTTTTCTCTTTTTCTTATCCTTATGCTCGCTCTATAGGGTGAGGTGTTTAGACTACAGCTTTGAGCTCTCCGTCGCCAGTGACATCGAAGATGCCGAACTTCCCTGCTTGGTGACTGCCTCTGCTGTGCACTACTTCTATCACATTGACCATATCGCTGTTGTTTCCTTGCGATCGCGCTCTCCTTGGCACAGCATCGACCAGGATCTGTGTATCGACAAGGTAACCCAACGACTTTCCCAGCCCTGGTCTTGCTTTGATGGCTTCAAAGATAGAAGCGCGTTCTTGATCACTGTTGTACGTCACACTCCAGCTTAGTAGTACAACGCAGAGATTGTGTTGCTGTGCCATATTTCTCAATCTTCGGACGAGTGTTGTAATGCTTGCTTGTCCTGTGATATCCTGTAAGCTTCATCCTCTCATTGATACCTGATCGCAGCTCATACCTTGAACGTAGTTATTCTTCAACAAAAGACCCAGTACTTGACTCAGATTGTTAATCAGAATCATACCAGCCTCTGCTTTTTGCCTTGTCGTTTGTTGCTTCTTCTCGGTCTTTGCTTGTACGCTGAGGTCTAGAATTTCTTCTGCGTCTTCTTGACTGTCCATTACTGTTCCTCGAGGTAGGTCTTTTTCTTCCAGTTCATCGACTAGTTCATTCAGTCCTTCGACTACACCTTCAAAGTCAAATACTCGCATGATCTTGACTCTGTCCAGTGTGAGAGTTGCTTGCTTGACATTGGCTTCATGATCGTTGTTCCTAGTCGATAACCGAGTAATGAGGTTACGGTACAGTTTCAAGACATCGAGGTTTCCAGTTGCGTCGATGAGTGTTGCTGTGTGTGTGGAAGAGGCGAGGAGATGTGAGATCAAAAGGTGTAGAGATATCTAAATAATCACTTTGATTAGCTCTTTTCTTTGTCTGTTTTTGACTGTTTTAATAATGTTTCAATGTAAGCAGGGCCACCCTGGACAATGGTCATCTCCTTCCATCAAGACCACTTCTTCCTTTGGGCCCAAAAAAAAGTGATGCAACAGCAGTTGGGTGTGAAGTAAACACATACCGTCTCGGCGGCTTGGTCTCCAGTGGCGCCACTAATGTTATAGATGCCATCTTGCCCATACACCACTCCTCCACTAAGTGCGTCATCAACAGCTGCACATCCACTTCCCACTCGAAGTCGTTCTCTCGCTCTTTCTTCGTACAGTCCAATTTCTTCCAATGCAATTAGACTAGAAGCGAGTACTGGTTTGACGGCCATCAAGGTAGAAGGTTTTGCGATGTGAATTTGATCGTCGATGTGTGGTTTGGTGCTGGCTGGTAAGGGGAAAGCCCGCGGCTGCTTGTTTTGGGGCTAGTTTTTGGAAATTCGTATTGAAACTGTCAAAGCCATGGTTCATGCTACGGTAATGTTGTTGTTCGTGTTTGACCGAACCATCGCAAAGATATCCACAATTTCAGGACAAGAATTGTCGACAGTCACTTGTGATTGATAAAAGACTTATGATCAATAGAAGAAGAGAGGTGCTTGGTATTTTGCTGGCTCTTTTCTCAATATAATGGCATAACCCAAAGTAAAACGCCGGTATCTAACCACCACCACCACCTTCCTTTGGAGACTCTTCTCGTCAAAGTAGACAACCCAGTTCAAAGTTGCCCTAGACTCCCGTGCCCATCCATCCTCCAGATACAAAATGAGAAATATAGAATGACTCGACCAGCTGTCTTGGTATCATTCGGGCTGTCGATGAGATAATGGGGGAAAAAGGAAAAAGAGGAAGACACAAAAAAAGAAGACATCCCCACAGAGATTTGAGGGCCTGGTATAATTCTGCTCCAAAGAAAGAAGATCTGGTAGCGCAGACTGGCTGGCGGAGAAATTTGGTGGTATCCAGAAAAGCAGAAGAAACAATGTCAAGTCTCCTGGACCACTTCAAGACCCTCTTCTCTCTGGTCTGGCTCTGCGACCACCCTTCAGACTCTTCATGCGGTTGAGGAAACCACCTCCGCTACTCTTTTCGGGAACGTCGTTGGGGACAGGCACACTATCCGCTGTGATACTTCTAGTAAGGCCATTGCGAGGAGGTGAGCTCGGCGCTCTGGCTCGACCTCCCTTTGTCTCTTCGGCGTAGCGGATGGTTGCACCCTTCTTCTCGTAGGCGTCGTTGTAGTCGGAAAAGAATGGGTTGCTCTCCTTCGTGGTGGCTGCAATACGGGCTCTACCCCCTGCACTTTGCACTTGGCCGGGGCTGTTTGGTGACATGGGCGCGTAATTTCCGTCAGGCGAGGTTATATTGTTGCGGTTTTGCGAGAGTCCTCGTAAACGATGTGCGAGCGACTTCTTGCGGGTCAGACCAATTCCAGGGAATGTAGAGGGTTCAGTCTCGGACTCTCGACGTTGAAGATCTTTTCTCGAGGCTGGAGCACCCTCAAGGAACGTGGATGTTCCAAGACCATATGATGGCTCGGTGTGGATTTGTTCGACACGATCGGCGGGGTTGAAAGATTGGACCTGTTTGGCAGGCGCTTGAACGCGGGACTGGGAATAGTCGTTGAAAGCATCTTCGCCTCGTCCGTGGAATCTGTCGAGATCGATGTTTTTGTTCAGAGGACCGGAACCACCAAGAGCGTTGTTGGCCGAGTCTGCGGGAAAAGCTTGCATAGGGGCACGAACATCCCTCTTACGGTTGCGGTGCGGGTTGCATGCATCGAAAGGTCCATCGTGGTGGAAGACTGTCGAGCTTTTTGTTAGCTACCGCATCGAGAGCTCAAGCTTGTAGATGCGATACTCACGTCCTTGGCCGTATATACCGGTGACGTCCAGCTTGTCGATAAGATCAAGTCCCTGAGGCTTTTTGGTCGGTCTTGACTTCCCGTCGTGGGAGCGTCCCTCCTTCTCGCGGCGTTCTTCACGCTCTTTGCGACGTTCTCTTCTCTTCCTGTCTTCTTCCTTGGTGTCCAGGATGGATGATTCCGAGTTGCGGCGAGGGCGTCTGCTGCTTTCGACCTTGGGTGGGCCAGCAAAAATGTCTAGGCCATTCTGATCTTTTGGTGGGCGTGGTGGACCTCGCGGAGGAGCGGGACCGCGTCGACGAGATTCATCTTCCTGTGAACGTGCGGGTCGGTGTTGAGTTGGAATGGTGCCTGATCGAGAAGATGCAGTGTTGCGAGGTGCAGGGCGTGCTGATATGCATGTTAGACGGGCTTCTGTAGGTGCGAAGTGGTGTATCTACCTCCTGAACTGGGCTTATCGAGCAATGACAAGTCCTTCTGAGACTGGCTGTTAGCACTTTTTTCCATCGATGAGGCTCGAAAGCGACCGTGCCGAATTGCCATAGATGCGAGTATCGAGAAATTGGAAGATGAAGTGTTGGGGGGTTGTGCGACAAGCAGGATGCAGTCGCCCTGACAGACGGCGAGGCTAGGTGGAGGATGAGAGCATCACGTACAAATATGTCCTCAGTAAAAGCGTTGGAACCTCCCTGTCGCTGCTGCGACTGGGCTGGCGGGTCGAGAAATGGATTGTTAGACATTCTGTGGTCTGGAGATGGCAGAGGAGAGGCAGCACGGCGGAAGGGGTTGTTGGAAGCAAAGTTGGCATTGGCTCCGGGAGAAGGAGCGCGTTGGCCTGGTTGGAGAAAATGCGACATCAGCAACAGCACCATGCCGACAAGGATTCAGCTGACGACAGGGGCGGGATATTTTGATATTGAAACAGGCTTGAAACGCAGCATCAGGGGGCGCTTACCTGCCATGGCCGCTGGAGCAAGCGACATGATTGCTCACTTCAAACGGGTATCGTTCGAGGGGGAGACGTAGGCGTCGACGAGGAGGTGCAGAGTGCTATGTAAGCGAGCCCAAGAATGAGGAATGGATCGACAGCCTTGTTTGGTCTGCAGTGTTGTTTTCCAAGAAGCGGCAGCCGTGTCGGGTTGAGCAACGCTGAGGGATGCGGCGCACTGTGGTCGTCTAGTAACTGCTGGCGACTGGAGAGATGTTGGTGATGGGCTAAACAGGAAAAAGAGCACAGAGAGTACGAGTAGGGACGGTAGCAGGTAGTACCTAGGCTGTGTACTAAGATGAGAGGGGGGCTCGAGCCACAGGGTCCGCTCTCCTACAACCTGAACTCTGCGCTTATTGCCTGCACTCCGCATTGGCGCCTCTTGTTGATCATCGCGCGACTTCGTATTTTCGATAAACTGCCGTTGGCCATCCAACTTGAACTTTCACCCATCAGCTTCCTACTATTGAAACTACACAGAGACCACATGTGCTGCATCTCGTTGCTATCGATTGTTCTTGCCCTATCGATCGAGAAGAACGCATCATCGCATCGCCGGCCGCACATCAAGGGGCTGCTAAGTTTAAGCAAGCCTGTGCTCTAACTCTAACAAGCACTTGAATCAATCCGCGTCTTCCAATTTCTTCCCGAACCATCGGACTGGCGGCCTTTTCGCCGGCTTGCACACAAGTACTCGTCAACCAAGACATCAAAAGTCACCTGCGCAGTGCGCGTGACGCTTCACAACATGGCCGACTCCAACTACGGAGGCTATACACGTTTCGAACTTGAGCTCGAGGTGAGTCCAAAATAGAGAGTCGTCACTCGTCGTTCGTCACCACCCAAAGCTAGGCGATTGGGCACGAAGTCGTGTCGGGCCAGGGTGTGTGTGATTTAGATCAACGTTCTGATCGTTGACGGCCCGTCTGCAGTTCGTCCAATGCTTGTCCAACCCTCTCTACCTCAATCACCTGGCAACGCAGAAGCTGCTGGATGATCCAGAGTTTGTCGCATACCTCGCGTACCTTCAGTACTTTGCCGAGCCGAAGTACATCAAGTATCTGTCGTAGGTCTTTATCTTTTCTTGCCACGTGACCTACGCACTCATGCTCTTTCTCTCCAGCTATCCTGGACCCACTATCCGAGCGCTCGAGCTTCTTCAACAAGAGAGATTCAGAAAGGACATCCTGATCCCCGAGACAGTCGCCAGGATGGCAGAGGAGGGCCTGCAGGCTAGCACCGATGGTCTCCGCCGCGACTGATAGAGAAACGGCTTTCTCAACGGTACCCTTCCTTCCTGTTCTTGATTTCTAGATGAGAGCCATGATACCCATAATGTAACGGACTTGCATTTCCTTTCTCATCGAGCCACATGAACTCCTGATTCAGAGGGTATCTACCTGTATGATTGTTTCCCAGTACTAGCCAAGACATGACATGTTCACGCCGAGCCTGTATCCACAAACGCCGCGCTGAAAAGATCGCTAAAGAGAAATGTTGCTGCAAGATGCTGCGCAGATGATTGCGCGTCCATTCTTGGAAACGAGGAGTTCAGTTCTCACGCCATTCGGAAGCGCACTTTGTACACTGTTTTGGAGTCAGCCAAGCTGCGTCCTGTGACTGAGGAGCAATCAACATACCTTGTAGAAAGTAGTCATAGGTTCGTCCGCACTTCTGATCTGGACTTGTCTGAAGTATGCTTCACGGTTGTCGCACTTCTCTTCTCTGCAGTTGACTTCTGTCTTATCGACGTTTTTCCAACTGTCGGCACCTCCCAAGACGTCTTCGACTTCCTTGCTCTTCATCATCTTGCGCTCAAAGTAGCGCTTGTCCAGGATCATCTGATAAGGACATGTTCGACATTCGAATCGGTTGACGTTTGCAAAGTGCTGCTCGTTGAGAGGAAGGTGATCGGCAGGAATGGGTGTGATCGTTAGGAGGTTCGAGCAACTCGGGCAGACTAACAACTGAAGTCAGTACTATCTCCGAGCCGAGTAGTGATGGTCACGTACAGAGAAGCATCTTGGAAGGCTGCGCGTCGAGCCAGATGCCGTCTGAGAGTTTTGGAGATGAGAGATGCGAAGCTGCCGCGAGGGGATTTCGATCAAAGGTGAGACGAGTATGCTAGTTAGAAGGTCGAGTGGTCCAGTCTGACGCCGTTTACAAAAGTTCGAGAACAAACACTGCCAAGAAGAATTTATGTTCCTCTCCGTCTTCCGTCCTCCGCTTCAAGCCGAGGCTCAATAGCTATCTATATCTACTCTACTCTATTCCTTATAGGCAAGTATTGTAGGCAAACCCAGGTACAAAATAGTATAAAAAAGAGGAACCGATATTCTTGTAGACACGACTTGGAGAGAATTAAATACTCCACTACCTTGTGGACTGCCCACTGCCTTTTCGCCTCATGCACGCATAGTCAAATACATCAACGCTTCCAACCTGTACGCCCCCACTTTACCCACCATGCCCAGCATGCCTCCTGTATCTAGGCGACAACGAGGCGAATGTTGAAGAAAGGCTGCTTGATTAAGCTACGTCCCAAGTGTCTATTTGTTCATTACGGCCAGAGACTCATTACTGGGATTGTTGCGCAGGTGGCTGAGGCTTGCGATCCTTGCGTGCGGCTTCGACTGCCTCGATGTTGAGCTCCGGTCCAGGATCCACCTTCTGTTCCTCTTCGTTGATGTCACTAGGGACACGGTCGAGAAGCTCGCCACTGTCGGCAAGCTTTTGACGTTGCTCGGCGATGATGGCGTCGGCTTCACTAACACCGCCCTTCTGAGCGGCCGGATCGCCATCAACACCAATAGGCTCCACTTTGCGTTCAACGGTTTGCTGCAATGCCTGGTTGTCGAATCGAACGATCATGATGGTCAAATTGTCAGTCGAGAAGCGATTGAGTGCATATTCGACGAGAGCTTTGGAAGCGGCCTGGGGGTCTTTGATGTTACGGACAAGGTCGACTGCCTCCTGGTCGGAGCAAACGTCCCACAACTGTTTCACATTGTTAGCATTCCGTCTTGTTGGAAAGGGTGGAAAGACCTACGCCATCGCAAGCCAGGATCAAAAACTCATCGATATCAGGCTGAATGACAGTTTCCGTCGTGTAGGGATGACCGGTGATCAGATCTTTCATGTATGCATCACCGAGAGCACGAGTAACGGCCAGAACACCGTTGACACGGTTGTTTAGGATGAGACCTCCGGCACCTGCAATTCTCTTACCCTCATTCTCGTCGCTACCCTTGTGGTCATAGGACAGACGCAGAGCCTTGCCATTTCTGCACAGAACAATACGGGCATCTCCAACGTTGGCTGTGTAAAGGACGCGCTGACGCGACGCAGCCTCGCGAAGCTTTGCCGCAGGCGACTGTGCCGACTCAGCGCTGACTGGCGTTGACTCGGTGTTTCCCTTGATGGCGGCAGCAGTGGCAGGTGCGATTGCTGTGGAGCCAGTAGCAGACTGAGAGTTGGGTATTCTGTCTTCCCAACGAAGCACGGCAGTAATGGCAGTACATCCACTGTTCTTCAAAGGCAGCTTCTCCAGCTGCTGGTCGGCGGTTGTGAAGGTCATATCGAGAAGCTCGGGAATAGGAGTATTCGGGTGCTTGCGGATGATCTCTTCAAGAAGGCAATGGATCTTCTTGCCACACCAATCGGCGGCGAAGTTACCAGCGTGTCCATCGAAAATAGCGAAGTAGCCATTGTCGGTCTCGACGACATCTTGGGAGTTGCTTGAGTTGGTAGAAGATATGCTTTTCTGGGCCGTGTCTGAGCCGAGAGCAGGAGCTGGAGTGCAGAGGAAGTTGTAGAGATAAGCATGCGTATCTTCCATGGTTCTTCGGCATTTCTTGTTCTTATCCTCAGTAACGCCGACTCTGAAGGTGGACCGCGGACCGGGCTCAGATTCTCCGGCTGAGTTGTTGAGTGCACCTTGGGGGACGCTCAGAGCAGGGTCGGTTCTACCAAGCTTCTGCATGGGAGTCTGGGGTTTCTCACGGGCCTCGGGAGATGAACTGTGGAATTGGTCTTTGAAAGATTGCTTGGCATTTGAGAAGACGTTGCGTGCGCCTGCGAATCCACTGCTTCTCCTCTTGCCCGAGGGACTGACATCTTTGCGGTCTGAGCTGGATCCAATGTCCATGGATGAGGGTTCGGCTGAAGGTGCGGAGTTGGAGTTGGTTCCGGCAGACTTGGGTAGTGATTCACCTTCCTTGGGTGAAGATCCAAACATTTTGTTCAGCAGGCCTCCCTGAGAGGAGAAGCTTCTGCGAGTCTTGTCGGATGCCAGGATGAAAACGGGGACGTAACTGACGCCACACGGAGGTCGAAGGAGAGATGCTCTAGAAGCAAGAGAAGGCGCGTCGGGGTTGGTAGTGATTATGTGCCGTTTCCTGCACTACAGCATCAGCAAAGCGTCCGGCAAGCACGTGGAGCTTTTAGACTGCCGACATGCAGCTCCATGTGAGAAGGGAGTGGGCAGCCGCGGCATGGAACTCCGGACAGCTTTTGTAGAGAGGGAGACTTACTTGTTTCAAATGTAGGTCTTACGGTGCGCCGTGTCAGGGAGGATGGAGAATCTCAGGTTGTCAATTGGAGATCGTGAGGGGGTGCGGTTCGTGTGGGATGGGGCCCTGCTGATGTCACCGCAAACTGCGACGCTTCTGGAAGGAGCTCTTGGCGCTGAACGTTGCAGCCAATGTCGGTCTCCCGGCTCTTCTCGCTGCCGCCGAATGTCTGCAGAAGATGTCTAGCCTTTGTCTGGAGGCATGGGAGAGCAGTCGTCTTGAGCTGTATACTACTTTGATCAACTTGTGGCACCTTCTTAGCGCTCAGGGGATGCGGATCAAGTCATCAATTCCACGCAGCCTTCCCCGCAAATCGGGCAAGCTGGGCCAAACATTTGCCAAACATTTCGTTATTACGTAGCGTAAGCTATGCAAGCTTTGTGCATCATCGATCTTTGCCGCCCTTTCCTAACAGCCTAGCAGTGAAGGTGAAAGAGGGCGCACATCTACATGTCTTCCTCGTCGTCGTTGTCGTCGTATAGAGACGAAATCTCGAGAATCACTGTCCTTAACGCCGTACGCTTGCCATGCAAACAGATATAACCAACGCCATTCTCTACCGGATCTCATCGTCGTAGACTGTCCAATCTGGCTTGGAGATCATCATCACCAGGGTCACCACCGATGGCTTGTGCAACTTTGCCTTGTTCGACAGCGGTGCTCTGCAGACCAGTCGGGGTCTCACCCATCTGAAGTTGTGTGAGTGTGTGTATAGACTAATGGGAATGGGACAACTCACAGCTTGACCAAGGTCGACACCAATTTCATCGAGAATCTGATTGACAACCTCTTCTCCCTCTTCCTCGTCTTCCAAGCCCGTCACATCGTCAATGGCGTCGTCCATCATCTCTTGCCGTTGGTCCATGATGTCGTTTTCGCGTTCGAATTCCATGGCGATGCGTTGGAGGGCGGGGAGGTTCATCTGTCGGTTCATGCTACCCAGGAGCTTGGTAGCGCCTTTCATGGACTGCATCATCTGCTCGTTACTGCGCACAGTCTAGACCAGGGGTTAGTCTGGGACGGGAAATGGATGGTCGGGTCAGGCGTACCTGAATGCGCAATGAGATAGCCTGCAACTGGGTTCGCATCTGGTAGAACTTCTGAATGTATCGTCTTGTTCTGACAAGATCCTTGGCCTGAATCTTGACTGCGCCCATCTGGCCGTTCTTTGCGTTCTTCTTGATGTCCTGGACTAGCTTTTTCTCCTGATTCTCCAGCTTTGTGCGTTCACGATCAAGTTCGCGTTGAGTCTTCTCGAGGGCGCGTTGATGCTTGCGCAGGCGCTCGGCGGGCGTCATGCGCTTGCCAAAGGCCCATTCTACAATCTAGAGACAGGCCATCAGCCATTGACAAGGATATGTGGACGGGCTTTGGCGCATGGGGAGCTCACATTCATGGTGACGGAATGGTGTGGATAGAACAGAGATTGGCTAGGCAGCCAGAAACAAGGTTGATGTCAGGCAGGTCGCAGGTCGCAGGTCGCAGGTTGCAGCAGGCGTAGCGGGGGACTTCGGGCGCACTCCACACAATGAGCATGGCGTTCCTTCCGTAATTGGTCTGTGCAGTCCACCTAAAAGCACCACGAAACGGGAATGAACGGCAAGCCAAACCTTCCGTGACGACTTTCGACTTTCTTGTTCGACACTTTCTGTCTGCTCGTCACCCGACTCTCACCTACGACCTCTAGCCTTTCTGCTATTTTCACGTCAACTGCACACCATCACAGAAGCCTGAAATGCTCTGAGCGCCATTCTGCACAACTCTAGCACAACATGAGCTCAGGCTCTCCCTCGGGCAGTGGCTACGCCTCGCCCTCGAACAGCTCTCCGTCATCCATGCGCCGCCACCCCGGTCGTCCTCAGTACATGACTGTCGGCTCCGGCTCTACTTCTGAACACGCCGCTCGCCTGACTGCTATGCTCGACAACGATTCTGGATACGGAGGCAGCATCGCCGACGGCGCCACTTTTGATCCTACCTTCGACCAAGATCCCATGACTCAACTGGCCACAGCTCAAGGCGCTACTTGTGAGCACCATCTTTGCGCTCCAAAACATAAACAGAAACCTGACAGAATCGCAGCTGACAACGAAAGACGCGCTATCGCCAGCCATGTCCACCAGCTTCAATACAACCAAAACCGTACTGCACTCGGTCGTGCTATCGGTGAAACTGTCGACACTCTAAAGAAACTGCAAGACATGAACTCAAAATGGCCCGCTCATTATCCGACCGTACAACGCCCGATCCCTGCTCCTCGCGTCCACCCCGATCCTCGACCTGGTCTTGTCCATACTCAATCCGGGTTTGACAATCACACCGCCCATGAGACATTCAAGCGCCCGACTCCTCGTCGTGCTGGTACTACCATAGGCGATGATATGATGGAGCCCGAGTCTAGCGGAGCTGCTGCCCGTGCTCCTGCAGCGGAACCCAGGCTGGTCACTCCACAACTGTCCCGCCAGTTTTCGGTACTCAAGATTGAATTGAAGATGGAGGGTGTTCACCAGACTGAGCTTGTTCATTCTTTGGAGAAGCAATCAATCGCCTCGCTTCTCGACGGCCAGATCAACAACAGCGTGCGACATCTCTTCTCGCTAAGAGACCGCATTGAAGACACTTCGAGCAAAGTGTTGATTACTGGTGATCTCAACGCTGGAAAGTCCACCTTCTGCAACGCTCTTTTGAGGCGCAAGGTCCTACCCGAGGATCAACAACCGTGTACTAGCATCTTCTGCGAGGTCTTGGACTGCCGTGAGAACGGAGGCATCGAGGAAGTTCATGCCATTCCTAATGGTGTCGATTACAATCGTCATGACGAAAGCACGTATGCTGTCTTCGGCCTTGAGCAATTGGAAGATATCGTGATCGACAACGAAAAGTGGTCTCAATGCAAAGTCTACATTAAGGATGTCCGCTCCGTAGACCAATCGCTACTCAACAATGGCGTGGTCGATATTGCCTTGATTGATGCCCCTGGATTGAACAACGACTCGCTCAAGACAACTGCTGTTTTTGCTCGACAGGAAGAAATTGATGTTGTTGTTTTTGTTGTCTCCGCTGCTAACCACTTCACCTTATCAGCCAAGGAGTTCATCTTCAATGCTGCTCGCGAAAAGGCATACATGTTTATGGTCGTCAACGCTTACGATAACATCCGCGACAAGAAGAGGTGTCAGGAAATGATCCTGAAGCAGGTCAACCACCTCAGCCCTGCTACTTTCAAGGAGTCATCTGAGCTTGTCCATTTCGTCTCAAGTAACGCAATCCCAGTAGCTCCAGCCGGTGGATCTGGAGGCCCCGATGGCCCTGGTGGCTCTGGAAGCGGTTCTGGCTCAAGCAGCGGTGGCCCAAGTGGTGACCCTGGTCACGATGACGAATCTTCAGACAAGAAGGACAAGGGCAAGGGTAAAGAACAGGAGAAGATTGACGACTTCAACGAGCTCGAGGCTTCACTGCGTCGTTTCGTATTGGAGAAGAGAGCACGTTCCAAGCTCGCTCCTGCGAAGACCTACCTTCTCAACGTACTCGGTGATCTCGGCAGTCTTGCTGGCGTGAACAAGGAGGTCGCTCAGAACGAACTCGATCGTGTTACCAAGGAGCTCAAAGACCTCGAGCCTGTGTATGAAAAGTCCAAGAAGGCGCGTTCAGAGGCCGGAGAAGGCGTCGACTTTACTATCGACGAGACCGCATCGGACATCTACAAAGCATCTCGCGACACCATCAACAACACTATCGCTCGCGCTGGAGAACAGGATCTCGGCGTGGAATACCCCGGCTTGTTCAGCGTCTACCAGTACGCAGATGAACTGAAGACAGCCATGCTAGAACAGATCACACGCTCGGTGCACGACTGTGAAGAAGCTGCTAGAGACCACACAGCAAAGGGAGTCGATGGCATCAAGAACCTTGGAGTTCTTCATCTCGGCGATGATTACGAAGACCTGACCTTCAAATCTGAATACATGTTCCGAACACGTAGGGACGCCCTGACGCGACAAGTGGATGTTGACGTTGAGATGTCCGACTTCTTCGATCTGGCAAGCCTTTGGGAACGTCAAGAGAAGGTTGCTGGAGCAAGTATGGCCGTCACTATCGCAGGTGTCGTCGGTGGCCGCATGTTCGGCGGTGTCGGGTGGGTTGATGGTGCCTTGGGTGCAGCGAAGGTTCTTGGACCCAGTAACTTGCGCAGACTGATGATCCCTGGAATCGTTCTCGCAATTGCTCTCGGTGCTTCGTATGCGTTGAGCTCTATCCCCCACTCTCTGCCACGTCGACTTTCACAAAAGCTCTCAGCTCAGCTTGCAGAGTTGGACTACACACATGCCAACGCTACACGAATCTCATCTGAGGTTAGAAGAGCACTGAAGTTCCCTGCCGACAAGCTTCGGGAGGGACTTCAACGAAGCGTAGAGCAACTGCTCGACGAACGTAAGGAGAAGATCAAGCTACAAAGCGAGAGCGAAGTAGCAAAGAAGTACTTCAGCAATCTCGTCAGAGAAAGTGGTGACATCCGTAGCAGAGTCATGCGGGTCGACTTGGAAGGACCCGCACCTGGTCACCTCGGCGGCCATGGCGTCTAGCTGCCGTATCAATGGGCAAAAGCAATTGAGTGCAACAATGGGAAAGGCGCAAACCGGCGCAAGGAGCAGGTATCCGTCCATCTTTCATTTCTGGGACCTAAAAGGAAATCGATCGTACCGTACAGCTTTTGAGGGCAGCTTCGGCCCTCGTCCACTTCTCTTCTCTTCTATAGTTCAATACCCCTCTTACATGAAACAGTAATGCTATTTTACCTCAAGACTTGATCATGACTGTTGTCCGTCATAAATCCGAGAACGTAAAATGTGTCTAGAAGTGTTGTAAAGGCTTGGTGAGCGTCGGTGGGCGAGCAGGGTCCAAGCTGACAAGAGCAGGGTCGGTGACAACATGGTCATGCGACTTGTTCCTCATCTTGAACACCAAGGTAGAATGGCGGGCGACTGAAGCATAACCTAAGTAATGGCCGATCCGAGAGCCATTGTCGCACTGGTTATCCTTCTATTCATCTTCTTCTCGCCACCACCTGGTCAGGAACCACTGGTGCGCGCCCGCTCGCGCCTCGAACACGTCGTCACCACCGAACATCATGACTTGACTATCCTCAACCAGACACGCTTTGGAGACTTCGACCCGGTACAGAACAAGTGGCTCAACATGAGCGGATTCCGAGAGGATGACCTCTTCGCATGGCAAGCGCTACCACTCGTCAAAGAACGTGCTAGACACCAGGTAGCACATGCCTTAGGCCACGACAATCTGGCGCGTCTCGGTAGTGGAGAGGACGATAGACCGGCGCTGCCGCTGTACCGAAATGTAACTGGTACCATGTACGGCAAATGGGTTCGCTCGCCCGTACAGACATCAGTTGTGCCGCCCAGGCTGAACATGACCGAATACTCGCCTGTCGGTCCTTTTGGCCCAATACCAGTCCGATCTTTCAACAAGAACGTCACGGCAAAGTCTGGTTCGCTAGAAGTCTGGTTCGAAGAGGCAGATACACAAGAGACGCTATTATGGCATGGGGATAGAAGAGTGGCTAGGGAGGTGAAAGCCCAGATCTCGGTAGGAGATGCAGAGGCAGGTGACTCCTGGGACAGTAGGCTGTTTGGTATACACTTCCTAGATACCGGCAACATCATGCTGGCTACCACTACCGACAAGTTTGCTGGTATATTCGCATTGCCACACATGGCCCTGTCTGACTACAACTACCACTCTGCCCAGAGACTACTGAATCGCACGCTTGGAATGACTATTCGCGACCAGGAGGATGGCTATCTGCAAAGCTTTAGTCCTTGGGCGCCGACCCCCGATGGTAGTTCCGACTCTTCGCCATCTCCCACGTGTGACTTGATTGTCTACCTTCAGCAACACTTGGTGCCAGTGCCTGGAGTCAAGCCTGGACCTGATCAGGAAACTCTGCTGTCGTTCATCGAGCAGGAAATTCGCTTTCCAACTGGTGCATCCATTCCGGCTACTCAGCACATCGCTTTCTCAATGGTGGCATTCTCGCCAGATTGTGGCTTTGTGCTCGAATCAAAAGGACCACCAGACTTTGCACCGCAGGAAGCCAATCACTTGCGTGGTCTCAAGCTTGAGGTCGAATATGAGCGAGCAAGACGACATCTGCTTCTGTTCGCCGCTATCATGAGTGGGCAACTGTTCTTCTTCCTACGTCAAATGCGTGACGCAAGCACACCTTCCACTAGAAGCAGAATCAGCTTCTACACCATAAGTATGCTATCGCTAGGTGATGGTTTTATCACCATGGTCCTTTGCTTGATCAGTCTCTTCATCCAAGCTCTTTGGGTGCCATTGATAGCCACTGCTTTCCTCGCTTTCATGAGTGTAAGTTTCTTCGGGATGAGATTCTTGATGGACATATGGGCAGTTCAAGCGCCCGAAAGAGAACGCAGGGAACGGCAAGAGCGACAGCGAATACAACAACTAGCGGCTACCACTGTAGCTCCGCCTACAATTCCATCGGGCACGATGGAGAATGCACCCGCTCAAATATCTACGCCATCACAAATGCCGGTCATCACCGCTGCAGGAGCAGAAACGCTGCCTCCCCCTGTAACAGCTCCACGACCGATCGATACCGGAGCCACGCCGGTCTTCATCCCTTCGGATCAAGACACTCAGGCTGAGGAAGACGCTCCTAATACCGCAGCTACAGGAGTGGAGGCTGGCCAACGTGCCCCAGGATTTGGTTCTCTTTATACCCGCTTCTACTTCCTTCTACTGGTCACATTGTTCCTGTCCTTGAATGCGACCTCATGGCCACCGGCTCTTCGACGAGGCTACTTTACCATTTTGGCTTTCTGCTATCTATCCTTCTGGGTTCCACAGATCCATCGTAATTGCATGCGTAATTGTCGGCATGCATTACGCTGGGACTTTGTAGCCGGCGAATCTTTGCTGCGACTCATGCCGTTTGCATACTTCTATGGCTACGAACAGAACGTTCTGTTTGCGGCTGTTGACTTGATCGATCTAGGTGTACTGGCTGGCTGGATCTGGATACAAGTGTTGTTGCTGTTGAGTCAGGAGATCATAGGTCCTCGTTGGTTCGTGAGCGGTACTTGGGTGCCACCGGCCTATGACTACCACCCTATCCTTAGAGATGATGAGGAAGCTAATAATTTGCCTATTGGGGCGACTACCTCGACGCCTTCGCCAGAGCAGGCAAAAGAGGCAAAGGACAAAGGCAAACGTGTCTTTGATTGCGCTATCTGCATGCACGAGATCGAGGTGCCGGTGCTAAATGGGGAGTCCGCGGCTGAGGGTATCACGACTGGCTCATTGGTCTTGGAACGGAGGAAGTACATGGTTACACCGTGTAGGCATATCTTCCATTCTAGCTGTCTCGAGGGCTGGATGAAGTTCAGACTCGTCTGTCCCATCGATCGCGAGGAGTTGCCCCCACTGTAGATATTCGTACGTAGCAAATCGTGATTGTCTACCAATAGACGCTTGTCATTCTCATTCCTCATCGCCGAAGGACAGCTTTATCGGCTTACCCTTTTTCTTGATCTTCTTTGGTTTGCTTTCATCTTTGCTTGTTGCTGCGGCCTCCTCATTCCCATCACCACCGACGACTTTAGCCATCTTCCGCTTCTTTGTCGCTTTACCAGCATCAACAGCCGCAGATGTCCGCGCCGGAACCTCATCCTCATCAGGCAATGCTCCTGAAGCCTTTGGCCACTCCCCCGTCAACTCTCCCGTCACCATATCCTTGACATCTCCAAACTTTGCCTTTGGATCAGTTTCCCCCTCACCATCGCCATCGCCATCGCCAGCAGTAAGTCTCTCATACTCGGCTTTTGTAAGAGTTTCCGAGCTGCCTTCTAAGACATACATTGGCGCGTCGTCATCGTCATCACCAGCTTTTTTCGCTCGCTGTGCGCGGGCGACGGGTTGTTCTTGACGACCTGAGGCTGAGATTGCGGTGTTTTGATCGCGGAGGCGTTGGAGAAAGGCTGGTTGGGAGGCTGTTTTGTCGTAGGTGAGGTCTTTGGATTTGATGTTGCTCATTTTGGTGGTTGGGTGTCGAGTGGTTGTGGTTTTTTATTTTGGTGATGTTGGTGTGAAGTGAGAGCACCCTGACCTTGGACGGTTTACCTCGTAACTTTGGCAGTCGTGCGGATATTTGGTTACTTGGGTTTGCCAGCAGATACGGTGGGAGAACACGTGTTATGGGATGCAACGAAGTTGTTGTCCCGTTGTTGAAAAGAAGTGTTGATAGTTCTGGAAATGCTTCCCAAGTTTCTTGACTGGATTGGTGCACAACAACGCGATCGGCACAGTGATAATGGTCTTCTCGGATGACAGTTGCTCAGTGCTCAGGTACGTGATTCTCGACAACAATTCGTTCACTTGATGAGATCGGTATCGCGTGACTCGAGATTGAAGCTTGGATTGCAGCAATGGAGATGGTGGAGAATAGCTCATTTCACGGAGTGGGTGAAGCGTGGATCAGCCATGGGACAAACCACGCCGGGCGAGACGTGGGATGCCGCCGATGCCAAGTGCTTGCGTAAGAAGGAAAGAAGCAACCAGCCGTCTACACGTTGGACATAGGTGGCAGAAAGAGGGTCTTGGAGAGGAATTTACATTTGCCCAGATAGCCTTGAATAGCTTGATCGAGATAGAAACGGCAGAGTGCTGGAACGAAACAATTGACATCGGTATAGAACGAGTTGTCAGAGCACACGCGAACAGACCGGACCCCGTGGTAGCGAGCGAGACCCTTTCAGCGCCAGCCCCCTAACATCCTTGCGTGTCATCACGCAGTCTGTTGAGAGCCGACAACCACGACCCGCCGAAAACTCGTCGCGGCCTCGAGTATCCTTCATATGCGTCCAGTTGATGCACACCTGTTGACCTCTCCTTGAATCGCGACGTCCGCTTCGCCCTGTCGACTTGTCTGTTCCCGGTCGCTCGTTACCTACTCCTCCGGAACAGCTTTGCAACGCCGCATACCTCATCGCCAACTCAATTCTCGACTCGAAATCCTTTCTTGTCCTTTGATATAGCTTCGCATTTGGGTAGCACGCGCTGCCGTCTCCTCGCAACATGAACTTCTTGCAAGACGTCCGCAAGCGACTGCCCACAGCGCAAAAGCTGCCTTCATACGATGACTTGTCCAAAAGCGCAGAGAAGATAACCCCGAGGTTAGCCTTCTTTCGCCGACGCATACGCCTGAGAGAGAACTCACGCATCTCAATACCTCTGGGCCTGGTCTTGCTATTTCCATGCTTGATCGTAATATTAATACTTCTGCTTTTTGTCCGGCACCCTACAGAGGCTGGCAGAATACTCATGCCTGCAGGCGCACCGCCGTCCATTAGGTACGATGCCTACCCATTCATTACTCTCGGTGCTTGCGCTAACGTCATGCTCGCAGGAAAATCAGCGAGAAGCACGACAAGGTCTTCGTCACAGGCTGTCAAGACCCAGCCCTCGAGACCAATCAACCCCGTGCCAACGCCGCTTTCGTCGTCCTCGCCCGTAACAAGGAGCTCGAAGGTGTGCTACAGTCGCTCAAGTCGATGGAGAGACATTTCAATAGATGGTTCCACTACCCATACGTCTTTCTGAATGACGGCGACTTCAACTCGACCTTCAAGGACGAGGTCCGCAAGCACGTCAGCTCGAATGTCGAGTTTGGCAAGATCGATCCTAGCATGTGGGGTTTCCCCGACTGGGTTGACCACAATGTGGCCAAGGAGGGCATCAGAAAACAGGGTGATGCCGCTATCATGTATGGTGGTATGGAGAGTTACCACCATATGTGTAGATTTTACTCAGGGTACGCTTGTCTTGCCAACCGACTCGGACACATGGACCTAAGCTAACGAATCTGCAGTTTCTTCTACAAGCACGAGCTCCTTCAGAAGTACGACTGGTACTGGCGCGTTGAGCCCGAGATCAAGTACTTCTGTGATATTACTTAGTATGTTCAACTACAGCATTTCTGTTCTGATGCAGCGTATTGACAAACTCCAGCGATCCTTTTGTTCACATGGAGCGCAACAACAAGACCTACGGATTCACCATTGCCGTCAAGGAGCTCAAGGAGACAGTGCCCAACATTTTCAGATACGCATCGGCTTACAAGCGAGTCAAGAACATCACCTCGACCGGTCTCTGGGACATGTTCCTCGAGCCAAAGCCGGAGAAGCCAGCGGATGAGCTGCCAAAGGACGACCCGAAGTACAAGAAGCCTCTTCCTGAAGACATCCTTCGTACAGAGCCTGGCGCCGGCACGATTCCCGATGTAGATCCTGAGTCCATGGAGGGCGAAACATACAACATGTGTCATTTCTGGAGTAACTTTGAGATTGCCAGACTCGACTGGTTCCGAAGCAAGGAGTACGAAGACTTCTTCCAGATGATGGACAGGAGTGGCGGCTTCTGGATGGAAAGGGCGAGTCTCTGTTTCCTGCACACCGTCCTATGCTTTACTGACTCTTCATAGTGGGGTGATGCACCCATCCATTCGCTCGCGGCAGGCGTTCTTCTGGACACTCATCAGGTCCACTACTTCCGTGATATCGGGTACCGACACACAACCATCGCTCATTGTCCAGCGAACGCAAAGGCTCGCCAGCAGCCACGTCCGCCGTACCTCGAGATGACAACGACAGACGAGAAGAAAAGAATCGAGGAAGATGCATACTGGGAGGAGTGGGACGAAGAGAAGGAAAATGGTGTCGGCTGCAGATGCAGATGTGACCCTGAAGTGCCAGAAGTCGAGCTCAAAGAGGGCAGCTGTCTCCCAAACTGGGTAGATGTTGCGGGAGGTTGGATTACTCCTGGGCAGGCATGATCGAGGATGTAATATTGGCTGTTCTATACGCATGAGAGGCGCGAGTCGTTTTTGCAGCGATCATGCACTGGGATGGAGTTATTTGATCGGTTTGAATCAACGGCACATAGGGATACAGGACCTGGATCCCATCTCGTCCCACCACTTTCCGGTTGTCTTGTGCCTTTCGCTGACCTCTGGTGCTATCAACAGCTATCTTTTGATTCTTGATCGTACATGATATAGTAACGATACATATACGAGTCAACGTTTTCTCCTAGAAGAAACAACTGTCACATCTGTATCATGATTCGCACATTAGGTTGATGGTGTGTTTTGCTGAGGTCCGAAAGGCTTCGGGAAGGCTTTCGTCACATGCAAGGCGGCAACCATCACGGTGCAGCACACCGAAGCTTGTCTTATCAACGACTGCGGGGTGTTTGCACCACCTTGATTTCTACCTACTTCCGCCCGGTCATACAGCCCTTCGTGCTTTCCATCTTGCTGTCAAGACTTTGCAGACTTGTACTCCAAGCTTGCTGTCGGCGTCTCGAAGGCACTGTTTTGTGAAAAGCAGAATCAACTCATATCCACTCGGCTTGCCCCTCTAGGCTAAGACAAGGTGCCTTGAAGGCGCACTCGATTGGTCAACCCCTCCTCCAAGGCTGCAGCGGCCCAATAATCTGTCTGGTAAGCTGTTACCTCTACCAAAAGATCGAGAACACGCAGATAAGGCCCGCTGTTCACCAAAGGTTCCTTTCCTCTATCCTTTTCAAGCCCACTGCCAGCTCGTCTCATTCGTTTCCAACCGGGTTGCCAGCTGCCCTAAGTCGTAACTTCTCCGTTCGGGCGTGATTTACGCACTCCAACACACGTCTTTTTACGCCTGTGAAAGCCGGAAGTCGCTACTTGCACGCAAACCGTGCCACTCCAGACACAACTTCCAACACTTTGCGTCTTCAGCACAACACATCGTGCATCCTACTCCTTGTAACATCTCCCCTCCTCCGACGCTTCTACATCATATTCTGACATTGCTAAAGGACTCTTCCCCGAAAATCAAACCTTCACAACATGACGGCTCACACTGAGCCCCTCGTTCATCACGAGGAAGGTGATGATTACTTGGATGACTGCGTCTCGACAGACGGCTTCACCCCTTCGTTGCCTTCACTCACCAACCGTGCACCTGACACCGATGCTCAGAGCGTCAGCGATGTCGACTCCATCTCGAACGGTGACACCATCAGTGACGCCGCCAGTGATGCCGACTACGATGAGATCGGCTACGACGAAATCCCTGCCCTCGCTGCCCGTGCTCGCTATCAGGAGATGGATCCGTCCGAGGAAGACATGGAGCGTGTCATGATGAGTGACAGAACCATCATCCCCGACACACCCACAATGGCTCAGCGTATGCCTGTCATCTCCTCGGAGCCTGTCGTCAAGCCCTTCCGTACCGCTGACTACACCCGTGTCATCGGTCTGTCACTGGCCGACAAGCCTTACCAGATGCCCAACCGCCCTTTCCGTTTGGTCTACTTGGCCGATGCCAACAAGAGCAACATGGACGTTGCCATTATCGTGGCCAAGGTTGTTGGTGCTGTCACAGGCAATTCCGAGGCCAGAGACTCCGTCTTGACCGCAGCATCTTGTGCTCAATCCGAGGATGCTATCCTGAGCTCTTTGTATGAGCTACCCATGCCCATCGAGGTACTTCGTGCTGTCACCTTCGACACCGCTCCTGACGTTTGTCCATCGATCAGAACTTCTGACGGAAAGACACATGCTCTGGGAGAAACCAAACCCGATTTGGTCATTTTTCATCGTGTCAGCTTCCACAAGGCCCTCGTCTCGCTTGCCCAAAGTATCGCCCTCCACGGAATTTCCATGATGGAGATTGAAGACGACTCCTTCGGCCTGACTGATAGCGGCATGGACTCGTCATGTATCATCCCACACACTGCCCAGGGTGGCCACTGCATACGTATGTATGTTGTCTCGAGCTCTGATGGCGAGGGCGAGAACAACTTCCACAGTCAAGTACCGCTCTCCTCAAGCGCTTTCCATGCTTTGGAAGACGATGTCTTGAGCCGTCACTTGGCCTACCTCGCCAACAGAACTGAAGAAGTGTCCGAGAAAAAGAAGGACAAGATGTTCGTTCAGACAGCTAAGCGTATGGAGACAAGCAAGCTCATGTCGATGTTCGACTCCTCGATCCTCAAGACCATTGCACAGAGCATCTTCGGGTTGTTCATCGTCTTGTTTGCAGCCAGCCTGCCGGCGTACTTCCTTTATCAAGAGAGCCCCGCCTCCGAGTTGACTCTCCGTACACCTCTACTCCAAGTCGCTCTGAACAGTTCTGGACTGTCCAGCATCAACGCAAGCGAAATCCTTCGCTACCCCACTACCACCAGCGTCACCGGAAACTCTACTACGACTGCTGTCGCTTTCCCTACAGCTGTCCATGTCTATGTCGCCAAGTCGGATCAACTTCTTGTGTCCCTTCCCAAGGCCTACTGGAAGTCTGCACAGATTGGTGTCTTCAAGAATGGCAAGGCTTTGAGTCACGTCAACAACAGTCGTATCATTGATGGAGTCCTTTCGATTTCATTGCCTTCCACCGACGCTCACGGCCAGATTCAGGTCAGTGTGCTCTCTACTAACACCCCTTTGCGCAATGAGACAGTCAAGGTCGATCTTGGCAACCGTCTCCTTCAGCGTGTCACCTACGAGAACGCCGCGAAGGGTGTTCAACAGGATGTTACCGAAGTCCATCATGCGGCCAGGCTCGCCCAGGCCAAGGTTATCTCTGATGTTCGATCCGTCTTCAACACGTCGGTCTACCGCGTCAGATCTCTTGGCAGCAACATGCTCGAAGGTATGAAGTCTACTGGAAACGCCATTGGCTCGGCATCGAACCGCACGTCTCATGGATTGTCGTACGTGGGTGGTCTCACGTACAACAAGACCTCCAGTCTTGGTTCTTTTGTCAAGAGTACCATCCCTCAGAGACGTCACTTTGTCAGAGCTCGCACCAACGCCCTCAAGATCAGAACAAGACTCTTCCGTAAGTCTACTACCGTCAAGCAAAACATCGTCAAACCGAGACCTGTAATGCCTCAAGCTTTGACATCGATGAAGGCACGACTTGCAGAGCTCCAGAACAAGCTCTCTTCCGGCGTTGATGCTCTTAAGAAATCATCACCTCTTAAGCAGCGCTGCAAGGCATCTTCCACAGCCAGCAAGGTCAAGGTGACCATCAAGACCGTTATTGAGCCCAAGGCGAAGAAAGCCACTTCGCCGGTTACTGACATGATTAAGGGCGCCAAGATTCGCAAGCAGGACAAGGGTCCTGACAAGAAGCTCAAGTGATTGCAACGACAGCATGCTTAGATGTTGAATGGGTAGGTTCATGCCCAGGCGTTTTTTCTTAGATGGTCTTCACTCACACAGCTCTCAAGGGCGACGAGGTTACGATTGGCGCTTGACAAAGGGGTTCGTTCACTCATTGTAGTGATTCGGTCATCACATTTCGCTCGGGTTCTGGATTGGCGTTTTTGCTTCGGAGGCGTGCTTTTACAAGGAGAGAGAGACACAGGAACGGAGTTTATTCGGAAGGATTTTTCCAGGTAGCACGCCTCTCAACAAGCAAGCGAATGGAAATGAACATGCTTTTTGACTGTAAACACAAGCACAAGCTCAGGTCGATCGTGGTTCATGCAAAACAACATCATGTGGTTCTTTCGTCTTTAGCCAAATGTGCAAAATAAGGTATTCCCATGCTGGCGCGTCAACGACCACCCCGCACTTGGTGAACCGTTTCGGCTCCCAACTGGGTAAACCGAAGCGCCAATTGAGCGATCCGAAGGTGCCCTTTTGATGACAGCATATATAAAGGAGTACAAGAGGTTATGAGGTATGGAGATGGGCTGTTCCCTCATATTTTTCTACAGTCAAACCATTTCGAAAATCTCAAGAACTTCTGGAAGAAGCCAAGAAGTATTATTGATACAAGACAAGGACGCATAGAGCAACTATCCAAGGGTCATATAGCCGATTATGCCTCACTCCAATCCATCCTTGCAGGTCACTGCAGATCACCAGATCAAGATGGCAGAAGCACCGATTCATAAACCTGGACAAGGAGAAGTACTGCTACACATCAAGTGTACTGGAATCTGTGGGTGAGTTTATCCTTTTTTCTCAGTATCCTTTCATCATCTCCTACACTTTCCCTGTCTTTTGACATACATGAGAAAGGGATGTAGAATGAGAGGTAGAGAAGAAGGCGAAAAAAGATCTGGTTTGCTGATGTGGAAGGCTTTTACAGATCTGATATCCATTTCTGGAAGACTGGAAGGATTGGACCGTTGATTGTGGAGAGTGATTGTATCTTGGGACACGAGGCTTCTGGAGTTGTACTCAAGGTTGGCGAGGGGGTGGAGGAGTTCAAGGCTGGTCAGTTTTCTTTTCCCCTCTTGTTTTCTTTTCCATCGTTGCTCTTTACACCTTTCTGCTTCCCTGATCGATCATGAAATCAAGTGATCAATGAGAGGAGAGAGGGGTGATGAGACGAGAGACGAACAGGAAACTGATTTGAAGAAAACAGGCGATAGAGTCGCAGTCGAACCCGGTGTCCCCTGCGAGAAATGCTGGCTCTGCAGAGAAGGTCGCTACAACCTCTGCGAGGACGTAAAGTTCTCGGGAGTCTGGCCTCATCACGGAACCCTCCAACGCTTCAAAGTCCATCCTGCAAAGTGGCTTCACAAGTATGCCTCCCCCCCTTTTCGCCCTTTGCCTTCCAGACAAACCATACTGACAGCAAGCAAAACAGAATCCCTGATAATGTCAGCTTTGCAGAGGGAGCACTTCTAGAGCCCCTCTCAGTCGTTCTTCATGGTATCCGTCGCGCAGGACTAACCCTAGGTCGCGGCGCTCTAATCTGCGGCGCTGGCCCCATCGGTCTCATCGCCCTCCTCGCCTCCCGTGCCTCTGGCGCCCACCCTCTAATCATCACAGATCTAGAGCCCAAACGCCTCGCCTTTGCCAAAAAACTGGTTCCCGATTGCGAAACCTTTCAAGTAGACCGTAACGCTTCTGCTGAAGACAATGCAAAGAATATTAGAAAGCTTTTTGGAGAGCATGAGTATGGGGCACCGGAGACGGTGTTGGAGTGTACGGGTGTGGAGAGCAGTATTGTCACCGGTGCATTTGCGGTTAGAAGGGGTGGTACTGTCATGGTTATTGGTGTGGGCAGGCCGGTGGTCAACAATATCCCTTTTATGCATTTGAGTCTTGGTGAGGTGAGTTTTTTTTCTTTGGCGATACATCGTCCCTGCTATTCTCAATCCGAATAAGAAGAAACATACTGATATCCAAACAGATCAATCTCAAATTCATCAACAGGTATACCGATACCTGGCCGGCGGGAATTGCTGCCGTCAAGGGCAAATTGATGGATCTGAAGCCATTGGTTTCGCATGTGTTTAAGCTTGAAGAGGCGGTGGAGGCCATGAATATCTGCGCTGACTTGAGTCAGGGTAGTATCAAAGTGCAGATTGTCGATGAGGTTGACATTAATCCAGAGGATATTGAGTATGCTTGATCGAGATATCATCTAGTATGGATGATTCAGAGATTCTTGGCCGCTTCAATCTCGGATGAGATGGCAAGACTGGAATGATGGTCTTGTATGATTCGTGGAAGACTTCGATGTAGCTGACCTTCAGTAACTGGATTAGTAATAGAGGCTTCCAGCATATTTTTCTAGTTCTCTTACGCTCTCCTGTGCTGTTTCATTTCAGTAGCTTTGTACGAATTTTTGCAGGAAGACAAATGACGCTACTTACAAGAGCAGAGCATTCCTAGCTGAAAGCCCCATTCAATCTTGTCAGGCTAGACGATTGGTGAAGCGAACTATTGTCACAGTGATAAGACAACAGAGAGAAGACAAGTTCCAGTAAGCTCTTTTTTCATTTGTAAAAACCCTCCAAACGACCTTCAATGCGAAGTTATCCAGGAATATCGGACCTGATTATGTGCCTTGCTGTGCATGTGCCAACGAAAAACAGATTCGATCCTCAAAAAGTGCGTGTGAACAAAGGAAAATCTCTCCCAGAGGATAAGAGGAATCATTGCTCGATGCCGTTAGGCCGAGTCATATGTCCCACCCTCTGTCATGCTTAAAAAAAAGACGAACAGAACCATGCCGTGTCAAGAAAAAAGGGGTAGTTGGAATCGTTGCAGAGCGCTTAAAAAACATCAAAAGCAGAAGAAAGGGTGAGTTTCTCGCTTAGATGAGGAGAGCAGCGAAACCAGCAACACCGGCAAGAGCCATACCGGCGTTGAGCTTGCCGGCGGCACCGGTGTATGAGGAGGGCATGGACTGAGTGGCAGAGGCACCGAAGCCGGTGGAGGCAGCAGTGCCTTGGGGACCGACGGGGAGGGTAGAGTTGACCATCTGGAAGGGAGCAGAGGTGGGGACAACGGGCATGGAGGAGACAATGGTGTGGCCAACGCTGATCAGGGACTGAGAAATGACAGTGCTGCGAGCAGGGCAGTTGGTGACCTCGGGGCCGCAAGAGGTGATGGTAACCTGCTTGGTGGAGTAGAGGACAACAGTGGAGGGACCCTGTGCAGGAGCGGTGGTGTTCTGGACAGCGGCAACAACAGGGGCCGAGGTGGGAACAACGACAGCGACGGTGGAAGCAGAACGGGCAGGGCAGTTGGTAACCTCAGGCTAAGCGAGGATTAGTTTACATATCTTATGATTTTGATATTTCAAATCGAACTTACACCGCAGGATGTGATGGTCTCGATCTCAGTGGCGTGAACAGTCTGGGTGACGGCGGGGGCAGCAGCGGCAAGGCCGGCGAAGAGAGCAGAGGCGACAACAGCGAAACGCATTTTGATTGATGTGGTTTGGTGTTTGGTTTTTGGAGTTTATGTAAAAAGTCGGGGTAGGTTTAGAAAAAAGGTGGTGAGTTTGGTTTATTAAAGAATGTAGTGATAGTTGGTTTGTAAAGAATGTAGTGATAGTTGGTTTGTAAAGAGTGTAACGACCAAAGTCTGATTATTGTAGTGAGTTGGATGGTGAAGACGAAGGAGAGCAGCTTTGGTTGGAGCAATGCTGTGGTTTATAACTAGGGTGGTGTGTGATCGACGTCGGCCGGGGAATTGTTTGGGAAATTGCGTCCTCCTGTCTCCGACACCCTAATGCAGGTCCATGGCGATCCGAGCTCATGGCTACGATGCAAGGAGATACCGACACGACCGTTGGCTCGAAGCTTCCAGATGGTATTCATATCTCTAGATTGCCGTCTTGCACTGTTGGGAGCATCATTGGTTGCACATTGAGTTGACCTTCCGCTTTCTACGGCAGCCCCAGAAAAACAGCCACCACCAAGCCCCTATACAGTAGATTGACAATAACGATCCCAACCTCGTCGACTCTGCCTATGCCAAGTTGCAACATATTGTGCGACACGCGCGTCTTTCTCCGCCGAGTCATGGAGTGGCTTATGCTAGTGTCTTCGCATGTTGAGAGCATCTTCATTTCGGGAGGACAGATCCAGGCACGCATGTGGGTGAGCACCGTGTGCACAGGCCTGGATTGACAGTCACAATCAATGCACATACTTCCCTATCAGCCCGTAATCGATAGTCTTGCTTTGTTTCGTGAAGACAGGAGTGACCCTCGCTTCTCGCTCCTCAGGCAACAGAAAGGCATCCTGACGTCGATCTCATACTTTGGTAACTCGAATTTGACCGCTGCAAAAGGAGGCACATGGCATTTCCAGAATGGCTTTTGTGGAGGTGAAACTTTGACCATTCTTTGTTGCAAGTTTAAGAGAAGCGAGCGACCGTTGATTGACATATATCACGGCTATCCATCTTCAATCTACCGTTTGGGGGGAATCAACTGCCCTACATACTCGCGACTGCCCGGGAGTCAACATCAACAACGTCTTTCTCAACGTCCAGCGCCCACAAACCACCGCTGTGAATAACCTCCAAAACATGTGACATCCTCGAAATTCAGGAGTGAGTGAAATAATGGGGATGTTCGGCGCCATGCGGAGAATGGTGTGTTTGTTGTGTCAACTGCATTCTTTGGAAAAAAGGCCTTGTTCACTCTTCGGCCACAGCCTAGTCTGACCTTGACTCGACCATCTGGACTTCTGTCGTCAATGCAAAGAAGACTAACAAGCATTTGTGCAACTCTTGTATTCATTTCTAACAAGTAAGGTATAACGACGATGCAGCTTCCCGCAGTGCCTGGTATTTTCTTCTTTCTTTTTCTCGTGATACCGAGTACTTCTAAAGGCAGAGATTATTTTCCAAACCTCGCATTTGGCGAGATGGATTATGATTGCATTGCATCGCTGTAGCTCTTGGCCGCCTGGCTTGCGAAGAAGCGCACGTCGACATCGTCATCAGTCATGAGTTTTTCCAGGTTAGGCATGATCTCTTCGCGGATAAGCTGATCACCCTGGGGACTTCCAGATCCAGTCTTGCCTGTCTTCTCGAGCGATAGAACCGTTGACTCGGTGTCAGGCAAGCGCTTCAAGACATCAACCAGCACAGCATATGATTTTGCGACGTTGAATCTGATGTTGGGAATCTGGTCGGACACGAGGTTTGACAGGATAGGGAAGATGGACTCTTGGATGACTGGAAGAGACAATGCAGGGGCGAGAGTCTGATGATAATTAGCAAAGAGTCGGCATCATGAAGTTCATCAGCATTGACTTACCGAGACTGCAAAGCAGGTGGTCATGCGGTACAGGTAGTTAGGGTGGCCGCCCATAGCAACAACCTTAGGAACGATGGCCTCATTTGCCCACTGCACACCAAAGACATCCGTGAGCTTCTTCAAATTCTGAGTACTGGCCTCGCGAATGCTGAAGACGGTGTCACCAAGCCAAGACATGCAAAGGCTAGAAAGCTTCTCATCGAAAAACTTGACACCGAGCTGAGAAGCCAGGAGAGGAAGATGTTGGATGATTGCCAATCTGACGCGCCACTGCTTGTCTTCTGCGAGCTGGACGATAGCAGGGAGAAGCGACTGTGAGAGGAGCTCGATACCAATGACGTCGTTGACGAGCTCAAGCTTGGAAATGATGTTCAGGCGAACATCGGGGAACTCGTCCTTGAGCATCTGGAGGAACATGGGAAGGAGGTGTTCGGTGGTCTCCTGCTTGCCGAGAATAGGAGCCAGACCACTAATCTGGGTACCGAACGAGGCACGCACTTGTTGCGATGAGTCGGAGACGAGCTCCTCGACAGCGGGCATGACTTCCTGAAGCAGAACGTCTCTCTCGATAAGAGCACAGAATCCAGGTATTTGGCCAGCAATGGCAGTTCGGACTTCGGCTTCGGTATCTTTGAGGAGCTTGATGAAGGCGGGTACAAGGTCACGGCTGACAACCTCGTCGTCGACGGCCTTGGCGATCTGAGAACTAGTCAGTATGACAATCGCGAGAGCCGGTAGCAGAACAAACAAACCTTCTCGAACTTCTCTGCAACCATGTAGCGTACTCTCCAGCTCTTGTCCTCGAAAAGACTTCTCAGTGCGGTGAGAAGGACGCCGTGGCTCGATTGCTGCTCCTTGGGGACGGTCTCTGCAATTGCAACCAGAATCTCAACAGTCAAGAGACGAACACTGTCCTGATCGTCGCTGGCGAGGTGCTGGAAAAGAGGAATCATCTCCTCGATGACAACATTCGGCGGCATGACGCGTAAGAACTTGGCCAAGTTGATAGCAGCCTGTCTGCGGACCATGGGAGTATCATCGTGAACGAGCTGTGCAAAGCCTTGTCTCAGAGACTCTTGTGTTTGGGGATCGGTCTTGGTGTATGCGACCTTGTAGACGCCGGTAGAGGAGATCTTTGCGGTGAACCAGTCTGCTTTTGAGAGTCTGCCGATCAGGGGAATGAAGTACTGATCGATCTGTTCGGTTGATAATTGTTCGCAAATCTTGTTGAGTGACTCGACGGCCTAGAAGTTGTCAGTAAATCTGCAGTGGTGTGTCACGAGTGGGAAAGCTGACTTTATCTCTGACAAGCAGCTCCTCAATGGCAGCGAGATTCTCAAGAGGAGAAAGCAGCACGTGAGCGTACTCCGGACCACCAACGTACTCGACGAAACCACCGAGCTCGTCGCTGAGAGCGGTCAGGACCTCGTCCTCGTCCTCGACGGATTCTTTTGTAAGACGTTAGTGATTGATTCCTCGAGCGGCTATGGCATGGCATGGGGGGCGGTACCATCAAGGAAGGGTATGAGCTCATCTCTGGTGCGCTCAGGGCCGAGAGCGAGGGCGATGGTAGACAGACGGCGGATAGCGTTCAGTCTGAGCAAGACGTCGTCATGCTATTGAAGGGGTCAGAAGCGGTGTTATGGAAATAGAGTTTCGTAGATTGGCGGACCTTGAGCTCGTCAATGAGGACGGCGATGGGGTACAGCTCGTCGTTCTGTTGCGCATCCATGGTGGGCGATTTGAGCTTTGTATTTGGGAAAAGAGCGTCGTGGGCAGACGTACAGCCCGCGGGAAAACAGCTTTGCGCGTGTCAGTGGTGGTTGACTTTGTTGATGCTGTGTGCGCAGGAAGGTGATGTGCGGCGTTGATGGTGTAATTAGAGAGGGGGGCCAGTAGACGTGTCGGAGGAATCGTCTAGCGGTGGAGCGTACCTGTTTACAGGGGCGACAGCTGGATGTTGGTATAGTGCGACGGGGAGCTTGTCGGGTCGACAAAGGCGGCGACGGTAGGTACGAGTATGATTGATTGGGTGGAAGTGCGTGACGGAGGAGGCTGTTTGCTGCTGTCGCTGTTGCTCGACGCTGCTGCCATCTGGAGTTTCTGGCGGCGCCGCCAAGCCCGACTTTGCTGTCCCACCTTGCGACGCCGTTCTGGTCTATGATTCACCCGCATACCAATTCAAGAAAATTATATCCCGACCCAAGGCATCTACACCGAAATGCCTACTATCTCGGTTGACAAGGCCGAGCTCTTCAAGGCTCTCGGCAAGAAGTATGCTGTCCTCGAATTCCACCATCAAACAAAAGACTCGTCTAACTCTGTCCAGCTACACTACCCAAGAGTTCGACGAGCTGTGTTTCGAGTTTGGTACGTCTCTGTTGTCATGCCTATCGTTACTGTCTCTTGCTAACCTTTTGTCTCTCAGGTATTGAACTCGATGAAGACGTACGCATTCCCCCAGCCTACCATGCTCATACCTTCTCGGACGCTTCCTGATGCGCATCGCAGACTACCGACTCAAAGCGCCCTGTTGTCGATGGCGTCGAGGAGCCGCCGCAGCTCAAGATCGAGATCCCTGCCAACCGCTATGATATGCTCTGCTTCGAGGGCATTGCCATGAACCTCAATGTCTTCCTCGGAAACATTCCCCCTCCAAACTACCGCCTGGTCGCTCCCAAGGATGGCGAGATTCAAACCGTTACCGTCAAGGAAGAGACGTCACAAATCAGACCTTACTTCTCATGCGCCGTTCTGAGAAATATCAAGTTCACAAAGGCCCGCTACGAATCCTTCATCGCCCTTCAGGACAAGCTTCACCAGAACCTGGCCAGACAACGCACCCTTGTTGCCATTGGCACTCATGATCTCGACACAATCAAGGGTCCTTTCACCTACGAGGCCCAAAAGCCAGAGGACATCAAGTTTGCTCCCCTGAACCAGACCAAGGAGATGACCGGAAAGGAAATGATGGAGTTCTACGAGAAGGACAAGCACCTTGGGCGTTACCTACACATCATTCGCGACTCGCCTGTATACCCAATCATCTACGACAGCAACCGCACCGTTCTCTCCATGCCCCCAATCATCAACTCAAACCACTCCAAGATTACTCTCGACACAAAGAACGTCTTCATTGACATTACAGCCACCGACAAGACCAAGCTGGAAATCGTTAACCACATGATTGTCTCCATGTTTTCTCAGTACTGCGAGGAGCCCTTCACCATTGAGCCTGTCAAGATCATCTCTGAGCACAACGGCCAGACTCGCGAGGCTCCTGACCTCACTCCTCGCACCACCCAGGCCGAAGTCAGCTACATCAACTCTATTTGCGGTCTCAAGCTTCAACCTCAGGAGATCTGCGACATGCTCAAGAAGATGTGCTATCACGCCAAGCCCTCATCGACACCGGACATTCTCGACGTCGACGTCCCAATCACCCGTGCCGATGTCCTGCACCAGGCCGACATCATGGAAGACGCCGCCATCGCCTACGGCTTCAACAACCTTGAGCGCCGCTTCGTCTCAGCAACCACCTCCGTCGGAGCCGCCCTCCCCATCAACCGCCTCGCCGACATTGTCCGCAACGAAACAGCCATGGCCGGCTGGTCAGAAGTCATGCCCCTCATCCTCTGCTCCTACGACGAAAACTACACATGGCTCAACCGCGCCGACGACAACCTCGCCGTCCGCCTCCAAAACCCAAAAACACAAGAATATCAAATCGTGCGCACAAGTCTGCTACCCGGTCTCCTCAAGACCATTCGTGAAAACAAGCATCACTCTGTCCCCATGAAGATCTTCGAGGTCAGTGATGTCGGGCTCAAGGATGAGAGCTGTGAGAGAAAGAGCAGAAATGAACGTAGATTTGCCGCTTGTTGGTATGGCAAGAGCTCGGGCTTTGAAGTCGTTCATGGTCTGCTCGATCGTATCATGTTGATGTTGAAGAGCGCTTTCATCACCAAGGAGGAGGGTCTTAGCAACCCTGCTGTCAAGGGTTACTGGATTGAGGAAGTTGATGGTAAGCTGGCTCACCCTTGAAATATCACGACTGCTTTTTATGTGAATCCAAGCTAATGTGCTTTTGCAGACCCGACTTTCTTCGCCGGCCACTCGGCAGCTATTTTCGTCAAGCTTGGTGACAAGCCTCAAAGAGTCGGCACTTTCGGTGTCATGCACCCGACAGTACTCAAGAACTTCGAACTGCCCTTCCCCGTCTCTGCCATGGAGATTGAGCTTGAGTGGTTCCTGTAGAGAATTATCCGAGACTTTTTTGTTGAGTAAAATGCAGTAGATATCCCGGTGTTCTTGAAAAAAAAAAGAATGGACTCGAATAGAATGGAAAAAGATCTTCTTGCATAAGCGTTGACTGATGAAAGTGAGCTATTGATTGAAATGCTCGGTGCGTGGACGTTATGCTATGCTTTTCTAGCTCTCGATGATTGTGCCTGTTTTTTGGGGCTGCCTATCTGCTTTCCACTCAGGGGTATAACTAGTTTTTGCCTTTCCTTTGCCCCATAAAAACGCCGTTTTCCTATGCATTGTAAAGAACAAAGAGTGATCAGATGGAAGCTTCGATGGCATCCAGCATGTCAACCTCCTTGTCCTCGTCATCGTTCTGTTGTTCCTCGGTGTCAACAACTTCGACTTTGACTTCCTTGTCCTCAGGAATCTCAATCTTGACATCCTCTCCCTCCATATCAACATCTCCAGCGTCTTCAACACCCTGCATAACAACCACAGCTTTCACCCCCATCTCCTTGTCCTCTTGACTCTCCCTCGGAGGCGTCAGATAATGGAACTCGACCGTTCCACCCACACCACCAGCTTTGATCTCTCTAGCTCTCAGTCTAGCCCTCTCGATTATCTCTTTCTCTTCCTTCTCCAACACCCTCATGAAATCAGCATTTTGCGTAATCTCAAATCTCGTATCTTCGATTTGGAGCTTAGCCCAATCGTGATGCTTGAGGCATTTTTTCTTTGTGCAGGGTTCTTGTTGTGTAGGGGTGGCGTTCGTGCTAGCATCCATATCCGCATCTTCGTCTTCATCGGGTAAGGGCAGACTGCCAATGTTTAGAGCTTCTTTGCCGGCGGGAGAGGCTCTCCATGTGTCGAATTCGTCTTCTCCCCATGTGAGACGAGAGTCGAAGCCGCAGAGGTCTTTGGGCTTCAGGTTTCTGTGATCGGCGAGACGGGACGCCACGGTCTTAAGCATGGCGACGAATTTCGCGCGGTCTTTGAGGAGGGCGTGGCGGTCGCGAGCGGTGGATTTCAGGTGTGTGAGTTGAATGATACGTTCGTGTTCGATGTCGTTTAGAGCGGATTCGTGGGATAGGGGTGTTTCCCTCGTTTCTTTCTTTGTGGTGCTGGCGGCTGGTGAGGTGGCGGTGATTGGTGAGAGGGAGCCATCGCCGAGACTCTTTAGACCTTCAAGGGTGGGTGCGGTGAGGAAGAGGGCTTTGAGCTCGCCTGCGCTGATGATGCCGCCTCTAGCGCCCAAGTCTTCGTTTGCGGTTTGCTGGCCCTTCTTCGCTCTGCTGGTTGTTTCTGTGCTCTTGCGAGTTCTTTCTGATATCATCTCCTGCATGAAGAGGAGGCCACATCTGTCTGAGCAGTACTTTGTACCCTTTGACACCAGAGCAGGCATACCGCAACCATTGCGACGGCACATTCTCTTCCACGTCGTTTCACCCCGGCCCTTGGCTTTGCAAGACTCGCAGATGTACTTGTCGATCAAAGTCTTCCACTTTTCCGAAATCTTAACGCAGCTTCCGTGGAACCAGTCATCGCAGCCACCATCACATCCTATCATGAAAGTACCGGTGTCAGGCCGCTTGCAAATACAGTAGAGCTCATCATCCGAGATGGCTCCACCATCCTCCTCTTCTTCTCCCTCTTCTCCAGAGAATTGTTGGTCGCCATTTCCATCGGGGTCAGGTGAGGATCTTGCTGGCGAGGAAGCAGCGCGCACGGAGCGTGGTGCTGGTGAAGATTGAGCAGGTGTAGCGGCCGTAGAAGCGACAACCTTCTTCTTGTGGCTGCGCTTAGCAGGACCGACGGCACTACGCTTAGTAGTGGCAGCTGCTGCGACGCCCTTCTTCTTGTGGTGGCTTCTCTTGGGAGGCGCCGGCGCAGGTGTTGTGATTAGGCCAGGCATCTCGGTCGAAGGTACTGGAACCGATGATTCGCGTAGTGGCGACTGTGTGCGCGAGCTGTGTTCGTGTTTGAGGGTTGCGATGGTCGAGTTCTCCGGCACTTGGCGGATCTGTGTTGTTGTGGCTTCTTGTCTGATGTATGAGGGTTCGCGGTTGTCCGAGATCTGCTGGGCTACGCTCGTTGAGTCCGAGGAAGAAGCATCGATGGGACGTAACAAGTGGGAATCGTCGTGGCCGGCTCCCTCCTCCCGCGCGGATTCCTTTGCTTGGTTGGAAGGCGGTGCAATTGATTGAGTGACATCGCCCGTCACTGAGGGGTCAGAAACCATGGTCGCATTCATTTCTTGGAGTGTTGTTGGTGTCGTAGACTCGACGCCTAGCATATCCTCAGCCGTCGACATGACAAGTTGCTTCACATTTGACTTGCGTCAGAGATGGAAAGTGAAGATGCATGTGAAATCAACGCCTCGAGCTTATATATTTAGACCCCTTTGAGCCTAGTCTGGTCCGGGGTTTGCATAACATAAAATCTTGTCATAACTCGTGATATTGTACTCGTATGCATGGGAGCGAATTTATCTACTGCATGCTCCTTTGTCAAACAATCTTCTAATCGGTCGACCTTCAATCGTCGTCGCTGCTCTCGTCGCTGGTTCCACCTCCTTCTCGCACTTCGGTCCTGCGACGTCGACCCTTCTTTTGCGTCTGTGCAGCCTGCTCCGCTCTTCTCTTGGGCACTTCATTCGTACCCAGACTGCGTTCTAGTGCTCTTTCCAGCTCGGCTTGGTCGTCTACTTCGCCATAGACCTGTCTCACCATTCCTCTGACTCCTGTGTCGCCTATCTCTGTCCTTCCGCGAGGACCGACTGTCCATTCGACCGTTTCTTCTCCACTTGTGTTGTCGCGGATCTTGATAACGTATCCGTCCTTCTCCATACGTTTGAGCAGCTTCTCCGTCTTGTCTCCACCGCTGACCATGATGTTGACACTGTTTTGCGCCGCTGCCTCTTCCACATCGACTCTCTTGAGATAACGTTCCAGCTTTCCGTCGGGCAGCATGCCGCCGTTGAGCAAGATCAGAGACACGACGAATGTGTATAGTCCAGTATATTGAGACTCGAGCTCTGCGGTTGGCGCTTGTGATGGAGGCAAGATCTCAGCTTGACGGAATCGTTCAGGCAGTACAGATGTCAAGATCCAGGATCCACTGCTCTTCTGTGTAGTTTGCGATTTTTGCGCCGCTCTTCGTTGTGCAAGTGTGACCTTCTCTCGGAGAGGTAGTTCGGTCATTTCCATGCCAAATGTTCCACGAAGTTGAATTTGGGCTTCATTGAAGACGGCTTTGAAGTGACGTGCATTTGTACCGAGGACTTTGGCGGTAATATCGGCGCGTCTGACTGGAGTCCTGGAGTATTCGCATGCGAGGACTAGGCGGACCATGTTCTTCACCATGGCGTCGAAATTGCCATCTCCTTGTACAGCGCTGACGTCGCCGCCAGCGAACTCATCCTCATCAGGATCGGACACTCTGCGTCGTTGTGTTTGTCTAACATGTCCATCTAAGTCCTCTGGCTCCTCGTTGGCTGGCTACAGATAAGGCATTAGTTCTTTTGGAGTACGCTTTATATTGAGCTAACTACTCACTGCACGACGCTTTCGAGTTGGAGGCATCTCAAAAGTAAATCGAGTGGATAATGAAACGGAGTGATTCGGAAATGTGTATAATGAACAAGGCACACGCGTGAGTCGCGACTTTCTGCTGCAAGTTGACGCGATTGACAACGGAGCTAAATTGACAACGGAGCTAAATTGGCTGGAGATGGCGGAGATAAGACAAGCAGTCCTTGGCACTTTCGACATGTCGAAGGAAGCAACCAAGTCGGTCGCGAAAGTTATCAAATACCAACACAATTATTACAAAATGGCAGACAAGCTCCGTACCACACAGCAGCTCGAGGCGCTCCAGAACAAATTCGTCGGAACCGGACACGCCGACACCACTAGATTTGAGTGGACATCCAACATTCAGCGCGACAGTCTGGCCTCGTATGTCGGCCACCCGCCTCTACTCTCATACATGACTCTGGCCATGGGCGAGGGCACTCGTGAAGAGATGCGCGTCAAGCTCATCGAGAAGATGGTCAGGCCCGTCGGTCCTCCTCCAGAGGCTAGTATCCGAAGAGCTCGTTTTCGCTTTCTTCGGCGACTGACTTTATGCCAGACAAGAGATCAGGAGTGATCTGCCACCACATCCTTGAACAAGCGCGTTCGACATCACACACACCACACTGCCGGCTGTCTTTCGTCAGCATCCAGCGCCGCTTCCATAGCGTTATCACGACTGCCACGACACGCACTGATCGCTTTTTCGGACACAACAGACGGCTCGTTCATATTGCAAGAGGCAATAGCCTGACCTCTGCGCAGAAGCCAAGAGGTCGACAGAGAAGCAAGGTCACAACAGAAAGAATCAAATGGCATCGAGCCGTAGTCTTGTCCCTTCTGTAGGCTTTCTTTATGCACAGATCAAATGAAGAAGATCAACCTCCCAAAACGCCTGGCCATGCTCGTAGTGTAACCCGTCCTGATGCTCCTATGTCCCGATTCTATCCGACGGTGGGAAAGAAGGCATGCGACTAATCGCTGTCACTGGCACTACCAGCACCAGCGTCGTCATCATCCTCTTGTACGACATCATCACCAGCCAGCATAGTAAACTCTGCCTTTTGTAAGATACTCCTGACCTCGGTGTTGCGCGGGTCTGTGAGGTCGATAGGGCGCAGCTTGGCCTTGTTGCGTATCCTGCATGTCCTCGTCAGTCTTATAGTCCACTTCAAACGACACTTGTACCACACACCTAGGATCGCAACCAGCGTCAATCAAAATTTCCACAATAGCCTGACCCTCTTCCCACTCCTCCTTGCTCAAACTGTTGACATATCTGACAGCCTTGTGCAAACACGTATCTCCCTCTCTTCTCTCTACACCGTCAATCTCCACACCCTCCTGATCCAGCAGCATGTCCAGAACCTCGTAGGAGCCATACTGTGCGCCAATGTGCAGAGCTCCACTGCCCAAAGCGTCAGTTGCAGTGTTGAGGAAGTTTGCCGTCTCCTCGGTAGACTTGAAGTCGGACAGGACTGTGGAGAGAAGATCGGTGTTGTTGCGTCGACATGCTTCGAGTAGGAGTTCGCGGGATGAGGCACCCTGGGACTAATGTGTTAGCGGTTGCTTGCTGCTGACTAGTTGGTGTTGATTACTTCGTCTGCCATGATGTGTGTGATGTGCGCGGAACTGTCGGCACTATTACGGAATAGGGCGGATAGTTGGCTACAAGGAAGCCGGAGAGCAGTGAGCGTCGAATGAGATAGTTGAGATTGTAGCGTAAAAGTAGTTGGCAGCTCCTTTATTGGTCTGGTTGCTGTTCGGGGACGCTGCACGGACCTTCTGTTCACCGAGGCTCCAGAATCTGACATCCAACCTACCCTTTGTTCGTGCTGTAGCAAAAGCCATACAATTCTCAAGTAATCTTACAGATGCTCCAGGGAGTCCACTCGCGGATAGAGACAGCCGATGATTCAGTCGAGTGTAGCCTGTTCCAGGTACTGTCGTCAGTCAGCGACCTGGATGCTTTCGTCGACGATGTCAGGAATCTAGCCAGTGTCGTACTCAATGCCGAAGCTGCTGAATTGGGTGACTGTGCTCTTGTAGAAGTACTTGAATTCGGGGGCGGTGGTGTATTCATACTTGATGATGTCTTCTTCGCCGCCAAGAAGGACTTCGGCCTCGAATGCTCCAAGGTAGGTCGGATCGAACCTGACCATCATGGCGTCAACAGAACACTACACCACTAGAAAGGTTTATCTCTCTCATTTCATTATGCTCGATATCTCCAGATCGGGGCAAGAAGATGGAAAGCAAGGGACGAGCTCATGCATGCTTTAATCATACGCAAGGAGGCCTCGCCATGAACTATATAAGGCTGCTGCTCACCGCTGCATCTCTTTCCTTATCGAACTCTTGGACATCCTCTTAGAGGAACAGCAACAAAGTCTTCTCACTGCTCCCCAGACGCTGTGGACATCTTGCGTCGCCGAGACACACGTCGCGAACAAGGCGAACGTCGTAGAGACATATCAGCATCTATCCGAGCCCCTCTACAGGACCTTGAGTAATATCACAAGCTTGAGATAGGAGGACTGGCGAGAGAAGAAGATCAAGAAGAAGGTAATTGGACAGCGGGTGCTTGTAAATTGCTATTTGGTTTCACGACTCCCAGACTCATGAGCCCCTTGCTTGGACACAGCTTCTGTCATCGATACAATAGCAGGTATAAGAAGAATGGTTTTCAAGGTCAAACAAGTGGCCTATCAGGTGCAGCATTACGACATCTCTGGGTAGGGTAGGTGAGCCGAGCCAACACCCAGCATCACTTCTCCCAGCTTCTTCCAACCAATCACCGCCAAGCCAAATCTCTGGTATCATATTGAGCCCAATCAGCAATACTCCCATCGAACAGGCTCTCTGGCGCAATCGGACAAAGGTCGAGCTCGTGTTTCCTGTCCAGCGCCAGCACTCCTGTTCGATCTCCGCCTGAGGTCCCAGTAATCCTCACCCGCCACAAATTATGAAGAAAGGAATGCGAGTACTTTCTCTCCCCCCTAGCGTTCGGCAGCTGGGGGGTTTCTGTTTTGTCGATTTTGTGTAAAGAGATGGACGTGTTGTTTTTCTTTTGCGCGTGAGTAATGTGGTATAGATGATTTGGTTGTGGTGGTTTGAAAGGTCGTGACTGCCATCTCATCGATTAAGCTCACCTTACGCCGACCCAAACGTCGACGTTCAAGCTCTGAGCCAGCCAACCACATCTCACCTACGATCTTCTTAATTGCTTCTAGCCATCCATCCATCCATCCATCCATCCATCAGAGCATATAGATCCACATCCTCAGCCATACCTGTCTCCTGCAAGCCTGGCTGCGGCCAAAAACTCCTCATGATCAACGGCTGCACCAAACTCATTAGGAAGGATCCATCATCGGTCACTCAGACGCCATGGAGATTTGGTCAAGATCTTAACGACATCTATGGTTTGAACAATTCACTTTCGACAGCTTGATTCCAGAGGGTGATCAGGAGGAGTTTATGATTCATGTTTAAATGCTAGTTATGTGCTTGCAGTCCGCCCCTTGAATGAAGAGCAGCTGGCTGAGAAGGATGGATAGACAGTCATGAAGGTGTGTTAGCTGTGTGCACAAATAAACAATCTCAATTGAAAGCTCGATTGGAGCACAAAAGCTGGCGCCCTACGGCATAGGATATTGCGTCACATCCACACGTGAATATCCCAGTGCATGGGTTCACAGTTGATATCTGCAATGACAAGCACGCCTCTTCGATCACGATGGACAAAAGAACTTTGTTCGGATAGTCTACGATCAATTGAACATCTTTAGTGCTCTGATATATGCGTGATGCCATCTCGGGCACAGTTTTGACGATATACAAAAGGAGGAAAAAACAAGACAGGGTGATGACCTCAGCATTTCCACTTTTCCAGTTTCCGGAAAGTCACAATGAATCGACAATTCCTTCTCTCTGCACACCCCCCAAAATACGTCTCGCTCCCGTTCGTTGGATATCATGTGACCCTTTCCGTCGCGCTTCAGTCCAGAATGAGATGCATGAGTACACGACTAGCGCCCACGAAACGTAGATATGCCAACTTCTTGTCATGCAAGAACATGTCCGAGGTGTGAGAGATGCCGTAGACTTTGAGTAGAGCATTGGTCTGTTCAGCTGTGGAGTACATGTGTTAGCGTCAAGGGACAGAGAAGCAAGAAGGCCAGGACATACCATTCAGATTTCTGACATCTTGACCAGTGACAGGGACGTTGGCTTCTTCTTCAGCTTGTCCATCTTGAAGAGGAAGCATCTCAAGTCCATCTTCAAGAGTAGTTGCCTTGTGATTGACAGCACGTTTTTCTTGTCGGATACTGCAGAGTCTCGTCAGTAACCAATTCTTCCTTGAGATCGAAGCTGTAACCATACCGCGCGACTTCATCTTCCTCACCATCCTTGAACGTCCATTCAACAAAAGACGTCAACGCGTAACAGTCTCTCGATATACGTTCTGCAAAACCAAGGACACCCAAAGCAACACTGTCAAGCTCCTTTCTCTGTCCAAAAGCCAAGGCGTCGAGATCTCTCAGGGTATTAGGACCATCTAAGTGACCGATGACACTTGTGGCACCAATGCGGCTCAAGTCATCAGGATACTCTAATAACGTTCGAGTTGTCGTCATGTCGAGATTCCGCATCACAGCCTGGGGAGCGACTGCATATCTCATCCGTTGAGGTGCGCTCGTAGGACCCATATTCTGAACCAGTTGGTAGGGAGGAAACACGGGTATGTTGCTTCTCGGAATCGACTCGCTGGATAGCGAAGGATAAGGTGCATGTCTCTGTATTTGCCTCTTCTGCAGTCCATGCTTCTTGAGCCATTTCTTACTGTTGCTGCCACGTGCTTTTCCAGTAGCCATTTGATCGCCCAAGGGTGTGCCGCCACGGTGGAATACCATGGCGGGTGGTGGCTGCACGCATTCTGACGTCATGTCTTCGGGGGGTACAGAGACACTACGACGGTGTCCGAGCATTTGATGGCGCATGGGTTCGAAAGATTGAAAAGGTTGCTCTTGATCGGGAAAGAAGCTTTGGTTGGAATGAGGGCTGAAGATGTTGTAGTCGAAGGGGAAGAGAGCTGGATCGTTGTTAAGGACAGGAGGAGCGTTTTGAGGTGAGCTCAGGAGACGTGGGTCGACATTATTGGAGCTGTTGTCACAGGGCGGTTTTTCTGGAAAGTCGGTGTAGTGTGTGAGGGAGTAATTGTCCATGTCGTTTGTGTAGAAGGAGTCGTCCATTGGTGCAGACATTGTTGTCGACGTGATAGATGGAAAACTACAGTTGGGATTTACAGCAGTTGAACATCCATTTATTATGATCCCCAACAGCTTTTTCGTAGCAGCGCTCCATGTTCGCGTTCTTTGTTCTTCTTACCGCCAGGTATGGTTGAGACACGGCAGTCGCATGGTAAGCCCGCGGTTGGCTGGGTGTTCAGACATGCAGCTGAGACTCGGAAGGCTGCACTGCTGGACCCGGAACATGTTTCTGAGCAAGAGCCTAGACTGTGCGAAATTGATGCCCAACATGCAAAGAGCGGTCATCGCAATATACTCTTGCAAACGGAATATCTGTGAGAAGAATGTAGCGATATTGTATATGTCAAGTCCAAGACAGACTGGATGACTTTGTTTTCGTATGTTGTACTATCGTCATCGCAAAAGGGTATCATCACGAGGAATACGAAACCTCCAGACCGACCGAGCCAATTATATTGTCCTTTCTCTTGAAGTTGAGATCGGCACCTATACTGACCAGCAGATCTTTGATGCGACCTTCCCAGAGCAGACCAATTTTTCCATGCTGGTTGACCCTCGCTTTGAAAACACTGTCAACTTCTTGAAAGTTGTTTTGCTGCAGGATGTCTTTTGTCAACTTGTTCTCCAAGAACCTCTCTTGAGGTGCAGACGGCGCTTTGGCTTCAACAGGCAGAGTGTCCCCTGTTTCGAGCGGCTTTCTGCGCCATAGCTCAAGGCCAAGTTGGACATCAGATTCGTAGCTGTAGATGTTGAAGTCGAAGCGGGAACTCAAAGCAACATCAGGGCCAGCTTTCACAGCATAACTTGAAGAGATGTTGCCCATAAGCGGGTTCGTGGTCAGAGCCATGGTATATGGAAAACCTGCATGTGACGGCAGAGTTGTGAAGCGAATAGCAGTAGACACACCGCCAGACTTGTTGAGCGGAGAGAAGTACAGCTCGGCGCCAGCGCTCAGACGGCCGAATTGAGGATCGATTGGTATGCCGTTGCCTCTGGGACTTATGACCCGAGGGATTGTGCGAGGATCGAGACCGAAGTTGTACAGACCGCGAATACCCATCAAGCAGCTGTCGGTTGAGAAGAGGTACTCTGTCGAGTATTTGGCATGGTCATTCTGCAGCTGGGCCAAAACAGAGCCACCATTGGGCAGAGCCGAGTCGGAGACACACGATAGGCGAAGCAGGCGCGAAGGTGATATGCGACGCAGATACAAGGCCTCAAGTGTTGATGTGGGCAGGTACAGGCGACCGTACAGCAGAGTGTCCTTCTTGTCTATCCTCCTTCCAGCCTGCCAGATCTCCCACAAGAACTTCTCGTCGGGGCGTCGCAGCTCTGGAAGATGTCTGTATCCCCTCACCAGATTGCGCAAGTCTATGATACTGCTCTGCGAAGGAATGCGCACGGGCAGGGACGAGTATAGGAAGGAAATGGAGCCGTCTACAAAGCCTCTATTGGAGAGAGTGTACGATGTCGCAAAGCTGGGTGCTGAAAGTGACGAGATGCGAAGACGAAGACCGTGAGGGGTTTGGAAGTCAAGCAGGGCTTGAACAATGGTCAGCGCGACGATAGAGGAAAGACACGAATGGGCGATGATGCCTACCATTGGCCGTAGCCGTCAAGGTGCTATACGAATTGTCATGATCCCACAGCGACGCCGAGTAAAAGGCATTTTGGACATAGTCCATGAACTCGATCATCTCATCTATATCATGACTACGCGACAGGAAGAGTGATCGATCAGGGGATTATACTTGTTGGTGGAGAGATGGATGCCGTCAAACACATGCACAATCGTGTCGGCAGTCGGAGCTTTGATGCGCTGCTTCCCCGCAAAAAGAGATGGTCCTCCATCCAATTTTTTTTGTACCATTCGCCAGCGAGTACAGATTCCCGTCGCAAAATAATCATCCTCATCGAAACACCCCAAAACCGCTCAACATGCCCAAGTCAAAGAGATCCAAGGTCGTGCACATGACCCAAGTCCAGAAGAAGGACAAGGAACTCCGCACAAAGCTCTTCGACAATGTCCGCGAGGCCGCCGACAAGTTCTCCCACATCTACGTCTTTGGCGTCGAGAACATGCGCAACACCTACCTCAAGGACGTCCGCACCCACTTCTCAGACTCGCGCATCTTCTTCGGCAAGACAAAGGTCATGGCAAAGGCCCTGGGCATGACCGACGCCGAGGAATACCAACCCGGCCTCTCAAAGTTGACCCCCTACATCGATGGCTCCGTTGGCCTTCTCCTCTCCGACCGCGAACCCACAGAAGTCCTCGAGTACTTTGAGAACTACTCCGAGATCGACTACGCCCGCGCCGGTGTCAAGGCCACCAGAGACTTCACCATCCCCGCCGGTGTCGTCTACTCGCGCGGTGGTGATATCCCCGTCGAAGAGGATGTCGCCATGCCTCACAGTCTGGAGGTCACCGTCAGGAAATGGGGCATGCCTACCAAGCTCGACAAGGGCAAGGTCATGCTCGACGGCGACTACGAACTCTGCAAGGAGGGCCGCACCCTCAACAGCCACCAGACTGCTCTGTTGAAGCTCTTTGGTGTCGCCATGGCCGAGTTCAGAATCCAAGTCAAGGCTTACTGGAGCCAGGCTTCGGCTGAAGTCACCCCTGTCGAGGCCACCGAGGCCATGGAAGAGTAAATATGGACCCTGAAAGCAGTAGAAAGGAATCAAAAGCAAATGAAGGGAAGGGGAACCAAGAGACACACAAGCCGGCAAATGGGTTATGGCTGGTGAGCTTGCATGAGCGAGGCGCTCTGGCGTTTAATATGGTCGGGTGTTTTTCATCTTTTTCTGTACTGGCATCTACTTTGGAACAAGTGGCCCAAAATTCATTAGTTGTTGTTGAGATCAGAAAAGTTTGGTCTTAGCATGTGAGAGACATTGATATCATGATGAAAAGAAGTTTTCGAATTATGAGATTTTGCACAAGAGCATATGCTGTCAACTGTGATCAAGCCTAGCACAGGGAATCTGTTTCAATTGTGGTACTTTCTGTTGCTAAGATGTGATGCAAGACGTAAAGGTTAGGAACGGCTGGAAGGCTAGTTTGACAGTATCTTGCAGACTGATGTCGTCGATGCATATGAGCCCATCCCTCAAATTCTGAGGCAGGGCAAAGTCGAAAAACACATGTTCAGAAAGGTAACCAGGAGCATCGAGTTTGATCATAAAGCCATGTCTTTTTGATTCCCTCATGTATGTTCGCGACACAACGTAGCCTCGAAGACGTTTTTCATTGCAAGTTTTTTTTGTTGTGATGAAAAAGTGTTCGCCTATTGACCACCCCCAGAAGCCAGATCTTTTATCGTCCGAGGGCCGTTCCGTAGAGTAAGCATGATCAAGTGCTACTAAAGTTTCCCCTTTCTCTGCGCCGGTTCTGCTTGAAAGAAAAGTCGAATTAACCACTAACAACCGAAGAAATCGCTTATGCCTCGGTGGTGATCTTGGCCTTGGCGTTGGTGACCTTGACACCGAGCTGCTTGGCGCGGGCGACAATGTCGATGCGCTTGCGGGCAGAGACGGCGTGAGAGATCCTGTAGTGTGCTTGTTAGAAACTGTATGTCTGGCTGCGGAGAGCGAGGCTCGATTGCTCTTGCTCTTGCCCGGTGGGATGAGGATGGCGTACTCAGCGGCGTAGGTGCGGTTGTGCATGAGGAGAAGGTCGAGCTCGCGGACGTTGTTGACGAGGAAAGCCTTGTGGCCGGAGGGCATCATGTGGCGGGTCTTCTTGTTGGAACCGTAACCGATCTTGGGCATGACGGCCTGTCCCTTGAAGCGACGGCGCATGGCATTATCGATACCCTTGGGCTTTCTCCAGCTGGGGTCAACACGCATGAAGCGGTCCGACTGGTGGCGGATGAAGCGCGCAGTGCCTGCAATTCCATCACTGTCAGCGACGGGTTCCCTGTTTCTTCTGCTCCTTCGTCGTATCTATCATGGCGGCACTCGCTGGGTCTGGGATGTGTGCGGTCGGTGTTCCTTGGACGGGCGGGCGGACGTACGCTTCTTGACGATAGGGACATGCTTCTTTGCGGCGGGCATCTTTACGAGGAATCGATGTTAGTGATGTTGTTTCAGCGGAAGAGCGAGCGAGTGGTATATCGTACTGTGTCGGTTTGGGCGAGTTGTCGTTGGTCGCTGGTCGAGTCGTCGGTCAATCTCGAAGTGTGCGAATTTTCCACATCGCACTTTCCTCGCTTAGCGTTGTGGCATGCCCCACTTATTTCCACTTTCGGCAAAATCCCTTCTCCCATCGCTTCACTTCTGAAATGCTCGACCTCTGGATATTGAGCATCGTGAACAATGCTGTCTAGTGGCATCAATAGTCGTGCAAGGTGAATGAATTACTGGGTCAACGGCCATCGATGTTCGGCAAACAGAATGTGGTGAGCAGTAGCTTAAACGACTTGGATATGTTACTCCATGCATCCGACCTGTTTACTAAGTGCTTCTTGTAGCAGACATATGTTGGACAGCGAGCACAACCAAGGAAATATGGATGCAACTGCGCCAAATGTCATGATCATTACTACGCTATTTGAGGACTGAAAGAATAATTGATTGAGGCTATGTGGTCCTGTCTTCCACGGCCGTACGCCTTGCACCAGAACGCCTCGCTGTGAAAAACATCTCCTCTCCCGACCAATGCTGTATATCATGTCGCAGCGACTGCCTGTAGTGTTGATGAGAACCCTGATGACCTACGACGGCCCTTGTTACCAGCCGTCCGCATCTTATGGGGCGTCGACGGCCTTCTAACAGTCGGTGGTATTGACGGTTCTGGTTCTGCCTCAACCTCTGGTAGTGTTTGAACACGCTCTTGTGAAACGGCGCTCTCATCCTCGACTCTCGTCTGAGTTTGTCCAATCTGTTGTTCAATCCGAATCTCTGGCGGCGCGGCAGTCACGAACTCCTCCTGATGCACCTTTTGCGTATTGTGAGGCACGAGGTCAAGTGCAGCAGTGTCCACACGTTCGTAGAACAGCATGAACACACCGCCTTGTCCTAGAACATGATCTTCGCTAACTGCAGACACATCATCATCGCTGAGTCGCCACCACTTCCTGGGTGTATGTTTGGAAAGAGTGTCGTCTTCAGCGTTTTGAATATGTTCCGGATGTTCGCGATAACAAATATAGTGACCGTTCTCATGGCGGCCGTAGTGAGTGACAGCAGCCCGGAGGATGTATTGTGACCTCGGATCATGACCAGAGCATCCAATCATTGACTTTGAAGGATTCATGCGCCACTCTTCTTGGTCTCCGGCATTCTTTGTAGTGCCCAAACACCAGGGACCTAGATTGAGAACTTTGGGATATGTGACCTCGGCAAGGTTCTTGCTTTGAGCACCTGTATACTCGTCGAATACACTTCGGTTTACGTGTATGACCAGACATTGAGGCGCTCTAGCAACCACAGCCTGACGAGTCTTGGTGCTCGATACCCGCGACTTTTTGGGAATCTGGCACTTCTTGTTCAGAGTATCGTCTGAGACATCCCCCTGTACAATGGCCTGCTCGACCGCTTGTAATCTTTGGACAATCATAGCACGAAGTTCCGGCGGCAGAGATGCAGAAGAAGGTACGGAATGGTCCGACGAACCCGTGGAATCTGTAGTCATCTGTTGTAGCTGTGACTTGGTACGCAGCAGTGTACATCTTGCGCATTCCACGCCAGTGATTTCTTCCAGGCTGGTGTACTCGTTCAGACAATCCTCAATCCTGTAACTGTAATTTTTGCCGAGTGGTACAGTGACGCAGTTGAAAGGAATCATAGAGAGGCCTTCGGAGAAGCCGCAACTGGTGCACGCAACTCGTTGCGCAAGGAAGCCGTCAAGGGGATTACGACCTGGTGTAGCCTTAATCTGGTCTTCCGAGTCAGATGCCTTCACGGTGTCTAGTGAGTCGACTTCTTGAAGCCCTGCTGTGGCTGGTGAGGACTTGAGAGCCTTCATCGTCTCTTTCTCCACATCGTCCATGACCTTTGAAAAGTACTCTTGAGCATCCTGTTGCTGCCAACTGCTCATAGATTTGAGCTTGGCCGGCGTCCAGATGCGGCAACCGTTGTTTGAGGAGTCGTTGAGCTTTGCCATGAGCTCACGCAACGAGCCGACGGTCGTCGAAGTATCCTCAGCGTTGATCATGTCGGAGCGATCCAGGTATGTCGTGAGAGACTGAAATGCGGACAAGCCTTGCAGAACACTGTTCTGGTAGCAAGAGTTGTCCCAGTTCCCGAGACCCGGTGGTGCGTCGGACGCAGAGGTGAGACCACCAAGCCAACTAGCTCTCCTCAGGGAGTTTGCGCCAGAGAGTATGCCGGTCGAGCCAGAACCAAGACCAAAGAGCCTCCTCATTGCTTCGCTTTTGAAAGTGTAGTTATCGTCAATGTCCGGGGATGCAGTCGAATCTTCGTAGAGAGAGGGATTTCTTCGTTTGTCGATGGCAAGGACAAGAGCGGTAGGTGTGAGCAGGACTAAGGCATTCCAGACAAGGTCCGCGAGTATTGATGGTAAGGCAAAGGTGTATGCGCAGTAGAGTATAGCTATGCCAGCAGCGACCCAGGCACCTTTGGAAGAAGCAAAAAGACGATCGAATGTCGAGGCAGAGTCGTTGTGCGGGTGGGCGTGTGAATATCTATACGAGGCACTCATGATGCGCCAGGGTCGCGTCGCAGATTGGTAGGCGAAGAGAGACAGAGGCAAACAAAGTCAACCATCGATGGCCGTCTCAGCGAGAAACAGGACGGCGAGATGGAAGGATTCAGTCGGAGTCGATTTAAGTCAGCAAAGGCTTTGTGTTTGGCATGCGACGAGCATCAGGGTCCAGCCTCCAGCGGTCCCCCATCCTGACCATTGTGACGTTGCCGGAGTTAATAGTCCGGCGTTAAGCGGCCATCTTTTTATTTTCCTCTCTTTGCGTTCTGCTACCAAGCGACCAAAACATAGCAATTTCACATAAGATGGCAAAGGCAACAAAAGCGAAGGCTCGTCGTAAGTAGTCTCGACATAACACGTAAGACTTCAAGATTTAACAAAATGATAGCCGTGTCGACTCGCTCCCGCGCTGCACGCCGTGAGGCTTCACCCTCGATCAACCTTGACAAGTCCATTACCTCAGAGAAGACCACCAAAGAACCCGCCGAATACCACTCCGGCGCACACGATGCAGGCGTCTCAAAGAAGAAGAGATCAAAGCCCTTGACCCGTGCTCAGCGCGTGCGCAAGGAAAAGGGTCTGGAGCGTGGTGAAGCAAACCTGGACGTTCTGCACACAAAGAAGGCAAAGAGTTTCGTTAGAGCCAGGAGAATCGATGACCGTAGAGTAAGAACCAGTTGTTTGTCGAGGCTGAGCGACCGCTTTCTAACTGTACACAGGTGGACTGGGCTACCATGAACGAAAAGGCCAACCGCTTCGTACAGCCAAAGGTCGCAAAGGGGTCAAAGGCTGTGGACAAGGACGCCAACTCAAGCGACGAAGAGCACCCCGGCAGACCGTCCGTCTTCGCCATGCCTGGTGATGAATGGCAAGATGAGGAGGACGAGGAGGACGACGATGATGGAGCAGACCAGTCTATGGAGGTACCGAACACGGCCGACCCAGTCAACAATGTTGCCAACGACGACGACGATGAGATCCTCTAAAGGGCTCGATTCCATCGACTGAGTCTTCACCAAGCCGATATTCGGGCCCAGTCAACACAATGGGCCCCATTAAAGCAGCCACATCCAGCCAGTCTCGAGGAGCTCAAGCCTTCATTCTGGGCGAAGGGACACTGTCTTAATGTTGCACTCTGAGTGACCAAGTACGCCAGTATACTTGGCGATATGCCACAGCAGAAGCCCGGCGATCTTCAGGTGTGCTCAGACAGCGTGGTGGTGCCGTACCGACAGCTGTGCTACTGATCAGGTACCCATCACAAGTGACTCGAACACGATGATGCGAGCACGAGTTTAAGCTACTGTATTCTCGTATGATGTATCGAGAGCTGTTGCAGCAAGACCATCGTATGGTTAGGCACATAGAGTCTGCTTCAATGCAAAAGCAGGATACAGTTGGGTCAAGACGTTTACATTGTTGTTCACAGTCAGTAAAGCACACAGCGATCTCCAAGCAGTGACTGCCGAACATGAAGCAAGCCCCAGCCGCCATCCGGGTACTCGGGACGCACGCTCTGACCATGCACGACGTAATCCGCGTGGCTTCCCCTCGCAATCTCTATTATTATTTTGGTTTCGTCCGTTGGTGACTCTTGATCCGCTTACACTCTGGCGACAGAAGTATGCAAATCTATAGACCTAATACATATTGAGCAGAGCCATTCGCTTGAGCTATGCCAAGATCTGACATGACTTCCACATCGCAGTCGCCGTCTTCGCCGACGCGACCGACCACAGACGCGCCTTCATCGCATACAGCTACGCAAAGTTCAAATGCCAACTCGGAAAAGTCCGCCGACAATCCCGCCAATGGAGGACAAGAGGAGGTTCAGGCGGCAAAGAAGCCCAGTTTGAAAGAGAGGGCCGAGAAATTATGGGCAAAAACACAACTGGATCCTACAACCATGAAGATTATGGCCAAGTGAGTGCCGCGATAAAGAGAAAGAGGCGACAGAAGCCTGACAGTCTTGCAGGGGTGCTCTTGCACCAACAATCAGTCTGGCTGCATACCAGGCTACCAATTTCGCAGAGACATACACTACCTTAGGTTACCTCGTTGGAGTCGTCTCAATCTTGAGTTTCCCAATCATGCCCAGATCGAAGTTCTTTCAAACCTGGTTTCTAAATATGTTATCCGCATGCTTCGCTGCATGCATTGCTCTACTAGCGATATATTGTGCCGTCCAGGCTAGACTCCACACTGAGACCAGAGTACGGACTGGGGGTCCCGGCACGAGCGGAACTCCTGCTCCAGGTGCAGCTACTTCCACCTACAACTCGTCAGCAGCTGCGGTCAGTGGTGTCTGGCTGTTCTTTGAAATCTGGATTATCAATACCATGCGAGCGAGGAACCCCCAACTCATGATCCCGGGCATCATTGCCACCATCTTCGCAAACGTAAGTATGGTCTATGCACCTCAGTTCAACTCGATGACTGCCGGAATTTCCTTCGTCAAAAGACTTCTCGAATCCTTCTTCACAGGTTTCGCAATAGGAGGAGCTGTATCTCTAGTCATTTTCCCAATGACCATGCGAGGTGTCGTCTTCAAGGAGTTTACTGGATACATCATGCTCTTGCGCAAGATGACCAAGGCCAACCTTACATATCTTCAAAGTCTCGAGGAAACAGACATGTTTTTTGGAAGAAGCGACACCAACATTCCAGAAAAGCCAAAGCGCACTACAGAAGCTCAAGCCATTAAGGATACGCTTGCAGGACTTGCCGCTTTGCACGGAAAACTTTCTGTCGATCTGACCTTTGCCAAAAGAGAGGTGGCTGTAGGACGACTTGGCCCAGATGATCTGCAAGAGATATTCAAACGATTACGGGGATTGATGCTCCCCATTATCGGTCTCAGTAGTGTTATCGATGTGTTTGAGAGAATCGCTGAAGACAGAAATTGGAATCATCCTGCCCCAGCAAAACCGATAGAGGAGCTTGATGATCCTAACGAGAGGAGTCGAATGGAGGCCGTCGCAGATTGGCATGCCATTTTCAGAACGATGCGAGAACCTTTTGCTCGAATCGTCGGAGATATCGACGAGGGCTTTGAGCACGTACTAATTACCCTGCAGCTAATCAAGCCGCCAAAAAGAGAAATCGATACTGAGTCTGAAGGCGATCGTCCTCATCCTGGTGATAAAGAGTTCCAAGGGTACCACTTCAAACGAGTAGACGATTATCACAGCCAGAAGCGTAATTTATTGAGACGATGGTGCGAACTCAGAGGCTTCTCACTACCCGACGACTTCTTCGAAAACGCACAGACAGCTGAATTCACTGCTCCGGAATGGTACCACAACGTTAAGAACAATGACGAGCGCCAGAAATACAGAGCCAGACTCTTCATTGTCCTATACGTCGACTACTTGCTGGACTCGATAGCCATGACGGTCCATGATTTCGTCAAGTATGCAGATGCCAAGGTCGAAAGCGGAAAATTGGGCCGCAAAAGACTTATTGTCCCTGGTGTCAAGCGCCTGCGAAAGTGGGTCAAGTCGGCCTACAGCCGAAAGCAGGATGCATACACTGACGAGCAGCACGGCATGAACGAGGATGGCAATCGATCTTCCAACGTGTATCTCGGCGATGCTTATAGCAAGCGCAGGGATCCTGAGCACTTGCCTCCAAGCAATGCGTGGGAGAGATTCGGAGACCGGATCCGTGGCGTTGCTCATTTTCTTCGCTCGCCCGCATCGTCGTTCGGTTTCCGAGCTGCTTGTGCTACTATGTGTCTTGCCATTGTCGCATATCTGCACGACACACAGACCTTCTACGTCAGACAACGCTTGTTCTGGGCACAAATCATGGTTGGCATGAGTATGTCGCCTTCTGCCGGGCAGAGCTTGTTTAGTTTCGTGCTCCGTCTGGTTGGCACTTTTGCTGCGATGGTAACGAGTTTCATCATTTGGTACATTGTCGACGGACATACTGCAGGAGTCCTAGTCTTCTTCTGGTTCTTCGTAGCATGGGGCTTCTTCATCGTCTTGAAGTTCCCTCGCTTCGTACCCGTGGGCATGATCTACTCCGTCACCAATACCCTTATCATCGGCTACGAATTGCAAGTAAGGAAGATCGGTGTAGCTGCTTCAGAGAGCAACGGTCAAGCATACTATCCCATCTACGAGCTGGCGCCTTATCGACTGGCCACTGTCGCTGCCGGTATCTTCGTAGCTTGGGTGTGGACCGTCTTCCCCTACCCCATCTCAGAGCACTCAGAACTTCGCCGTAACCTCGGCTCATCGCTTTATCTTCTGGCAAACTACTACTCGGTCGTGGTTGAAACTGTCAAGATCCGCGTTAGAGGCGACGACTTCCAAGACTTGGACTCGTTCAATGACAAGGACCACCCCGCCAAGAAGCTGGAGAAGATCAGACAGACTGTCTTTTCCAAGTCTGTCTTGCTTCTGCAAGGACTACGTACACATTCGGGTTTCATCAAATACGATGTTCCGATCGGTGGTCGCTTCCCGCGTCAAAACTACGACAGAATTATCGCTCGTATTCAAGATATCCTGAACTTTGCCTCCCTTCTCAGCTACGCATCACAAACATTCTCCGACATGCGCAATGCAGATAAAGATGGCTCAGAGTCACAATGGCTCAACGACTTCCGCCGCCTCGTCACCGAAGCCGATATCACCAGCAAAGAATCTACAACCCTCCTCTCCCTCCTCTCGGCCTCTGTAGCCAGCGGTCAACCCCTCCCACCCTACCTACAACACCCCGAACCCTACCGTCTGAGCGCGAAACTCGAAAGTCTAGATGCGAGTATCCTATCCGTCCGTCACATGGCCGAGCCGGGTTTCGCAGCCTTTGCAGTCATGCAAATTTCGACCAAATTTATTGGCGATGATATCAAGGCGTTGCTGGCGGATATCAAGGAGTTGGTTGGCGAACTTGACTTCTCGTTCCACGTTGTTAGTACAAAGGATGCTTCGCCTAATGAGAGTCAGGATACGCTGATTAGGGATGATTCGAATGAGCGACGAAAGGCTGATTAGATTGATGAAGTACTTCTTTTTTTTAATGACACGAATTTCTTGCTCACTTGATCGATGTTTCGAGGTGTGTCGTCTTGCCTCGCTGTGCAGTGTAATCCTTTCTGGTGAATGTCCGATGGTTGCTATACATAACTGCAAACTGAAAGTATGATCGATAACAGCATCGACTATTGTGGCATATACACGTTTATATGGTTAGTGGTTCTTCGTCTCATACTTTGTTCGTACCGATCATCTGGGTACCCGGACTTCCTGTCTGACTTGGGCATGTTAGCCAATATCGGATACCGGACGTTTGACATCCTCGCTCTCCATTCATCATCGGCTTTGATCTCAGCCGATTCATTCGAAATTTCCAACTTCCTATTTCCAATGAGCTTGGCCGTCACATAGAGAAAAACAACTAGAACATCTCAGGGAACTGCTTTGTTCCTTCCTGCTCACCCAACCATCCAGCTCTATCGTTAGTATAGACCTCTGCCAATGGCTTGGCTGCCGTCAGAGCACCCTTATCATCCAGTGATCCAGCTCTCACGACAAGAGTGTCTTTTGACATCTCGCCCTCTCTCCACAAAGGACTTCCGCAGTCACCACAGAATACAGTGGTGACCTCTCTTCCAGTAGCAGCTTTTGCAGAATACTTCTTCGGCGTACCACTAATGTTGAAGCCCTCGACAGGAACAATGATGTTTGTTGTGTAGGCGGAGCCGGAGATCTTCTGGCAATCGGTGCAATGGCAAATTGCCTGGTCGCGTAGTTAAGTATCTGTGCTATGTTGATTCCTCCACGGGAGAGTATTTACCTTGTTCAATGGCTCCCCTTCATAGGTGAATGAGACTTTACCGCAGTAGCAGGATCCTTTGCCCATGATTATTTGTTGTCGTAGATTGATGGTACTAAGAACAGCGAGTGGGCTTGTGTCAAAAACTTGAAACTTGTTTAGATCGTGTTCGGAATAAAAGAGTGCCTGAAAGCATCATGATATCGCCTCAGATTCCACGGCTCATATAAGTTTCCATGTTTTTCGTGATTCCAAATATGTCAGCGGCTATGCGAAAGAGGGGTGGTTGATCAAACGGTCTAGACCGATAGATAGTAAAGCTTGACCATCACACGTGACTAGATATTAATGCGACAACCAACATCAATTGCTTTGGTCATAGTAGCACATATAGGAGGTGTGATGGAGAGGATACAATGGTCACTAACTCGGTTGCAAATGTTTCTGCAAAGCAGCATACTTCATACTTGTGTCAAGCGAACAGGCGAGGGAGCCTTGTGAAAGTACGGGCATTCTGATTGACAGACAGAGAATCCGAATTGTGCACCACAACAAGACTACATAGACCTTAGATAGTTTGACTCAGTCAGCATTCATACAGTTACTCTCCGCTGGTCAGATCTTAGCATGGGCGGCCTGCAGAGGATGATTTGCTAGAAAAGATGATGTGGTCAGGGTGGTCAGTACAGCACAGAACTTTGTGGTATTACATTTCATCAAGGTCATCGATGCTGTGTCAGCATCTTTGCACAGTGATTTAGTCCGCAGCCTGTATCGTCCATGACTTCGTCGCCCTATAGGAGCGATTTGACATGTATCCAAGATCAATGTTCCCATACGGTCGATTTTGACACATATAAGACCTCATTTAAGGGATGCTAGCTTCCAGTCTACTATCTTTCTATACAGACTCTAACAATCGTAGACGAGGCATCTGAGATGCATCGTAGAAGCCAAGGTTTCAATGTGTGTGAAAACGGGTTGCGGACTAAGGCTCGGAGGGACGGTCCGATCTGCTCGAGGAGTGCCCAACACGTCAGACAGTCCGGCTTTTTCAGACGACTACCAAACCACGACTAGCTTGATGTCTTGCAAAATCCTCAACTACTGTCACATCAGCAACCTGACGAGCTCCGGCCGTGGCGAGGAGTTCAAGGGCACATTCGAAGCCGAGGGTAGAGGCAGTATCAGGGCTGGTCTGCAGCATATGGAGTGGACGGGCGAGATTGAAGACGAGGTCGTCGCCGTTGACGCATGATGAGTAAACTCGTTACAATCGCGAAGGTGCGAACCAGATGAGGAAGGTGCCAACATACAGGAGGAAGTTACATCCCGCAGCTCTCGTAGACTGCTTCTCAGTCAGCACAAAAGGGCACATTACTTTTTCTGTCACTTAAAATGTCCACGAAGAGCGCCTTTACTACAGTCTCTCCTTCTATACAGCTCTGGACATAGAAAAACCGTGCATTGATTCAGTTCCTCTTGTTAGTCTATTTACCTCGGACATCCCATCAATAACCCGTGATTAGTTGCGACTTGTCCATCCATACTTAAGACCATCAAAAGTAATCATAGTGTGCTGGCCGCGGTATTCGGATGCAGGAGATAGAGAGGCAACTTTCTGTACGTCGAACGGTTTGATGAGGCAGTGGAAGTCACGCTCTCCCTCGCCTGCCTTGAAGCGTAATTCGCCACAGTAGTGTGTCTGGTTGGATTTGCAGTGACCAGGCGCACACATTAGCTCCGAGTAATCGTGCCCCTTTCGGTCATGAATTGTGATGGTGGTGATCGCGCTCAAGGACGACCAAATCGACCAGGTCATCAAAAGCTAGTACCGGCAATTGCTCCAATTCCAAAACGTCGTTGTCATTCAACAAAGTCCTGACCCAGCCATCATACATGTGATCAAGTGAATTGAGAAACTCCAGCTTCAGAGAATTTGTCGGCAGTCGCTGGGCAATGTCGTGACCGAACAGACTATTGTACTTGTCAAATGCAACTTGCAGCATCTTGGCAATGTCTTTTGGTGAACCCTCAAGTGTGATGATGGGCGACGAGAGATGTACATTGTAAAGCTCGAGCGTTCCTCGGTTCTCAGAGATGTGGTATCTTGATTTGAGGCCGAGATAGCTTTTGTGCGCGTTGAGCCCTCCGAATTCATGCATGTCAACATTTGCTGCCAGAGAACTGTGCATAACCTTCAACAAGCTTTCGTTACGGCAGCGCCATACTACAGTACACTTGACATCTTCGTTCCACTCAGTCGTGGTGACTTGCTTACCCTCCAGTGACTGTGGGTGTAGGGATTCGCCGTTGAGGATAGCATCAGTGCCAGCCATCACGGCGGCATGATGCAGCGCGTCACTCCATTGTTGCCAGTCTGCTTCACCTCACAGCTTTGGCAAAGCATCGTAGCAGTTCTCGTGAAAGCGACTGACTTGCTAGCAATTTCACCTCTGGATCAGATAGCGTGAGACGAGCAGTCATATCGATGGTCGACGCGAGACCGTGTTGAGTGGAGAACAAGAGCGCGTTTGGACGGTTCGCTATCGGATGTTGATGTGCCGAAAAGCGCGAGAGCTTCTCGTGTATGCCAAGCAATTGAGTCTCCCAAACACAAACTTGCTAGAATCGAGCCGAATAACACACGAATGAAAACACGAAGAGATGCGGCCGAAGTGGAGAGTGACTCTTGAGCAAGCCTTCAGTGGACGTTCTGAGTGATGGAATAGTTTTTGGCATTTACTGCTGCTCGATCCAAAAGAGAAGCTCGAGCTGGAGACAAGCTTTGACCTCTGAGCACTAATTAATGTACGCATGCACATGGAGAAATTATGCAGGGTGCCTGGATGAACTTTATTACAACTTCACTCCATAGTTGTTTCTTGGTAGCATTAGGCCAAAATGGCAAAGGACCTTCCTCTGATAATTTCAAATTGTCTGGATACGACGCCTGGTTGGAAATGTAAAGCTTTCGAGGGAGTTTCATACTCAATGACTGCAAATCACAGCAGCTTGACAGGAGTACGGGACCGATCCACGAGAGCCCAGCCGGACTCACGTCTTCACTGCCTAGTATCCCACGAAGAGTTGTATTATGTGTACTAGCGCTACAGCCGTAGCTTTTGTGCTAAGATACAGATCCGAACGTCGAATTTTGGGTTTGCGACGACAAAGACTCTTTCTTGCAGGACCGTCGAGGAAAAGAAGATGACAAGCTCAAGTTTGACATCTTGTCGCCAGGATGGAAGACTTCGTTGAGAACTGAGCGCTAGACAGAACGAGTCTTACGTTGTCTTTATCAAGAAGAGAGAGGGGATTTCATAGTTTTGGCCGAGGCTGCGGTCTCTTCTACTGTAGAAATATCTTTCTGGAGTTGCGAGCATGCAAAACTCGTATACTATGAACAGTATTGCTCAAGGACAGGCGCATGAGATAATCATGAAAAGCCGTGTGAAATAATGTTTCGTGCAGATAACGCATTGCTAAACGCTCAGCAGGTGTCGCATGGGTAACCATCGAACTCGAGACGCAATCAGTGACTGTAAATTCATCGTCCTCGACTCGACTCAGGGCGCGAACACCTGAACGTATCTCTCAAATACTGTCTCTTTCTCGTGGGTTCAAAGCGGCGAGTTATCAACCATCAAGTAAACCCCTCTTAGCTCCACCCTCATTATTACAAAAACCAGCATTTCCTTCGTTCAGGTGGCCTTGGTGTAGTGGGCAATCGAGCCCGTCGCTCTTCCCACTACGATCGTGTACGCATGATCTAAAAGGTCGCCTGTTCAAACCCACCCACGGTCAGAGGTCCCAGTAATCCTCACACGACAAAATTAGCAAAGAAAATACCATTTCTCTATTCCTCTGCGGGCTCAGGCCTCCCGCAGGGGTTTCTGTTTGCTGATTTTTGCTAATGGATATAGCAATTGTGCTTTTTACGAATTCTTTTTCGTGTCGTATATGCGATGCAGGTCATAATTGTTGTCGTGAGTGGAATGATTCTCGGCGCGTTGGTAGCTGTACCTCTACGCCTCTGCTGATTCGGCTGCAGGTAGGCACATCGGTGAGGCCATGCTCACTCTCATCTTCCCAAGTCTTGTGGTCTCGTGGTCTTATCATTTGGAGTCTGCATCTGCGGTGTTGACTTCCTCAACATCCTCCTCGCATATCGTAAAGATTGCCAGAAGGCAAAGAGGTGATAAAGAGCGACTCGCGTCTCAAGAGGCTTCTATGTCGTAGCGTAGGGAAACAATTGAAAATTTGAACTCGTATATGATCGGTAGCAGGCTGCCTGTTCCCCTATTTGATCTTGGTCACAGCGGACGTACGACACAAGGTCTCAACTCATGTCTACAATCAAATGAGTGCTAGAGCTCAGTAAGACTACAACATGGAAATGGTGCATCCTAACATCGCAGATACACTAGAATAGTGCTCAGTAAACAAACGAATGTATTATCAAGTGAGCGACCCCTACTCATAAGGTAGCTAGCTGTATTGCCATACCATGCTTCCAGCGCTACCAGTAGTACTTAACCCGGAATTCCAGTGGCTATCGAGCCCAAACCAAATACCTAACAAGAGACCACCGAGCCAAAACAATTAAACAGAGAATGCTGTCTGACGCAGCGAAGAAGTAGTGTGCGTGAACACCAAAGGGCATGCAATTGATGATATAGTGCATGTACAGCATCAAGTGGGCGTAAACATCATCAGTGGGCATGAGAGTGAATGAATGTAGTTGAGGTCTATCTTCTGCGACGAAGACCGTGACAATGACCGCTGCTTGCTCATTCGGGCAAGGTCAGCTGGAAGTCCTTGAACTCGTCATCCTCATCAAGAAGAATCGAGAGTTTGCTCATAGGCTCCACAGGAGCATCGCTGTCCTCCATGCGGGCGTTACGTTCACGAAGCAGCTCTTCGACCTCAATATCGTCGGCCATGAGGTTCTCCAGAACGGTTCTGGTTCTCTTCTCGGTTGGTGTGATAGGCTTGTCGTGAAGAGTTGACAACGGGCGTCTTGACGCAGCAGAGACGGCACGGCCTCCAGCATAGCCAAGGGTGTTCCGGGAAGCGGTGGCTACCGTGGCATGGCGAGTCGACGATGCCGTGGGCGCGGTCAAGGACGAGACGGGCTTGCGGGGTAAAGGGCGGACAGTGTTGGTCGTGCGCGAGCGAGCGGCGGCGGTCGCTGTGGGAGCAGCAAAGCGAGGACCAAGTGCCGTAGTCGATGATGATCTCGACAAGGCACTGACTGCACGTCGGGCCGACAAGCTAGAAGGTGCTCTGGACTGCAGCTCCTTCTCCTCGAAGCCCTTGCGGACCTTTGTGAGATCAAGACTGAGGAAGTCATCGGCTTCAAGAGCGCGTCGGATGATGTCTTGTTGGATCTTATCTGTTCGTGCCATCATCTCGCGGTTCTTGCGTTCAGTCGGTCGCACACCGTGCTCATCGGGAGCGTCGCCGAAAGCGCCCCAAAAGCCGTTGGTAGCATACTCGGGACTTAGCATTGAGTAGTCGCGTTCGTGGATTGTGTCTGGATGGTCAGGTAGGGCTGAGACGGGTTAGCCGGCGACATAGAGTTTCACCAAGGATAGACTCACGGATGGATCTGGGGGCCATGTACTCAATATCCGGCACGCCATCATCTTGCTGCTGCTGGGTTGACTCAGCTTGGTGGATCTTGACCTTCTGTCTGCGTAGACGAGGGCTCAGAGTCTTCTGAGCGGATGCTTTGATGGTCAAGGGAGCTGGTGTCTTTGCTTTGGCATTGGTTGTCTTCATGCCCAGTGGGGCGCGATTGCGAGGGCCGGCTGGAGTGATGAAGGCATTGGGATCCAGATTGACCTTCTTGGTCGTCTTGCCAGTCTTGAAGCCGGACTGGAAAGCGTCGTTCTCGTCATTCTGATTGCGGCGGAACGGCGTCTTAGGAGCCTTGTTAGCTGGAGTCTTTGCTTGTTGATTTAGTGGTTTGGCAGCGGCGGCAGCTTGATGGGCGTAGGCCAGGTTTTCTTGATCGGCGCGGGCGGCGAACATGGTGGTCGGTTTGTCGTTTGGTCGCGGTTCATGCAGGTGGAGAAAGTGTCGAAGGATTCCAGGCAGTGCGTCTTCAGCAATTGTAATGCACGCGGTCGTCAGGTGCCTCTTTGTTTATGGCCACTTTTTCCAATCGCATGACGCGAGCTTAGACGAGCAGATTAAGGCCGTGTCTTCAGTTTCAGTACTCGTGACAGGGCAACTGCTACGAACTACACGTCTAACCACGGTTGGGGAAGGAGGCCGTAAATGTCCATTGGCCATCCGTCTGTTGATGCTCGGTCGACTCGGCAACAAGCTGTCACGGACCAATCAGGTTCCCTGGCCTTGGCGGGCGGAGGTCGGGGCTGTTGATGGCAGCCTCCGCGTGGCCCAAACGTCTATCACACCAAACTTCGAGAATCATCCCCCCTCCCCCTGAACTTCTACAACTTCATATACCCATAATACTGCCACTTTGAGAGACCGCTTTTCCGACCTCATATTCCATCCAACTCAGCTTCAGCTCTCCAGCTACTCTGACCACTTCTCACAACTTTCCCCCTCAATAATCACAACAAACACACAAGATGGATGCCATCAAGCAGGTGCGTGTCATCAACACAAGCTCCAACACCTCACTCCCCCCACACCACATCTACATGATGAAACTCAACGATTCCCCTTAATACACCGCAAGGTGCATGATTCGAAATCGTCCAAATTACAGTCTATATCTGATCACGATGTCGCTGCTGCTCTCTTCAATTACCCCTCAGCCCCACCGCTTCTTGGGCCAAAGCTGACATGAGTCCCAACAACAGCGCATGAACGCTCTCCGCCTCGAGGCCGACGAGTCCGCATCCAAGAACGAGGAGCTCAAGGCAAAGGTCAAGTCGCTTGAGCAGGAGAACCTCGCCAAGGAGCAAGAGATCACCTCGCTGAAGCACAAGAACCAACTCCTCGAGGGCGAGCTAGAGAAGATTGAGGGTGGCCTCAAGGACGCAAAGGCTGCCGCCGATGAGAGCGCCCAGCACGGCACTCAGAACGAGAGCTTGCAGAGAAGACTGCAGCTCCTCGAAGAGGAGGCTGAGGAGGCCGACAGAAACTTGAGAGAAACCAACGACAAGTATGTCTGCGCCCTAGTCCATCTGCCTTATCACGATACTAACATGGTGTCCGCAGGCTTCGCCAGACCGACGTCAAGGCCGGCCACTACGAGCGTAAGGTGCAGGCCCTGGAGGCCTCCCGCGACCAATGGGAAGCCAAGTACGAGGAGATGAACGCAAAGTACAATGCCACCAAGAAGGAGCTCGACGACTTTGTCGCCGAGATTGGCAACATCTAAGCCGCACCTTCCCTTCACCTTTGCATCCGTTCGTCACGGCCCTTTTCTCGTATTTCCCACCGTCTTCTTCACATCGCCGTTTCTTCATCTTGGGTTGTCAGCATGGGCGTCATCAGCGCTACGTAGAGAATGAGAGCATTCTCCGAGCGGTTTTTTCTGAACTTGTTACTCTTTCAAAGAAGTCATCATCTCCTTCCCAAACGATACCACCACCACCACCACTAGTTTCACCAATAGAATCGAGGCCCTTCTTTGACCATGAAAAAGACAAGATGTTTATTGGGGTATCATGCGTGCTCTTGTAACGAAATGTATGCATCCATCATTGCTCCTCTCTGGCCTTCTTCGCAGCGGCATTCTTTGCCTTTTGCTTATGGCGCGTCTCTTTTCTTTCGCCCTTGCTCTCATATCTGAATTTCTTCTTCTTGGGCATGCTCTTGGCTTCCACCTTCTCTCCCTTGATCCAGACCATCCTCTTCTTGACTGGCTCGACTTCCTTGTCCTTTGTGTAGTCTTTCTTCGCAGCAGCATCCTCTTCGTCGTCTGAGCCGTTTGTGAAAGCCTTTGCGTCGTCCATGGCTTCGATCGTTACGGTCGTGTATTTGTCCTCGTCAACGTACTCATCTACACCGTCGATTGATGGCCTCGGCGGTGATGCGATTCCGTTCCACTCTTCCTCATCTTCTGCATTAGAATCCTCATCGTCCGAGTCCTTGTTTGCTTTTCTGAGTAGGTCGTTCACTTCTGCGACATGGCGTTCTAGATCGACTTTTCTCTGATCGCGCAACTGGTCCAAGGTATTAGTATCTTATTCATAGCTCGACGACATCTTAAAAATTGGGCGCGCAAGTCATACCTCTTTCCTCGCCTTGACCTTCTCCTCCTTGTCAAGTTTGGCGGACTGTTCTTGTGCGTGCTTGATGCGCTGTTGCTTTCTCTTGCGGAATCCTGTGAGCCATTCGTTGCGTGCCTCTGGATCGAACTTCAACTCTTCGACTGGAGTAGTTGTCTTGCGGCGTTTTGCTGGCGGGGCTCTGGGGGCTTGTCGTGGACCCATGATGGCTGTTGTATTTTCTGAGGTGACCGGCGTAGAATGTAGAGGTAGAAGTGACGTTGACAAGTGGAGGCGACTCTAAGTTTTGCAATTCCAATGGCCAGAATGCAGTAGTACGAAGAAATAACAATTGGATGTGTTTTGCTAACAGAGCAGAACAGATTGTTACAGGGACCAAAAAATCACTTGGGCCCGTGCGTCGCGGCGATGATGTCGCGCTTGCCGCACCGCACCTCCTTCGCACGACTCTATATACCTGAACACTAGTTTCGATTTACCTGGTCAACCCTGCCATCACGGCCGAACAACGGAGGCAACGAAGGCGTACAGATGAGGCATGGCGTAACAAGGCCAGAGATCAAACACGTCAATCGCAGCAGCGTTCTGTGGAAACGGATCCTACTTTTTACGAGAGTAGGCGGAAAGCAGATAAAGCAAGATATCCAGCAGAACGGCGGCTAAGATTGTTGAGAAAATGGGCACTTCTGCATTCATGGATACGAGAGGACTTACCCTGGAAGTCGCACCGTCCTGTGCTATATGCAGCCCCAATGGGGCCCGTCTGCGAATCCTGTGGTCTTGTACGATATGGAGGCACACTGTACTGGCAGTCCAAGGCTCTTCCTGACCATTATAGCTGTCGCGGTTGTTACGTACGCCGACTGGAACCGGAAGGCTACATGCCCAAGGGGTTCGAAGACGTCCAGTCATGGAAAGAACTGGTCGCACGAAAGGAACAACTTGACAAACTCAAGTCGCAAGGGTCCGACCTAGTCAAGCCCCGTTATCTGGCTCATCAGCACCTGCATCGCATGAACTCGCCCTCCTCTTCTCAGGCTACCCAGACGTGTCCATCTAGTTGCTCTATGAAGCTCATCAGCCTCATTGTATTACTGACTACCTCCTCTTGGGGCCTCAGATGTGTCCATCCGGCTCCCGCTCTCGAGCCCGTCAGCTCGTCACCTGCCGAAGCATACCGCTGTAAATGTCCTCCTCTTCGGGTTAATTCAGACGCGTCCGTCCGCTTCCTCTCCTGGCTGAGCAGCCTGCCTGCATCGCATTGCATTCTACCTCCTCTTTCTTAACTAATCGCCCTGCAGCGCAGGACTTCCAGTTCCGGTTCGGTCGGTCGCATCGGTAGCATCGGTCGCATCGGTCGCATCGTTCGGTTCGGCCGGTCGGAGTCCAGGTTGTCGAAAGGTTTTCGAGGTCGAGCTTGATTTGGCTTCACCCGAAGGCTACTAGTCCGGCACACCACGAAGAGGTACAAGCTCATGTGCCGGGCCTAAAGATGTCAGCATGCAAAAGTTTTGCCCAGGTGCACCTACCCGGCACCTGGTTCTCGAGGGAGTGGACAGAGTCCAAGATGAAAGAAGAAAGGAAACAGGAGAGATTTATCCTGCCTTTATATCTACTCATGAGCGCCCAAGATCACGGAATCTGCTTACTCAGCTTGCAGGCATCAGTCCGCAAAATCACGCTCGAATTCTTGGTAGCGACGCCTATTGACTATACCGGGAATCTTCCGTGTCGGAACAAGTAGGGGAAACTGAATCTTGTGACAAGAACCACGTGGAGCTGAGCGAATGACAATGCAGGATCACAAACTCATAGTCACGGTGATCCAGATGCAGTCACGCAGGTACCTGTCGCTTTGGTAAATTCGTTGATCTTCCTATTTCGTACACAGGGTCCGAACTCAGGGGCTAGAGAACGAGTTCGAATGATTTCATCGGCATACCCAATATCTAGCGGCTACGCAATCGTTTGAATTGCCCTTGAAGACATTTGTCGAGGACTGCAAGCGTCCACATCACGACGTGTCTCGCTATGTTCAAGGCGCTGATCCCGTTTTTCTGCTCACTCGCCAACAGACCGTAGAAAATGGGTAGAGAGCACAGAGAAGCAATTGCGACAGACACGAAGCCGCCTTTGAACTTGCGTTATCTGTGTAAGCCACTCAAAGACAGAAAGGGAAAATTTGACGTCAATCTATCGAAGAGTTGAGCTGAGTAAAAGCTGTATGGGATGGAATCAATATAGCGTCACTGCCGATAGCTTCTCAACGGTCGTGAAGTACATGGCTGCTCTTTCCATGAGCGTTCTTTCTTTCCACAAGGTTGGTATTCATTCGCGTGGCCAATTGCCACACGTTCATAGGTTCCTTGTTCGTCCCTGCTTCGTCCATGTTTGAGCATGTCTCCTGGTATATGCCCAGGAAAGACTCACTTACCAATTCATGCTGGCTGCAAGATCATCTGGTTTATGTTTTGCAATGTAGGTACCGAACCATGGCACAATAAGATGAATCAGACGTAGGGAACATCCTCCCAGAAGTGATGCACAAAGCTCAATATTCCAGTTCCTGCAGAAAAGAGTCGTTTTCACACACGTTGCTCCGTGACACGGAAAGCGAAAGAGCGCGGCGGATTTCCCAACTGGCTTCAACACAGGCGCAAGCAAACAACACTTGTTTCAAAAACCTCGTATCTATACACTAAGCATCTCATCTTCTCGATCGCGCACTCCAGAATATGCGCGCAAAGCTCTATCACCATGTCGAACAACTACATTCAATCCGCGATGGAGACCATGCTTCTCGTTAGGCACATCTCAACTCATCTGGCCGCCGAGCCAAACCTGCCCGGTGCTGATCAACTCACTCGTGGTGAGGTCGACGCTTGGATCAGAGCTCTAGATACTGGCATCCCTGCTAGAGTGATTGACCTTATCTCTCTTCCTGTGTTGGAGTCTTTGCTGTATATGCGGTGAGTCTTGTCTTCCAATACATGCAATTAGGGTACCGTATTCGTGACTGACCTTACAACAGTGATACCAACATTCGCGCCAGTAGGCATCTCAGACGTACCCGCCTTGAGCTACCCGAGCCTGTGATTGAGCATCCCTGGATCCGTGAGGACGTCACCCTCGCAGTCGGGCCAGCTCCTTGGATGCCAGGTGACAAGTTTGCAGCTAAGGTCCTTGGCTCTAACACTGTATCTGCACATGAACATGAAGTTGTACGTATAACAACTGAGGATGATGGATCGGCATTCATTATGACATACTACATGTTTCACAGTGAACTAAATGTAACTCAACAGGACGACCCCGACGTTAGTACCATCGTGCATGGAATCGTAGGCAAAGTCAACATCGACGCCAATTCCGAAGATGAGACAATGGTGGACCTTTCGCCGGATACACTGATTGACACGATCATGCAGACGGTTCAAACCGAACTGGACAGAATTATGCCGGAGGCGCCTGAGCTACAACAGACAAGAGAAAACAGCGTTGAGCCCAGCTTTACAGAGATCGAAGATGACACTCGTCCTACTTCTGTGGTTGAAGAGAGATCTACCCCTGAACAAGACGATCCTGAAAAGATCGACGGTAATTCACCTCCTGCCGACGTCGATGAGGATGCTGATCCCGAAGAAGACACTGAGTCCGACGATGGCCCTGAGAGATTGCTCTGGTGTGTTTGCAACGGCTTTACTGGCAGACTGAAAATGATCGAATGCGAAAACCATCGTGACCCCGATGTAAGTACTCCACGTTGGAAGAAGAGGTTCGGTAGCTGACAGGATCCTCATAGTGTCAGGGAAAGTGGTATCACATGAAGTGCGTTAACCTGAAAAGATCTCCACCAGATGAGATTCTGTGGTATTGCCCAGGTTGTCGTACAAAACTTGGTCGTGGTCTTCTTTCTAATGGTTTGGTACGATAATCATGACGACCAGTGCATGATAGCAGGACAACATGGCCATTTCAATCTCACAATAAGAGCCGATGGTTAAGAGTGGTCGTAAGAGGTACGCAGGCACAGGGATTGTGCAGGACTGATGGAACACACACATCAGAGCAGCCAAAATGCTGCGGGTGAGATAGTGCTATATTAAAGCCATAGCTCGGCTTAGAGATTCTGGGAGGTTCTGGCTTTCGCTCTTCTTTCACATAATCGAATCTTCCGTTTCCGTGGCCTGCAAATCTTCCTTGTTGTCTCGAACACGCACAACGTATCGTTACGAATTGTCTTCTTCACATCTGGCGAGAAAAGCCATTGATGATAGATATATAACAGTGCCTCCTTGATCTGTTACCCTCTCACGCCACTCAACAAACAGCTTCTCGTGCAACAACACAAGGCGAGATAATAATCTTACATCGAGAAGACTATCAGACTTATACCTAGCATAGCACATTCAAATGTCTGCGCAAACAACGAACACAGACGCCCAAAAGCCCGACTACATCAACAACAAAGCCAAAGCCAGTACCAGTGGACCTCTATACTCAATCTCCAAAGCCGGAAGAGAGAAATTCATTCAAGAAGAAATCGAAGAGAAAGAAAGACCCGTCGACCCCAAGGAGCCACGCTTCTGCAAGTGCCGCAAAAACGCCCACGGAACAATGATCGGCTGCGATTACAATGTAAGGCTGTCTGGCATCCTTTCTTTTGGGAACTTTTTACTAAGGAGATCTTGTAGCACTGTGTTATTGAATGGTATCACCTCAAGTGCGTAGGCTTGGATTACATGCCTGATATGTCCCGTGATTGGTATTGTCCGACTTGTCGTGTGAAGACCGGCAAGGGTGTCTTTTCGAATGGAGTCGTGGGCGGTCCCCACGATGATGCTTGATTGGGAGGGAGAGTAAGACAACGTCGAAGATTAGATGAGGAAACAGAGCTCTAGAAGGGTGAGAAGAGAGCAAGAGGGAAGTGTGGACAATGCGTTCATTCTGTCGTGGTGACAAACATCTTCGCCAGGATGACGATGGAAAGGCGATCAGCTCCATTCAGGATCCACAGCACATCACAAAAGTACGCGAAGGTCAAGAAAGAACAAAAGCTTGATCGTACCTGCTTGCTTCTCGCTATTCTGAGCAAAACGATGTGATGATGGAAGAAAATATTGGTTAGGAAGGGAGAAGAAAGGGGCTGGCTCAAAGAGTATATTCGATGAGATGCTGACTCTCAACCAGGCCACACAATAGAAGTCTCTCGGGCACACTACCACACCACTATGACTCCCTCTTGATGTACGAGCAGCACGTATACAAGTATGCATTTTCACAGCACTTCATCTCCCTGTCCGACGATCAAAGATAGACACCTTGCCCTAGTCGTAACTACTAACTACACGTCGCTCCGCTAAGCGTATTCCTGTGCTTCCTATGTCGTGCGTTCGTTCCATGATAGTCTCTCGATTGACACTCGTCTACGAGGGACCGACATCCATCCTACCGTGAATTGACCGGATGCGCGTCCTCGGCTTCTAGTCTCGTGGTTATCCTTCGTACGCAGACAGCCGCACCCACAATAAGAAGGTACGCGTCGCTGATCTTTGCTAGTGGTGGAAGTGTCCAGCGAGTTGAGAAAAGTGTTATCGATGAGATGCTGCAATCAGTCGTGACGTAGCTCAAACATGGCCCGAACATATATCAACTGGTCTTCATGATCTTGTGACTCGCCATGTTTGAGTGTGCTTGAATAATGGTCGAGCAAACAAAATTCGTTTGATCGAGCTTGCTGGCATGTATATGACCCCACAGGCTCCTCTGTTCCTGCATTTGTTCTTCGCCATCTTCACACCCGAATAAAAGATCGAACATGTGCAAGGTAAGGATATTGCTATTTATTGTACCTCGATGTCGAACAAGACCTTTGACCGAAGTAACAGACACCCGACAATAGCAAGGAGTAGCAACATTTGATCTTCAACGAGGACATCGCGGCTCTCGCCCACGGTATCAATTGCTACAAGGCCCTCCTAACCTATGCATCCCTCAGCACCCAAATCGACTTCAACCACGGCAGTAAGGACAAGATGATGGAGACCACACTGCATCACGTTATGTCAGGAACACTCCAACCGTTTTTCCTTAATGCCGGTATCGAAAAAGTCCTTACGAATATGATGAGTACAATCTCAGTTTCTGGCGCTCTTCAGAATATGATGATGTCGAGCTACCTGAACCACGACTGGGATATGAATTGTCTGTGCGAGAAGGTCAAAGCAGCCATTGATCTAAGGCCTTTCTTCGCCGTTGAGTTCGAGGCCAACGTCAAGGCTATCGTCAATGAGATGTACCTGGTATTGCAGATTGCAGATTATCTCAAGGACAAGAAGCAGGAGGAAGAGGCTAGAAAATTGAGTGAGACTTGAGACCAAAGCGGTTGTGTCATAGTCCATCCGTTGCATCGGTAATCATAGCAATCGCACTCCAGATTCACAGGTCAAAGACACCTCGTGAAAGAGCTTCCTTGAGAACATTCTCCTTAGGTCTGGAGCTTCACATTGTAAATGAAAGTTGAGATTGAGAATTGACTGGCATGTAGTGTCGATCTCTGCTGCGCTCGATATCCATGTCTCCTTGCCATTCCTCGTCAGTCTCATCAACCTTTGCTCCATATACGCCATCTCATTGTCTTCTTCCCAAGAGAGTATTGCACCACCGTGGTCTTTTTTGAGACATTTTCGCCTTATGGTATACCTCCTCTAGAGCCGAGAGTTTCATCCATCAAGTCTTATGACCACGCATCTCTCAGATCTGTCCAAATTGCTTCGTCAGATCTTTCTCCATTTTACCCTGTAGCTTAGCGCTGAAGAAATGAATGACCAAGATCCTGAGATTGATCTCGAAGTCTTTTGACAAAAGGGACTTCCTCCATCTCCTGCTTGAAAATTCTGAGGAGTTCATCCATATCTTCGAGGGCGTAATTTTTGAGGAATGTGGTCATGGTTGCTGCGCTGAAACCACCGAAACTCGGTAGCTTGCTCACCAAGTCGCGAATAGTCTTCTCAATACCACACTTGAGTAGGGAGTCGTTGTGGGGCATAAATTGGACCTCGTGCTCACATTCGGAGGATTCAGGAGTGCTTATTGACAAGTTTAGTAAACAAAGAATACTTTTGTCATGTCTCACGAAGTTGACTTACAAGTTGTCTGAGATAGACTGAGCTTTGAGAATTGAGTTACGTACGGCGAGGACCTCGTTGAGGACAGAGTCGGTGCGTGCATGGCCCCAGATACTGTTCAAGCGACTCTCAATGATTTCGAGACCTTGCTTTGTCTTGATCATGTCTTTATTGGAGATCTTGTGGAATGCAGACGTAGTGTCATTGTAAGTGGTTTCAGAGGAGGAGGAGGAGGAGGAGTCCATCTAACCGATAGTCTTGAGTCAGAAAGATGATTTCCACGAGACCGAGCGAAGACGAGAGATGCATACCTTGAAAAGCGATGCGCGTTGTGGAGCGAATCTCTGTAGAATCAATTGCAATTCGAAGAATTTCAGACGTGCGAGACGTAACCGTGGTCAAGTCTAGCGCACAAATGAAGCTGTGACACCCAGTAAGTAGAGAGTTTGAGTGCCCGAAATCAAACCACCAGTGACTGACGTACCAAGTCATCTGCCTCACTCAAAACGATCATTTAGTCGTGTTTTTCATAGATAGAAACAAAGTGCTTACTGTATCTCCTTGGTTTGCTCTTATGCATTGGTGCCTGAATCTGTACCGCAGACCTGGTTTATTGACCTCGAACTAACCGCAAGACCTGTCGTCAGGTGGCGACTGGACATCAAAGAAACTTTGTACAGTATTCATCGCTCTAAGAGTCAACGGTTATGACAAAGATCCTCCAAAGAAGATTTCAACTCGCCAACTGACTTTTGACGGACTATGAGTTGGTTTGCTCTTACTGACAAAGATGTAAGTAATTGCAGCAGCCAGTGCGAGTAATTAGCCTTCCATCTCGAGCAATCTGTCTTAGAGGTAAAATCTGCAGTTATTCAAGACATATCTTACGTTGGAGAAAGATGAGGCTTCTTGCTCTTCTCCTTGCTGGTCTCCTACCTGTCCTTGCCGTGGCCTCTGCTTCGGTCAAACATCCTAACCGCTTTCAGCGTATGCGCGGATTGCCACTCACTGCTTTGAACTCGATGACTCGTTCGTGTTGGTCACTTACGATAAGACACTGGATATGGTTGAGGCCCTCTGATGGAACGGACTTTATATAAGTAGAGGGAAAGCAGCATTGAGGTCCTTCTACGGACGTGCAACATTTATTGCGTCAGGAACCGTCGGAACATGTGATCATACCAAGAAGTCGGTATATTGGGAAGGGAGCTATGGTTTTTTACACCCTCCCTTGACTGGGGTTGAGTTCGAGATGAAGATGTCAAGGCATGCGAAGACACTACCAACAGCATCCGCAGCACACTCGAAAGTCTGGAAGTCAAGGCCTTTGAGAACTCTCATGGCGGCGAGGGCACTATCAGCAGCTCGCCTCAGACCGAGGATCATGAAGCCAAGATCGCCAACGAAGCCAAGTCAGTAACTTGAGAGCCTTCTGATGGAGGACAGATACTGACACACCAGCAGATCTGCCGTAGCAATGAAGTTCCTCATCGAGACTGGCATCGAGAGGATCATAGGTGACGAATTCTCAGCACTCGCGAGCCTGCAAGGATCGTGCTACAACTTCACCTACAAGAGCTACTGTGTGGAGATCAACGAGAAGGACAACCTCTTCAAAGATACGATCACAAAGGCCATCGCGGAGGATCCGGAACCACTGGCGGACTTCGGAGGCAAAGTCAAGCGCCAATTCAAGCGCGATATGATTGAGCGTGCAACCAATGATTTCAAGAACGAACTCGAGGGTCAGTGGGAACGTCTGAACAGAGCACTAGGCAAGACCAACGTGCAAGGAATTGTTCGCGAAGAAGACAGTGCATCGTCGATCGGAGATGAGTGGCTGTGAAGACGTACGAAATCGTTAGTTTGGTCATGAATCAAGGAGGGAAGGAAGGAAGGAAGGAAGGAAGGAACGAGCATGATTACCTGTCATTGAGTTACTCCACATCGAGACTTACCTTCCGCAACACTTTCAATCACACAGTGCAGTGCACATTTCGTCGTGAATTTCCCTTCCGTCGTCTGGCCCGGCATCAGCATAACTTCTCACTCCTCAACCGCACACCCGCGTCCGACGACCGACGAACCTCCCCTCAAGCGTCCCAAACCAAATCCCACCGAGCGCGTGTCCAAGTCTCACAACACCCGCTCGAGCTCTCAGAACGTACCCGCGCAACCAGCGCCCGCCCTCACTAGGATGCCGCCCGCAAAAGCCTCTGGCGCCACCAGTCAAGACCAGCAAAAGTCCACGAAAGTGGCACAAGTCCCCTCCACACCTCTCGACGCCCTCTCGAACCGCATGAAGAAGATGCAGAGCGGGCTGAGCACCACCATGTCTCACAGCTGGGGACCGACTCGTCAGACACTGGTTGAGTTTAGAGATGAAGCTGCAGACATCGCTAGGACGTTGACCAGGATGAATGAGGAGGCTGAGAGGTAAGCCGCTGCTCTTGTAACTCCTGCATCAAGTTGGGGAGATGCTTGTTGACAAACAAATGCTGACCAAGGCCAGTAATGCGCTTTCCCTGGAGTTCATAATCGATAATGCAGTAGAGGCCTGTGTCGATGGATGGACCGAAGAAGTTCTTGACAACATCGGCCAGGGTCACCTTGTTTATGAGACGTTGCATAACCGCGTTTTGAAGGATCCTCTTTTTGTGAAGAGGGCCGTTGTGCAGCTCATCATGGCTGGACCAGATCCGCTCAAAGACTTCCACAAGAAAGCAAGGCGTGCCTTCGAAAATACCGTGGCTGATTACGCGCATGGTCAGGTCAAGCGGGACGTCCATCAGATAATGAAGGACACATGATTCGCATGGCAAGACGTATCGTTTGATTGGACTGTGGAGATAGAACATCAAGGATCAGAGACAGACACCAGAGACGAGACAGCTGGAAGGAGAAGACATACCTAACACATCCCCAGCTCACATTGCTCTCCCACCCCCCATTAGCTTGTTGGCACATCCTCGAATCACACATCACAAAAGCTTCACAGACAAGAAACATGAAATAAAAATCGGAACTTCTCATATTATTCTTCGCGCTGTTTTGTGTGATCCACATAAGACTCAATTGCCACCTTCACATTCATTTTTCTTCCTCTCTCTTCCTTGGGCCCAAAGAAAAGCTTCCACCTCCCAAAGAGGGAAAAATACACACAACCATACATTCGATTCGTTTCCTTTCGCTGCTGCTGCTCCATTTTGAGTTGGGATTGTTGTTGTTGTTGTTATTGTTGTTGTTGTTGTTGTTGTTGTTGTTGTTGTTGTTGTAGATGCAAGAAATAAACACCGAGGGGGCCAACGCCGTAGTGATGAGACAAAAGAGATTGACAAGAGCCCAAGGTCCCAAGAAACCCTGTGCCGACGAAAAAGATAGGAATAAGAAAAAAGACAAGAAGTACTAGGGTGATGGAAGGGAAGTGGGAAAAAAGGGAGAGGGAAATAGAGAAGAAAAGCCTATAGACAAGGTTGCCGAAAAAGAGGTCCCAGCATCCAGGATAAGAATGGGGTTGTTGGTGATTTGCACAAGCAAATTTTAGAGGTCCTAGTTGAAGCCGCTGTACAGCTCCTTAAGGGTCTGTTCCTGAGATTTTCCAGCGGTGCCGCGCTTTCTGCGTTCTTCTCTCTTCTTGCGCAATTGTGCCCAGCCTTCATCATCGTCTTCTTCGTCAGGTCTCATTTGAGGTGATCTCGGTGAGCCCTTGGGCTTGTCGATGACCTTGATGGTGGTGCGCGGCACGTTACTACCGTTGGCTGCAGGGATGTTGTTGGGGTTCAGGAAAGAACCAGATGCGTTCTTGTTGGCGAAGTTCTGGATACCAGACTGCGAGGTCATACTTGCAGTACGGCTGTTGGAGCCTTCCATAGTCACGGGACGGTAACGCGATGGCATTCCGACGTTGCTACGCTCGCTCGGTGCGATGGATGGAGTATAACCTCCACGAGGTGCGCTCAGACTATAGTCGTACATCGATCCAGCGTAGCCTGGTGGCTGGAGGTTTGTCATCGTGCTAGACCTTTGTTGCTGGTGCATAGAGCCTTGAGGACCAAGCATGCCAGGTTGCTGACCGTTCGGGCCGCCCATGGACATGGGTCTCTGCATGCCATTAGGCAACATGTTAGGGAACCCATTCTGCATCTGGGGAGAATTTATCTGAGGCATCTGCGGCATTTGAGGCATCTGACCACCTTGCATTGCCATCATCTGTTGCATCATCTGAGTTTGCTGGAACATGAGCTGCATCATTTGCTGAGCGTTTTGATCGCCTCCCATCATCTGAGGCATCTGCGGCATGAAACCGCCCATACCCATTTGCGGGCCCATCTGCGGCCCAGCCATGCTCATCATCGAGTTTGATCGTGGCATCTGAGGCATCTGGGGCATGTTCATGTTTCCAGGAAGAGGGAGACCATTCGCGTTGAAGGGAGTGCCTCCATTGTGATTAACACGTCTGGCGGCGCGAGCGCGCTCCTCGCCGGCGATAACGCCAACAAGACCACCACCAGCCTGAGGCATGCCGGGCATCTGTTGAGGGGGCATTTGAGGCATCTGAGGCAGTTGGTACATGGAAGGAGACGCTCCGCCATATACTGAACCACCAGAGCCGAAAGCGAGCGACTCTCGGTTGATAGGGTTGACTAAACCAGCCCCAAAGTAGGGATCCGCGGGAAGATTGCGAGCAAATACAGGAAGACTACCACCTCCCATACCGTTATTGACGACCGAACCAGCACCTCCGGGAGTCGGAGGGGCGCTTCCAAGGCGAGTCGGGGGACGGTTCTTGCCAGGGAACCCGTGGGCTTGCAAAATACCCAGAGGGACCTCGTCATCTTCCTCGTCTACCTCTGCGCCAAGACTAGCGCTGGAGAAGTCCCTGGTAAGCCCAGGTGCGCTGTACGAGGCGCGGTCCAGGCTGGGACGACTGGTCTGCGAGGGGAGCTCGGAGGGGTTTCCTCCTGCAACCTTCTTCATCTGCTGTCTGTAGACAGACATGTTGGCTTCTTGCTTGCGCCTTTGACGAGCGAGCTCTGCTTGACGCTCTGCCTCATCATCGTCATCATAGCCTTCGTCCTCGGAATCTTCAGACTCTTCACTCTCATCAGGGCTGACCACTCTACGCTGAGCCTCGAACTCCTTCCTCGTCATTCTCTTGGTGGGTGAAAGCTGACCAGACTGGGCTCTTGGGGCGATCGGAGCAGCTGCAGGATGCACAGCACGGCTTGTCGGGCCATTGGGAGAGTGATCGTACAGGCCGTCCGAGGTGTTGCTTGTGGGTCGTAGGTTGTTGGCGCGAGGAGTTGTGTGTTGAGACTCGCCTGCTTCGTCCCCACCGACTGTGGAGATGGTGGGATTTCTGGGGGCCGGGGTGGCTTTCTGTGGGGAGGTGGGAGCTGTGTATGATTCGACGAGGGGTGATTTTGTCCGCGAGATGGGTTGTGAAACATCGTCCTCGCTAGAATAGCTGTTCGATCGTTCGTGTTCGGGCTCATTCGCGGGAGAGCCATAGCGATCGGGCACGGGCTGATATCCAGGTCTGAAACGAGCGAAGGTTGAGGGAGGATTAAGCGGAGGCGAGGAAATATCAGAGCCCAAGGCTGGGGACATCAATCCATCGTTGGAGGTTCTGCTTGCCCATGAGTAACGATTTGCTGCGGCAGCAGACAAGTTGGCAGGCCTGTGACGAGTCTCGGGCTCGGTCTCGGCCTCCGCCTCGGGCTCTCGTAAAGGAGTGGGTTCATGGCGAGGAGCCGATGGAGTAGGTAGGGGCTGGGATGCCTGTTGGTAAGGACGTTGTTGGTAAGCGTTGTTGTAGTTGTTGAAGCCTGGCGATTGTTGTCGACGTACCGATCTACCATAGTTGTCGTGCGCAGGCTGCGGGGCTGCCATGTTGCTCTTGGCTTGCCTCGGTGAGCTCAATCCCTCAAACATGTTCATGCCAAAGTCGCTGCCAAAGTCAGACATGGAGCCTAGGCTAGCGTCGATCCTCGGCGGTACAGCGGTGCTTGCGTTGCTGCTCATGGTTGTGGCACGGTCACGAATAAAGCTGTTCTCGGGGAGGTCAGGCATGTGGGCCGTTGCAGCAGTCATGGTGCCGGGGCTGGTGTTCTGCTTGCTTCTCAAACCAAAGGACATAGCCCTACCTGCGCGGGCGGAAAACGACGGTGGCTCGGGAACCGCGTTGGATGCGGCCGAGGATCGGTTGCTGCTGAGATTACTGTTGCCGTTGGCAGCCGTCTTTCGAGGGAAAAGGTCCTCGTTCTCTGCTTCGTGTTCTGCCTCGATGGAAGAGGGAAGAGTGGACGAAGAGCTGTAGCGTGCAGAGGAAGACGAATTGTCAAAGTAGCCCGAAGAACCCGAGAGGGCTGTTCCGCCACTGCCCCTGCCCAATTTTAGCGCCCCGTAGACTGTGTGTGGCCGACTCTGGCTCTTTTCGGGGACCGACCTGTTCGCGCTTGCTAGCAAGTCCTCCTGCGACTTGCCCGACTTCCTGTTCAAGAGGATGCTCGATCCCGGTCGCCCGCCACTTGTCCGTTTCACAGGACCTCCAGGCCGTCCGCCGTTGACTGTCGTAGCTACCTTGTCGGGTCTTTCGATGACACGGAAGCTGGAAGAGGCCGGCGCGGTTGACGTGGTGGATTCTGAAGGAAGGTCGAGGATGTTTCCGGAGGACTTGCGACGGGCAAAGTTCTTGAGCGGGTTCTTAGGCATATAGATGGTTGTGCGGGGTGATGTGCGTATTAAAGCAGGTACTGCTGTCGTCTCCGACAAAGCCCACAGGGCGGTAGGGTGAAGGAACGATTTCGAGTTGGTAGAGCGAGGGTATTAATGTATTGTTGTTGGACGACCGAAGATCCGAAAGGGCCGAGCAGGATTGGAGCGCCTCAAAAGCCGATATGGTATGTACGCAAAGTATGTATTCAGTATCAACAAAATTATCTGACTCAAGGTTAGCAATGAGGCTGGGCTCGGCGGTTCCTGGCAGCGAAAGAGTGGTCGAAGGTGATTCGTCGAGCAAAAGGAAAGAACAGGAAGGCGTTCTCCAGGGGAACGGACAGCAACAACAAGCGCCAAGTCACTGAGACTTTCAAGAAAGGAGGGACAGAAAGAGACGTCTGCTGCAGCGATGTTGTGAAGAAACTACTCCGAATCGTGAAGGCAGGCACGACCGCTGAGCGTTCATGTTTCGATTGAGAAACCGTTGCGCCTTCCTGCTCGGATGCTACTAAGAAAAGCGTCGGAACGTCACTGACCGATTGATTGGGAGGCTGCTGCGGCCTTGTCGCACTGTCGATGCGTAGGATATTAATTGGGCGAACGAGCGAGGGGATAATTTTCAGGACTGGCGACAGACAAGAGATTGCTTTGGCGCAATTCACAATGGCAGAGCTTCGAAAGAGAAAAAGGAAACGAGGTCGCGCTGCCTGGAGGTTGGTGCTCGTATTTCGCTTCAGGAGATCGTAGAGTGGTTGCTGGTGGTCCAGGCACGGGCAAGGTCAGACGCTAGCTACCTGCTTCCCGCACTTGCTCATCCGGCGCAATTCTACCTGCTGTGGCTTTGTCGGCGAGATGAGAACTCGAGCAGAGACGTGCAAGATGATGTCGTCTCTTCTGTCCGTTCACCCTCCCACAGCCATGAACCCGCCCGCCGAACGCGTGTTTTCTGACCCTAACAGTACACAGCCGGTTTGACTTTCGAGTCTATCGTCAACTTTACCTCGACATCCAGGTAGTCTGGCGTTTTTGATAAATCAATGGTATTGAAGCTTCACTCACTTCTTTGCCCAACACCATGAATCGCTGATGCCTTTACAAATCTTGTAGAGTCAACAAGCACTCCACATTTCACATGCATCAATCTCCTCTGGGCTCCCTATCGATTTATCTGCCAAGCGCGATTCCAAAATAGTAACTCCATAAGGCCCTCGCTCAACCAATCGGGCTACACATGTGTTTTCACATTTGTCCATTGTCTACAACAATCCATGCTCTCAAACTTCATGAGCCGCTGCGTCTGCTGGAGGCTTCCACAAACGAGTGATTCCGGTTGCATCGAAAACGCTTGCAGTGCGTGTGCGATCCTGCCAGCCCGGCTGTGGCGCCATCCTGGTGCTCATTGACCACAATTGGGATCTGCGACACTCCACGAGTCGAAGCAAAGAGAAGCTTCGTGTGAAGAAAATTTCCCGCCCGTCTCCCGCAGATGGCCGTTCCTAATTCTGTAACAGAACCTTGAACCAGGGGAAGCACTGTTCTTTTGGTTTCTTTGCCTTTTCTGCCCTTTAACTGACATCCACCCGTATGAACACTGTCTCATCTGCTTTAACCGTGTTCGCAAGATGTTGCAAGAAGCCCGAGGGAAAGGTCTCACATTTCGGACTTTGCTACTGCAGGGGATCAGCTGCGCATCAATTACAAACCAGTCGCTTGCCCTAGGTACATAGAAATGCCGTGGATGCGTCGCTTCTCATCACACATCAAAAGAGAATCGACTACAGCACGTTCGATTGCACGATCAGGTGGTTGGTGTGGCTGTGATATTTTATGCAGCCAAATGAATCCACACCCCGCCGCACATCTCCCGCGCCCGGTGCCCACTTTGTTGATGCTCTCCACTTCCAACCCGCATCGTGATGCTTCGCTCTGCTTGACGTCGACTGATCGCTCGACCTTGATTTCCTCAACCATCCTTTTGGCACTTCGCTTCCTCGCTTGCCCGTTTCACAACGAGAAAAGCACCGGTTCACCACAATAATCCCTGTGCTTCTTTTCTCTCTGTCGAACATCTACCGCGACATTGGTTTCCTTGTATCCTGCAGGAATCATCATGACGTCCACTACCTCTGGTCAAATCAACCCCTCGGCGCAGAGCGGCTTTAGCAATGCCGCCTTGTATGACAAGCACCGCCCTTCGTTCCCCGCTCACAGCGTCTCAGTCCTGCTCGACGGTGTACGCGTCGCCGACACCCCTCAAGCCACAGTGGTGGATCTCGCGGCGGGCACCGGAAAGTTCACTGAGCTCTTGGCCGACAGAGATGAGGGGTACGAGATCATCGCCATTGAACCCCATGCCGATATGCGCAAGGTGTTGGAGGACAAGCACCTCAAAGGCGTCAGCGTTCAAGATGGTCTCTCAACCGACATGAAGTCCTTGAAGGATGAGAGCGTAGATGCCGTGATAGCTGCCCAGGTAGGAGATGATCGACCTTTTCCCTGCCACTCTGCATCTCACCCACAATTTCCTCTTCCGGTTCCCCATGTCACTGTTCAATGTCTCTATAACAAGAAACCTTAACACTAGGGCATCGATGACAAGACTTTGGATTCTCCCAAAAACACGTAGTCACGAGACGCACATTATTCAGGTAGGCTGACTGTGATATCCCTTCCTGTTAGGCATTCCATTGGTTCGCCAACATTGAATCTCTGGAAGAGATCAATCGTGTGCTACAACCTCATGGCGCTCTAGGCCTGATCTGGAACATTGAAGACTGTAAGTTTGAGCCTTTCTCACCCTCGCTTCTATACCATGACGCTGCACATCATGCCTTTTTCCCAAACACTGCACATCATCATACCTGCATGTGATCTTTTTTTCTCCAAAGACCCTCACGTCGACGACCCTTGTTACAGACTCATAGACGGCATGAATCCAAACCAAAAGACTACCAACTCTCAAAGCATAATCCCACATACCACTCGCCGCACTTGCTCTGATATCAACAACTCTAATCTCTTACCTTTTAGACAACGCACCAAAATCGCACTCCGCAACCACTTCCTGGGAGCAAAAAATCCAAGACCTGATCCACACATTCGACGACAAGCAACCTCGTTTCCGCCATGAGAAATGGCGTTCAGTCTTTGACTCCCAGTTATCCTCTAATCCCTTCACCATTACTGCCTCTGCCGAACCTCTGTTTGCCCTGCCTCTGGCTGAGAATGTGGAGGAGTGGAGTGTCTGGCTGTTTGAAGATGCGCTTTGGGAGAGATTGAGTACGTTGAGTCAAATTGCTGTGCTGCAGGGTGAGGAGAGGGCGAAGGTGAAGAAAGTGTTCGAGGAGGCGTTGAAGGGGGAGGATGTGGAGAGGAACGAGAAGGGTGAGGTCAAGTTGCATGGCATGACTGTTGCTGTTTGGACGACCAAGATTCCGCAAAAGGGTGCTGAGAGCTTGTTTACTACTGTCAAGGATGCTCTGTCTGGTAACACTTGAGCGTTTGTGAAGAAAAGAGTCTGGCTTGGTACGTAGACAGTGGCATTGATAGAGAGTGGCAAAGACGCAAGTCAAGTGTGTATAACAATCTACATGCTTATTGAATATGCAGACCCTCTTCATCTTTCAGCGTTGCGTTTCTAAGGGTTCAGAGCTCAGCATGTCCCAGCTTCCGTGTGAGTGAGCGGACGGTCCTCCTTGAGAGTACACCGAAGATGCTACGCGAATGGGGGAACTTCCTTGCCATTGAACGCGCGATGCATCTTCACCTCCCTCGTCCTCGTACTTGAAGAAACCATGCTATGGCGGCGATTGATCCGATCTTGCCTCGGCGAACTCGGCACTGTTGTGCACCCAGTCATCCACTCTGGACTCCACCTTGATATTCTTGTACTGCTGCAGAGGTGCGGCTTGCTCGTACTATGAGTCGGCGGAGATGTACATGACTGCGATGTCCAAATCAGTCCGGGACGCAGCTTGATGTGAGTGGAGAGGAGCGCATACCGTTGTTACCTCTCACAAAGGCATCTCCGTAACTTCTTCTAATCTTTCCGTCGACAATCTCGTTTGTTTGCTCGAGGGCAATGTTCATGTATCCATCGACTGATTGCAGTTCACCTATGCATGCCCGCATGTCAGCACTCGTCCTCGTTCTACAACCTGTTGCTCCAATCCTGGACGACAGCTTCAACACACCTCTGTAGACAACTCCAGAGTTCAACTTGACGGTGACGGGTGCGCCGATGATCTCACTCAAGAAACCAGAGGGGTCGCGAGCCTCGTTGACAGATCCTCCAGTTGCGCCATTGGCGTTGTTGACGGGCGATGCGCTCATTGTGTATATCCTTGCTCTTCTTCCCTGTTGTCTCGTATCTATCTCTCGTATCCGAATGTTCTTCTTGAAATGATTTCGTTGCCTTCGTCTGCTCGTTTGTGAAATGATTCTGGTATTTTGCGATGGTTCGTGACGATGATGCACCAACGCACCCAGCTTCACGACTCCAACAATCGTCAAGTCAAAGTCTTGGCAGAGCAGCCCTCATGGCTCGGCCCGCTCATCCGAACAAGCCGTTGGCCCAGTAGTAGTCCGACTCGGAGGAATCTCAGCCTCGCGAGGGCTTATCTGACAATTGCAAGCCTTCAATCCCGTTCTCGTGTTACAGATTCAATGCCACTCTCATGGTTACAGTGACGCGTGTTCATCTTCTGTAAGAATGAATTTCGCAATGCTGATCCCTCTCCGAGACGTCTCGTTTGCTTTTTTTTCCTCCCACTCTTACCCTTGTTGTGTACCTGGTTGGAGTGTGCAAATCGTCATCTTACAAGGTTTCAGGGTCGAGTAGCTCGCCTTTCGTGCGCTCATCTCTTCTTCTTCACCTCTGCACCGCCACATAATTGCGACAGGAATCATGATACCGGTCGTATGGATTGAGTAACCGTGCCAATGTCTCTGACCATCTATGGATCCTTACCGACCACTCGTTGGGCACACATGCACAGCACATCACTGTAGTCATCATGGGAATTGCATCACCGTTACAATCTTTAAACCGTCGTGTCATAGGTCGTTAGTTAGTAGGCGTTCTCAGCTCTGTATCTAGGGTATCGCTATAAACATCTAGGGAGCCGTTGCCATTGCTTCGAAATCAATTCCCCTGCACCTTCCGCATGCTCTTCAAACCGGCAAACCTGCTTTGCACAACGCTCATATTCTTCCTATATAGCTGTTTACAAAGCGTTGTATTCACTGGCATCCTGGTACAAGTCGATCAGGCAGCTAGCAGACCATGCTTGGGTGGGGCACTATCAATCATGTTAGCCTTACTTGTCTTTCGCACGTCGTGTGAGTATATACTTACGGAATCATGGCACATAGAACCCTTCTCGTTGGTGAGCTCAGTAAGCCCAGCCCAAGGAGAGTCGTGGATTGCATGTCTGCAACCGGCGAGTCTGGTGGTGACCTGCTGGAAGGCCTCAACCTTCTCCTCCTTCGACTGACGGCGCATCAGGTCGAACTTGAGCAGAGCGCGCAGGAAGAAACCACGAGGCCAAACCCATTCAGGTCCTTGGTGATAGTTGCGTCCTCTGGCGGTGTGGAAGTCATTACCGTCGTCGCTGTTGATGTAGTTGGGACGGTACTCCATGTCCGCGGGGTCCAAAGTAGCCATACCGGTGGGGCCAAGAAGAGCCTCGTCGGCAATGATCAAAGCTCCGAGCGCGTGCTTGGGGTCGAAAAGATCAGGTGCAACTGTCATTGCGATGGGGAAGTTAGGGCGGAGTTGGTAGTCACGGTATTCCTTGTTGCACTTGTAGACGTCCTTGTAGATACCACGACGGTTGACGACCTTGCTGTTCACGTCGTACTTGGAGTCCTGTGCGGGGTCGGCAGGCACATAGTAGCAGTGCTCGAAGTTGTCGCGAATCTTCTGTGCCCACTCCTTGAAAGTGATAACCTTGTCACCCTTGGTGCTGACACCAGAGTACTTGTACTGGCTGTTCTTGTTGAGTCCGTCGACCCACTTGAGACAGCTGTAGAGTAGACCAGTGATCTCGACAGGGGCACCGTCACGGGACGTACCAGGAACACCCTTGTTGCCAGCGTGATCACTGGAACCCATCTTGTCCATCCAAGTACCGCAATTCCACTCGTTACCACCAAAGATGATACCAGTGTTCCAGTCCGTCTCAATGTCAATGTTAAATCCAGCATCTTTCATCTGGTCATCGATGCTAGGGCCAGCATTGGCTTCACGGAAGTGCATGCCAGTAGCGTGACGCTGAAGACACTCTTGAACGACGTCCTCGATGGTCGAAGTTTGAGAGTAGGCGCGGGGGTCCTCCCACGAGAACCAGGTGTCATCGTAAGGTAGGAAACGTCTGCTGATTTTCTCCTTGAGAATGTCACGACCATTGGGGACCATGTTGCAGTAGTCTTGGATGTTCTGTAAGAAGAACCAGACCGAGTCGCGAGAGTTGTATCTGGGAATTTTACCAGAGCCGAGCAAGTTGGGAATCATACCGTGCTTGACAACACTGGCAAAAGCCTTGATGTGCTCCTTGGCATCCTCGAAGCGACCAGTGGCGAGCAAGAGACCGCGGAGAGAGATGAAAACGTCACGTCCCCAGCATCTGGCCCAGTCTTGAGCAAAGTGGGGCAAACCAGCTGCAAGAGAAGGGACGAGCTTGTCGGGCCAGAGAGATGCGTTCTTCATGAAACCTTCGCACTGGACGCTGACAAGAGCCATACTCTTGAGGAAGCGTTGTCCTTGGCGGATGTTGACGCTCATCTGTTCGATGGCGCGTTCAGTAGAGGCCTTGTATGCGGTCTGGATGACCAGTGCGAAGTAGCGAGGCAACAAGAAACTGGGAAGCTTGCGGATAGCTTCGAAGCGATCCTTCATCCATCCTGCGGGTACAGAGAGGCGAGAATAGCCGTCGCGGCTGACAAGCTTCTCCAGACGACCAACAATGAAGTCAAGGGCCCATTGACCTGATCTGAGATGGTCGCAGATGGGGTGGCCGAGGTTGTTGTCCTTGATGACATCTCTCAGGATACTCCACCAACCCTGAAGACCACAGTAGACCATGGCATCCAGGTTGGGAATGTTGTAGACACCGTCGGATCCACCTGAAGAGGCTCTTTCCTCGGCGTCGGCACGGTAGAGAATAGCGTTCAAGTCATTCAGGTCACACTCCTTGAAGGCATCTCTGGCGCCCGAGGTGACGTACTTGTCAAGACCCTCGGAGTGCTCAGCGCTGGGAATCCAGGTCTCAAAGACGGCGATACTGCCAGGAGGAAACTTCTCGGGAATGGTGATGACTGCTGTATCTCCCTGGTTGTCGACCTTGATACCGCGAATGTCCTTGGTGTTTGCGTTGAGACCTCTCAAAACTTTGTCGTTGATGGCAGCTTGCTTGGCCTCGTGGCTCTGGTCGACTTCGAGATTCCAGGCGCCTAGAAGCGAGGCCTTGGATCCTGTGAGGTGCACGGGCTGGAAGCCAGCATTACCATTGCCGTAACCAGGGAAAGCAGTGTGGGCGATCAAGTAGTATCCCTTGCGCGACTTGGGGTGCATACGGTGAACAGTGATGTACTCGCCTTCATGGTGGACGTGAGTCTCGTCGTAGTGATCCTTGCCCATGATGGTGTGGAGTTGGTTCAGAAGACGCTTGATGTTTCCAATGCCGGGACCTTCTCCGACCTTGAGATTTGACATGGAGGAGTAAGGCGACGAGTATTGGCGCTTCTCGTGGACAAGCTCGATGAGTTGAGGGTAGACCTCGTCATAACCAAAGACACTGCCAATAGAGGCAGCGCACATGGCCACCAAAGCCGAGTTTGACAAAGTGTCTCTGGCATCTCTGCGTTGAGCAGGCAGCTCGTTGTCATGAGTGCAGTCCATGAGTAGACCGTGAACAGTGGCCGGGCGGATCTTGTGAACAACCTCCTTGACAGATGGAGCCGGCTCAGTGCCAGAGTTACGCTTCTGAGCGTCGGAGATCTCGTCAAGCTCGAAGCTGCCGATAGGACGACCACAGTTCTCATGAATGAGCTTGCTGATCTCGGCAGTGCTCCACGACTGCATAGCCTCACGAATCAGACAGGAGAGTCCAAGACGTTCAACATAAACGTAGTCCATCTTCTCGTCACCAGAGAAGAGCTCAGCCATGACAACGAGGTTGGGGCGAACACTTCTTGCGGCGTCGAGCATGTACTCAGCAAGGTGAAGGGGAGTGGAGTGGCAGTTGTCGATGCGGAAACCATGGAAGTGCTTGGCCATGAGACGGGTGTAATCGGCCATGTACTCCCACAGGAAAGGACTGTCTTCAGGGCCAGCACCGTAGCGCAGCTTGACACAGTCGCCCCAGGGGATAAGCTCTCTGCACAAGTAAGCCTTGGACTTAGGACCGGCGTTGTCGATAAGCACGTTGGCAGCCCAGACCCATCCGTTGTTGGCCAAGGCCAGCTCGCCCACGTTATGCTTCTTGGTCGTCTCGTTGGAGGGGAGTCTGGTGAAGTAGGACTCAATCAATGGGAAGTCCTTGTTGATAGGCTTGCCTACCAAGGGACCACCCTCGATGCGCATGTACTTGGTACGGTTGAAGACCTGCTCAAGGATGACTGAGCAATCATGGTTGTATTCGTCGTAGAAGGCAGAATTGATCTCGTCCAAGAAGTGTGTCATGGTACCCATGGCGCTGCGCTCATCTCTGGTACTGCCGGTCTTTGTGTCATACTTGCCGAACAGCGACTGGAGAAGTGCGGCGGCATGCTGAGGGACGATTCTGCGGCGGAACCTCTCGCCAAGATGATCGGTGCCAGTAAGGGCATACTCCTTGAGCCAGTCGGTCTTTTGCTTTGAAGACCACTTGTCGGTGCCAAGAAGATCGGGAGTCTTCTCAGGGAAGTCGACTTGGTTCTCCATCCATGCTGCAACGGCAGCTTGAGCGTCACGCTTGACATCGATAACGTAGAACTCCCACAGCTTGATGACGTTGATAACTTCGGCCTTGACAGGGTCCATGACGCGAACGAGGTCCTGGTTGTTGTTGAGCTGTGTAGGAAGACCACGGCTCTCGAGCTCAGAGCCATACTTGAGAAGCTGAGTATCGAGCTCGAAGGCAGGCTGCAACCAAGGCGCAGTCTTCAAGTTGTAACCGCTCTCAGGGTGCTCTTCCAGCCATTTGCTGTTGTTGGCAGTGTGGTTCCAGACGACATCAGTCAACGACAAAAGACCGTAGTTCTTCTCCATCTTGGTGATCAAGCCCTCGACGTCCGCCTCGCCGTTGACAAAGACCGACTTGTCGAAGGTGAGCTGGTCGTAAATGCTGTAAGGAGAGTTTGAATCACCACGCATCATAAGCGGAGTGAAGTGCACCATGTTGTAACCTCTCTCGGCCATGCCGTGCAGGTGCTTGTCCCAGTCGGAGGAGAAGTCGCCCATGAACTTGGATAGACATGAGATGATGGACAAACTCTTGAGAGGCAGAGTCGAGTCTTGGACGGTCAAACGAGGAGAGACATCGAGGTACCAGACCTTTGTCTTTGTGGCATCGGGCACGTCGCTCTTGCTTGTTGTGAGCTTGGGTAGCGGGGTGTAGGTGATGTAGTATGAGAAAGGACCAGCATGAGGGATCTCAATGTCAATCTCAATGTTGCGATTGAAGTCGGGAGTCAACCTAAGTAGACCGTCAGCAACGAGCTCAATGGAGGCGGATGAGGAAACTTACTTGTACTCGGTGTAGTTCTTGCGTACGAACTTCTGGCCCTTGGCGGGAATGTTGACCCAGAGGCTGCCTTCACGGCAGACGGAGCTGGTGCCCTCGATGACAAAGCGGATCTTGTAGGTGGGATCGCTTGGTGGTGGCAAGTAGATGTACTCGCCGGCCACGTCGGGGGAGCCGTCATCCCTGAGCGGCAGAAGGTAGATGGCCTGCGTCTGTTGTAGCGTCGGAGCCATTGATGCGGTAGATTAGGTGATGATGTGCAAGGCAGTGGTAATCGCTATGCGTTGGAAGAATCGATGCTAGGAGACTGGAAGTCAATGCAGCGTGCTAGTGAATAGCGGATGATGATGCGAGTTGATGAATGTGGTGGGTAGATAACCGTCGAGACTCGGGCAAGCAGCGAAAGTGATGATTGGCGTGGAGAAGAATTAAGTCTAGATGACAACCGAGTATACCAGTTGTTGACAGCGTGACGAGCGCTTGTCTCGAAGATGAATGGGCAGGAGCAACGAGAGAAGGTTGTATGTACACAAAGGAGAAGAAAGTGCAGGCGCGTGGCAGAAGTTTGCTGCAACTGTTACTCGGTACCTGATGATCGCGACGATCGCCAATCGACCTCTTGCCTACTTTTACTTTCCCATGCGGGACTCGATAGCTCCTGCCCACGAAAAGCCGCCCACGTCATTGTCCTATCCCGCATTCGATCTAACGCTATAAGGACACTTGCATTCTCAACCAACACCTGTGCTTTTCAGCCGCTCACCAGAGAGACGAGAGATGTTTCGCTTGTTCATCCGTTGTCTCGTTAGCTCATCTGTTTATATATTATCCCGTAAACCTGCGAAATGCCATGTGAGACGTGCCCCTCGTAGTTGAGTTGCCTAGGTGTCTGCAAAACAATTCGACCATGTGGAAGCTCTGCTTGACAGCGTTTCTCCACGCTCTCTCCGCGGCCACGACCTCATCACTGGGGACTTCATATTGACCCGAGCGGCTAGTTGCCGACACTGCGTGCTGTCGCTTTCCGAACACATGGAGGGCCGAAGAAGCGCCAGTATTTGCTGTGGAGAGAGAGGAGATCGAACGAAATCAAGGCGGAGACGACCGGATCGCATTCAACAACATCTGCTCTTATTCCCACCAGCGTCCTCGCTACCTCATGAACGACTTTGCCTTTCCACAGCTCTAAGTTGCTCTATACTGGACATTGGTGTACTACCAACCACTACAACCCCTGCTCGACGAACATCGGGGGCCTCACCGTGAGATACAGTATCGCAAATAGCTTATGCTGGTACAAAAGACATTGTCGATAGCAAGCTATGCTGAACGAGATAGCCGGCCAAGAGCATGACACAAGCTTCTAAGAAGCGGTTGACCAGTCGCTGAGCTTCGGGTGAACTCGCAAGACGACAGACACCGGTCATTTCGCCATAGACAAAAGGTTGCAACGAGTTCGCATCTAGGCACGAAGTATTGTTGATTACATGCCATATGAATGAGACGAGAGCAAGAAGAAATAACTGGGTGAGCAATCGCCCAAGCGCCGGATTCCTGACTCGACAAATACTGGAGAAAATGGTGTGAGGTCAAAGCCTGGGAGAGCGAGTGGTTGAGTAGTTGCCGAGGCACAGGTTGGTCCACGACACGAAGGTAATGGTTTTTGTTACGTTGTACACAAGAGCACCTCAAGAGTTTGCGCTGGACCAGCAAGTGCTTTCAATTGTAGGTTATGCTGACGGATCAAGTGCTCGAGAGTATGGTCTAGGGCTTGACTCGAGGGAAGGGACAGTACAGCTCGGCTTGAGACATGTTGATATTGGTCACTTCGGTATGCGAGAGGGAACACAGATCGTTATGCGGTAGGTCAGAAGGTATCAATAAATGCAGACTGTGCTAACGGGACATGTGCTTGTTACTATGGTTTTGACCCCAGCCCGAGAAGAAGAGAGGCGGCTGGGCAGCCGTCAAAACACGGGTCAACTCACGATATCAAGACCATTCACTGTCGTGCACAGGGGAAGTGGAATAAGTTTGCGGCGGTTCAGAAGGGAATGTCATTTGTAGGTGGTGCTAACAAGAGAAGTGGTGATCGTATGATACGAAGCAGGACCTGGAAAGGAGAGACGAGGCCAGCTAGTCGACGATGTTCGGGTTCGTTGCGCAATGAGAGCGGCTGCACGGCTTTCAAATAGAGGGTCCGACCCATGCCTCCTTTCGGGACCAAATGCAAGAATGTTCTTACTCCTCACGGGCGACCCAGGCGCGAAGGGGGAGGGCAAAGTCCTCCTCGACCTTGTTCTTTATCTTTGTAATGAAGCACTCGGCCACGTAGGCACGGATCATGCGCTTGTTGTTCAGGGTACCTTCGCCCTCGCGGGTAACCTTATCCTTCAACTCGGCCACGATGTCGTTGTGGATGTCTTGTCCCTCCGATTCTGCGAGGTGCTGCCAAACAGTGTCCGAGCCGCTCTTTGAGGTCTCGAAGCAAGCATTTGCGACCTCGGCGACAAGGTCGTTGATGACCTCCTCGGCGCGGCGGGAAACCATGATGCTGCTCAAGTTTGTGAGTACAGGGGTAAAGGGGCGAGACTGCTGTGGACTCACAAGTTTGTTGGTGTTAGTAAGCTGTTTGTGGAAGAGAAGTCTTGTGTTTTTGATCGATGGTAGGCGTTGTTTGTGTTGTGGAGGATGTTAGAGGAAGTGGGAGTTGTGAGTTGCGGGGGAAGAAATAGGGAGTGTGAGAGTGAATTTACCTGTGATCACTCTCGCCGTCGTCGATGGAACCTTCCGGTCTATCGTACGTGCGGTCAGTGCACTCTCGAAGGTGGACCGGATCTTGGGAGTGTCGAGACACGTCGACGTCGAGGTGCCCTCATTCGTACTCGATTAGGGCCGGAGCATGGTGTTGTCGACCATCTCACGTGCGGTAGTCGACAAGTGCTCGTTTATTGTGTCTGAGATCACTTTCACTCCGTCATAGAACATTGATATGGTTGTTCGTAGCCTCTAGTCGACGACAGCTCCATCGAACAATAGGCTCCTCTCTAATTGTCACTTGGGTTTGTTCATCGTTCACGAATGAGTGCAGATTCAAATTACATCACGGGCACCCTCACATCTCTTCTCTTCCAACACTCCACTTCGCAACACCACTACACGCTAATAGTATCGACATGTGGCAACAACTCAAAGCAATTCTTCGCTCTTGTTTTGGCGAGTACGACAGCATGGCAGAGCCTACCCGTCCTCGCAACCCTACCCGACCTGCTATCCGTCGTCGTTCATTCTCTTGATATCATTACTCCGTCAATCGATACACGCAACCAGAAACATCAGACAAAAGCAGTAAGTTTCACCCCTTTCGTACGATGCATGGAGTGCTCGGCCCCCAATGCATATCGCGGGCTCATATGGGACATCATCTGACCCTTGTGCTGTCTCATAGTCACAATTGTATCCAATCCGAGCGGCAAATTAGACCACACCAGAGCAGAACTCCATCTTCAATGCACAGTCAGTACAGCCCTATCTGAATGCAGAAACACTCTTGATAATGTGCGCAGGACACGGAGAGAGATTGTAATATCGGATCTACTCAATGTTGCTGGTCAGAAGAGAATTGATGACATCCAAGTCGACGAAGTTCTCTCTCCCCTTCAAGCCCTCAGGGTCAAAGTTACTAGCCATGTTCTCAAACCAATGCATCTTCTCCTTTTGCTCATCAGTTGGCTTTGCGGCTCTGTAAGCATTCTTCAGATCCTCCCAGCCAGGCATGCTTCCAGCATCTTCAGCTATACCGTGACCATTACCCTCAGTGCACTTGAAAGCATCATCGATCTTGCCACGACCGATGATCTCAATCTCATGACCCCAATTGTCGCCGTGATCGTACATGTACTCCCACTCAGCACTCTTCCACTCCTTCTTGTTGAATTGTTCGCCAATGTAGACTTTGTCAGCCTTCTTCTCTGGAGTTTGAGAGTGCCTGCGGTCATAGGAGTGCAGAGAGTCAGCCATCTTGTGGTCGTTGGGGTTGACAATCCTGATGAAGTTCTGACGAGGACCGAAGTCTCTCTGCTCGCCATTGTCTTGGGCAGCGCGACGTTTCATTAATGCCATGATGTCTTCGACGGGACGCTCTTCAGCAGTAGGGTCGCGAGCGACAAAGTCATAGCTATGCTTGTTGGCCCAGCCAAAGGCGATCTGGATGGCATAGTGCAACTGCTCAAAGGTAGCGCCGTCGGGACAGACGATGGTACGATGGATTTGAGGCTCTCTGGAATCAGGGATGGTGATCTTGAGGATCCAGGAAGGTTGTTTCTTGGGCTGGCACGAGTACTTGTGAGTGGGCCAGTCCTTTCTCTGACAAACGGCACCTTCGAGTGAGTTAGCTTGACCTCCGGCGACGTGGTCACAAGTCACCTACCACAGTACTTGCGATCACCGCAGCGGCCGCAGTTGACCAACTTTGGCTTCTCCTCGAGGCAGACTTCGCACTTTCCGGCGCTCATTGTTGCAATGGATGATGGATGAATGGTAAGTGACTTGGGTGGTGAAAGAAGCGAAAGGGACCGAAAATTTTCTCGAGGGAAAGCGGGGTTTGGCCGACAACATGCACTGAACACTTAGTGGACTTCAGTTGAGATATACCAACAGATTCAAGAAAAGGTGGAGGAGCTTGAAGCGGCGGCTCTTCCGGTACAGAACCGCTGGAAGATGCAGTAGCTATTATGGTTGTTGAGGGGTGTTAGCCGACTCGAGACACTTATCGGCCTGGGCGAGGTGACTGAACAGTGTTTGAACAGTGTTCGAACAGGGTACGAATAGTGTACGGATACAGGACGAACACAGTAGAAACAGACGGGCCCGAACAATATGGATTAGTGCTCTGCCGTCAGATCTGAAGACCTTGGACCAATGCGACGAAGCTGAAACAATGCAGTCAAATTGCTGTTGGTAGATTGAGCTAAGATGGACTCGAGCTGATGATTGATCAGAGATCGATCTGATCAATCAAATTGGTGTAGAATTTTCAAGGGCGTCTGGGAGGTGTTCAGAACATGTATCAGGTGTATCGACAGCTTACTGAAGAGAGCTCTACATGTCTCTGTACAAACTTACGGTAAGCTTATTCCGCTCGGGAAAGTATCTCAAGATATGAATTGTTGGAGTGGTCGAGGAACGGTATACCACTCATATACCATAGGTCAAAGCTTTTCTAAAGTGGAAACGCGTGAGGCGTGATGTTCGTGGTTGCTATCTGGAGCAATCGCACTCAAATATACTCGTACGCATCCAGCTATATGTGCATGAATCGTTACACCCTCTTCAACCATCCATCCTGATCACGAGAATGCCTCCTAAGCGTAATCATACATCCATGTCGTCCTCGAGTCGCGTTGACGGAAACTCGCAGGTCGAACCGATAATGACGATGCCTCCGTATCGGACGCCGGCTCCGACTTCTCTCCAGCTCCGGCGCCAGCTCCCACGAAACGCGCCCGTAAAAGCACCGGCACAGCAGCATCGACACCACACACTCTCGAGTCTCTCCTTGCTCTCACACGACGAGCTAGCGAAATATACCCTCGACCTCCAGACCCAGCTGTCAGCGCTTCAACAGAGCGGCAGCGGCGGCAGCGGCGGAGAGGTATGGTCTGAGGAGAAGATCGCCGAGCGCGCGAAGAAGACTGGAGATGTGTGTGCTGCAGAGATCAAGAAACAGATGAAGTGGCAGCCAAGTTGCAAGACAGGTATTACAAAGTGGAGTTACACCGGCATTGTGCCACATGAAGACGTCTTCTACAAGCTCTTCGGTTTCGAGAAGCCCAAGAAGCCATGGAAGCAGAAGAAGACTGCTTTGGACGACTTTATAGACAGAGTTGGCCGCATCAGTGCCTCGGTAAGTCTTCTGCGTTCCTTCCTAGGATCTCAAGTTGTACTAATGCTCGAACAGATCAGATATGGTTCTTTGGGCCTCACAGGTGGCGATGTCAAAGTCCACTGGGATCAAGACGAAAAGACCTTCAAGCTACGCTCCTTCGCTTGCGTGGCCATTAATAGACGATGTGTTTTGTGACGATCTGTGCCTTTCCTCTGTATAAGCCTGCTCTCAGGATTCGGCGCTCGTTCCTTATAAGGCTGCAGTGTATGACTCGGACAGGTAGCCTGATTGCAACATAAATCTTCGCTCCTCCTTCGAAACATGCGACACACGAAACTCGCACATTTGCGTCGACAAGAAAAGAAAATTCAAGCCAAACACCAACAATTTTCGGCAACAAATGGTTGTACGATCATATGCCATGACAGATAATGCCACCGCTATCACTCGTGGTCATGTTTGTGTTCAGGAACGCAAGACGTGGTGTCACTATGAATCAGTTAATTCTTTGCGTCATGCTAGTTGTGCTCGCTTTCTTGTGCCCGAGGGTTGTTTGTAGCAGTCCCGCTGAATATGGTGTAGGATTCAATCTCGCCATGGACTATGGATAGGTTCTGATATCCGGAATCTGGCAAGCTGATAGTTGACATCTGAGATTAGCACAGCGAGTGTTTAGTACGCAGATGGCACGGCTATAGATATCGTCAACCTGGAAGGGGGGTATGGTTACAAGCAATTGATGCGCTCAGTAATTGCTGATCCACATCTACTGGAAGCGTCTCCCGAACAGACCAGCCAACCTATCGGCGCCATGCTTCTACAGGACTACTTGCCATCATTCGCCACTAGAAGTCCTTTAAATCACAATGTCGAAACCATGAATTGGATGCTCCGCGGCTTGAAGGGAGCCACGGAGGCTTTTGTTGAAGAGCCACTGACCGCTGTTCGCATCAGCACAAATCTTCCAAGAGCACCCATGGTATCAATTATACAGCCAGACGTCGAGTCTCTTGGCCTCAAGTATTTGGAAACCAGATTGGAACCAACCACTGTGCTATCGATACTTGGTCTCGAAGGAAATTGCGACTCCAATCCTTATAAGTTACCGGACCAGATGGTAGTACCAGATGATCCGCCGCAAGTATATCTGGCGATTGACCATAGTCGAGCAGGTATCTCAGCTTTCTTAGCAGAAGAGGACTGTGGCATCGGTTGGATATTGCGCAGCTTCCGCAATATGAATCTAGGAGCAGAGGCCGACTTTCCAGGCGAACTCGAGGATCTCGCGCATGTATTGAAGCATCTCATGCACCAGCCTGTTGATGAATGGGGTTGGATAATATCATCTCATATTTGTGAGATAGTCTTGCTTGGTGAATCGACAAACGATACAACTCTCGACGAAGCGCTGCAATATGTCTTGCAGGCTAATTACACCAATCTCAAAGCTAGAAGTGACTAGCGAGAAAAACTACACCATGCGTCTTTCGTAGGCTCTAGGGCTGTTGCTATGAGTTGTCAAAGACAACTAGAAGTTGAGCGCAATTATGCGTGGGACGCTCGAGGTGGCGGTAATTGGCTCGAGAAAGATGTCTGGGAAGCAGAGCGGCGAAAGTGGTGGTGAAATCGTAGGTTCTAGTACGACTCGACCAACTCATCATTCTCCCATATCACGAGGACCATGATGTGCTATTAAAAAAAACCGAAGTAGCATAGTACGTGACTTCTCTTCTCGACATCGCCATTGTTGCCTCCGACTCTGCGCGGAGATGCTAAAGGCTGCTCCACTTCTCGGTCAGTCAATCGGTCGCCTTGACTCAGCTCACGATGATAACTAGACTTTATGGACGACATTGAGTATTGGGAGAACGGGTTCCGTGTCGGTGGAAAGGAGGCAGGTCGATGAAGCAGCCGTATATCTTGACGCCTCCTGACGCCTCTGTGTGTGTATTTGGTTTTACATGGCGTTACTGACCCTGTTGTTCTCTCGCATGTCGTCGATCAATGGCAATGACAACTTATTTCCACCGTTTCGAGTACCAGAGATATTTCATCTCCATTTAAGCAAAGAGGGACTTCGGGACTTGAAGCAGAGTAACCATATTGAAGCATGCTTACACCTTCTTCGAATATAGTTTGCGAAAAGTTTAGCAGTCATCTTTCTGGAGTGAAGTAGATGTATGATTGATCCATTCCTTTGCGACTAAAGTCTTCTCGGTGGAGGACTTGGTCTTCTTGTCTATGGCTGGCTAGACGAAGGATGTCGATGCTTGTATTGCTCTCGTTGTTCATCATGATTATAGCGTAATTGTAGGCCAGGATTGGTTTGTAGAGTACGATGTGTCCTGGAAGATGTAATGGACGATGCTCCAGACTCTCCCGAAGCCTTTTAGATTCCTCGAATGTATACGTGCCATTTCCCTTATCACAGATATCGGCAAGAGTATAGTAATTCGTCGTTAGAGTATCGTTGACCCAATAGTGCAGTGATTGTGTCTCGAATACACTTTTGTATTCAGGATCGAGAATAGCATCTCGGTATTCTTTGTTGAGGCCTAATACTTTCATTGCTTCTTCTGGAGGAATTTTGCCAATTGGCTCTCGGCTTAGTCGATACGTCTCACCGGTGGCATAGTCGAGGATATCGTAGATGAATTCTTCGCCTTTAGGTGGGAATCGTTTGTAGATGTTTTGTGCGGCTTGCGGTTCGAAGTCGATGAACTCAAGGCCTTCGACGCCATGCTCAGACGTGGGAATGTCCATTCTTGTGATACTATCGAGCAGATGAAGGACAAGCGTAGCAGGAGTGGTGAAGTTGCTCCTTGAGACGACACTTGGATTCTGTTTTTTGAGTCAAAGGCGAAAATTTGCTCAATGCCTCGGAGCCTTTGATACTTGACAGTTGCGCTCTGCGTCATACATTCGAAGGACCATCTGGTATTCGGCCTTGCCATGACATCTTGATCGCTGGACTCTGCCTACTCGGCATAAAACTCCCTCTTCTTCTGCGGCGTAACAAAGTTGGGGTTCTTCGACATCTCACCCTCATAATCTCCCACCGTCTTCGTCAAGTCCCACCCGATCAGTCCCCCATCTGCCGTAATCTTCAACATTTGTCCCCTCTCCTCTAATCCCAAGTTGCAAATAGCCTTGTGGATTGGCCAGTCCAGCTTTTGATGCAACCCACTGCAGTACGCAGCAGTACCACACCTGCCACATCTCTGCAGCGGCTTCGAATCGTCGTCGCAAGTTGAGCAGCAAGATAGATCTAGCGGCGCATACAGCCAATGCGGATTCATCGCGATCCCATCACCCCAAATATCCATAGGCGCATACTCGACAAAAAGCTCATGTTTCATATTCTTGCCCGTAAACCATCTCTGCTTCAAACACAAATCTCTCACAAAGCTCTTTCCCAATTTCTCGATTTGAAGGGCGTCGGTGAGATCAGTGTCACCTAGCATACTCTCCTTGGTATCAGGGATCCAACGTCCTCGATCTGCGCCTTCAGATGCAATGGAAAATGTCAACATCAACTTCCATTTATCCCCCGACTCGTCGAGAGAGCCAATGGTGATTTGATTTTCCACGCGTCCGATTTCAATCTTTTGGGAGCCGGTTATTGTGAGGGTCCAGGTGAAGGAGAACCAGGCGTCGGTGTCGAGGAAGGCGTACAGCGCTTCTGGACACCAGCGAAACAATACAGTTGCAATACCAGTCGCGGTGGCTAGATTACTGGTATCCGTTTTCTCGCTGAAGTTTTCGTCATCGATGATTTGGAGGGGCGCTCTGTCTAGATGGAGAGGTGCGTCGGGGAAGCCTGGGATTCTGGTGTGCTCCAGAGGGATGAATTTTGTGCCCATCGTTCGTGTCTGATATGCTGCTTTTAACTTTGACCGAATGGTTTCCAGTGTTGATCCTAATTGGACGCGTTGAGAGAATTTGTTTTGCTCGCTCAAGGTTGATTGCAGAATTCTGAAGTGGTCGGTGGTGCTTCTTCTCAAAGCCGGTTTTATTCTGGTTTTTTTTTTTGGTTTTTTTACATGTTTTCTACCATACTCTTAGTCCTACACATAATCATCCTTTAACGGTCATTATCTATTCATTGCGAAATCAAGGTTACGAAGATAGAGCGGTATCAAATCAAGTCCAATGGTGGAGGGCCAGTAGTCATCGTATATGGTCTTGTTTCATTTCTCTTCGTATTTACAATAAGTTCAACGATAGTTTGTACAAAATGGTTAGAAGCGAAGGTGAAGAAGTTTAGAAAATAAAGGGTCAGAAGAAAATAAACGCACAAACAGGGACATCTTGTCAACACTTGCGCAAGAGCCCTCGAGAAGAGAAGCGAATACAAAAACGATTGACAAAAAGACTGTCTCTAATAAACAGTGCAGTGGCTCTCCGCACGACGGAAAGCATCTCCGAAGAAGCTCTGCATGGCACTGTAGTGAAACAAGATGCCACCAAGTACAGCGAAATGCCAAATGTTGTGGCTTCCACCAAAGTAGTCGAAGAAACCTGGAGCAAATCTCTCAGGAACTTTGGCAGCGTAGAGCAATGCGCCGGTGAAGTAGACGAACAAGCTCTTGAAAATCGGTGCGTAGAAGTACGCTGCCCAACTTGCGCCACGGGTGTAGATTAGCTGAGTGACAGGTAGAGCGCCAGTACCAGCAAGAGTCACATAAAAGGCAACGCGGGCCCACGCGAGATCGTTACGGTTGAAGGTTGGGTGCCAAGGGAGGATGACGCCTCCGACACCCAGAGCAGCAGTCAGAGACATGTAAATCCAGCGACTGATGGGCTCACAGTAGAAAGCCGTGTATTCAGTAGTCATGATGGATGCGGCAACCAATAGAGAAATGCCAGTGTAGTCGATGCAAGCAAATCGCTCCATGAGAGTCTGGTTCGAGATGGAGTTCATGGTGTGCCAGACGGTACTGCAAACCAGGCACTTTGATGCTGCGAAGAAGAATACAGCAGCGATAAAGATGTCGGACTTTGTCGACATGGAGAAATGGACCGAGGTCGGGTAAAAGTAGAAGGCGATGGAAAGAACAATTAGCAGACCGAGGAAGTGGGAATAAATGTTGACCGTCTCGTTGGAGAGAGAGAACCACGAACGCAAGCAGTCGACCTTGGTCTCGCAGAAACGATAGCCGCGAGTAATGTGTGGGTTGATCCTCCACGGATCCGGTAAGTCGTGGTAGGTAATAAGACCTTGCTCCTTTGCGCGTTTAACGGCTTCGTCGATCTTGGTCTTTACAGCCTCCTTTGCGCGGCGGGCCGCATCGATACCCTCGTCAACTAGCTCGGTAGCCATGTGCATCCCCTCATCCATCTTCCTCCTTCCAGAATCCATGAGATCCGATGCGACGGCTCCAAGACCAGCATCACGAATGGCGTAAGCGCGAGTCTCGAAATCGACCAGAGTCTTTTCCATCAAGCGAACACCTTCGCGGACCTTGTGTTCCAATGTCTCTTTCTTTGCCAGAGCACCCCGATATCGGTCGTCCAGAAGATCGACCATGATCTTTGCCCGCCGTCTGCCTGCGTCGATGACCTCGTCTGATACGTAACTGCAAGATTCATGGACGGCGTGGAGAGTGGTGTATGCGCGATCAATGCCAGTGTCGAATTTGAGACTCCCGTACGAGTCTAAGAACTCCAGACGACGACCAAGCTCTTTGAGGAAGCGATCGACCAGGAGTTGGACGTCGTCGTTGTCTGCGGACCAGGACTGAGGCTCGTAAGAAGAGTGGCGGCGCTTTTTAAGACCGTCTCTGACTTGTAGACGAGGACGAGCGCTTGAGGTTGAGCCAAGGGCGGGCTCTTCGTGAGAGTCGGTCATGGTGGTGGTGCAAGTGGCCGTAGCCATTGTTGGATAGGGATTGAGAGCAGGGCAGAACAAAGGTAGAGTGTATATCTGAAAATAGTGTGATGGGAGGAAGAAGAGATTGGGCTTGGTGATCTTGACCTTTGGCGGGCGATTCAGGCCAAATCAGACTTTCGTCGGGGCAAGCGAGTGGACGAGAAATGAGATGTCAAGCGTGGCAAACGGGAGCGCGTGGGGAAGTGAGGGCATAAAAGACGGGGTGGGGTTACTGGGGTATCTATGCATACGAGAAAGACAGAAGGAGAGAGAGGCACCTAGTAGGTCATGGGCGTGCATATAAGAAGACGAGGCACGGCATTGCAGGGTAAAGTAGAGGCCCACGTAGGTGGAAAGCGCCTTTACAGCGGCATAATGGCTGGGTGACGACGTTCTTGGCATTGTCCCACCTGCCCTAATAGCATTGGGGATTGCTAATCAGCAGGCGTCCTTGTCGTATCGAGTGCACCTGAGTTCTGCCTTTTCCATGCGACAAAGTACATACTCTGATAGAAGGTGTAGTTTACACATGCAGATATCTACCGTTACATTCAATCCCATATATCCTCTGTAGGTTCTTTCTGTGTTCCTCGCCGAGGTGACATGTCATGCCAATTGAGTTCAAGAAAGTACAAGTAGGTGCTTGGCCGGCGTCGGCTACGAAAGCTCAGACGCTTGGTGATTCACATGCCGAGCAAGCGACAGCGAACCATGGCCGACAAGCAACCCTGTCTTTTCATGTGACCATCCGAGACCAACAACTCGACACGTTCGCAAATCACATTCTACAATCCACACCACGCGCATCAAACCACCAAACATGGCCGACCAATCACTCCTGGATGCTGGCGCATTCGTAACAGACGCCTTCCTTCAGTCCGTTTTGCAGGCTGCGGCCGAGGCTCGCCAACAATGCCTGCAGATGCTCGACTTTATCGACCAGAATCGCACCGCTCAACCTGCGCCTGGGGTTGAGATGCAGCTCAGTCGCCAGCAAAAGATCCTTCACACAAACTTGGCAAAGCTACGCGGTCTGAATCGTCGTGCCGTCCTGGACACGCGCAACACCAAGCAGCAAACTCAAGAAGCAAAGTCCGAGATTGATTCTTTGCACCTCCACCTTCAGAACCTGTACTACGAGCAGCGCCATCTCATCGGCGACATTGCTGCTTGTCAGGCTTACAAGTACGTCTGAGCCATTGCCCATTTCCTTTGCAGCGACTGACATTCTACAGCCACAAATACCAGACTCTACCTTTGATCTCTGTCGACGACATCCTTGCTGCAAACCCCGAGCTCCAAGGTGCAGATGAACATGACCTTATGGTGGCTCGCATCAACCATGAGCACGCCGAACGTCAAACACTGGAAGAACAACGCCAGGGACTACTCAAGAAGAAGCAGAGCCTGATTGCCGAGAACAACAAGAAGAAGGATCACCTCGCCGGACTGGACAAGGAGATTGAAAAGTTCCTCGCCTCTGCCAGTGCAGTCCAGCAAAAGTTCGAACAGCACGACCAACAGAATCAAAAGGCCGCCGCAGCAGCAGCTTCTGCATGAGAGCATGATCATTGTTTCATTCGTCTAGATTATTAAGATACCCCACACAGTTTGTTCAAGCCAGGTGCTTGTTGAAGAAGTCAATGCCCTGCTTGCACGATTCATCCATGGCCTTCTTGTCCTTTTCCGAGTTCCAGTCACCGCGAAGTGCGAATCCATGGACCTGGTCCTCGTAGACACGCACCTCGGTGTCAATGCCCTCGCTCTTCTTCTTTGCCATGAGTTCCTTGATCTGGTCAACTTCCTTGTTTCCGAGCAAGCTGTCAGAGTCGCCGAGTGCGAATGATGCGGGAACGGCGAGGCCCTCAAAGTCGCCAGGGATGGCAACGAGCGAAGGGTGACAAGTGTAGACGGCATCGACACCCATACCCTCGGCACCGCTGAAGTCCTTGTCTCCAGCCAGAACGGCGTATCTGCCACCCCAGCAGAAGCCAACCACGCCGACCTTGTTGGTTCCGGGAATCATACGGACTTGCTTGATGAAGCTCTCAATCAGAGGACGAGCGACACTTTCGCGGTGCTTGAGCAGCCATGGGCCGAGGGTTGCACCAGTCTTTGCTGTGGCAGTGGCCTTCTCGGTCAGACTGCGAGCGTCACGCTCGGTCTTCTGGGGCTCGACAGTCTGGAGGAACTCAATGTCCAGCGAGTCACCCTCGTGTACGTCGGGAATGTAGGCAGTGAAGCCCTTCTCGGCGTACTGGTCGGCGAGGAGGCGGGTGTTCTTGAACTCCCATCCGAAGACTGGAATGTGTTAGATTTGACGAGACGGGCAAGTTGAGGGCAGACTCACTGTCGACGAGGAAGATGACAGTCTTCCACTTTGAGCCATCCTTGGGCTCAGCGACGTAGGTCTGAAGGCCAGCAATGGTCTCGACGTGGCCCTTGGGTGTGCCCTCCTGGACCTTGCCAGTGAGGCAGCATGATGACATTCCAACCCCGGTAGACATTATGATTGATGCGATTTTCTTGATATCGGGACTTGAGGTAGAGGTGAAATGGAAGGGAGGCAACAGCTCACAGGAAAGGATATCCGAAGCTGTTCATAATATCTGTCTACCCGTCGCGCAACACAAAAGTGAGGAGCTTAAGAGTTGATGCGGGGCTTTGGTGACATCATGTTCATGACAAATTTTCCTTTTGGTGCAGCATTAAAGTCTGTGCCTGCATACCGCACAACGATAGGATGAGTTCGTACTTCTTGTACAACTATTTCCTCGGCATGCGCGGCTTCGCTCCGATGGCTCTTAGTCAAGGTAGGTCTAGAGGCTCTCGAGGATGTAGAAACATGTTCCATACCGGACGGAGGTCGCACAGACCATGTTGAACTGTCTTCCTGGCGACTTCGCGCAATTCTTTGGCCATCAACCATCGCAATGTGAACATTACCATCTTTCTGCTGCATCGCGCACGCAACACAACACCCTATCTATACACGCCGACTGATTGCCATCATGTCGCTCTCTTTTGGCCTCAACTCGAAATCCAAGGCGCCGGCCTCGCCGCCAAAGCCCAAGCGACGTCCAGTAGCTATGAATGTGCTAGGCGACGACTCGGACGACGACATTCCGGCAGAAGCAGCTCCCAAAACCAATGTCTTTGAAGAAGAGCTCACCGAATTCGACTCCTCGAAGCCATCACGTCCGTCCGCTCCGGTCCCTGCGCCCAAGAAGAAGCCTCTGAACAAGCCAAAACCTGGTTCAATCCCTGCCAAACCTCCGACAAGGAAATCTCAAGGCGTAAACCCAGACGAGTACAGCGACTTGTCTGCTCAACGCGAAAGTGCAGCCTATGCGGCACAAGCGACCGAACTAGATTCTACGATTTACGACTATGATTCCTTCCACTCCGCCGCAACTTCGGCAGCCTCGGCCAGAAAAGCAGCAGCGAAACAAGAAAGCGTAGCCCAAGGCCCGAAGTACATGAATGCGCTCCTCACAGCAGCCGCGCAACGAAAGCAAGATCAACAAGTCGCTCGCGAAAAGTTCCTGCAAAAGGAACGTGAGAATGAAGGCGAGGAGTTTGCGGACAAGGAGAGCTTCGTCACTGGAGCGTATAAAGCGCAACAGGAAGAGAATCAGCGACTGCGTGAAGAGGAAGAGAAGAAGGCTGCTGAAGAAGAGGAGAAGAAAAGGAAGTCTGGTGGAGGTATGCAAGGTTTCTACCGCAATGTCATGGCAGACAGCGAGCGCAGACATCAAGAAGCTCTCGAAGCAGCCGCTGAGATGGAGAAGCGAAAACTCGCCGGTGATGCCATGACAGAAGACCCAGAGACCAAAGAGGAAAAGGACAAGATTGCAGAATTGGCAGCAAAGGGTGTCAACATCACACTGAATGACGAGGGTCAAGTAGCAGATAAACGACAACTTCTCACCGCCGGTCTGAACGTCCTTGCCTCTCCTTCCGCACCGCCAAAACCAGCCGCAATTATTCAAAAGCAAGACGATTCTGCTCAATGGAACAAGAAACGCGACAACGGTGTCCGAGAGAGGCAAACAAGGATGATGGAGCAACAGCTTGAAGAGAGCAGAAAGCGCGCATTGGAACAAGATAAAGAGGAACAAGAGAGGTTGGAAAAGGCTAGTAAGAGTAAGAAGACAGATACGGATATCAGTTCGGCGAGAGAGAGGTTCTTGGCTAGAAAGAGAGAAAAGGAGGAGGCGGCCAAGAAGAAGGCGTGATGCGCTGAAAGACGATAACGATGTAGAAGAAGTATCAGACATTGCGACGCGCATCTCGTCAGACCGCTCTTACAACATTGGGAGAGAAGCCGAAACTCAAGCCTTGAAGTCAAATAGGCCAAACTGTTCCAGATTTACTACCATGCAATTGTTCTTCTCCAAATTTACGTTCTCCAAATTTTAGTGCCCACATCCAAAGAGCGTGGTCTTTTGAAAGCCAAGTCATGAATATGTCGCTGTCATGATCGAGGATACTGTCGGGAAACGCCCACTCCTAGGCTTGCTTCCCTCTTTTCTCGCACCACTTTTACTTTGTAGTCATCCCAAACCTCGCTCGCTCTTTTTGCTCTATTCTTCATGCATGCTTGACGGTATAAGCTGTTTTTTTTCTAAATCGTGATTAACAATGATGTTTTTACAAATGTGTTTTGTCACAATGATATCGACCAAGCAGCGAGCGTTCACCACCCATTTTCCAAAACTCACGATATCAAAAGACCAAAATACCATTTACTCGCCACACAACTGCCAAAAAGGACCCAGACTCTGCCGCACGTCTCTTGCATACCATCTCCATATATGCCGTAGACCAAAATACCATACAAACATACCCAGCCGTCTCAACAGCTAATGTTGTCGTTGAAACGCTTGTAAATGGTACAACCCTGGCAAAGCCTCGGTATCTCCGTCCCATGACGTACGTGTTTGCTTGTTTCCCATAACCACCAGCCACCAAAATACCTACCAACCACCTCCGATCATCTCCGACAAAACGACGTACAGAGATGACACTACCTGGTGAAAATGCACAGACATTCTCAGACTCTCTTGTATTGTTCGCTGAGAGATGATGATTCATCGTCTCTCTATGGATAAGATCTCGTTGCCGAAAAATGATTGTGCATTTAATCAGGTATGCAAGGTGTTTGGTTCGGTATAGTATTTGTTGCGAGATATCAGCAAACTGCCCAAGTATCTGTTATGCATACTGATGATCACCTTACCATCATCTCCAGTGACGTAGTACAATAAAACCATGACCTGTAGAAATGCACAGACATCTTCGAAACACACACCTCCACTGAGAGTCGACTTTTTCTTATCTCTCTCCGTAGACATGGCCTACTTCTGGAAATTTACTCTGCATCAAATCAACCACAAACACAACCAAAACCGAGTAGCCGGGGGAGACGAAGATCTCGGTAAATACTTCCATCCTCCAATGACGATGCACTAAAACAACTACGCCTGTGAAAAAGGCACAGTCCATTTCGGAAAACAAGGTAGTAGTGGCTGGGAGACGAGGAAAAGTCGACTCTCAGCCGAAGGATGAGTAGTGCTTTGATGTTACTGTGCATTGAATCAGCTAATTACCAAACATGACAAAGTTGTCAACACTGGAGAGAGGACAATCTCGGTATAGTCTCTCCTCTCACTCAGACAAATGCACAGTGTAAATGAAGCTGATTCAATGCACAATCATTTTCAAAACCAATAGAGCCTCCACTGAGAGTCAATGTTTCTTCGTCTCTCAGCGGACATAGTCTGGTTTCAGAAATCACTCCTTGCGTTCAATCAGGCAAATTCACGACATGAACCTGGCAGTGGGAGAGCGAAGCGAACGTTGAATTATACGATCCTAACCACGCTTCTTTAAAAATCCATCATTTACTCGTCGTCCTCGTCAGCAAACGCGTCCATTTCCTCGTTTGCGCCATAGCTCTCTTCTTCGACGTAACCGCTATACTCCTCCTCTGGCTCTTCTTCGAGTATGTCTTCCTCATGATCGACATCCATCATGGTGCCTCCCTCACCATAGTCCTCTTTTCTGCCGTAATTCGTGCGCTCAGTCAGTGTCGCGAGGCGAGGTGTCGCGTCGCGGAGAAGCAACTTCGTGCCCTTTTTGAGGCATGGCTCGTCGTTGGTAGCAAACAGGGGTAGGCAGATGATACGACCATCTCCAATATCGACCAATTCGACATTGGCTTCCTCAGGCATTGCAGCCAAAGGAACCAGGTCGCAAAGAGGGTGTAAACGGCCAAAAACCACATTCTCATCACCGTCTTCGAGGCCGGGCTTGTCGGCGTAAGGAAAGGTTTGCTCGTGATAACCTTCCTCATCATAGGTTTTGAACCAGAGTATCTTGTCCGCAGTAGTCACATGGCGCTGTATGAGGGCGATGATTGTATTGATGACGCGACCGTCCGAATAATCTGGGTTGACGACTGATTTAGGCGCATCACCACGGCCGTCCATGGCTTGGAATATCTGGAAAGGACGTACGACGTTGTTGTGATAAGACCACGGGATTGATGCGCCGTCCTTCAGAGGTCCAAAGCGCGGTGATGCCATGAGTAGATGGACGACAGGTAGATCTATAGGATCGGTTGACGTGGCATACGCCCATCCAAGCACGCGAACGAGGAGTAGAAGATGAAGCCTCTGGGCGTCGACGCTTGGAAGCCTTGGGTCTTCCGAAGCGGTGATGATACTCTGTCGTAGATAATCCTCGAGATACGATCCGCAGATACTGTCGTGGTATGTGGCTTTGGCCAATTCGTAGCAATCGACTGAGCAGAACGAAAAGTTTTCACGCTTTTTTTCGTTGCCAGAACGACAAACTTGGATGTCGGCAGTTTCGAAGATGCCAGGCCGATTTGTCGGTCTACCACGATGTGGGGTGTCGGGAACCGAGTTATCTGAACAAGTCTCAGTCTCACCACTCGATGCTTCTGAATCCCATTCATGATCACTACCTGAATCATCGTCGTTGTTATCGGCCTCATTTGTACTTGCTAGCGGTGGCGACTCTGATGAACCATCAACTGCGGTTGTGCGGCGATGAGCTGGAGATGACGTAGCACCAGCTTCTCTTCTAGCCGTTCTTGCGTTCCTTCTTGCGGTACGTTTGGCCTCTGCTTGCTTCAATTCTTCTATCAAGACGCGAAGAACAAAGGGTGAGGACATCTGCAAGTCTGCACAGCATGTGTCGCACACAGTGGCGAGCTCTGATTTGTCCGTTGTCTTTGCTGTGGAAACAGCGAAAGGTAAACTCTCAGTGAAAAGTGCCATACCTTCGAAGACGTCCTGAACGGCCACAAGCGCTATTGGAACGCCAATCTTGTCGTCATACTGTGCAATTGAATTCGTATCGACTGTCAATATGCAGTTGTTGAGAAGATCGCGGTCACTCTTACGCTTAGAGAATCCATACTGAGAACTGTCCAAGAGACCGAATCTTGACAGCGTCAGCTGCCTGTCTGCTGTCGAAAGTTTGCCCTCCATGAGATCGTTGAGCAATTTGTTTTCGACGGTCTTGTAGAGTGCTTTGAGCTCATTGTACACGAAAGGTAGAAGGGCGTACTTTGTTGTGTCGGATGAGTTTGCATCGAGAACATCATCCAGGATTTGTAGAGCAGTGTACGCCGGACCACGTCCACACCTGGAGAGAGCCTCTACAAGTCGAAACAAGGCTTTGCACTTGAGGTCGACAACGGGAGGCATTGTTTTCTTCTTTCCTGCGACTTCCTCGACCTCCTCCGTCAAAAGCGTCATTCTTGTCAATTTGAAGGTTCGGTGTCCGCTTTGGAACGCTGCGGAAGACGATCTGCACCATGTATCGCCTCGTGACAAGGCATTGCCACATTCTTCTGATTGAGGGAGATTGTTAGCGGAGATATTCTCATGGACGCAAGCCTATTGAGTGAGAATAACACACCAGTATACTCGAGGATGTAGTGGTCGAATCTGCGAACGTGATCGTTGATCTCACCGTCGCCACGACAGGCGTCAATGATCGATTGAGCCATGATGTACGCTCTCTGAGCATCGTTGACAGCAAGATGCGGTTGACCTGTACCAAGCAAGCACACGGCACGATTGAGATATGCAACCGGGTGGCTCTTAGCATCAAGAACTCTGCTGTATAAGTCATATGCTTCCTTGTACTTGGATTGATGGATTAGTTTGTTGGCGTCAACAATCGCGTGCTCCATCCTAAGACTACGCTTAGGTCGAAGCCCTAGTGCGGGCGATGATAGCATCGGCGAATCCATGGCTGCAAGAACTATAATGATGAATGCGTAGTGTTGTAAAGTGATGATGGATTGTGGTTTTGCGCCGAGTTGGTGTGTGTATGCCTTCCAAGGTCGCGTACGGCAAGCACCGAAGCTTAATTACCTCAATGTTCCTGCCTTTCAGTCACTTTGAGGTCGCAACTGCATTTTGGGCTGAGCCAAGCGTCGTCTCCCTAGAGGAGGTGATGGAATTGATTGTACCTATCTGGAGGCACAACAGCTTTCTAGATTATGTCCTATTGACTGAGACGTGTGTACTCCCTCTATCTCGGCGTCCATAGACAGTTTTTAGAAAACACTGTGCATTGACACAGCTCTCATGTGGTGTCGGGCAGCGATCTTGGAAGAGCACTGTTTCGGTTGGAAAGATCTCATCGACCATTGTTTCGAGGCTGGCTTCATCGGCGGCTCTCGGGCTTTGCACGCCGCTTACGTCGACCTTGGTAAGTGCTGTTATGTGTCACATACTCCTGCTACACAGAGCGCTGAAATCCTAGGCTGACCGTCGCATGCGACAATGGTCCGTACGAAAGCTGGCACAACCTACATGCCCCGACGCTTTGCAAAAAAGCCAGGTTTTTGAAAATGCAATGTCGCGGATCTGCCGGTGTGAGGAGCCAGGATGAGGAACTACTGTCAGAAATTGAGACGAAGACTGATGGTGTAGCATTATGTTGATGGTGTACGCTCTACCAATGCGGCATATTGTCTGTATCGTCGAAGAGCTGACGTTGCCTCTCCAGCGGACGTATCCTGCTGTACTCGTCTGATGGCATAATAGATTCGAGATCATGTCCTATGAACCGACATTCGTCTTTCATCAGTCTCGCATGCATACAGCCGCGTCTCGTAGAAGATTGTGCAATAACACAGCCTGAATTCACCGTCAAGTGGTCAGCTGAGAGAGCATTTTCGGGCCAAAGGGAAATCCTGGACGGATGCAGCACAGCATGTTAGATAATACGGAGGAGTCCGAACGTTTTTGGTGAGTTTGCATCTCTTTGTGGAGTTTATGCCGAGAAAAGGAACCGATTTGAAACCAGCTCCTCCGTACTACATCAAAGAAGACTCGCGTGGCGAGTCAGCGAGGGGCGACATGGCCTAGAGAAGGTCGGTTCGTATGAACGACATACCGGACAAGCATCAGACACGACGAAGCGACCTGTTTGTGGAAAAGAGAGGCAAGCGTAGAGACACGCAGTACGCCTTGATAGAGAGACGTCGTCGCTGGACCCGCTACTGACGACCGACCTCGCCAAGAATATCACCAGATTGGACACGTGGACGGAACAACATTAATCCGTCCGAGCCGAGGATTTCCATCATTAGTTCAACGTCCAACGTTCTTTGCTGTTTGTCATCAAGCGTTGCGATGGAGATGTTCCTTTGTCCCTCGAGGTGCAGACATGTCACTTATCGACTTGCTCCAGGGAGCACCACCCGGACTTGCCTAGATAGCATTGGCATCCCATCGACATCTACAGTGAGATCGAAATCTTCGCTCGCAAAGGAATATGCAACAGCGGCTTCTACATTCTCATCTCGATCTCCAATTGGAAACAACACAATGTCCTCTTGTGTTACACCCGGATTGATGCAGGTTTACATCATTTGATTCAAGTGGTCACCGATTCTGAAAGGAATCTCAGTCATGGTTGCGGACGTACAGACACGAGAAGGATTCAAGACATGTCTATCCTGTGGTGTAGGTCCCAAATCATGGGGGAGAGCGTTGGAACGTTTGCCCGGCATGCCGATCCGGCGCGGTTTTGGCACCACAAACGGAACCGCCTCCTCCTGCGCATTCTTTCCGGCTCGATGGAGCCTTACTCCAAAATCTGAATAAAAAGCTGCGAAGCCCGAGCGGCAGCTTCTTGGCTACTGCGACTATCGAAAGTGCAGAGCACAACTTCATTACTACCCACGTAGTCTGTGTTGCGTTCGCTCACGGCTCTAGGTAGAATTGTAGTCACACTCAACCAGCGTATACCCCAATAAATACGACGTGAGAGAGAGGCTAGCATAATCTGTCAACGAGCGTTGGTGGCTGGCTTGCCCAGAGCAGTCCATCATCGAAACCTGGCTTCTACCACATAGGCCGATGGTCGACGTGCAACGGGATCGTAGTCTCAATCGAGGAACAATGTCGTGTTGCCTGTGAGAACCATCATGCATACTCTAGTACAACACACGTGCTTTGCATCGATGATCTGAGCAGTCCAACGGCCGCGAAATACGACCACCCTGTAGCAGCCATGCCTACTTTATTGGATGTGCCAAGGACAGTATCGAGCTCCGTGTGGATTGAATCAGGAAAAGAAAGATCATACGAATAACTCGACCTCAAAGCTGCTGCATCCCTCGGAACTCGGCAGGCTTTCGAGAACGTTTTGGTATGCTTGACCAACCCTGTGGGCTACCGTAGTGCCACAGGTCCAGGTGTGCGCCACTCCACAAACTGACAGTATTGCCGTTGCACCCTTAAGCATATTGTTAACTTTGTTGGGCAAGATCAGCCATCGAACTTTCTCATATCGGAAGGCCCAAGAGGAGGATTTGACTGCAGCACCAAGCCGATGTGGGTGCTTTGGGACAAGATCACGGATAACGTCGGTGGCTACAGAGATCGTAGCATGTCAGCAAATCACTGTTGGCGAATGCAGCTTTCTAAGCTCAGTAGCCTATTGATTGTTTCTGGTTTGACCTGTTTAAACCATACCCACCGTTGGTTCTCCATAGTATGGTAAATGTTTTCGGTGGCAGTGTAGTACTAACCGGCACCCTACTATCATCGTGCCCGTGGTGCATCTCATGGTACGCGAGATAACACCATCTTGGGGATCTCCAAGCGGATAGCGGGTACTTGTAGTATCCAGACTCCTAGCGATTTTTCTCTTGGCTGTAAGGTCATGCTCCGATGAGGTTTGCATTTTCTTGTTCCAGATCCATTCACCGGCGAGCAGTATGCAAACATATGCGGACGAACGCCCCTCAGTAAACTCGGCGGAATCGATTCACAGGATCTGTTCCCTGTTCTTCTACTTCCCCTGTTCGCTTACTATCTCTCGCTATGCGGCTTCCAACCGCAACCACTCTGACTGCTCTGGCGGTGACTACTATCGCCGCCCCTGCAGGTCCTTACAATGATCAAGCCGAAGCTCACGAGCACGAGCATCTCGAGAAACGCGCCCTCATTGGCGGTAATGCTGGGACTACTCTTCTGGGAGGTCTTGGTCTCGCTATTGCTCAAAGCTCTGCGCTTCTGTCCATCGGACTAGGAGGCTCGGGGGGCTCGACTACGGCTTCGACCAGCCGTGCATCGTCTGCTGCAACTTCTCCTAGCAGCGCGTCATCTGCAGTCGTGTCGACCAGTCGTTCATCTTCTGCTACTCAACCTCCGGTCTCAGCTAGTGTTTCTGCTGGCGTGTCAGTCAGCGTGCCTTCGGTTGGACTATCATCTGTTGCCGTCAGTATCCCCTCGATTGGACTATCGTCCGTCGCCGTCAGCATCCCTTCGATTGGACTATCATCCGTTGCCGGATCAGTCAGCATTCCATCGACTGGAGTATCATCCATCGCTGCAGTCGTCAGCGCTCACCCCTCGAGTGCTATGTCTGTCATCTCCTCTATACTTGCAAATCCAGTAGCAACTTCGAACACACTTGCAGTCGCCTCTCAGAACTCTGTCCTATCCCAGGCGACCGCACTGCCAACCAGCCTTGGCTTCCAGATCTCTAATGCTCTGTCTGGTGTTTCGGGTCCGAGTTCTGTAACGGCGGCTATCTCGTCGTTACTTACTGCTTCATCGATCCGCACCGATCCAACTGCAGTTGCTTCACTGGCTTCGCATGTGTCGGTCATTGCTGCGCAGTCAAGTCAGCCTTCATCTGTTCAGACATCATTGTCATCGCTGGCTGCTGTACTCTCGAACGCCGCCGCTATTCCTAACAACGTCGGTTCCATGGTGTCTTCGTTGGCATCTTCAATCTCGACTGCGAGTGGAACCAGCCTCTCAGGTTACGCAAACTCGATTGTCTCTTCCTTCGCCGCCGCTGCACCTACGTCATCTTCACGATCGGCTACTACGACCTGCACAGATATCTTGTGTTTGAATGCTGCAGCTGGTGGCCTGACGCTTGGTGTTGGAGCAATCCCGTCTTCGAGTGGCGGCCTCGTTAGCTTGTCTCTTGGACTTGGTGGTTCACAAGCATCCAGCACCCTAACCAGACCAATTGTAGTGTCTACAAATGGAGTTCAGACGACTTGTACCGATCTGATCTGCTTGAATGTTGCGGCGACCGGACTACTCAGTGCTTCTGTAGGGCTGATCAACACTGCATCGGCGACCCCAACAGCCACCAGACTAGCTACGCCAGTTACTATCTCTGGCACCAATGGAGGTCCGACTTCGACTTGCAGTGATGTCGTATGCTTGTCGGCCGCGGCTACGAACTTGTTGGGCGTTTCTGTCGGGCTACTCCCTACCAGTGTGCTAGGAGGCAACAACCTTGGGACACTCTCGCTTGGTATTACCTCCGCTGCTATGGCGACTAGCCTCTCTGAGCACGTCACTGTTGTTGCCACTGATGGTAAAACAACCACTGTATGCACCGATATTATGTGTGTCCACGACGCGGCATCATCGCTCTTGGGTATTGATGCTGGCCTGATTCCTACTTCGGTACTAGGCAACAATCTGGGAACGTTGATGCTTCCTTCAGCAACTAGCCTTGCTGAGCCAGTAGTGATCACCGCCACCAATGGACGTGCCACCACTACATGCTCAGACGTCTTCTGCTTGCATACAGCAGCTACGTCTTACCTAGGTCTTAGTAGTGCTGGAGCTTTGCCAACCTCGCTCCTTGGAAATAACAATATAAACTCGTTAGCCCTCGGTGAAAGTCTGGCTGGTGCACCCACTGCGACGAGCCTTGCTAAGCCTATCACTATCACCGCTACCGATGGTCGTGCCACCACAACCTGTTCCGACGTTCTCTGCTTGAATGTAGCAGCCACCAGTCTGCTCGGAGTGAACGTGGGTCTTTTGCCTTCGTCTGTAATCGGATCTAACGACATCGCTACACTGTCCTTGGCCTATGGAGCCACGGCTGTTGCTGGTCAGACATCATTGGTGGCCCCCATCATCGTGACTGGCACGAATGGAGCCCGAACGACCTGCACAGATGTACTTTGCCTAGGTATTGCTGCCACAGGACTACTCTCGGCTGATGTTGGT